TTAATAAAAGCGATTAATACCCGTATGGCTTAATCGATTACGATCTTAGCCCTAACTACTTCGAGAAAATCCTTTACTCCTATAACGCCCTTAATCTCGTTAATATAATAAGCGCAAGCGCGAAGGAAAGCGTATTACCATATAACGTAGAATTACTCGGGATTATAAATACCTGCCTTTATTCTTTAAAGTACCTTACGATATTCTCGTCTAACGAACGTCTTAATAGCGGCTTCGGTAGAAGTAATTTATTTACGGAGGATCTTTACGAGGTTTTAAATAATCGGGTCGAGATCTAGGAATTATATTTCTATATTAACTACCTTAAGAAAGCCTATAGAAATAGAAGCGAGAATCTAGCTATAAAGGACCTTATATTACTTATTAATAGCTATAACTTAAGCCTCGATCGTTATTTACTAGGAGACAAACTTATTATACGCTACCGTTTATTACTTTCGAGTTCGTATCTTAAGCTTTAGTAACTAATCTCCTCGGTCTTCGGTTAGGATCGACGCTTACTCGTAGACGGCTTTCTTATAATTTTCTTTAAGGAATTCGTTTTCTTAAGTAATATACTCCTTAAGAGTACCTACTACGACTCGAGTAGCGTTAAACTTAGCTCCATCTAGATTAACGTTTTTCTAGATACCGAACTAAGTAGCTATCGACTTAAGCGTTAGGAATTAACGTAGCTATTTATCGTAAGCTCGTAAATAAACGTTAACTAGAATCTTATCCAGGGAGAATTCAGACGTATTAGTCGTTATAGCGAAATACGTAAGCGACTATCTAAAGCTAGATACGAAAGCAAAGTACCGGTTTAGAAATAAGAAGGAAGTATAATCGTAAGATCTAAGAGATAGATAAATGTATTACTTACTTACGCTAGAATAACCTAAGTAATAATAGCTCCTTAGAAGTACCCCGGGCTTATAACTATTACGTAGTTAGCGAGAGCTAAGCTTAGGTTAATAGGTTATTTATAAAAAAAAGCAATGAAATAAGGGTAAGAAGGTATATATTAACTAACTAGAAAAGAAGGAAAGCTACTAAAGAGTATAGAACGATCTATAGGTATATATAGTAGTACTCAGCTAGCTTAGGTAAGCTAGGTGGTTCCCACTAGGGGTGCATGCCTACGTGATAAGTAAATATTAATTAGATCTCGATTAAATAAGCTTTTTTTGCTATGAAACCCGTTTAAGAGGATCTTCTAGCGTTTATTATACAATTAGTTATTTAGGAAGGCGTTTCGATACGTCGTTTAGCTATTATATACGGCGTTTCGCGAATTACGCTAACGGCTCGGCTTTAGGGTAGGTAAGCGCGGTTAGAGGTTTAATTATAATAACGCTTAATAAATAGGTAAGAGGAATATCTTACTACGTAGATTTTACGTTAAGAATAGCTAGGGTTAGCTCTTAACTACCGTATTATTCGCCGAATTACGTAAGATATCTTAAACGCGAACGGCGATCTACGGCCTTTTAGTAAGAATTAGCTTCATAACTTCCTAAAGCGTAATCCCTTAATTACGGTAAAATCCGGGCGTAAAACTAAAGCTTTTCGTTTTAATTGCTTTAATAAGAGGGCTATAAACTAATATTTTAGAATCCGGGAAGCCGAATACGGCTAGATATAGCCTTATTTTACCTTTAACGTCGATAAGGAAGGAATTATACTCGGCTAAGGTAAGTAGCCTCCTTTATCCTTATCCTTTCGTTTCCGTATTAATTAAGGTATTAAAGCTCGATAGCTTAGTTCTCGGGAGCTTAAATACTAAAAAAGCGATCGTTAAGAGCTCTTAGGTTAAAACCTAGGCTTCGTTTATTAAGTATATTAGCGCTACGGGCCTTATTCTCCGACCGGGTATTATCTTTAAAGGAAAGGAGCTTTAAACGACTTAATTTACAAATTAATTCATAAAGATCGCCGATTAATACTTTATAACCTTAGATAACGGTTAATCGGATAGCTATATTACGTTAGAGTAACTAAAGGAGGTATTTATTAAGGAAACGGATAGTCTTCTTTCCTACGAGTTTAACGCCCGCTTATTAATTTTAAACAGCTATAAAAGCCATACTATTATTAGTTTATTCATTTCTTAATTAACTAACGTTAATTTCGTATTTTTACGGTTTTTTTCTGATTTCCTAAAAGTAAGTATTATTAACGTATTACGATCTTAGGATAAGTTTATAGCTATTTATTTCCGGCATAATATTTACCTATATTTTTTATTAACGTATATCTCTTACGGCTTATAATCGCTCGATAACGGCTTATTTAACGCTCTTAAAATAGCTTATAAGAAGTACTTAAGCTAGTTATATTCCTTAATAAATACCGCGTCGATTAATAAGCTAAACTTCTTACGTTACTTATACGCGGCGAGAATCGACGCCTTTACCGAGAAAAACGTTTATACCGGCTTTAAGGTAACTAGGAACTAGCTAATAAGTCGTAATAAGGCCTTAAAATACCCTAAGCTTTAGGAGGAGAAAGATATAGCCGAAACGAACTAACGCGAAAGCCTAAAAAAGGAGAGCGTAAAGGTATAGGTTTACGCGTTAAAAGCGATTAACGAGGTTAGAAAAGTCGCCGTTAATCGATCTCTACATACTCGTATAACGTTAAGAGGCGTTATTAACGTATATTACGACCTTCGTATTAAAATGGCATTTAAAGATTACTAGATTTCCTCGTTAATGGCTTAGTTAAAGCTAAAAAGCTAACCTAAGAGGAGAATTATTCCTAACCCTAATAAGCGCTTTTAATCCCTTTACGAAATACTAGCTTACGATTAGGATAGCTAATAGCTACCTAATATTACGTTAAAAGCCGTAATTAAGTAATAATAGTAATAAGAGGAGTAGGAGGAGGAAGAGGAGGTAACGGTAGCTTAGGAGGAGCTTATAAGCTAACTAAGTAAAGATAAGGGGGATACTTAATTACTATATCGCGTCCGACTATTATGCGTAATCAGGGCTCCGGTACGCTTTAGAGACTAATTAAGTAACGCGCTTTAATTTGGTATATCTTTTATAATTTTACGAATTTATCTAGGTAAGCTATTTAATTTATAAAAGGGCGACTTTTAAGGCTTTTTAGTAAGGATAGGATGGCCCGCTAGGGGGGTGGCCCGTTATTATGTGACATATAGTATATACGCTCCTATTGCTTCCATTCCTTTAGCTAGTTCTTAGATAGAACAAGACCTTTTCTTCTTTGCTCCTCCTCTAGTTGCTCGTGAGATAGCTTCTTGCGCGCGCTCTCGCACCACACGTAGCTCCCTCGATCTACGTGATAACTTAATAAGTGGCTCTCTCGCTATCGTTCTACATCGCATACGTAGTATTACTGCTGTAGATGTCCGGGCTCCTGATACCTAACAGCCCTAAAAAGGTGTTGTTAACAAGCGGCAGCTCTGCGAACCATTCGTAACTGAAAACAGATCCAAGTAGCCGCTCAGCAGAGTGCTCAGCGTGCTAGAAGTGGTGAAAACACCCTTAAACACTTCAAAGTAAAACCCAATAAGCCGGGACTTCACAAGCCCACTAGAAACACTCATGGAAACTTCAGAATTCTCGTTCCTTACGGAACACATATAGACGTTCGAGATGTGTATCGGTAGCTCGATAAAATCAGGACAGATAGAAGCTAGCTAACATGCAATTATAATTGGATCGGAGTACTAACTTCTTGAAGTAATGGAAACAGGTATCGAAATCTGTGACAGGCTAGCCAGTTTAGTAGTTCCTCATGTTAATGGCAATATTGCTATACTTAAGAGGTACACGGCTTCCAATCTCTTGTACTTAAGAGGTACACGGCTTCCAATCTCTTGTCATATAATAATACCACCAACCATCCCCAAGAAAGACCGCAAAGAAAGATATAGTTTCCTTAATATTGCTCCCAACAAACAGTTCAAACCCCCGATATGTCTACTCCGTGCGGCCTAAATTTAGCGCCACCCTATGTGAATGCGCTATGAGGACTTCATGTTTCGAGTTAGTCATCCATAAAAAGGATAATCATAACGTAATTCAGCTTCTGGACGTAGGGGCGATGCAGTCGCTGGCTCAATAGGGACATACCCGGATCTGTGAGTCTAGTTAGGCTGCTGACAGTTGGGGTTGGCGCAATCGCATGGAGGCACTTCAGGAAGCACCTGGCCACAATTCCAGCAGTCGGGAAAGGTCTCCGGCTTTGGCTTGGGAGGCATTTTGAAGTCGGTGGACTAGTTGACTCAAGAATAAACGAGGCGTGGGATGGTAGATGAGGTAGGATAGCTTGATATTCTAGTCATCATTTCGAGCGAGGAACAACCCCTCTTTTATACAGATATCAACACTGCTGTGCCAGCTTCAATCGGAATTTGGTAACCCATGTACTTTTTCGTCACCGGCAACCATTTTGCGAAAGTGTCGGCGGCATTGTTGGCGCTAGGCCACTAGGCAAACAGATGAGGCTATCCTCCTATGAACCTGTCGTCTGATGGAATAATAGCACCGCATTGAGAGTGGATAATACACTCTAGCTGCCGGGGATGACCTTGACCCATGAATTGATTGGGCCTGATCATTCCCATGTGTAGAAACTCTGGCATAGAGATGTGTAGAATGAGTATGAAGTAAAAGCCTCGGCTGAAGAAGCGAACCAGTTGCAAGGAAAAAAGGTACTTCATCAAAGTCTGCCTAAACCCACGGCTGGAAAAACTGTAGCTATCTCTTCTCTCCAGGGGCAGTCAGAAGAGTAATTACCGCTTCGATTCGGCAATAGCTCTTGCAGTGTGATTGGTGGGAAAGCTCTGTATCCACAATCCTCCGAGCGCTAACTCACCAGGCCACAGTTCAGTGTTGGTCAGCTTCGCCTCTTGCTTCGCCTCTCGCTTGGTGATGATCTAATTAATGCCTTCAAGAATTGCCCACGCAAGCCTTCTTGGAGAAGAAAAAACCTCGCTACGCCTGGACGCGTGGCATCGCAGACGCATGGCTACACCCTCGAGCGCTGTCTGGGCCACGCCCGACGACTTAGACCCAGATGGCAACGAAATCCACGCGCGAATCCATGCGATCCTTTCCACAGCCAACTTCGAACATCTCCAAAAAGCTGCGCTCCTCGCCCGCAACACTCAAAAAGAGCACGTCGCTTGCGCCATCGACCCCAAGTCTTTCACGTATGGGATGAACAACCTCGTGCTCAAAGTCGCCTTCTCAGACGGCGTCGACTGGATTGCTAGGGTTCATCATGTGCCGGTCAACAGGTCCAATAGCCGCGAACATGCCATAGACATGCTAAGTGAGGTTGCAACCCTGAAAACGCTCAAAAGCCGCAGTAGCATTCCGGTTCCACGGGTATACGGCTTTGACACTTCGCCAAACAATCCCTTTGGCTTTCCATACATCTTCATGGAGTGCCTCAGGGGTCGGGTTCTCTCCTCTACCATCGCAAGACAAGTCCCCATTGCCTACCACCAGAAGGTCGCAGGCCAGCTAGCTGATGTCCTTTTCCAGCTCGAGAACCTAACATTTGACAAGCTTGGGCGGATTTGGTGCGGCGAGAACTGCGACGAGGCCCCTCGGATCATTGCTTCGGATCAGGACGTCGAGCCCACGGTCATAGTACCCAAGAAGACATCGTTGGAGTGGTTCTATGAGTTAAGACAGGACCAGAATAGAGCTGCTCTTGAGGGACATGCCCATGACCCCGAGTGGAGGACCTCCTGTTGGATTCTGAAAACGGCTATTTCCCACTTCGTCATCGAGGATAGACTCCATGGCCCATTTCCTTTATGTCACTTTGACCTTCACTACGGGAATCTCCTCTTCGACGACGAGTATACCTTGACGGGCGTGCTGGACTGGAGCCAGGCGGAGACCGCCCCATTGGAACGTCTGGCTGTCTCCCCGGAGTTCATCACGTTTCCGTTGTTAGCGCCTGACAAGAACCAGTTAATCATCGACTTCCGCAACGCTACACGGGACGCCTTGCACGAGCTTGAGAAGAGGATGGAATCGTCGCCGTCGGCTGCCAAGCAAAGTACAGCGCTGTCCACAATTCTCGGCTCCAGACAAGCAGAAATTACTCACAGGTGCACCTATAGTCGTCCACACCGCGCTCTTTTCGACGGAAAATTAGTCTCTAAGCTCATATACGGGGATCACGTCTCATGGGAGCAGCTTGTTGCTGTTTACGGAGCAGTCGCTCTGCACTAGGTAGATTAGCACGATATGAAATTTATAAGATCGATTAATGAATGATGTTTCAGCTGAATGTTCGCCCTCGTTACCTACCTTTAAACGACGTGGATCCAGCGTCCGCTATCACGGCAATCCTTCTTCAGATGAAGAATCAGAATCGAAGTCTTCCTCACCCACAACCGTCTCTTCCAACTCCTCACCGTCTGCATCCCATGGCGTAGCGGAGGGTAATAGCATCCGGCGTCCTGTTAGAGCATCGAAGGAATGCATCTTCAGACCAGGGAGCGTGTGTGACACAACTCTGATAATCCGCGGATTCCGCATCCTGCCCGCAAGGTCTTTTGCCTTTGCTTCCATATCCGCCTTCAGCTGAGGAAAACCGCCACCGTAAGTATGCCCGCATCGACTTGGGTACCGATATGAGGTGTCTGAGTCGGACATTTCCGAGAGACTCAAATTGACGACAACGTCCTCGAGATCAAGAAGAGGTCGTTTCTCTGGGGCGTCTAGGACGTCAGGACAGATGCTAGTCATACGGCAGCGTAGTCGCCGAAGAGTCGGTAGCATAGAGCGGATTTCGCGGCAAATATGAATCCCGGGGGCATTGCTTTGATTTACCAGACCTGTCCCTGCGGTATCAACCTCGAGGCAGGTCAGGTGGCTGATCGATGCAAGGCCGGCTAAAGGGAGCGCCATTAAATAGTCGCGCCGCTGGAGGTCCATCCGAGGATCATGATGCTCGGGCCGCGCTTTGAGCGTGAGAGATCGCAGCTTCGCACATCGTTGGAGTATGACGACAAGTGAGGTGAGGTGGCCGTTCAACTCAGATGTCCATGCATCGACGGCTTCGAAGTTCGTCCTAGCCGGTTTTGAGTTGTCTGACCATAGCGCATCCCAGCCCTGAAAGCCGTCAAGACACAGGCTGGTTGTAATCGGGTGATTTTGCATGGAACTCATGACATCCTCTCTCTCGAATGTGAGGATAAACCTTCGAAGCGATGCAGCAGAGAAGGCGAGGTCATGGAGGAGCACTGGCCAGGCTAGCTGATACCACCACTTCGATACGAGTAGCCGACGAGTATCTTGACGAAAGAACACGGAGCCTAGCAAGCGAAGGACGTGAAGGAGGACCTCGGGGGGTAGTTGGTGCAGCGGCATGGTTGGCGAACCCGCCACAAGCGGAGAGCGCAGCTACCAAGTAGCCCGATAGCGGGAACGTCAGGTAGGTAGGTCTAACGTGCACGAAGCAGACAGACATCACGCTCAGTAACGCACCGTAGTCGTTAAGAAGGAGGACCTATAGTCAAGCGTGGCGGGTTAAGAAGGACACAATGCCATAGAACATTGAGGGCGTAACCATTGGTACCTACTTCTTTCCACGAAGCTGTCGTATCTGGCGAAGGGGCTGAATTTAGCTGACAAAATCACACACATGCCACGCCTAGCCACAGCCATAAAATGCGACGCGTCGATTGGTCAGATTATTCTACCTTACCTAGGTACCCCGCGCTGCACCCTCTCTACGAAGTCGCATAGCTACATCTGGGAAAAAAACCCGTTTCGGGGTGGTATCAACTCCGTACCACTCCTCTAACCTCTCTACCTCTGCGAGCTCTGTATTAGGCTGCGAGTACGGCGGCGACGGTGGTTGATGGGAGGCTGACGAACAATGGGACCAAATTCGAACCGGCGAGCTAATAAGCCGTAAAAGCGGCGACTCGCGCTAGGCCAGGTTGTTGCTTGCATTTCTCCTCATGATAACTCCGCTTCAATACCCCGAGCCAAAATCCAAGCGCTTCCTTATCTTGTCCTCTCCCCCCCTCCCCCCTTTCCGTCCCCGTAGTTTTCTTGGGGAACTCTTCGAAACGCTTGTCTTCTCGCCATCGCTAACTACAAGTCCTACCATGGTCACAGGACCGATGCAACGTTGAACCATGCTTATCACAAGGCTGATTATGGTCGTGGGCGCATGATTCCCGAAGCTCCGTACCAGCGCTCCAGTACTGTGTTGGTAAAATGTGACTAAAATCGTGCGGTGACCCTCCAGCGCACATACACCTACCCAGGTAACTGGAGAGCATCCATTACGGAAGCCTGGATGAGGATTGGACTGCCCGATACGCCATGGCCACCGGACCGTGTGGGGTTCTGGGGCTGGAACATCCTGTTTGGGGTAAGAAGGGCCCTCGTACGCGAGGCCGTGGAGTTCCGATTTATCAACATACGAGGAACATAGTCACAAGTGCATATCACAGTAACCATCTGTAGGCAATGGCCGTCACAAGGCTGTCGGTAATAGGTCTTTCTATGCTGTGGTCATGCTCAGCCTGCCTAGCCGTAAGGCATCCGATACACGTAAATTTAGACGGCAATCTTAGTAAACAACTACCTAGGTAAAAAGCGGAGATGACTGAGGACCGTAAGGGTAAGGGAAGCCCACTCAAGTGTGTCCGCGTTCTTTGCGTCTTTTTCGACCCGGTCCAACCTGAGATCCACCCCCTGGTCAAGTTTAGAGAAAACTACGGGAACCAAATTCTGAATCATGAGTGCGTATACAATGCCATCAATCAAGTATATATATTACTATCAAGTATGCATAAGTGCTAGCTCCTTTCCTCCTCCGGTTGTCTCTCGTCGTCGGGCGGATCTCCAACGGCAATTAAAACCGGAGCGCACCTTCGGGGGTCCCGTCGCTGGGTTTGTCTACAGCGACCCCGAGACGCCCGAGCCAGTAGGATCGCGGATCCGGCCTACGGGGTTACGGTGTGTACGTGCCGGTTGTATCCACCAAACCCACGCGTTTCATTGACACCCGACGATGCCATCGGAGATACTATGCCTACTACGTATGCAGGATACCCAGGCAGATTCCTCAACCGCACGCGGGAATCGATTAGACACCGCTAGATTTCTCTGGTCTTACCTAGCATCTAACTCAGCCCGTTGTGCCGCCCCCTCCAACGAGGCGTCATGTCGGAATATCCCAATATGGTTCAGAATTTCTATGATCAAGGCGTCGGCCTATAAGAAACCCCTATGGCCAAACCTTTACCTGTACCTACACTTGGAGGAGACAACTTGTCATTGCGTCGAGGTGCGACGCCATTTTTTTACCCTTCCCCCCTCCTCTCCCCATGCTCTCCGCGTGAAGCTCCAGCCGACGTCGAACAGGATGCCGAGAACCTGGCTTCTGAGGGGAGGCCCTAGGCGCCAATTGGATACGCAAATGTTTGGAGGACCGGCTCCCAGGACCCGGGGTCGAGAAAACGGTGAATGAATGAACTTCTACAGTCGAACCGAGTTGCACTACAGCAGACGGGCGTTCGCGTTCGAGCATCCAGGACGAGTTGTGGATGAGTACTGCATCCACTTCCATCAGTGCGACGTACAACTCACAAAACTCTCCCCGGTTGATTGGACACTCCAGATAGAGGCCGTTGGGCCAATCCAGCCCCAAGCGAGGACCCGGCTGACAAGTGGCCAAGTGAGAGGGAGAGGGAAAATGTGGTCGGCATGTGCGAACAGATTACGAGCCGAGGACGGTCTCAGCCACGATTTCCAAGTCAACAGCAAAAATATTATCAAGGAAGAAGTTGCGAAAGCCAACATTAGTAGAAGAAAGATATCAGGTATCTAATATGTCCCCCGGTAGCATATGCAAACCCCAACCCGTGACAATCCCGTCCCACCTCCGGACTGTGCATAGACAACCGATGTCAGGCCTATTAAGAGTCTTCCCTCCAGCCCGGTCGTCATGATGTCTGATATTACATTACACGTAGGTGTCTAGATGCACACTTCGCTTTCGGCGGATATTATTATTGTTTGCCATGCTCTCTCGTCGCCGACGCGGCTGTGGGCTGGTTTATGGTAATACCACGCTCAGTTTGACCGATCCGGGCCCGCCAGGGGGAACTCGACAAGCTTTCACAACCTGTAGGCATATTGTGATTGTGTTGCTCGTCTGCACCGCGTCCTGAGGGATTAATGCCATGGATACGCGCATCACCGAGCAAACAAGTTTGGCTTTGTACGCCAGTTCTATCGTACTTGCTATTACACGTAGCCCCAAAATCGGAGAAGTGCATTTAACATGAGCATAGCTGCATAACATAAGACGGACTTCCAGCCAGTCCTGATCCCCCCTCCAGGCCTGCCAATGGTACAGCAAAGTGAAGATGAAGAGACGCTTGCATATCTGTATGTCGCCATCCTCTGCCGGCTCGGATCGCTATGTGATTCGAGGCCGATCGCAATGTGCACGTAGGGAACAAATGTTTCCTGCAGAGTTAGAGAACGCGCTATTAAGCGGCTTCCTATTTCGGCTATACGCCTAGAACACAAAGGTGTCGTAGATGGGCGCAATCGCTGGAGTGCCGCCGTGGTTGGCTAGCTTCGTGTCGAGCCTTACTCGGCGATGACTGCGTTGATAAAGGCCTCGTACGAGTGACCTGGCCCGCCAGTCTGACGAAGGTTGCTCAGCTCTCACGGCTAGTTTCGCTCCTTGCGAGAATCCTTAATGATGAGGCTCCGAAGAAGCGGGCGCTGACAATCGGCAACAATATCGCAGAGGGGGCGTTCCCAAGGAATTTCTCCCTGCCAGCCGCCTTACCCACGGGCTCTGTGAACTTCTTCCTTCTCTTGTAGGTTGCGGAATGGAATGAAATATTAGTGTTTGTCTAACCACCCAAGTGGACTCTGCATCTATCTCTGAATTCCGAGTCTCATGGCTCCTACATCTCTTTCCAACTTCATTCAGTCTAGTATTACGAAGCCCACATCGGCCGCGGCGCTCGGCGTGAGAGGAACCACATTTGTGACCATCATAGTCACGGAGTCATGTACCACAAGCACCGTCGTTGTTCCATTGGGGTATTCCCAGGAGCCACGGACAACAACGGCGACCCAGGAGGGGCCAATTCAACGCGACAGCTCGCCGGCCCCGGCCCCGGCCCCGGCCCCGGCGGGCTCGGGAGATGATTCCTCAACCACAGCGCTGATAATAATGGGGGTCATTCTTGGGCTGTCAATAGTGCTGTTCACAATCTGCTGCTTCTGTTGCAAGCGGCAGAAACGTGTGCCAGAAAAGTGTTCTCCAAACGGTAGCTATTCAACGCCAGCCAGGCGTCCGCGCGGCCCTCGGGGGCCCCCAGGTCCCCCAGGACCCCAAGGCCCACCGGTATGCATCCCCTCTTTACACATGCCAGACCGAGTTGTAATAAACTCATATATCTAGGGTATCGCCGTCCAAGGACCTCCGGGACTCCAAGGGCCGCCAGGCCTCAACGGGGGTAAGGCACCAGTTTCTCTTCGGAGATTTTACCTAATAACACTCACTCGCCCGGCTATATTTCAAAATGTTCCTTCTTACCCAGTCGAGTTACGGGGCTAACATATTTCTTTATCCATCAAGCCCCAGGAGGTCCAGGCCCTCGTGGGCCACCGGGCGCTGCTGGGCCGCCCGGAACTGCCGGGCCACCGGGAGTCGAAGGACCTCCCGGCCCTCCTGGCCCTCCTGGCCCTGGTGGAGCCAACGGGCTCCCAGGCCCCCCTGGACTCACCGGCGCCACTGGTGAGTTATTCTGATTACTGCACCCGTGTTAACTAATAAGACATACTCGAAGCCGAAATAGCCCGGCTAGTCTATCATAGTCTGACATGTTGTTCTTCAATGTGTATCAGGATCTCAGGGACCTAAAGGGTTACCGGGGCCGGTGGGACCGATGGGGCCAATGGGGCCGGTTGGCCCTCAGGGGTAAGTGAATTACCACCAGATGAACCTGTGGCCAGCTTGCCTCGGCGTATAATTGGGGCTTCCATTGACCATCACTATAGACCGCACGGAGTCGCGGGGACAGACGGTAAAGATGGACATGACGGACTTCCCGGGCGCATAGGTCCCCCAGGACCTCCGGGGTATGTATCTGAATGTACGACTAACACTTTGTTTCATTACTAATGCCCGCCCCACGACAGCCTGAGAGGATCTCCAGGGCCTCCCGGACCACCCGGCTTCAACGGATGTCCGGGACCGGTGGGACCGATAGGACCTCCAGGTCCTCAGGGCGGCCGAGGGCCCCCGGGGTCCACGGGCGAAACAGGCCCACCAGGGCCGATTGGTCCACAGGGATTGCCCGGGCATCCTGGAGCACGAGGACCTGCTGGGCCATCAGGACTGACCGGGTCTCCTGGTCCAGTAGGTCCAGTAGGTCCGCGGGGGGTACCTGGAGGACGGGGCGAGAGAGGCGAAAGGGGTGAAAGGGGTGAAAGGGGTGAAAGGGGCGATAGAGGGGATAGGGGGGAAAGGGGAGACAGGGGGGATAGGGGGTAAGTCTTTCAACCAAGTGTTTATACTCAGCCATTCCGCGCTGACAACCCAACAGAGACCGTGGTGATTCGGGCCCCCGAGGTCTTCCAGGTCCTCAAGGGCCTCCGGGAGCCTATCTGGTACAGCCCGTATTTCCCATGATGGAACATCAATGCTGTATCATGTGCAGCAGCACCTGTGGTGGTTACTGCATCGGCCGGTGTGGAGGTCACTGTGATGGCCATTGTGGATGCGTTTGCGGGTGCTGTCATTAGAGAGAGGCCGGATTTGCGAGTCGAGTTGCTAGCGGAGATATAATGGTTAAGGATCCCCCGCTCGCGGGATTTACCACGCTGGGTTCCCTTAAGGCTGGCGGTTCAGAACCATTACAAAAACAGGAGGAGCTTATAGGCGGTGAAGCGTATTTACGTTAGTATTGGACCCTATCGCAAGGTGGTTGGCATGGCTATTCACGAAATACTACAACATGCAAGACTTGGAATCGGCATCGGCATACATCTAGTAGGCAGAGTATTTGCCTCCCTAAGCTTCCCTCAGATCACGCTCGGCTCTCAATCGTATTGACTGTGCATCTCTAAGGCTAGACGCTTTTCTAGGGCCTCCCGGCCATAATTCAGCGACTCCTGAGGCCTGCACATCACACTCCTCCAGCAAATTTCATCAGAACTCACCCCGGTCCCCGTTGACAAGGTCTCGTGTGAACTCGAAACCGAAGATAAGTCCCGTGCAGTATCCAATGTGCGTAGAGACCATCTGTTCGCATCCTTACTACGGCCGTATCCCGGCTAGAGGCTCACTGTTACTACAGTCGGCTATTGACGGCGTAGCCGCGTGACCACGAATCGCAATTTGGCCGTCCTGGATGCGTTGTGAGAGGTAGTCATATCGGCGGGTAGGACGGAGGTTTGGTTCGTCAACATACGCGTGTATACATCTGAACCAATTCTACCTCGACCAATGTCACCGTTACATTAACTCGACGCTTCGATGTGACAGGCACTACCGTACTCAGCGCTGAACGAGGGGTTTGGTCTCGCTTGGTCTGACCGGACGCGTGACGGTCTCATAAGCCTATGAGTATATCTTACACTTGGCAGACCCCGGGCCGAGGCCATCTGCGCGGAACCAACCTATGTCCACACCCCATATGCCGTTCCGTCATCTCGGGGTCGCTTATTACGTGCCCCCAATGGCAGCCTAGACACCAAGGCGCAGAGGGAACCAACCAGTCACCACCTGGTGCCCGGATTGGGACACTGGGATCAGAACCTTACAACGACGCCAACTCATCCGTCCGTGAATCGATCTGCCTACTCACGTCGCCTAACTTGTAAGTTTACTAACTTAACAGAACAAGACATGTCGCCATACATTTATCTCAATTCGGCAGCGCAAGCTAGGCCAAGCGAGTCCACCTTCGCACAGCCCTCTCAGTCATAGCGGTGCTCGCCTTCCACCAGACTCTGCCCGAATACAACGAGACGCCCCTGCACGAGCTTCCGCCGACCCCCGGGGTTGGGTGCATGCTCGTGAAGGACGAGTTGGCGCGGTTCGGGCTACCCGCCTTCAAGATCCTCGGAGCGCCGTGGGCCGTGTATCGGGCTGTGGGGTCGCACGTCGGGGCGGACGCTGGGGACAACGGCTCCGGCGTGGGCACGCGGCCATCGTTTGCGGACGTTGGCGCTGCGGCGCGCCGCGCACACCTCCGCGTCGTCACCGTCACTGAGGGCAACTGCGGCCGCGCCGTCGCGCGCATGGCCGCGCGCCACATGGGCCTGCCCACGTATATGACGGAGAGCACGCGTGCCAGGATACGGAGCGAGGGTGAGGAGTGCGTGGAGGCGGACGCGGGGCAAAACCTGGTGGATGTTGTTGAAGTCGACGGAAGCTACGAGGAGACGGTCCCCGTCGCATTCGCTGACGTGGCGGCCAGCGACGGGAACGCTGTCATGGTGCTGGATGTGGGCATTGAGGGGTTCGACGTGGTACCGACAGTGCGTGTTCTATGCTTCCTTGTACATTGACACATACCTAGAGAGATGCGCCCAGGGTAGACACTCGCTCACACGTGCCGCCGTCTACAGTACTTCGTCCAAGGCTACAATACGATGCTCGCCGAATCCGACCGGCAGGTCCTCGCGGCCGCAGGCAGGCGGCCCGCGACCCACGTCGTTGTCCCGGCGGGCGCGGGCTCTATTGCGGAGGCAGTGACGGCGCACTTCAGAGGGAAGCAAACTAGCGACAGTGATTCGACGTCCCCAGTTCGCGTGCTCACCGTCGAGCTCACGACGGCGGCGTGCCTGCTCGTGTCGCTGCGGGTTGGCGTACCGACTACGGTGCCGACGGGTGACACCATAATGTGCGGGATGAGCTGCGGCATGCTGTCGACGACGGCGTGGCCGGTGCTGCAGACGGGCGTCGACGCAGTTGTCTCCGTGACGGATGCCGAGGCGCACGCTGCTGTCGAGGAGTTCAAGAGCCTCGGTGTGCTTGCCGGCCCGTGCGGCACGGCCACGCTGGCGGCGCTCAAGAAGGTGTGCGCGGACGGCAACACCAGGCGGGAGCTAGGCCTCGACGAGAGCTCCGTCATTGTGCTGTACTGTACAGAGGGTGCGAAAGAGTACCCAATCCCGCTATGATCGGATTAGCCTCATGAGTATAGGGAGTGACGCTCGAGGCATAGATATTTTAACGGTTGGGCCTTGATCCAACTGCTCTCGTTCCCACCTCCACCCTCCTGAAAAGAGAGAGAATAAAGAAACGCGGAATTCAGCTTGTAGTGTAGGAGGAAGAGCGGGACAATGGCGAAATCGATATAATGAAAAAAAAAAAAAAATCAAATCTTAGGGCAATATTTGAGAGTAGACTTGTTTTTTCTATCACGTGCATGCGCGAGCCGCTATACATGGCCTCGTACGCAGAATTTTCCCTGTACATATTAGTAGGTATATCGTGATGTCAAGCTGGCGCAGACCCCTAGCTGTTATCCTTAACCCTTCCAGGATGTGAGCGGCTTCGCCTGCAGCTGGATTACTAGGTCTTCAGCATCTACTCAGCGGAGGGCCTCTCCCATATCGCTCGACTGAGGTCCGCATAAAATTTCCCCATCGTCACAGCCTAGGCGATCAGCGTCTTCAGCTTCGCAAGCACGCACGCAAGCACACAGACTAGGACCCGGCGCGCGTGGACGGCGATGGTGTCCCTATGGCTTTTTCTTCGCCTCTTTCTTCCTCTGAAAAGGGTAGTTTGTTGAGGAAGTTTATGATTTCGTTTCGTTTGTGGCCCTGGTAAGCCGATTAGCACAAGGACGCCGGAGTTCCCAGTGTCTAGCCGCTCACCTTTACCACGATGTGTCCCGTAATGCCATTTACCTTCACCTCGCCAAAGTCTACACCCAATCCCTGCGCGAGGTCACGCGTCAGGGCTCTCAAGTTGCCCCGCGCATTTTTCAAAAGCGTGATGCGTAGGTTACCGCCGCGTCTATCTCTCTGGTAGACGCCGAAGTTTTGGAGGCTATTCTTAAGAACAATGTATGGCAGTTTAGGTGCCGTCGGTAATTCGGTCTGAGTAGAGGCAGCGGCAGTGGGTGGTTCCGGGGCAGCGGCAGTGGGTGGTTCCGGGGCAGCAGCAGTGGGTGGTTCTGGGACAGCGTTCTTTGGGGCGCTCGACAGAAACCGTGTGCTTCTTCTACTTATGGGCGGGATGAGGCGCAGAGGCGGCAGCGCCAGCGGCGCCGGGTGTGCTATACGCAGCCCAAGAGGCCAGAATAGTGAGGGCATGGCGATTCGGAATATTGCTCGCCGGTTCGTAAGTAGAGTCAGCTGGTGGTTTTCGCAGGCTTCTAAGTTGTTTCTGGTAAAATCCTGAGACAGGAGCGTGCGAGCGTAGATTTGCGCCGGCAACTTGAGCGCTTATCTTCCTTATCCAGGTATTCTTATCGATTATTGTCCTGCTTATCGTTATCCTGGTGGTTACCTAAGCAGCCAGATACCGGAGTACGTTCTGTTTTCTTTTTTTCAACCCCCAAAAAGGTTTCACACCAAATCGAAATTATTCTATTACGGCCCTGACCCAAATCGACCCACCGCCAGCGCTGCCCCGCCAAACATAACAATTTTCTGTCTCTAGTCAACCTCAAGGTCTCAACCGTCATCGACACGCCCTCCCCGTCCACGCCTACACCCGACTCGGAGTCGCGACCTCGCGAAGACCTTTCGTCTCCGCTTATCGTCTTTCCCATCCATTTATCACTTACAACTATGGCGGAATACGACCTCCTGCCAAAGCTGATCAGCCACCTCGATCGCCATCTCGTTTTCCCCCTCCTCGAGTTCACGGCCGGACAACTTCCCGAAGACGCCGACGATGCAGCCCTCCTAACCATCACAAAAGCCAAGTATGAATTGCTTAAGACCACCAATATGACTGACTTTGTCGGAAACCTTCAGGCTGAGTTGCAGGGCCTCGACCAGCCGCCACCCGAGTTCAACGACAAGAGGCAGAAGGTCATCTCACGCTTGGAACAGTTCGAGGAGAGCACTAGCAAGCTCCTCGACCTGTTAGGCCGCGAAGATGTCGTTGGGAACCTCCGCAGCGACAAAGTAGCCAACCTGGAGTTCTTAAAGAAGGAACACGATGTATGTCTCATTTAACCCGAACATCTATCTTCTCTTCTCTGCCACGTCCCTTGTTGTCCTAAATTATTGATACCTTTTTCTTCAGGTGACGATCGAGATGGTCAACGCCCTCTACGAGTTTGGCAACTTCCAGTACAGCTGCGGTGACTACGCTGCCGCCGCGGATCTGTTATATCAGTTCCGCGTACTTTCCACCGACAACGACAAGGTGGCCGCCGCTACGTGGGGGAAGCTCGCGTCTGAGATCCTGACTACGAATTGGGAGGGCAGCGTGGAGGAGCTTCACAAGGTCAAGGAAAATATCGACACCAAGCTATTCAACAACCCCCTCGCCCAGCTGAGCCAGCGCACCTGGCTGATCCACTGGGCATTGTTCCCCCTCTTCAATGACGACCGCACCCGTGACGGGATTTTGGAAATGTTTTTCAGCGCCGCCTATATCAACACCATCCAGACTAGCTGCCCCTGGATTCTGCGCTATCTAACCGCCGCCGTAATCACCGGCCGGAACCGGACGCGGAATTCAGGCCAGCATCAGAAGCAACTCAAGGATATCGTACGCATCGTAAAGCAGGAAGCGTACGAGTACAACGACCCCGTGACCGACTTTGTGCGCGCCCTCTACATCGATTTCGATTTCGAGGAGGCCCAACGACAGCTTTTGCGCGCCGAAGAGATACTGCGCTCCGACTTCTTCCTCTCCTCGACTGCCGATCTGTTCATCGATGCGGCGCGACACCTCATCTCAGAGAGTTACTGCAAGATCCACGCACGGATAGACATAAAGGACCTAAGCGCACGCCTGGGTCTAGGTGAAGATGAGGGCGAGAAGTGGATTGTTAATCTGATCCGTGATACGAGAGTGGATGCCAAGATTGACTACAAGGAGGGCACCGTCGTTATGAACCACCCTCCCAGCTCTGTGTACCAGCAGGTCATCGAGCGGACAAAGGGCGGGTTTTTTCGAACCCAGGTACTCAGTGCTGCTGTTGCGAGATAAGGCTAACGAACCCAACGAAACTATATGTCGGTGAGCGGAAATTTTGATTTGCAGAGGTGGTTGGGAAGGGTGTCGGCCACCACAGAGATGGTCAGCCTTGTTTCTACGACGGTATGCATGAACGGAGTTTTGGGAGTATTGGTGCAGCCAGAGGTAGTAGATGTGTACGGGTAATCTCGCTTCACTTGTGCAAAAAGAAACCATTCTACATCCATCTCTTAACCCCATGGGTCGTACTCCGGGGTATATTTTAGTAAGACGAGCCGCATACCCGCTTAGTTATTGATCGATCTTGACGCTCTATTTCACTCGTAACACCCCCCGTGCCTCTTCCCCTCCCCCCCCCTTCCTCTCATCTGGTCGCTAGGGGTGGGAGAAGGCAGGACGGGGAGATAGCGAGAAGGGCAGTAAATCTATGGTTGGCGCATATACAGACGGGTACATACATCTCGAGATTCGCGATGGCTTCTATGGTGGTGCGTCTGTACCATCGTCGTACCAAGTGACATTCTCATATGAGGATTGAACCTAGAAGGCGGAGCCATCATCAAATGTAGTACTCCAGCGATAATGAGAAACCCCTACACCCTCACCCGATTCGTTGCTATCCACCACTACTACCACTACTACCAAGCAAAGCCTTTGCTCGGCATGCCTGAGTGGTCGGGAAACCCGCTGCAGATCCGAGTCGGAACCAACCCGCCCAAGCGAGTCGCTTCAAAGTAGTCCAAGAAACCAAACAGACCAGGAGCCTATAGGTCTAACACACCACCCAACTCATCCGAATCGAATCATGTCACCTCCGCATGCCCTACCCCCCGATTACCTTGAGAGAGTCTACGCCGGCGTCCTCGGGAAGCTCATCGGCGTGTATCTCGGCCGGCCGATTGAAGGCTGGACTCACGAGCGAATCCTCGCGGAACTCGGCCCCGTGCGGTACTACGTCAATGAGCGGGTCGGCCGCGGCGATCTACCCCTTGTCGTGACCGACGACGACGTCTCTGGAACCTTCGCTTTCGTGCGCGCGCTCGAAGAGCACCTGCCACCCCCTTCCTCTTCCTCCCCCCCTCATCCCTCCCCCGGTGCCCCCGCCCCCGTTACCGCTGAGCAGATCGGCAAGACGTGGCTTAACGCGGTCGTGCCGCGCCGCGCCGTGTTCTGGTGGGGCGGCCGCGGCGTGTCGACCGAGCAGACGGCGTTCCTCAACCTACGGCGAGGCGTGCGCGCCCCGCGCAGCGGCTCCGCCGCGCTCAACGGCCGCACCATCTCCGAGCAGATCGGCGGCCAGATCTTCGCCGACGCGTGGGCGCTCGCCGCCCCGGGCAACCCGGCGCTTGCGGCCGAGCTCGCAGCCGCCGGCGCCTCCGTCAGCCATGATGGCGAGGCCGTGTACGCGGCACGCCTGTGGGCCGCAGCCGAGGCCGAGGCCTTCCTGTCTGCCGACCCGCAGCGTCTGCTTGACACTGGCTTGCGGTTCGTACCGCGGGATTCGCTAATTGCGCGGCTGGTTGCCGACGTGCGCGCGTGGCACGCGCGCGACGCGCCGGATTGGCGGCGCACACGGAGCCGCATCGAGGTCAAGTACGGCTACGACAAGTTCCCGGGAGCGTGCCACGTCGTGCCGAACCACGCCGTCATGGTGATGGCGCTGCTGTACGGCGCCGGGTCGTTCGACGAGGCGCTGCACGTCACCGCCACGAGTGGCTGGGACACCGACTGCAACGCGGGCAACGTCGGCTGCCTGCTCGGCATCATGCACGGGATTGCCGCCTTCTCCAGCAAGGGTGGGGGGCCGGACTGGCGCGGCCCGTTGGCTGACCGCGCGCTGCTCTCCACCGCCGACGGAGGGTACTCGGTCAACAACGCCGCGCGCCTCGCCTACGACGTCGCTAACTTGGGGCGCCGGCTGGCGGGCGTACCGGAGCCATTCGCAGCTCCCAAGGACGGGGCGCAATTTCACTTCACGCTGCCGGGAAGCGTGCAGGGGTTCCAGGCCTCGCGGGTGGGCGGCGAACTAGGCGCCCCAGACCCCGTCGTTCGCGTAGAACAAGATATCGACAAGGAGAATAGCAACAGGCCTGGACTAGCGATCCGGCTACAGGGCCTTGCGGACAACGGCGCCGCCGTGCACATTGTGACGCCGACGTTTGCGCCGCCTGAAGCGCGCCGGATGCCGTTCTATGAGCTTTTGAGCTCGCCTCTCGTGTGTCCTGGGCAGACGATCCGAGCCGGGGTGCGCGCGGATGGAGCGAATACGAGCGGCGCATGGGTCAGCTTGATGCTGCGGGTATACACACCGGAGGACGAACTCGAGGATCTCGTCGCCGACCGCGTCGTCGTCCTCGCGCCAGGCGCGTCCGATGTCCTGGAGTGGACGGTCCCGACTAGCCTCGGCTGCCGGCCAGTCCAGGCGGTCGGGGTGGCTGTATCCAACGGTAATAGCTATGATGGCTCTGCCGAGGCTGCGGCCCGCCTCACGGGAACGATCTGGCTGAGCTACCTCCGTTACGCTGGGACGCCCACCCTTGACCTCTCCCCGCGCGTGGAAGACGACGACAACGGCCTCCATGACTCTTTCTTCAAGGCCTCGTTCGTCAGCAGCGCGTCGGACTTCTACTTCATGGGGGGACGGTTCGTCGTCGCGCAGGACGGGGACGACGCCGAGGGGCTAGTGGTCTACGGCACGCGGGAGTGGACGGACTACCGCGTGGCGACGCGGCTCGTCGTCAACCTGGCCAGTGGGCCAGTCGGCGTCGTCGCGCGGGTGCGGGGTCTGAACCGGTGGTACGGGGTCCTACTTTCCCCCGACGACGGCAGTGACGGCGATACCACGGACGGGCATGCCTTGAGAGGAAAGAGGGTAGTCCTCGTCAAAGCGCTTGATGAGCAGCGCATCGAGCTGGAGGCGGCAGATTTCGACTGGGCGCTCGACGTGCCGTACACCATCAGCGTGGAAATAAGCGGCGATATGCTACGCGCGAGGATCGCCGCCGCCAGCGGGGACGAGGATCAGAACCAGATCGAGCTATCAGCACGCGACGCACAGTATTCTGGCGGCGGGGCCGGGCTCCTGGTGAGAGACGGCTCGATCCTTGCTGACGGCATACATGTCAGTCCTCTTGAGATAAACTTAGCTGGATACGTGGGCAGCTGACCACCCCGAGTGTGTTTATAACTTGTAAAGGTCTCACCGTCGTAGCAGTGATACCCCCTTTTTAGCAAAGCTACTATGGCTACACACAAATGGATCATGCAGCGCAGAGAAGAGTACTTCCGTTAGGCAGGGTTGAGTAAATACGGGCAGAAAACGAGAGGCTAGTTTCGTATCCGGGGAGCCTCAATATAGGTAGGTAAAGGGGGAAACGCGGGAAGATTGTACTTGACTGACATGATATATAACTGCCCAATTTTTATGAACAATACTGTAGTGGCACCTAAGTCCACCAATCAACATTGTATAAATGCAAGGGTTGACCTCCCTTCCCACATCCCTTATAGATGCAAACCCGCCATTATACGCCGAATAAGAATCCTATCATGCGGATGATCATTCCTTACTGACAAGCCAGACGCCGCCCTTGAGAGCTTCAACGATGCTTTCCCTCAGCCAGCTCTCTCCGCTCCAATAGGAATCGTTGCCCTTCTCATCGTTCAGACCATCGTTCTTTTTCTCCTCCTTTTTCTTCTCGTCCTCTTGAGCCCGCCTAGCTCTCCACTCCTCCCATTCGAATAGGCATTTTAAGCCCAGCAGATCGTTCCGGTTTCCGCTCTCGATGGCGTTTTCGAGGACTAGACGTACATCCACTGCGCTTGCAGCGCTGTTACTCACATCCGGTCCTCCCACCCCGCGGTCCAGCACTATGCTGCGCTCCGCGTGCGTGAGCCTTTGCAATGTTGGTATGTTGTCAAATAGCCATTCGAGGGGTCGGGATGCGGCGTCAGAGGATATGCCACCAAATCCGCCCTTTCGTCCAAGAGAAAGAATAGTCGTTGCAAACGGGCTGTCACTAACAGGCCGTCGGCGGAGGTACAATGCTTGGGAACGTTTAAATGCGTCTCCATATTCGGGGTGGGCATCAAAGTTCAACTCGAGGTTCCAGAACTCCGGTGAGAGGGTGCGAACAGTTAGAATCTCACTTAGAGGGGGCAGGAGACAGGGCGTCATGCGCAAATCCTCCTCGGACGAATTCTTCAGTTGTATGGATATCGGGACACCAACGGGCGCGTTCGTTGCGACGTCCTTCGTGACCAGACATCGGGGATCCGTGGCCAATACCCAGAAATGCCGGAATGCTTGAAGATGACTCCTATTATCTTGTACGTAATCCGGGAAGACTGGGTAGAAGGCGACGAGGAGGGAGGCTATGGCCAGATTCGACGTGTTGAAGGTCTGCGTACCGCATCCGAGAGAGAGCACACCGATAGCCATATGAGTCGCCATGTATGAGCCATAAGTCGTGTCGGGATCATTGCGGCCGTGGAGGGAGCGTAAGTAGCGGAGGATCTCCAGGTCGCAGGTACCAGCCATGACAGTAGCACAAGAGAGCGCAACAACATCGAGACACATACGTGCCGTGACGTGGACGGTCCGGTCCTCAAAATTGGTTTTCGGTGCAGGGAAACAGCACTGCCCGTAGTACTTGTGGAGATAGGAGAGTAGCAGATCACGGACTCTCACGTTTCCGGAACCGGCAAAACGCAGAGATATGGCGAAGCAGAGGCCGGCCAGGATTGTGAGGAACGGGAGATGCGTCGAATTCAGCGGTCCCGGGGGGGGGTCGTTCGATCCGGGCCTGGGTGGCTGCATCCTCGAATGGTAGCGTCGCGGGAGATTCTTGCGAACCCAATCGTGTGTCGTTTCAATTTCCGACCACAGAATAAGATGCTTGGCGACGGTTCGGAGCAGCAGGATATCAGGTCGGACGTAGTCAAATTGTAGCGTTGCGTCAGGAACATCAATCTTTCGGGCTACTATGTGATCGTCCGACTTCAGATATATGAGCGCGATAGCTACGACAGCGGCAGCGGTAGACCTATCAAGAATGTGCACATGCTCGGCTTTCTTCGTGGTGGAAGCGAGTGTCAGCAACTTCTCGGTGATACGCATGTCGTGGAGACCCTTCAGATCAGTCCCCTTGCCTAGGTTGATGAAGCCAAGAGCAAAACCAGCGGCCAGTCGGTAACATTCGCTACGCAGCGGTTCCTCATCGTCTTCGGACTCGACATGTTCAATTTCCGACATCATTATCTCACTCATCCGGCGATGCTGACTATTGCAGTACAGAAGGCCAATGCCCATGATGCCGGTGGTCTGAGTAAGGGGAGACAAATTCAACTCGGCGGCACCACGCGGAAGCATACGCGTGACGTGGACGGATAGTAAACGCGTGATAAGGGAGTCCATAGTTCCGATGTAGGACGCCGCCAGCCCCAAGAGCAGCCCAATAGAGGTCATGGTGTGTTTAGGGGTGAGATACTTGAAGGCGACCCATTTAGCAACGCCCTTGAGGTGACCATTGAGGCCGAGTGCCAGGAGAAACCCGGCGTGCCTATTGCTAAGATCATTCCCAGGCTTATTATATAGAATCCAGGACGTATCTATCCCCTTAGCTCGACGGGAGATAGATAACCCACCAGCCACGCCCGAGTGGAAGAACGCCCACGCAATTTTCTCTTCTGTGAATAGCGACTTGTCGACCCCCACGGTCACATTGTTCGGCTTGACAGTGCAGTTTAGAACAAACCCATTGATATGGAACTTCTGGGTTAGGAGTGGGAACCGCAACCCGTAGTTCATCAAACCGCGGCCGGCCGGGATAGACAAGGTGTTATTAGCAAGCCTCGTCACCAACTCTTTCTGCCTTTCGAGGTAAAAAGCTTCCGTCCACTTCGGGTGCGGGTCTAGCCGTACGACCCGGGGCCTCGCCGTATTCAACATCATCTTGGTCTCGTCAAGGCGGCGGTCTTCTTTGAAGATAGCCCGGATTACCGCCTGCTTGTCGCTCTCAGCAACATCGTCAGATGGTGCGTCGTTGAAGCCGGTAGCATTCTGACAGAGTGAGCTAAAATCCCACGATGCCATATGTGTCGGAGCCTAGATAATATGAATAAGTGAAACACAGAAAAACAGTTAACCGGAAGCACTCACAAGCACGTTGGCGGAGCGCACACGGAGATTACCCGACCGCGTGAGAACGGAACCAACATCACTTCTATTGACAAGGTCTAACAGCTCGTTCGGCCATGTTGATGGAGGTGATGGCTGGCATTGCGTGATTGCGTCCTGGAGGGGCACGAGAACGCATTCTGGCAGAGACTCCAAGACAATCGGCGTGACACCGCTGTCGTGCATTGCCTCAACAAAATTCGTCGGTGATCGATCCCGTAGGGCGAGCGTCTTGAAGAGGATGTCAAACATTCTAATACGCTCAAATATCGAGCCCATTGCCGGATGAATTGGCGGCATAGTGGCAGACAACCCCGATCCTTGTGAGAGATTCACCCGAATCCAGTCGAGGACGTTCCACGGGGCAGGCTCCGGAGGTACGAGCGTAATTGAAATCGTCAGCGATTCTTGTTGATGTTCAGGCCAGTCCAACGGCATCCCTAGCTCGTAAAAGTTCGCCCATTCCTGCCATCCTAGCCATTTGGCAACTTGGAGCAGCACAACACGTAAATCCATCAAGGGTAGCAGGGATCCATCGGAAGATGTGATATCCAGCTTTTGCTCTTCCAACAAGAGATGTAGCGCAATAAATACATCTTGGGCAGATCGCGTCCGGGTCGAATAGTCATGAGCCGGGGAAGTTGGGAGGTAACCGTCTAGACCGCACGGAGCATCGCTGTGAGTAGAAGATAGGTACGCGAGAGCGTGCTTCGAGTGAGAAGAAATAAAGTCGGCTTTGTCCTTCTCGGCGCTTGGCCGGAACATCGTCAAGGATGACTCGTCATCCTCCATAACCCATTGCCACCCCTTACTCTCTATCCAAGGGGGGTGGGTCAACGATCCCGGAGTCTCGTACCTGTTCATCGCATCCCAGTCGCCGAGGTCGATTTGCGCTCCGCTGCTTGATCTGAGAAAAGCTCTCGGCCTTCTTCGAGGTGCTGGGTCGGCGGGTAGAGTAGCTTTATCGACGCCAAGAGCAAAGAATATCGAGAAGATTTGGATCACAATAGCGGACCACTCGATATTGATAACATCAACTTCCTGTTCTCGAAGCCACGAAACAATTTCCCACCAGTTGGCGACGAGTCTTTCTCCAGACGAGGCCGATAGGATTAACCGAAGGACTTTGAGAACTTTTGAAACCCATGGACAGGACGGCTGGAGTTGAATACGTATCTGGTGGTACTGGTGGGTGTCCTGATCCAGAATATCGACAACGCCGTGCAATTTTGGATGGTGTATTCCGGCAATCTCTCCTATTACCGGAGTGACGGCTCTCCTAAGGCCGACCTCCCGGGCAACAAGGCTCCCGTGGTAGTCAAGACTACGTATATTAGAGAGCGATAGCTTAGACGGGAGCGCCACGGGGGTCAGCTGAGACCACGGCGCTTGGATACTAAGCTCGCGCTGCTGCCCTTGAGTGGATTGTGACAATAGAAGAATCATGGAGATTTCGCCGTCGACGATCTTGCACGAATCTATGACATTCTGGGCTTTCCTAAGCTGTCCAAAGTTCACAGCTATCCGGTCAGTCTCAGGGGACGATGGCGGGCAATGGTTGTTCAATTGCAAGTGCAGAGTTAGCAACTGCAGGCGCTTCTCCACCGGATCTTGTATGCCCACCAAGACTTGCTGGCGAGTATGGTCGTTCTCTACAAACTCTGGACCAGCTAGGCAGAAGACTTTACACTGTCTTCGGGCGGGTAGTTTCGAGAGCGAATACCGGACGTTACTATTGTCGATCGGGATGCTGTGAATCTTGGTGAATAGAACCTCCTGGGCAAGTCCATCAAAGTCGTTATCATCCAGACCCATGCTGCGGAAACCTTCAAAGTCGCCGGTAGACCGCAGCCCTTCTAGCAGGCTATCGACCGGAGCCTCCAGGAGAGTGTTTACTGAATAATTGTTATTTACACTGAAGCTCGGCCCCGAAAAGATGCCGCTAGCGCGGCCTCGGTGGGTGCCGTGCGAAGTGTCCCTCCTCGAGTTCGGGTGGTTAGAAATCTGGGCTGGGTCGGAAAATGCCGTTCTATCTTGCGAGGCAGAGAGATCGGCCCTGGCAAGCATCGAGCTCACGCGGCGCGAAGTTCGGCGCGTAACACCCGATTCCTTCTCTATCCCAAGCGAAGATTCGAGATTCTCAAGAACTTTGTCGTTCTTCTCAACTCTCTCGCTCTTGCGCGACCGTTTCCCCGGTAGGGGTGCACCGAAGCTCTCCTTAAAATTCGGATGGAGTGGCGTCGTAGCACCACTTGCTAAACCCGGCTGCATCGAACTCCGACGGCGATCCGTCTTCTTTCTCGTCTGCTTCCTTGCGCTGATGAAGGGGTCGTCGTTCGGAATGTAGGTAAGCCTCCAAACCGTATACATGGAAGTTTCTCGGTTAACCGTTACGGCTAGGACTAGGTTTGCATGTCCTCTTCCGGGGGTATGGTGGTGTGGTATCCGTTCGATGTGGACAATCTCCTCGGCGCGGTCGAGAAAATTGGGCGATTTATCTGAGCTCCGACGGCTCTTCGTCTTAGCAGACTTATCGGGTTGCGTGACAACCAGTCCAAGTTCCAGGAGGGGATCCGTCAGAATTACAAGGCGCGGCCACGGAGAGTCATTCTTGGGGGGGTCCCAGAGGGTATCCAAGCTCGAGGTTAGCCTTAGGGGAAGGGCCTTCGGCTTGCCGAGGGTCTCTGTGGTGAATGTGCTTTGCTGAGAGGCCCGGATGGATGCGGGAGAGAGCTGGTTCGAGATGAAGGAGTTCGGCGGCACGCGAGGGAACTTGAGGCTCGCGGCCAGCCCGGTGTCAGGGCGCTGCTTGCGCTGTATTATAACACCCGTGGGGGCGGCGCAGGCAAACTCGACCTCGAAAGGCATATGGACGACGTGACTGGTGCCATTCAGGAAGTACACATGGGCCTGGGTCTTGAGAAAAACGACCAAGGCCTTAGACAGCTTCCTCTCTACATCGTCAGGCGGAACCCGATCCCCACCAGCCCCGTGGCCCTGTAGCTCATCTGTGTGTTCCGAGATGGGGAAATACGTTAGGAGAGCCTGAGTAATGGGCTCCTTCTCCAGCTTGAAGCCGAAGCATTTCCGAAAAATACCACCCCTGGACCAAATAACGGTGTCTTTAGTGACCAGGAGCTCATCTTCGCCTCCACCCTCGGCAGCGTAGTCGACGGCTATGTCCCAGTCGTAGGAGGAAGCAGGGGGGTTTTCAGGCAGAAGCTGTTCTTGTATGGCATACTGGAGGGTGGTGGGTTGGTGCAGGCCAAGAGACGTCACCGAAGCCATATTTTCCCAGCCGAATCCATAGAAGACAGGTATATAAACGATACCCGGGCCTCCGGCTGCTTCTGGCCCTGCGCCGGTCTTGGGATGCCGAGGCGCGGATGCGGAGAGGGGACGCGAAGAGGGAGAGATCTAGATGGATATCCCTGCCTAGTGCTTCGCCATTAAGTTGGGAGCAACTGCGTTACAGTTGGTGAGCACGAGCAGCGCGCCTTCCTCTTGCTGGTACTCGTCTAATGTAAGCGCGACATAGCCTAACCGTGAGCAAGAGAAGGAGGCGCGTTACGAGGTGGGTTGCCGGCGAGATCGCGAGGGCATCTCAACTTGCCGCCTGTAGGTGGTTAATGGCATCTGTAACCTCTGGATTTCAGGGAGGGCACCTAAGATATTCGCGGACCCGGATTAGCTAAGCTAGGAGGGTGCGCGATAACCGCTACGATTGGCTGCCAAGACTTGGGTAGCGAGTACCCTACGTGGGTCTGCCCGACAGTGCATGCCGCACCTGCAGGTACCAGTACAGTGACCCGAAAATACCCCGAAAATACAGTGCCGACCGCATACTAGGTACTTACCTCCTATAGATATCCGGGTACCGCCATATGTACCAGCCCCCACCAGTCACCACCCAATCGCCGCCGAAGCTTGTACCTCTCCCGGGAGACGGCCCTCGGTCTTCACACTGTGCTACTCCTGTCTTGGCTAACCTCGGGACGAAGCATCTTGGAGCAGGTGCTGGCCGAGCCTGTGTGTTGTCGGCCCACTGACGTAGCTCCGCTAGGCGACCTCAACGTTTCCGTCCAGCAGCCACCTGCAGCTTCCCCCCTGTGCGTATAACGCCTCCGGGCACTCATCGTAGGCACCCAATGTACCTTGGGTAATCCGTAGATGGATTAGAGGTATGCGGCGCGCCTGGTACATGAACTGCTATCTACGGGCTTGTCAAGCGTAGGTACCTACCTGTAGGTAAGGTATCTGCCATGTACCTAATGTGCATACTCATAGGTAGGTACCTCTAATATGACGAGGAGGTTCTGTATATAGCTCAGTCGTTAGCACCTACCTAGACCCATAGAAGGTATTGAAGGGGAGGTCTAGGGAGGTTAGGAGGTAGGTACGAGTAGGTACTTATCAAAGTATCCCCTCTGGTACCTTACGATGTGGGCGCGGTACCTGCCTCCAGGTACCTCTAGGAACCCGTCGCGGGTTAAGAGTCGTTCCGCAAGTACATAAAGTACCTCCCGCCCACCAGCGCTACCTGCCCGTAGGTATATGAGACCCATCTTACGTAGCTACGGCGAGAATGAGCTCCCACCCATCCTCGAGATATAACAAAGGTATTGACCGACTTGCACGGCATAACCCTCTCCTTCATGTACAACACACCCCAGGTCGGGCAGTCGGTCGCATTCGAGCTTCCACTTCGAGCTTCTGCTAAATACAGTATCCATTTGCCTTGCTCGAATGTGATCAATTAGGCCTCGCCTTGTCTGCTAAGCATCTCGCCCTCTGCACTCGAGCTCCCGATGCCAATATCCGTAGTCGACCATCCATCATGACAGATCCCCAGCCCAGCGCGAGCGACGGTCGCCGGCCCGACCCTGTCATCGTCAACTTGACACGTCAAAGAGCCCCCGAAAAAGCTCATGCGCCCTCCGAGGCAGCGCAGCGCTCGCCCGAGAACAGCAGGAATGGCGTGACACGCACGGATGATAGGGAGGAAGAGGGTGAAGGAGAGGGGAGTGGGGGCGCACGGGCGGTCAAGCATAGTGTTGACGGCGAAGAGGAGGAGAAGGAGGTCAGCGATGATTGGGGCGAAGGCGAAGACAAGGAAGAAGAAGAGGACGAGAGCGAAGACGAGGAAGAAGAAGACGACGACGACGACGACGAGCCGAAGCTGAAGTACGCACGTCTTACCCAGCACTTGACCGCCGTCTATAGGAATGGCGACGCTACCAGCGCCTTCCTCGTTGCCGGGGATAAGATGATAGTCGGAACACATAATGGAAATATTGTAAGCGGTCACGATGGGTTTCTCGACTTCTTCTCTTGAACTATCAGCGTTAACCATATTCGACCAATAGCATGTCATCCAACTACCCGATTTCCAATCCTTACGCGTCTACCACGCTCACTCAGCCTCGGTGACCAATATCTCCATATCTCCCTATCCGCCGCCCTCTTTCGCGCCAGCGCCCAAACCCGATGCCGTCAACAGGGTGGTGTCGCAGGCCGCAAACCGCCCATCCTCTAGGCAATCGCAGACCTCCCCTGCCGGCCAACGCAGGACGCGTGAACTGCCCCAGGTTCCCAACATACCTTCCAATAATATTTTCATCGGAACCTCCTCTACCGACGGAAACGTCTGCGTCCAGTCTCTTACCGAACTCAGAGATGTCCAGCTTAGGAATTTTGCGCGGCCGATCCAAGCCGTAGCACTATCGCCAGAGTACAGAAACGACAGGACGTACATATCCGGAGGCCTAGCTGGCAACCTGGTGCTCACCATCGGTGCCCCGCAGGGGCGGAGCACGTCCTCAACCACGGGGACCGCCGCGGCGGCAGCATCGGGCTGGCTTGGTAGTATCGGCATAGGGGCGAACACTGGTAGGGATACAGTGCTTCACTCTGGGGAAGGGAGCATCAGCACGATAAAATGGTCCCTATCGGGAAAATATATCGCCTGGCTTAACGAACACGGTATTAAGATCATGCGGTCGAAACTGCACCTCGACGCTGCCGACATCGAAGATGCCTGGAAGCGAATAGGCCATATCGATAGGCCGCAGACGACCGAGTGGGAAGAGATGGCTAGCGTCTGGAAGGGCAGAGCTGAATGGGTCGACGACCAAGCAATCGGGGACGAAGATGAAGAGACCAAGGAGAACGGCACGCTAGGGGTGTTATCACCCGCTGCTGCTAAACTAAGTCAACAGGCGCAGAAGCACGATAAAACTATCGAGCGATTAATAGTCGGGTGGGGCGGTACGATCTGGATCATACATGTCCATCCGGGAGGTATCGGGGTGGGGAGAAACGCTGGCGAGAAATCCATCGGGAGAGCTGAGATCATTAAGATGTACGTGTGCGAAATCGGCTCCTTCGGCCGCGTGCTAACCTATCCAGACTTCGCATGGACTGCATTATATCTGGTATTTCTCTGTATACCCAAACGCTACTGCTAGTTCTCGCTTACTGCAAATCGGACACACAAGGAGAAGAGCGCGACGAAGAGCCTAGAATTACTCGAGGACACAGGCGGTCAAGCAGTAGCGGACCATCCGGCGGGATCAAACGTCGCCATAATGCCCAAGCCCCCGAATTGAGGCTCATTGATCTCACATCTCAGGTTGAAGTCGACAAGGACAGTCTCACAGTCAGCCGATTCGAGCGGCTGGCCTCTAATGATTACCATTTAGGGGTGCTGCCTGCCAACAGGGCAGCCTCCGCCGTGGCGTCTCGAGGGACTCTAGAGGCCCTAGCAGGTTTCGGGACGGATATGTGGAACGCGGCCATCAATCCGAAGTCCCTATTCAGCTCCGGCGCCAGCGTCAGAAGCAGGGGTAGTAGCGACGCCGCGCTAAGTCCTAGGTCAGGCAACTTCTCGGGAAGCACCCGAGTCGGTCCCCGACCAGCATCTCGGACGGTGCATCCAAACCTCATCAAGCCGGGAGCAAAAATCTTTATTCATAGCCCGTATGACTGTATTCTCGGGACGAAAAGAGATCTCGGCGATCACTTGGCTTGGCTGTTGGACCACGAAAGATATCAGGATGCTTGGGAATTGCTAGACGACCACCCAGAGATTATGAGTCCGCTTTCGGAGAAGTTACCCGACCCTACTTCGCCCACACACGAGTTAGACGGGGACGAGTTCTACGAGGACTCATATTCCGTGATTGATGAACAGGTCAGGCTAGCAAATACATCCGCGGAAAAGGAGAAACGACGAATTGGCGAGCTTTGGGTCCAAGAGCTAGCCGAGGAGGGGAACTGGGCCCGCGCCGCCCAGGTCATAGCTAAAGTGGTCAATACGGCTGACCGATGGGAGAGCTGGATCTACACGTTTGCGGGAGCGAATAAATTCGACGAGTTGGTGGAATACATACCGTCGAAACCGATGCATCCGCCGATTCCGGGGACGGTGTACGAAATCGTTCTGGGACACTACATCCAAACCGACAAGCCTCGGTTCAAGGAAATTCTCGATCGGTGGGAGCCCGAACTTTACGGCGTTAACGAGGTTACCACTGCCTTAGAAAACCAGCTTAAATTTCGCGACGTAAGGGAGGACACCATCGAGGACGGCGATAAAGGACGCGATTGGCGAATCGTAACAGAGAGCTTGGCCAGGCTTCAGGAGTTAAACGGACGCCACCGCGAAGCCTTGAAATGCTACATCAAGCTACAGGATGCTGACTCGGTGATGCGGCTGATAAGAGACAATCACCTTGCCGACGCGGTTACTGACGACGTTCCCAGCTTTATTGCGCTTCGAGTGCCGGAAGCAGAATTAAATCGGATGAGTATCTCGGAGCTCGAAGAGGCTACTGCGGAAGCCATCACGCTACTCGTGGACGAAGCACAACGGGGGCTCATCAGGCCTTATCTCGTAGTCCAGCAACTCGAGCAAAACGGGTTGAACCTGTACCTCTATTTCTACTTCCGCGGTCTGTGGCGGGAATACCGAGAACGACCTATTGACGAGTCCATATCCCTAGTAGACGATTTCGCCGACTTGGCCGTCCATATCTTCGCCCTCTTCGACCGCGACCTTCTTATCGACTTCCTAAAGGTCTCTACATCGTACATTATAGAGAAGGCGGCCCAGGAGTGCGAGCAGGCAAATTTCATCCCCGAACTTGTCTATCTATACTCCAAAACGGGAGACGTGAAACGCGCATTGTATCTTATTATCGACCGCTTGGGCGACGTTTCCCAGGCTATCGGTTTCGCAAAGGAACAAGACGACCCAGATTTATGGGAGGACCTCCTCGACTACAGCATGGACAAACCGCGATTTATCCGTGCCCTACTTGAAGAGGTGGGCACATCGATTAATCCGATTACTTTAGTCCGACGCATCCCCGAGGGACTCGAGATCCCAGGCCTTCGTGAAGGTCTAAAGCACATCATGAAGGAACACGAGATCCAGTACAGCATTTCGTCCGGGGTAGCTCGCGTTCTCAGATCCGAAGTTTCAGCGGCACAGAGCCAGCTCCGGAACGGACAGAGGAGGGGCATAAAATTCGAAGTGTTGGCCCCGACACACGACCATGTTGGTGCGGAAGCCAAGGAGGGACTAGCCACGGCGGCTGCGAAGTCATCGTCGCCGACCGCAACACCCCACACGGACGGGACCGGTACCCCCAGAGAGACGCAGGATATTCCCCCCCCGGCAGACAGCCACGCCAACGACCAACAGCCTGAACACGACCACCGAGAGGCGAAGCCGGGTTATTGCGCAAGATGCCACGAGCCCTTCGCAGAGTGGGAGATGGAAACACTAGTAGGATTCGCATGCGGGCACGTCTTCCACATCACTCATCTTCTAGAATATCTCCACCCTGATCAGCCAGTCGACCCCAGTATAGTAGGAAGTGGTGACGAAGACCGAACGAGGGGGGGCAGATTCGTGGGTAGCAAAGTAACGCACGCACGTCTGCTCCGAGATCGCGTCGAAGGCGGCTGCCCCGTCTGTAGGAGCCAGATAGAACTTGTCAAAGGAGGTCACTGGTAGTTTTTTCCTTGAGGCCGTACAGTAATACGGTTTCCGCCGATGATGCATTGTAAGGAGTTTGGAGCGCATACCATCACCCGAAGGGAATTTGTCGAGCGGTAGACGCCTTGTTTATAAGCTTACTTTCTCAGGATCGAGTCGATACCGAGGCCCCTTAGATTCTATTGCCCATCCTACGAATCTTCTTTTCCTTTCCCCTTTTTCTTTCTTTTACGCTGTTAGTAGCATGAGGACTAGATCGATACCGAGTCCCGTCAGGGCCAGGCCCCTGGGCGGAATCTAATACCCATCCAGTGCCAGGGATGCCGTTTCAAAAGGGGCATTATGCACCTATCGAATTATCACAACATACCGGGAACATGCGATACCTACCAAAATGACAAATCACCATTTAACCCAGTATACCACTTCCAGTCGACATTAGATGTTACCAACAATTTCGCACTAGCTTTTTTATCGGGTCTCCCACCTCAGTCGGTTTCCTCTATGTGGCTCCTGTACCGAAGAATTCAAGCCAAGACATGGACCCAAGCTCCCGGCCCAAGACTTCTCCAGGTACTTCTTATTACTTACCTAGGTAACTTGGTTTCCTTTTCCTAAATAACCCTGGCGTTTTCCCCGTCTGTACTATTTCCTTATTTCTATATGTTTTCTTGTGTGTTTTGAAGCAACTGGAAGTCATCCCCGAGGAGAGAGGACGAAATCATTCAACCTTCAAAAATATGGCCGACCGCCCACGATACAGCCGGGTACAACTAGAGCAATACTTCGACCGGATCGGACTTCCGGTGCCGGAGCGGCATTACTCGGTGGCGGCACTGGCGGGGGATGATGAGCGGCTCGCATACCTATCGCTACTAAAAAAACATGTACTCGTGCGCATCCCGTTCGAGAATCTGGCGCAGCACTACTCGTGGCATCGCACCGTCGACGTGCGACCACAGCACGTGTTCGACAAGATCGTGCGCGGGTGCCACGCCTCCTACTCCCCCTCGCGACAAGACGAGAGGGGTGAGGATAGGGGAAGTTCCCACGAGGGAAAAGGAGGAAAGGGGGAGACAGAGAAGATAAGGAACCACCCCCCAGCCAGAGGCGGGTACTGCATGGAGGCCAACACGCTCTTCCACACCGTGCTTCTAAGCCTCGGGTACAAGGTGTTCATGGCGGGCGCGCGGGTGTACACGCCGGAGCACGAGCGATACGGCGGGTTCTCGCACTGCGTGAACATTGCAACTATCGGAGACCAGCGGTACATGCTGGACGTCGGGTTCGGGGGGAACGGCCCAACGGGGCCGATACCACTGGTAGCAGCTAAGGAGGGTGGGATGGGTATGCCGCACGTGCGCGGGTCGCCGGCGCGCATCCGGTTAGTCCGCGGCCCGATCCCGCAGCAAGTCGACCAGGGCTGCGAGGTATGGATCTACCAGCACTGCGTCGACCCGAAAGAAGGCGGCAAGAACGCGGAGGCGACGTGGACACCGCTGTACTGCTTCGTCGACTTCGAGTTCCTACCCGAGGACATCCGCGGCATGAACCTGAGCCCATGGCGCAGCCCAACTTCGTTCTTCACGTACCGGGTGATGCTGACACGGTTCACGACAAACTTGGAGACAGACGACGCGAGCCAGGGAGGGGGGCCAGGGCAGGCGAGCGATCGCGCGGTCTCGGAGGGAGAGATCGACGGTGCGCTGATCTTATTCCACGATACACTGAAGTGGAGGCGCGGCGGGCAAACGCGGGTCGAGATCCGGCTCGAGAGTGAGGCCCAGCGTATCGATTCCATGCGTCGCTACTTCGGCATTGTGTTGGCTGAAGGGGATCGCGAGGCGATACACGGAACAGCAAGCGAGCTTAAGTAGAGCAGACAAGCGGGTTTGGTGGCCGGATAGGCGGTTAGTTAATCCTCGGCATAATACCCGCGCATCCATTCCGATATCGACCCGTTGTTAGTCGGCCTTGTTTACTGCTACCCAGCTGGAGGGAGAGGAACATCATGAGCCCGCTGATATGGATGGTTTCAATGCTGCCAACTTCTAAATCTCGGCCAAGTCCATTGTTCAATTCAACGAACCCATCCTGTACCTACACACAAACTCAGGCGTGTACATGAATCTGAATAGTTGGAACGAGCGATCCGAATCAAATGAAGCCTGCAACCAGTTGCCAACATTGCAATGTTTTATGGTGTTGTTACGTATACTCTACCTACATATTCCCCTATTGCACTAGTAAAAAAACACGAGATTCTCATAGATTCCAGCTAAGCCCTAAAACTATAATAGGGGTCTCGGCGATAGCCGTCGAGAACCCCTAAACTAGCCTCTATGTGCCAAGCTGCTCGCCGAGGCGCGACAGCACCCATCCACCCGCATCACGCGACGGGACGTCAGCAAGAGACTCGGCATGTCCCGGGGGGCAACGCTTCCCGCCTAGTCCGAAAAGTTATCGTAGCCTGGGGGGTATTCGATCTGATCGAGAAATTCAGCTTCGGTCATGACCAAAAACTCCCTGTCGGAGTAGCAGTCGTAGTCGTCGCTCGAGTCGAACCCCCGGGCCAGCCGCTCGGCCTTCTTCTTCTCCCGCAGCGCGCGGCGCTCCTCGCGCTCGCGGCGCTGCCTCTCCACCTTGGCTTCGTACTGGGCACGCGCAGTGGCGGCCCAGGGGACGAGCGCGCCGGGGCAGGCGACGCACAGGATGGCGAGCTCGCGCGTCGCCAGCGCGTCCTCGAGGCTGTCGTGGCCCGTCTTAGCGCCCTGCACGGCGACGCCCAGCAGGTCGTGGCACAGTTCCCGCAGCGACATGATCCGGCTCAGCTGCTGGCCGCGCCCGAAGACGGCCTCGGCCGCCAGCAGCGCCGTGTCGACTACGCGCTCGTGCCACGTGCCGAGCACCCGCAGGTCATGCTGCAGCGAGTGCCCGACCAGCACAGTCGTGATGTCGACGAAGCGGAAGAGCTCACGCCGCGCCGCGGTCCACGACGCGAAGGCCCGCCCGCTCACCTGCGCCTGCCGCATCATCTCCTTGGTGATGCCGCTGTACTTGGTGCGCCAGTCGGTGACGGGCGCGTTCGGCACGACGAGCTGGTCGATGAGGACCTCTCCGGTCAGCATGTCGACGGCCGAGATGCGGGCGAGCGAGCTGCGGCAGCCCCGGGGCCCGACCCCGACCATCTCGCAGTCGATGGCGACGGCGTCGCGCTTTGGAACGGCGGAGTTCCATCTCGGCGTCGGGAAGAAGCCGCGCACGTTGAAGTTGGGAGGCTTCCGGCCGGCGACGGGGCCGGTGTAGTAGCCTTGGCTGAGCAAGAGCTCCTCGCTGTGGCAGCGGTCGATCAAGGCCCCCAGGAACTCGTTCCCCACGGGTGCCGACACCCAAGCGTACGGGGCGCCGGGCATCTTCGCAAGCACGACAGCGCCTTGCGCAGAGCTACTGCCGCTCGGAGTCGGCGCAACTTGAAAATTGCGTCAACCGATGCGAGAGAGGAGGTTAGGGATCCTGGAGAAGCAATGTGCCTACCTTTGACTGGCGGCCTCGGAGGTTCCTTCTGTACGGGTACACCTCCCAGTAACTTGGGAGTATTTGTAGGCGCTGCGGGCTTCGTCGGGGGAGCAGCAATACCCGGTTGATTCTTCTTGACAGCGGCCTTCGGCGCTTGTACGGCTGGCGCAGGCTTGCTCGCAGCGGAGACGGGCTTCGGACCGGAGGTGGCTTTCCTCGCGGGCGCGTTCGCGGTGGACACGGCGGCCGCGGGCTTACTCGCAGCAGCAGCAGCAGTGTTGGGAGTCGTCTTTGCGGGCGTGCTGCTAGAAGCGACACCTGCGGCCACAGGAACGGGGGGTTTCTTGTGCTTAAAAGCTGCGTTGTGCTGATGGAGGCTCTCTGCCGTTGCAAACACACGACAGCACTTAACGCACGTACTACTCTTCATATGCCCCGCCTGTCTAGCATGGTCGAGGAGCTTTAGCCGGTCTTTGAATGTCAAGTTGCATTCGCACGTGAACTTCGACGATCCATTGCCTTTCGCCATGGTGGAGGCGGTACCCGGGTGCTGTTGGTCAGGGAGCGCCCACAATAAGACGGCTTCCTAGGTATTTAGGAGGAGATCAGAAGCGAGGATGGATGGCCGGCAATTCTAGCTGCTCCTCGCGGTATATAAATGAAAAGGAAGAGAATAGGAGGCAAAGAAACCCAACATATGGAGGCCTGAAGAGTCTGCCTGGCTGAGGCGCGGAAGGCTGTCGGAAGAGCCGCCGTTGACGGAGGGCTGAGTTGTCACGATGAGTGTAGCCGAACCTGCAGGGCAGGCGAGAAACTTGTGGACACAGGTAGGTAAGTGGATGGTTTGGGGGACGGGAGGGGAGAAGAGGGCGCGGGAAATATATCTCAGGAGATAAAATAAATACCTACATGCCTACCAGCATAGGTATTTACCTACCACTGGTTACTTGTTGTACCTATTGCAATGTAATTTGTGTCCCCTGTCAAATTCGGTGTTCTTCTCTCGATTGGACCGGCTGCCGGACTTGTGACCGTCACCAAACGTTCCGCCTGTCCAGTTCGGTAGGTACATTTTCCTTATTCCTCCTCCCGTTTCTTCCCTCTTGTCCATTTCCACGTCTCCCTTTCCACGACGCTCTTCTCGTGTCACCTGGATGCAAAGCGAACTCGGACATCGCTGGAAGAGCAACGCATTCCTCAATCCTGGAGGGAAAACTGCCTACGTAGGCGTCTACGCACGTCCTTGCCTAGAACCCACGAGCTGAGAAATACCTAAACGACACAGGACCACGGGTACTGAGATTTGTGACGGTGCAGCGCAATTAGGCCGGCCATGCCGGTGTAGGCGCACGCAAAGTGGCACAGCCGGTGGGCGTCCCAACACATCGTGGCAGCAGAGGCAAGAGATAAGCGGCGGCTGGCTTGAGCCAACATCCGAACCATCCATACATATCTATACCTATACCTATATGCAGTTGCCCCTTGTATCCCCTTCTTCCTAGACTTTCCAAGGGGAAAACGGAGTCTCATAACTCTCGTCCAAGTCTGTAAATGCCTGTCAAAATCACAATGTCGATTTAGTAGTACTAAGAGTAACAGCAGCCCCGGTTTGCTCGTACAAGGAAAAGCCTACTCCTAATCGACCTTTTTCTACTTGCGCCGCCTCCATCCTCCGAGGGCCCCCTCTCCTGCTACTTGCTACCCTCTAACTGACAGCCCCGAGGCATCAGGCTTGTTAGCCAGCGACCCAGATACGCGTATTAGCAGAGGGCCACGGCGGCAGAAACACCATCCCCATACCCAAGTTCGTAGTCCCTCGATACCTCGAATTAACTAGACCGCCAGATCGTACTAGCACATATTCCTACACAACCATATCCCCCCCCACAGACTACGGTATCGACACACCCATACACCTACTGAAAGATTAACAATCCTCGTTACGCTACAATCCCCGCGATAACGGACATCACGGCACCGTAGAGGCCCACACAGACGAAGAGCTCCCGGTTCGCGTGGACGCCGACGAGTCCTCCCTGGATGAGTGCCCCCAGCGCACCGAGACCCACCAGGAATATCACTGTCAACCTACCCATGTACCCCGGTATAATCAAGAATGTCAGAATCGGAAGGATGACGGCTACCGTGACGGCTACCGACAACGGTATAATGGGCGGCACATCATTCACGCTGTTCACAGTTTCGGCCACGCTCTCCTCTTGTCGGTAGGCTGACCCTGGTCGAGATTTACTGAGGAGCGGGCTCGGCGGCATAGGCATGTCGAAATCGGAATGTGGCAGCGGCGTAGGGACTGCTTCCTCGTCTGTCGAATCCCCTTGACTCTCGTAGCTGACGCATATCAAGTCGTCTATATTATCAAGAAAATGAGCTTCGGGTTCGACGATAGGGGCCTGAGTTGCAAGGTAGCTGCGATAATCATGCATGTCTGCCAAAGCTGGCGTTGGCATGGCTAGAGTCTCCCTGAACGATGATAACACCCGATCTAAGGACCACCGAGATGAGCGAGGTACGTGGATACGGTAACGACTGTAGGGGGTCAAGGGGTGAGGAATCCTTACTATACTGCTCTAGCTTGAACCCGATTTTGCCAAGAATGTCAGTCCTATGCCAATGAAGCTCGCTGCCCGAGATGTGTTCTGCTCTTCGTGACGCCGGGTATACGCAGCCCGGAAGGCGCCGATTTTGCGTGTCCGCCGTATCGATTCGGCGGAGTTGCTCCTCCAGCTCACATATCTCATCCTGCAGGTGCAGCAACACCCTATGATTTAAAGTTTCGAATCGGCGATATATAGGACGGAGACGTGCGCCGGCGCGACTTGACGACGACGTCGACAACTTCGAGGCGAGCAGTTCGTAACCCGACAGGGGCAATCTCTCTGGCCTTGGTGTATGTTGCGAGGTGCCCTGACTAGGGGTTAGAGGAGGGAAATCGGTGGGCATGATGGGTGATGGCTGGGGGTTCCCTCGCGAAATGCGCGGCACCTCGTAGCTTCGCATCCTGTCCTGAGAGGTCTTTATCCGTGCCCCAACTGATATGGGCGAATGGCTCTCATCGCCGTCCTCGACGCTGCGATCGGGGCTCGTGCTTCGGTCGGTTTCGTGGCCAGCGGTGGTTTCGGAGGCATCATCCTTAAAGTTACTCGATATTGTAGATGTACTGCGGCTCGAAGGTGACTGGCCTTGCATAGAAGAGGTTGGAGATCGACGGGTAGCCTCTTCCATCGACTGAATAATACTTTCCGGCGTTACATCCGGAGAATCGGAATCAAGAAAGTTGAAAGCATTAGGCCGCTTGGCAAGAAACTTCCTCTGTCTCGCATTGAATTTCCCGGCAGTGTCCTTTCTCGCGAAAGGCATTTCGGTCACAGTTGCGATACTTCCACTCGAGATGCTGGACCCCCGCGAGCTCGCGGCGACGGACGCTGCTCCTATCGGTGCGTCTGGCGGAATAATTGAATGAGGAAGAGGACTGTTTCCCGGGGCAATGTGATCGCGACCTCTCTCCTGAGAAGTAACACCAGCGCCTACCGGATGGGCCTCGCCCGGTTCTTCGCCTGATTTGGGTGCGAGTGTGGCGAGCTCACCGTGGCCCGACATCGATCCAGGCTCGTTGATCAAGTTTGGTGGTTGCCTCTGTACTCTTTTGAGATTGCCGGCGCCGTATACCACGGTGGGCTCGAAGTGTTTAGTATCCATGGTAGGTCTAGGTAAACTACTCCTCTTCGATGGAGCAGCAAAGGGATAGTCTGGAATATCCGGCTTTGTAAGCCCCTGATCGTCGGCCATGTCGATGTGGTACTCGGGGCCTGGCCAATGTGGACCTCGATCATGAGCGGGAGCCGAGACAGATGAAGAGCGATAGTAGTGTCTTAAGTAAGGCATCAGCAAGGCAAGGCTCTAAGTGCCGCCCGCGCCGCTCGACAGGCTGGTTCGGTTGACCCCGCGGCCACAGCGAAAAAGAACGCAGCACAGCATAAAACACGCATACCTGGCAATGCTAGGCTGGACGTAAGCGTCCATGAAGAGTACACAGAGAAGCCCTAGCCGGGCGGTATAGGGAGGAGCGGCGAACAGAGGCGTGACAGATGTCTCCCTACCTAGTAAGCGGACACGCGTAGGATGTCGGGGATGGTTTAGGAAGCAGGCGAGGCCGTAAATGGTGGTGGTATGCGAACGCGACGGTTGTCGATGAAGAAGGGTTGGCCAGACATGGTGGCAATTACTGCGGTAGATATCCACGGCACCACGAAACAAATCACGAACTACGTGAGGTGATGTGGTCCTATAAGATGTCGGTGATATTTAATTTAAAAAGAGGGCATGCCCAAGACGAGGAGGCCGCGCGCAAGAGGCAGAACAGTGTGACCGAGAAGGAGTTGTGTTTGGTGTTGGTTATCGCGCCGCCGTTGGCCCGTTGAGGCGACAATCCTGTCGCTACGAGGGAAACCAGAACTTCTCTCCGGCGCGAGTTAGCTGCACGAGCGTATCCCAGATACGGCGCAGCAGGTGATTGGCCGGGCGCTGGAGCTGTCTGCAGTGATGCGATGTGAACGAATCCAAGATGTGAAATGTGTGTGTGGTAATCAAGGCCCCTGTGGCCGTGGCGTGCGATGATGGGTTGGGGCCTCCACGGTCTGCTTCTCCCGTCGAATGGTAGGCCGCTTCCAGCCCGTGCTCGTGGGCGCGATCCGTGTGCGTCTGGTGACAGCACAGTCTATTCTGATGTCGTACTCTACCCGGCGTAAGCGTCGTCTACCCCAGAGTTGTTCCTCATCGGAGCAGTTGGGAAGAGAACCTGGGCTGATCTAGTGGTGATGTTTGGAGGGGTAATAATGGCGAAAATGCCTCCTACCCGATCCATCTATTGCTACCTACAGGTACCTCCTCCTACCAGGTAGGTAGAGGTAGGTACCTACCTCCTGTAGGGGGGCAGGTACCGGCTACAGGTACGAGGTACCTTAGGCAGGTATGATAGGCTAGGGGGTACCTCATGCCATGCCTACATGAGTACCTGCCTAATGTAAGGCACCCCATAAACAACCTTACCTTAGGTACCCACCTTATCGCTAGGTAGATTTGCCGGGATTCTTCCGCTTATCTTCGCTCTAGGTATTCCGTCAAGTGCCCTTCCGTTCCCCACCCACCATACAGGGGAAGCTTTTTGATGCTGTCTTCTCTCGCGATGCATCCCGGGACGCTCCTGAATTTCTCCTCCTCACACCCCCTCAACGCCTACCCACCGCTGACGCGCCCCGCCTCGAGCTATTCGATATGCCTCGAGCTAGAGTAGCTGCCCTTAGCAGGTATCTTCTCCGTGGCCAATTGTCTGCGAGAGGTTGTCTGAGGTCGCGAGCGCACACGCTTTCGCTTGTTAAGCGGGACCCCAGCCAACTCATATTTTCATCCTCTCACGTTCGACTACTTCACGCCGAGCCAGCTTCCGAAGGCCGTGATGCGACCCCCCCAGCACCTATCCCTATGGGGAAACGGCTAAAAGAGGAATCCAAGAAGCGAAAAGCCCTCGGGAAGCAGAAGAATAAGGGCAACCAAGTTATCGACGGCTGGGAGCTCACCGTAGGAATCGAAATACACGCCCAGCTAAACACAGCAAAGAAGCTCTTTTCTCCCGCCGCTACGTCCTTCAACGACGAGCCGAACACGCATGTCGCTTACTTCGACCTCGCTATACCGGGTAGCCAGCCTGTATTCCAGAAGGAAACGCTCATTCCAGCTCTCCGGGCAGCTTTAGCGCTTAACTGTAGCATCGAGAACGTCAGTAGATTCGATAGGAAACACTACTTTCATTGGGACCAGCCGTCAGGCTACCAGATTACCCAGTACTACGAGCCGTTTGCCAAGGATGGTCGAATCAACCTGCTTCAAAGGGACGGGATCGCCAAGGAGGACGGCGAAGGCATCTCTGTCGGGATTAAGCAAATTCAGATGGAGCAGGATACGGCCAAGACGCTCGCGCAGCCTGGCGGTGTGTATTGGATCGACTTCAACCGCGTTGGAGTGCCGCTTATCGAGATCATCACCCTACCCGAAATACACCACCCCGCCACCGCCGCCGCTCTAGTAAGGAAGGTCCAGTTGCTGTTGAATGCTGCCGACGCCTGCGTCTCCGGCATGGAGGCTGGCGGTCTGCGCGCAGATGTGAATGTGTCTGTTCGAAGAAGCGATGACCCCTCCGGGCCTCTAGGCCAGCGGACTGAGATCAAGAACTTAAGTAGCTTTAAGGCCATCGAGGATGCTATCATCGCTGAACGGGATAGACAGATATCCGTCCTCGAGTCTGGAGGAATTGTCGAGAGCGAGACTCGCGGGTGGTCCATCGGGGCGACAGAGACTCGTCGTTTGCGCGGCAAAGAAGGCGAGGTCGACTACAGGTACATGCCGGATCCTGACCTAGCACCCGTAATCATCGGCGGCGACCTCGTCGACTATCTCCGCCAGAACATGGGCATGTCTCCCGATGCCGAGATCGACGAACTCACCCAGCGGTTTGATCTCACCCCAAAAGATGCATCGTCTCTCGTAGCGCTCGATGGGGGCAAGCGAGTCGAGTACTTTTGGAATGTCGTTGGTTCTCTCGCGGATCGGTTTGGTCCCGATTCTAACACGCCCAAGTACTTGCCAGGTTTCCAACTCGCTGCGAATTGGATTCTACACGAGCTCGGTCGCCTGACATCGGGCCGCAGCGAAGCCGCTGGTCAGGACCTGGGATTCATGGAAAATGGCGAATGCCGTCGTGTGCCCTTCATCCATCTAACAGACATTTTATACTATCTTTATGAGCGCAAGATTACGGCGAAAATTGCCAAAGAGTTACTTTGGGCAGTCTTCCGCCGAAAGATCCCGGACAAGTACCCTACAATAACGGCGGCTGCTGACCAGGAAAACCTATGGTTCAAGGAGTTGCATGCTGACGAGTACAGAAAACTCGCGCTTGCAATAGTGAGACAAGACGAAGTCATGGCGCACTTTGTTAACTACAAGCAGTACCCCCAGGGGAAGTTGATGTTCCTGGTCGGTCGGATGATTCGATTAGGCCCCGAGGAATTCATCGATCCCAAGGAGGCAGAGAGGGTCATGAAGATAGTGCTGGAAGAAAAGCGGGCAGTAGCTGCTTCAAACTCGGGTTAGGCCCCATCGTCACATCACGGTGTATACATAAAAGCCTCGGAAAATTGAGATATCCCTAAACGCCATTCGGGCATACGGTTGCTATTATGTATGAGTCACACAATCGCATCCCCTCACTAGCCAACGCCGAGCACGGCGGCTTCGATGCCTATATAGGTATATTATCTTATTATACATAGCTGCACTCCCGACTTGGTCGAGCACCACAAGTCCTGCGAATAGTGGGAACGATCACCTTTACCAGGAACAAGCTTGATTTCATCTTTTCTACACAGCCGTCAACACTATACCTGGCCAGCGAAAATAAATCAACGACAGAATCATAGACATCAGCATCGACACCGCAATATGCCGTCGTCGTCATCGCCACTGCCGCCGTCCGCGACCACCCCCCTCGTCGACCACGTCGTGGTTCTGGTGCCGTACGCCTTCCTCTCGGCACCACCGGCCTGGTTCGCGGGGTTGTTTCGGCTGTCGGCGGGGGGCCGCCACGCTGACGGGCGGACGGAGAACACGCTGGCACTGCTCGCTGACGGCTCCTACATCGAGTTCATCGCGTTCGTGCCGGGCGCCGACCGCGCCGCCCACCACTGGGGCGCCGTTCCCGAGGGCTCCGTTGCCGACTGGTCCGTCTCGCTGCCGCCCGCACCCGCGCCGGAGGGGCGAGGAGATGACCTCGCCCAGGAACCTGCGTTCCGCGAGGTGCAGAGGCGCGTGCGCGACACCCGTGCCGGTATCATCTACGGCGACCTGGTGCGCGGCGGGCGGACCCGGCCCGACGGTACGGAGCTGCGATGGGGAGTGGCGTTCGCGGTGCGGGAGGGCGAGGGCGAGGGCGAGGGCGTCCCCGCACAGTCAGGCACCGTGCCGTTCTGGTGCCTCGACGCGACGCCCCGACACCTGCGGGTCCCGTACAGCGAGCCCGGGGCCGTGACGCAGCACCCAACGGGCATCGTCGGGGTCGCGCGGGTCGAAGTGTCAGTGTCGGAGGCCGACGCGGGGAGCGCCCGGGCCGTGTATGACGTACTGCTCGGACCGGGGAGAGAGGCGCCGGCCGGGTTCGTACGGGAGTGGGACATTGACGTGCTCGAGAAGAGCAAGGTGCACCCCGGAGGTGCCGTGAGGCTTCGAGAGGCGGGACCAGGGGCGGGGACGCGGGTCGAGATCGCGTTCTTTACCGACGACGAGGGCTGGGCGGGGAAGACGGTGGGTGGGAGGGTCAACGACGAGACTGAGCTCGTCTTCCACCTCGTAGCGGTGCCTAAGGCGGGTGCGCAATGAGCGGGCGTGGGTGTGCGGGGGTATGAGCGGTGGAGAGGAATTTCGTCGATATTAGTTTCATCTAGAGGTGGTCGTAGGTGACGTGGCACCCGCATTATGGGACTTATAAGGAGAGAACAGTGCCGTATTTATCCTACCTCGAGCTCTTGGTCTACTCTTATTCTACCTACCTACGCGAGGGACCTTGGGTGGGTTCGCTTTCCATTGTTGACTACTCATATAGCGCCAACCAACGTTCAGTGAAGTAGGCCTGGGGGACACTGATATTCCCCAACATTACCTACCTAGGTAGCTCGGCGTATCTACCCATGTGTTCCCACGCTCTCTGTACCCCTCGTCTCCTTGTGTGTATATGTTAAATCGTAGAAGGCAGCACACCTAGCCGTCAACCCGGCCAGTCTCTATGGGGAGGGGGGAAAAGGTGGCCTTGCCAACATCAAGACAGATGCAGGCGAGACCTCTCGCTTGGAGAAGACCATGGGGTACCCGCGCCCAAAAACACCGCCCGCAAGTCCTTTCAGTGGGCGACTGTAACAAGCATACGGATCGGTGATCCTATAAGGAGTGGCCCAGTCCTCGTACTTTTGCGTCACCTGTCGATATGTAGGTAAGTAGTAGCTCGATGCGTTCATATGAATAGACGGGCTAGGTACATTGTCGAACCGCCACCATGCCACCTACCTACCTGGCTCATCTACTTGTCCTTCGCTCCAGCTGCATTATTATGCCTATATCTCGTCCAGCTCTCCACGGTGTTAACACGGTCAAATTTTGCATCTAGCAAATCCAGCTTAGAGTCTCGTGGGTCCTCCGCTATTGAGTTCAAATATTCCCATGGATTGCAGGATATACTTACGTCCAAACAGGTCCCTCGAGAAAGTCTCGGGCTGTCGTTAATACGTATCACACGCCCATAAAATGCCTGGCCGTTCCAGGCTAGGGACACACTATTTTCGCCTTACTAGTAAGGGTATTTTTTGCGTAAAACGTAGACGCCTAGATTCTACGACTTGCAGATATAGGCTTATAAGGCCAGATTTCTTGCGCAATAGTATTGGTCGTAAGAAGTATATACGTGATCTAGAGAATAAACCTCGGCTATCTAACAACGTACGTATACTTGGACCGCCGCGGCCCCGGGGTTTAGCTCAATAACAATGCCGGTAAGCGCAGTAGGTGGAAGGCTTCATGGATCCTGTTTGCCAGCGGAACTAGCCGCGCGACCGGATTTCGCGGGCACGGACAAGTGCCATGCCTCCCTTTGGCGTAAGAATCTTTCGACTCTCTCGTGTCTGTTGAGGTTGACTTGTTCGGTCTGGCGTCTCTTCATGTCCCGACTAATCTCGGCGTGATGCTGCTCCTTCGTCTCTACCAGATTCGTCGTATTCGAACTGGCTCGCTGGGCTTGGCCCAGACTTCCCATGACTACAAAGACGCACAGGACCCCGGCAAACAGCTGGTTGGACATGTACGCGGGCTGCTGCTCTTCCTTCGTCTCGCCATCTCTCTCGCGGTACCAGCGCTCCCAGTCCTCCCACGTGGCATTCATACTCGCATTCCCCGGACGTTCGCGCCAAGATTTGTCGGCGGTGCGGTAGAGGTTTTCCATGCTCCGGTTCCCGGCCCACCCGGCGCCGTACAGGTCGTACGCTCGTCGCCTAGCCGGATCGCTGAGGATGTGGTGTGCCGAGACGACCAGCCGGTAGCGTTCGAGTCGGACCTTGTGAGGCAGCCGGTGGTTGGACGCGTGGCGATGTCGGTCCGGATGGTAGATCTTGACCAGTTCGTAGTACTTGGCCTTTCTGTAGGGCGCAGTCCGGTGCTGACCGAATATCTCGTAGGGCGTCGGGTGGGGTGACGATGGCCAGACATGGTCGTCGGGCGAGGTAGCTTCCCTCTTGGGCTCGTTGGAAGTCGTCGCATAATATCGATTCGGCCGCCGAGGGACATGGCTGACGGGTTCTGAGCTAAAATTCGGAGCATAGACGATGCGCCCCGAGAGGTAAGGCCATCGTGGACTCGAACTACATGGTGACGTTATGCCGCAGGGGGGTGACGAGGACAGAAAAGAGGGGAGGTTGCAGCTGGAACAGAGGGCGATAGTTGACTTCTTGAAGATCATTGTCTACTGGAGTAGGACATCGCTCGTGAAGCCTCGCCAAGAAGGCTTCATGGCGAACAACTGAGGTCCGATAGGAGGCAGGAGGTAGGTAAGCAGTAAGTATGTGCCGGAAGTGAAGAGGAAGAGGTAGTTTTGTGTCTTGAGGGGGGGGGGGGTGGGATGGCAGGAATAGGTATAATAACGAAAAGGTCAGTTCAATGTAGAGATGGAGGTGAGGAGAAAGAGAAAGACGCCGAGGCCGGTGGAGGAGGAAGACCTATCCATCAGCGGACATAAGAGGTTAGGGTAGGTACCTCCTAAGGTAGGTAGACTACATAATTGTAGGTACCTAAGTAGGTACCTACCTCCTACCTCTACGCCTCCGCCAAAGATAGGTAGGTAGGCTAGGAGGTACCTAAACTCTCAAGGTAGGGGCAGGCATATCTCCATTACTGGTCGATATGCTCAGTTGGGAGGGATATCCAGCGCACTTATCCAACGGTATCTAGGCACCTAGGCGCCTGTAGGCGGGATGCAGGAGGTAGCGATGTAGGTCGACAACATCCGTGTGTTCGTTGTTCGTCTATTCAAAATAGCGCAAACCCCCTCAATTGCTGAACCCGACCTCGCCGCTGTTGTCGATGTCCACACCCACACAAGCCTTGTTGTACCTAAGTACCTTAGGCACCTACCAAGGTACATAGCCTTACTATGCCAATTGGCCCGGTATATAGGTACATATATACCAAGGTGTGTAATTACCCGTATAATTGGCATAGTATGTGTGTAGGTATATGAGGCGTCTCAGACAGATCAACCCCTTGCATATTGGCCTATGTCTGTACCGAGGCCTTTCAGCCTCATCATTGTGGGGCATGCCCTACCACCTATCGACCCCAACTTGGTTACGGATGTCGGATGGCTCGATATCAGAGTTCGGTGCAGCAGGTGATCGGTCCATCACCGCGCTGGATATACACGTAGGCTGGCGGTAGGCAGGTCAGCCTGTGGGGACGCCAATGGCCGCACTAAAGCCGAGCCGCCATCCTGATCCGAATACCGCTGCCACCTGCTGGCAATTGCCACCAGGGGCGATACCTGGATTAAGTAAGCATGTACCCGGGTACGTAGAGGATCGGCCAGCCCGGGTCGGTTCTAGAGGCAGGCGGGCTCAGCGATGGGGTTACGTAAGGCCGTGGAGGTGCCAGCAGACGCCCCTGCCAATGGGCGAATCCACCTAACAATGCCTGAACCCCGATTGAAAACATTTGTGTGGTGGGTGCTCTCCGTCATCCTCTTCCAACTCGTTACATCAAATCAACGACCGCCTCCTTCCCGTCTCCCCCAACCTTTTATCACTCGTCAAATATCGTCACCAGCCCTCGATCTCGACCTCAACCTCCATCCGAAGCTTCGGCCTCCGCGAGACACTCTCCATCCTTTTCTCCAGCACCCAAGTTACCGCACTACCGTATTCACCCACACCTCCCCGCCTCGTCTCACCAGACCTATACCGTAGTTGGTCCCGGCCGACAGCTCCCACTCGCGAAGCCCTTTTTTCTATCCGAGTCTCAACCGCCTCTAGTTTCTCTCCCCCAAACCATTTTTGTCAACCTTTTCCCTGGGGAACACCGCAACTACGAAGGGAGCCGACGCTGATCTTTACTCGACCTGCCCACCACCACCCACGGGAATCCTACTCCTGCGCTCTCTACCCCGAATCATCTTCCCCTTCGTCCTTCCATCGGTGTTGGCGTTGGGGCTACTACCCACCCATAACCTCCCCTATCGCGACGTCGTCCCCGTGCACCACCTCTCTCTCCGCACTGGCGAGTTTATAAAGTGGCGTTTTGTCGTTGATAAACTTTGAAAGTCCTTGTCAAGGTACGTCCGCTTCTTTATACACAGTTCCGTTGTGTGGTTTAAACAAACACCGAACCCCCAACCCAGCTGGCGCCAACACCACCTAGATTTCGCGGTTGTAGCCTTATATGAAGACCTCCCCTTGCCATCAATCCTCCTTTCAGTATTCGCCGTACATTCGTCTTCTCGGCGCCGATTCCCCTGTACACGTCGCCCGGTTTTCAATTTGTCAGCTCAGATGCTAACCCAGGTGTGCTTTAGCCCTGATAAGTCCCAGTATACCCATTGCCAGCCGTCTCGGAGCAAGCCAGTGCAATCCAGAGCCTCACGTCCCGCCACTCGCGAAAAGGGGGGGGAAAGCTCACGCAACCAATCAGAACGCCCTAGCTAACTTCAAGGCTTCGTTACTTCACCACTCATTGCGCACGCCTATGATAACCTTCGTCTCCTCTGAACCTGTCAGCGATCACCCCGTTCCGCTGGCCTAACATTATCAAGGTATCTCGCTTTGCCTCGCAGTGGCAATTCACCCGCGAGACGGCTTGCAGATACACCGCCGAACGCGAGATCGTACAACTAAATCTATTCAGTAACGAACCTGTGGTCAAAATGACTGATGCATTAACCGCCACACTACGGGATTCGACCCTAAACGATGCTCAGAACGACGATTGGAAGAAGAGCCTGAATATCCCTGCCCGTGACAGCAGGCAACAAACAGAGGTTTGTCGTTGAGGGTTAATGACATGGATGAGATGTCGGCTAATACGCCTTTAGGATGTCACCAACACTAAAGGGTTTGAGTGGGAAGACTTCGGCCTGAAGCGGGACTTGCTGATGGGCATATTCGAAGCAGGCTTTGAGAAACCCTCGCCCATCCAGGAGGAATCGATCCCGGTGGCCTTGACAGGGCGAGACATCCTGGCCAGAGCAAAAAACGGTACAGGCAAAACGGCGGCTTTCGTCGTACCTGCTCTCGAACGAATAAACCCCAAGGTCAACAAGATACAGTGTTTGATACTCGTCCCCACAAGGGAGCTAGCAATGCAGACTTCGCAGGTCTGCAAGACCCTTGGAAAACATCTAGGTGTCAACGTCATGGTCACAACCGGAGGCACCACCCTTCGCGATGACATTGTCCGTTTGCAAGATCCAGTCCACATAGTAGTGGGCACTCCCGGTCGAATTCTTGATCTGGCTGGCAAGAGTGTTGCTGATCTTGGCGAATGTCCCATGTTCATCATGGACGAGGCCGACAAACTGCTCTCGATTGAGTTCACCCCTGTTATCGAGAAGCTACTGCAGTTCCATCCCAAGGATCGGCAGATCATGCTCTTCTCGGCCACCTTCCCCCTCTCCGTCAAGGACTTCTCGGACAAGAATATGGCCAAACCATACGAGATCAACCTAATGGACGAACTAACCCTGCGGGGTATCACTCAGTACTATGCCTTCGTCGAGGAGAAGCAGAAGGTCCATTGCTTGAACACGCTTTTTTCCAAGCTGCAAATCAACCAGTCCATCATATTCTGCAACTCGACCAACCGTGTGGAATTGCTGGCTAAGAAGATAACAGAGCTTGGCTACTCGTGCTTCTACAGCCACGCGAAGATGGCACAGCACGCACGCAACCGGGTTTTTCACGATTTCCGCAACGGAGTTTGCCGCAATCTCGTCTGTTCAGATCTTCTCACTCGCGGCATTGACATCCAGGCAGTTAACGTCGTCATTAACTTCGATTTCCCAAAGAACGCCGAGACGTATCTTCACCGCATCGGCCGTTCTGGGCGATACGGCCATTTGGGTCTGGCTATTAATCTGATCAATTGGGAGGACCGTTTCAATCTGTATAATATCGAGAAAGACCTTGGCACCGAGATCCAGCCAATTCCGGCCACCATCGACAAGAGTCTTTATGTTTACGAGAACCCCGAGAACATTCCCCGCCCCGTTAATACTTACTCGACAAAACCTACGAGCTCCAGTGCCCCACTAGCGCAGCAACCTGATTCTCTCGCTTCATTCCAAGGCAGAGGACAGAGCACTCAGCCTAGTCGTTCCCACTTCAACGACTCGCCGCCTCCTCCATACCAAAGCCTTCGCGGAGGGAGTCGGGGGGGTAGTCGTGGCGGCAACCGCGGTCGTGGGCGTGGCTACAACTATGGTGCCCGCGGAGGCGGCCGAGGACAAGCCCCGGTTTCATGATAGGCCTCAACTTCCCACCCTAGCACGAACCCCGTTCCGTGAATCGAACATCAACGGGGCACTTCGAGGGGGGTTTTAATCCCTTTCGCGCTGTACATACCCGCCTTCTGGATTCTTTTGATTTGTAACATACCCATTTCCATTTCCCTGCTGACCCTTTGGTTGTCAATTCGGTTCCCAATTTCGCAGTGGGGGGAGGTTCTTTTAGCATCCTTGAGACATGAGGTTCAGCTACTTCACGTTTGGACGAAGTCGGGTCGGGCAAAATAGCGGCGTTATGGCGTTATATCCACCCAGGCGGAGGTGGTTGGCATTGGCGAGTTCGTAGGTAGCATCGTCCGGCGTGTATCCTATGACGAGGAATGAATGCGAAGAAAAGAGGGGGGGGGGGTGGCCTACTTAACACTGACAGATTACGGCAAGCTATCTGGCCCATGACTGGTTGGGTTTGTCTTGATCCCATCGGCACATACACAGCAAGATAATCCCTCTTACCTCCCACACCAGCAGACCTGGGACGGTAGCCTATATCGGTCTCTCAATCCTGGGCTATTTCACATATTCGGCTGTCCCTTCGCACTGCATCGATTCGACGGCAGGAGCATGGACACCACGGACCCAAGCAGTACTCTTGGATCCCAACTATAGATGTTTCTTAGGCAACCTGGAGGACGGTTTTGCACCCCCCAATCAATGGGCAATCGGATTCACCCAGTTCGGAACGGCACGCGTGTCGAAGGAAAGACGGCAGTTTTACTAGACATTTTCGTCACCGCGAACGCGAACAAGTGTGTGGTAGCGTCGGATCGACACCTCGAACTAGACACTCGGCGAGGCAACGCACACTCACCCTGCTGTTATGATATCTATGCGAATTTTTGCAAGCCACGCGGCATCCTCGGACCCGGGTATAGTCTAGTGGTCCTTTGCTCCTTACGGTGCCTCTCGTATGTCAAGTGGAAGAGAAGAAAAAAAAGCAAGAAAAATGATTAAAAAAGCTTTTTGGGAGGGGACGCTGGGTGAACTTGATAGCTATCGAACCAGTTACATTGCCTCGGAGCATGAACTTAGGGCTGGTGAGTTAGATAGTTCTACTGAGCAAGCTGTGGCGGCTCATGAAGCTGTCATTTCCCTTTCACTGTAGCGCATTCTCCTGCATGTGACTTGTCGCAAGGGTCGTATCAAGGTATAACCCATTCGGGGATTCGGCATGGTGCCGCGTTTTACCATGTTGCGAAAAGATTCGCAGCACGGATTGTCGCAGTGATGTCGGTGTTATGTTTGCGCCGCGCTAACAAGACCCGTCGCCTAGCGAGACTCGTGGCCGAGACTGGGCGACGCATCCAGAGAATGGCGGAGGCAAATGCCTGCCTCCCCTATTGGATAGCAAGAGAGGGCAGATAGCATCAATCTTCGGACGGAATGAGAGCTAGATGACACGGAGATGTAGTCGAAAAAGCCCAATTTAATATCCGAACACCCACCTGGTAGCCACACCCGAGGGGTAGGCGAGTAGCTTGCCAGCATCTCACCACCAGGATCGAGCGAGGAGGCTCACGTTTCGTGCCCGAGTCCTGCGCCTTGGCTTTTCTTGTCTTCCGGGTTTGCAGAAACCAACCAACCCGGCTAGCCCACTCGAAAGGAGCGCATCGACAGCGCGACACGCGTAACCGAGGGCATGTATGCCGCTAGTAGATGGTTCCATCTTGGAGCGGGTCAGAAAGGCGCACGAGAAGGATAGATAGCAGAGAGAGAGAGAGGACAAAAATCACGGTGTGGATGGAATGTTAAATTGTGCAAAGTTGCTGGGGGTCGATTAGGTAGGTACTTATCAGCGCTCAGCAGTCCTTAGTAGATGCGGGGCTGGTTGTTGAGGACAGGAAGATTTCGCAGGAGGCCCCTCCATCGATAGCAGATAGGCATTTAGCGGGTCAAGATAAGGCGAGATTTTCTTGGGAGGGGAGGGAAAAAAAAAAAGGATCAAAAATTCATTCTGCCCCGTCCGCCCAGCAGCGCTCCTCAGCAGTTACCACAAGCATCGATCACTGGCCATCGATCGCCTGCATCGTCAATTGGAAGGTTCCGGGCAAGATACAACGCTGAAGAGGTCTCGCTGAGCAGATCCGCAAAGTCCAGAGTATCCAACCACCTGAGAATCTCCACTACCACCTCCATGGCTTCCCGAATTGCCAGCAAGGACTTGCTGACCTTGCAAGGCCTGTTAAGATCCAGGGCCACGGCAGGGCCTATAAAAGGGCACGCGGTCAGGAGAGCTCACCTCTTCCTCTCTCCGTCTTCATCACCCTCAGCCGCCACTCTCCCTTCCTTATCCGCTTATCACACCTTCGTTTCCGCACAGTCTACGCCGCGGCCGAGAACCGGCGTAATGAATCCCCCCCCGCCGTCGTCCAAAGCGACATCCAAGTCCCGCAGGTTTAACACCTTGGCCGGAGGCAGGCAAGCATACTCGCAGCCGTCAAGCGATAGTATTCCCGAACCCATCTATCCCCCGGCCCATGATATAAAATTTGCCGACCTGGCCTCGGAAGGGATCATCGACTCTACCCTGCTATACACAATTACCAACGACCTGCAATTCGAAACCATGACATCGGTGCAAGCAGCCACCGTGTTCCCGCTCCTGAGCGACCACGCCGACGTGCTGGCGCAAGCCAAGACCGGGACGGGAAAGACGATCGCCTTCTTGCTGCCGGCTATCCAAAATTTGCTCAACCGGGGGCCGACCAAGCCCGGCAGCATGGTCTCTGCCCTCATCGTCTCGCCCACTAGAGAGCTGGCCATGCAAATCGGCGAGGAGGCTAAATCATTGCTCCGGAATCTGCCCGAGTACACTGTCCGCACCGTCCTAGGCGGCGCGAACAAGGCCGCCGAGGAGAAGCGTCTGGAACGACGGTGCGACATCCTTGTCGGCACCCCAGGGCGGCTGTTCGATCATCTGGAAGCCGAGAGCGGCATTCTCCATCAGAGGGTACAACAGCTCGATACGCTAGTCCTCGACGAAGCCGACAGGCTGCTAGATATGGGATTTCTCTCCTCTCTGAAGAAAATCATCGCCCATCTCCCTAACAAGACCGACCACAAAAGGCAAAGCATGCTTTTTTCGGCAACGGTGCCCAAGCATGTCCAGCCAGTCGCCAGACTGGTGCTATCGCCGGAGTATAAGTACATCTCCGCCATCCCCAAAGGCGAAGTCAATATACACCAGCGCGTCTCCCAGAACCTCGTCGTTGTCCCCAACTTCGCCGACCTTGCGGCTGGGGTAATCGGTGCGATACGCCAAGAGCACGAGAGCGGCCGCAAAGAGGCTTTCAAGGCCATAGTATTCGTTCCCACTGCGCGGCTGGTGGACTTCTATGCGGCCATCCTTAAAAGTACGCCCGGTCTGCCGCAAGTCAGCGCGATTCACTCCCGCCTGACGCAGCCTAGACGGACGCGAGTCACTGACGAGTTTCGCCAAGCCCGGACTGGCATCCTCGTCGCGACCGATGTGATTGCTCGAGGCATGGACTTCCCCTGGGTGACGAACGTCTTCCAGATCGGCATCGCCGCGGACAAGGAAAGCTACGTTCACCGGCTAGGGCGCACCGCCCGTGCGGGTGCTATGGGCCGGGGTACCTTGGTCCTCACTACGCACGAGTCCTTCTTCCATCAAAGAGATCTGGCTGAGATCGAGTTTGAGAAAGTGCCCGCGGATCTAAGCGCCCATCCGGAGATTCTAAACATCGCGAAGGAACTCGATGCTAAAGCGCATGGGCAGGCATACGTAGGGTGGCTCGGCTTCTATAAGCAGTACCTCAAACCCATGGGCTGGGCCCCCGAGCGGCTAGTCGAAGAGGCAAATCATTTCGCGATCCAGGGGCTGGGAGCATCCGAGATCCCATCGATACGCAAAAGCATCATTTCGAAAATGGGGCTGAAGGGTGTCCCCGGCCTCGTTTCCCGCCCCGAGCCCGTACAGACTTCTTCATACGGGGCCAGGGCGAGGCAGGACGACTAGTGGCTGTGGAATTGACGAGCTCGTTCATACGACGCTTGGAATCTGCTCGTTAGGAAAGGCCCTTGCTGCTGGCGCGAACCTGGCCGCCGAGATGGTCGGGAGCATTGTCACCATCGGGGCGTATCCTCGTGCCCCACGCGTAGCTGAGAGAGCCTTGCCCTACCGATCACGAGAACGAAGCAGGGCCAACGCAGTGCTTCGAATCTCAACACGGGTGAGAATTAGGGGCCTACTCTACGCCTCGGGCAACCAGGATGCTGACCTCACCCTCCCAGGGCCTTGCCGCCAGTTTCCGGTCCAGGGGATTTTTCCGGTGCGCGATTCTATACCCTTGGCCATCCTTGAAGGGATGAGAGCCGGCGAACGCTTACTTGCTCGGAGCGCAGGTACTTGAGGATATTCGGAGGACGACGGGGAGTTTGTAATCCCTACTTTATTTGTAAGATAGTAATATACACCGTTGGCGAGAGAGGCCGCCTTCACGACATCTCAACGAACGGTTGCTTCGGGGATAACCATTCAATCCCACCCGTTTATGAGCATGCACCACCAGGAACCAAAATGCAAAACAGAAAAGGCCACAAACTCGCCGTATTGATTCTATCGGCTCATCGCTCAAATAGAGATATCTGATAGGTCCATACGTCTAACGCCAACGAGTCGGGTCGTTCGTGCTATTACACTAGGCTTCCGGCGTGGTCCAAGATCCAACTTCACCCCGCCTTCCCAGTGCCGCCGCCGTCGCGGTCCTTGTAGCGCTCGTCTCCTCCTCGGCCGTCCTCGTCTTTGTAGCTGGCGTCGTCCCGGTAGCTAGGGAGCGGCTCCGATGCCTCGCCGTCGCCGTCGTCGCCGTCGTCATCGTCGTAGTACTCGTCGCACGAATCGGCGACGTGGAAGCGGGCGTCGGGGCCCTCGGCGTCGGTGTCGGCGTCAGACGCGGCGGCGTCGGGGACGGGCCCGCTAGGGACCTTGGCGTACTCGGCGGGCTTGGGCTTCCGGAGCTTCGATTCGACGGCGCCCATGGCGAAAGGGGGGGGCGGGCGCGAGGACAGGTGAGTGAGGTAGTTCCAGGCGGCCGCGAGTAGGGCCGGGCGGTAAGCATGTGTGGTGAGCGGGACGCCGAGGAGGAAGAAGGAGGAGGAGGGCCGATGCGGAGCGTGTCGCGATCAGAGCGATACTGCGCTGCCGGGAAAGAAGGGAGAGTGAGGGCGAGGTGAGAGGGTAAGGAGGAGGAGGGCAGGCGGGAGATGAGGAGAGAGGGAATTCGGATGGTTCGCCAGCCAGCACCTGGAGGTTGCGGTCGAGTCCATAGCGGAACAGGCCCTCGGACCAGGAATTAATGTCGGTGCTCTCCCGGCGGTAAACTCGATCTGGCAATTCTCCCCCTCTTCCTCCCCTAGTCTCCTTCGTCCGTCCGAACTTACCTATTGTACACTTACCGCTACCTAGGTTAGGTACCTACCCGTGTAGGTATACTATATCCGCCGTTCGTCCACGGCGCTAAAAACCCCATCGCCATCCTAGTCGCCGCCTTGCCCGCTCCCGTCTTACCACGACAGGATCGAGCAGCAGCAGCAGCAGCACAAGACCAACACATTGCACACATCCGTAGACATCTAGGCATATACATAGACATATATAATTGAATAGAGTCTTCCTCTCCTTCCTCTGGCCCCTAGTCTACCACGTGTATCTGTACCTACAAGGGTACCCCCAAGTACCCTAGGCCCCCACCCCTATATGAGGTACCTACCTCGCGGATCAATGTACCCATCTCCTCTCGACCCAGGAACACACTCTGCCCCCTTTTCCGTTTTTACGCCCTAGGATACAGGGCCCCACCTGCTAACCGGTGTGCTGAGATGTACTCGGCTTAGGTGCTGGAGGGGGGTAGTGTTAGTGGTTAAATTGGCTGCCCTCGGTACCCGTAGAAGCGAGCCCCGCCCCCGTATGAGGTCTCTGTACCTACCCACCTGACCCATCTCTATGTAATATGTGTACGACTTCAAGGGCGAGTGGCCGGAGAATAGATCGACAACGACGAGGAGGCGGTAAGCCTCTTCCTTCTCTCTCTCTCTCTCTCTCTCTTTCTCTCTCTCTCTCTCTCATTCTGCTTTGTTTCCTTTCACTTCGCTACAGGTACCCCAAGTTTCCTCTAGTTGTTTTCCTATGTTCATCCGTGGCCACATACGGTAATTATTTATAGGTTGTATGGATGTACGATGTATATACAAAGAAATAATGACAATCGCTGTATGTGTACAAGCTTTTCCCCCCCCAGCCAGACCTGAGAAAAGATGAATCGATACACCTCTCTCCCTATAAACATAGGAGAAGTCAAGAGATACCTATACGTATTCTATCTACATGGAGGGGTAAGGTAAATACGCCGTAGGTATATATATATATATATATACCTCGCACGTAGGAGGCGGGGGAGTGTTCATGTATGTGTGTGTGTTTGTGCTGTTGAGCAAAGTAGGTTCCTAGATAGTCACGTATATACATACTCACACCGGTGAGTAGTGGGACGGACTCGGCGGCATGCGGCTGCCATCCAGAAGAGTCGTCAGCCGCGTCGTCATGCTCGCTTCTATGTCCTGTGCCGTCTCTATCCGACACGACATGGCGTACCGCTCCTCTTGGCCCGGCTTAGGGGGAGGCGGCGGTGGCAGTTCTTTTTCGTATTGGTATCGTTGATATCGAGGTTGTTGACGAGGATGTGCATACTGCGGAGGGGGCAGGTGTTGCTTTGGGTGTTCATAGGATACCCCTTCCGCTCGCTTCAGGCCCGCTGGCTGTTCGCTAGGCGTCGCTAGATGGGCCGCGCTCGGCGGCTGCGGCGGTGCTTTAGCCATCTCCGGACCTTCACGCTCCGAGGACGTAGGCGGTGTAGTGCCCCCCGTACTATTGCCGCTAGGATTCTCCTTCTTTTCGCTCTCATCCCCGCTACTTCCACTGGCGTCCGGTTTTTCATCCCCGTTTTCATCGTGGGTGCCGTCGCCGCTTTGGGTGAAGGACGTCACGCTCGACGGGCGGCCTAAGACTTTTGTGTAGTAAAAGTGAGTCATGCGAACGGCTAGCGGCCGCAGGATGGGCAAACTAGCACAAACGATGGCCATCCCCGTATGCACGGCCGCCCAGACCTCAGTGTTGGCGTAAGAGGGTGTGCGCGAGCCCGGGGAGTAACCCAAGGTCACCTTAACGATGCCCGTGATAATGATACTACAATGAGGGTCAGTATATCACATATGGCAAGTATTGCCTGTAGCTAGATGTAGTGGCGGTGATGGGGGGGTGGGACGTACAAGGCTCCGAGGAGGAAAATTCCCGAGACGGTAACCTTCTGGTGCGGGGACAGGCGCATGCGCAGGACGAAGCTGACGGGTAGGGCGAGGATCAGGAGGTCGAGTAGGATCTCGCAGACGCCGGTGGCCATCCAGAAGATGTTGAAGTTGAAGTTGCAGAAGATAGGGTAGATGAGCGGCCCGCGGAGCTCGCGCAGGATTGGTCGGCACTCGATGAGCGCCGCGGCGGTGCAGCCCAGCCACCAGGAAAGGACCATGAGGCCGGCGATGAGCAGGCGCCATCGGAAAGTCTCGCTCGAGGAGAAGAGGCGGAAGTACATGAGTAGGATTCCGAGCTTAGTGGTGCCCGAGATGGTGAAGTAGAGTAGGGAAGAGGCGAAAGAGAGCTGCATATAGAACAGATCTCGGGTCTGGTAGACGAAGTCGGGGTCGTCGATCTCCGAGACCCAAGGACCATCCGGGGTCACGCTGTTTCCTGCGAAAGGGGGGTTGATTAGTATATGTGAGATGGTTAGATATATGTATATAGGGTTATTATTAAAGGTCTACGCGGTCATACCCCAGAGAATCAACCCTCCCACCGCCAACGTGGCGAGGACGGATATCAGAATAAACCAGTCGTCGGGTCCCAGACCGACTCGAGTGAAAATGCGTGTGTAGAAGCGAAGCGCAACGGAGATGACGGCGAGAGCGATGACGAATCCGCTGACGATCATGGTCGAGCCGACCCCGTGATCGCCGGGCGGCGCCTCGATCATCGCGTTACCCTGGCCGTCCATGGTCTCGGATCATGGCCCGTTGCGAAAGGGGGCACGTGGTAGTAGCGGGTAGCTGAAAACGGCGAGCACTCGTCGCCCTTATGGGAATCCCGGAATGCGTTGCGGTAGTAACTCCATGTCTCTGTCTCGTATGATCTTATAGTGCGACTGTTCTGTTTTCTGTTCCCAGTTTCTCTTTCTTGCTCGCCGTTTTCTGCTGCTCCTTTTTAGCGTGCGGTCGGTCACCTAGGAGAAATACAACGAAAATACGAGACCAGCTCCGCGGAGAGGGAAAAGGGGAGAAGGGAGGCCAGACTAGAGGCAGACTGAACAGAGAGAACATGCTATACATATACATGCATATCTACAATGAATCTGGGCGGCGACGCCTACCTAGTCCTACCTAGTCAGCATGGCATGGTAGGATCGGGGGCGTACGGACCAACCAGCCTCCAACGTGGATGCGCGAAGGATGAAGGGTAGGTAGTAAGCTATTATTACTGCATCTCTCACCAAAACCGGACGAGGACCTCCCCGCCCTGTCCGTCATATGCAAAACGTGTAGGATCGGGTCGAATGAGAGGGAACAGCAGATCTGTGGTTGCACGTAGCCCTGGGTAGACGGGGGGATGTAACCATGGCGTTGGAATCGCCAACGAGTACCGAGGACCCCCCATACCTGCCCGCCCCGAAGATGGCGGCAGAGAACGAGAAGAAGAAGAGGAAGAAGAGGAAGGGCAATAGCGAGACGATCGTCGCCGGCGACAACGAAGCGATAAGAGAAGGGGCCGGAATTCTGACATTGATGGATGCGTTAGTGGCTACTATTAGGTAGATGAGACCGCCAGCCGGTGCAGCACGGTTCACGATGCCCCAAAACAGTTGCGTGGCTTACGCCACCCCCGGATCTCTGTGTGCGCGTGTAGATTATGCGTGTTACCCACATACCTCGGGCAGAGATTTGGCATGGCTGCAGAGAACGTGGAGGATGGGTCTGGGTATAATGAACGGGTATTTTTAACATGGAACACGGGCTAAAAGCTGACGCCGGGAACGGGGACGGAGAGGCGACGGGGTTGACGATGGGTTCGGTGTAGGTAGCAGGTACTCAAGGCACCGACGTGAATCTATAGGTGCCTGCGTGTGCTCGTATATCCTGACGGGGCCAGACCCGGTATGAGGTACCCGGTACATAGGTACGTCCCTCCTAGGGGGCGTGCAAGGTGCGTCAGGTACCTAGAGATTGCCGCCTTGTCTGTCGTTACCACGTGGTGAAGAATGCCGCAGCACCGGCAGCAAAACCTGCCTCGACTGACGTCGTTTGACATATATTGGTAACCCTATCTCGGCATCGCGATCTCGTGGCTTGGATTGGCGGAGACCGGGGTCGACGGTGGATCGGGATCCAGGCGTTTTCTTCTCGTTCTCTTCTTTTCCCCCCAGTGCTGAGCCATTCCCCCACGCAATGTCACGTAGCATGCGCAGCCCACACCCTTACCTACCGCATACGTCTAGAGAGAGACGAACGCACAGGTCCCAACATCGTTTCAAGGGGAGATGGGAAGCCTCGGGAGGCGCTTTGAGCAGGCCCCTAGCCATACACGTTGCCTTGGCCTGCGACCCATCCCACATAGTCGGCGATCCCCAAAGTGCGCCCCCCTGCCATGTAAATAGGAGCGGATCCGACTCGAGTCTGGTATAGACAAGCCGTACGGATCCCCCGTTACCTAGGTAGATCGCAGACCGTTACCACTTCCACCTATCGTATATTTGACGGCATATTCGTAGCGGCGGTGGGCCTGCCGCTTGCCACCAACGCCAGCCGACAATTAGGTGAGAAGTGAGCGAGGTTAGGCAGGTATTTCATTTCGCATTAGCCTTCGCTGTTCCTCTCATTACCGCCCTGCCCACCCTACCATCATGCGCCGTATATCTCCTAATATCACCCTGTCGAGCCAAGTCCCGCAGCGCCTGTGCTATGCAGTAGTGAGGCCTCGATCCCGTGTAAATCAGCCGCGACTTAGAAATGAATAGAGAACGAAACTATGTCTATCAAACACCCACCCTATCGGAGCCCCCCGTCTCAGGCTTTTTCGCCGTCGGCAGACAAGGGCGGCGGGGTGTGCCGTGGAGGAATGGATCCAGGCACAGGCCGGAGTGCCGCAGCCGGGCCGACCGATATCAGATATCTAACTACGTCCTAGGTATTCTTGTATTGTGCGGCGCTGTTCCTGTAGCCAGGGCGGAGGTCTTGAACATAGAACTCGAGATTGTCGCTCTCGTAGACGTGGCCCGTCGGACGCTGCGCACCCGTGTAAAGGTTGTCCGTCGAGTGTGCGTGAAAGGTTGCAGTTTGCGTGCAATTGAGGATATGATCTAACCCTGGGGGCTTGGTCAAGCGGAAGATGCCATAACTACGAGCAAAATGTTAAATTGGCAACGTGCCCCTATCGCACTGGTGGTAGCGAGAATGAGGGGGCGGCGGGGGTGAGGAAAGGGGAGAAGAGGGGACGGAAAGGGGAGGAGAGGGGGCGGAATGCGACTTACGAAGGCTCAAATTTGGGTGCACACACGACCGCTATACTCTCCGGCAGCATCACCTGGTATCCGGACTGCGTATGCAGATCCCGGGAGCTCATGAAGCAGGTTTGAGTCGGATGTGTGTGGATCCAGCCGAGCATCAGAAGGTCCTCATTCATACAGTATTCCAGCATCGCGCCCTCGTTTTCCGTCTCGCACGTGTCCGTAGTGCACTTTTGCTCCGGGATCAGCAGGCACCGGACGAACAATGCGTTGTTAACGGCAGTACCGCACAGGATGCCGCACATCTCCAGACCACGCTTCGTGTTCTCCGACGCGACGGATAGGAAGCGGTGTCGCAACTGACTCGGCAAGAAGATAGGGCGAACCGGCTCGCCGTTTTCGAGGTAAGCCGCCGGCTTGAACGTGAGGCGGTGCTGCACTTTGGGCGGTATTGAAGGATCTTCACGTATCTTTGGTGGCGGGGCCGGAAGCTTTTGCGGTGTCTCGGTTCTCGGAAGGTCATTTTCAGCGAATATGGGCTCCATCGCCGGAAGTTCGGGCCCGCGAGGAGCAGGGACGGGGGCGCGGATGGTATCATACTTCGGTTGAATCCCTTCTTTGGGTGGGCGTGGAGGCTGATGAGCCGGTGTCTTGTTTACGGATACCTGCTGTCGGTGCGAATCGTATGGGACCGGCTCGGACTTGGTTATCGAAGGGTAGTGGTAATTGGAAGGTATCGCGCTCGGCGGGGGGGGTGATTGTGGTTCGCTTCGTTTCGGGCCACTACGACTATCGTCGTCTCCGTCCAACCTCCTCCTGGTTAACTCCATCTGCCTCCGGAAAAGCTCCTCATCCTCGGCCTGTTTGTCAGCTAACTCGCGGGTCCAGTTATCCCAGAAGCCAGCAGTACGTCGATATTGCTCCTCTTCCTCCGGCACACCCGCTCTCCTTGTCGCCTTCCTGTTTACATCCCTGCGTCGAATCTCCCTCTGGGCTAGCTCGACGGCGAGTTCCTGATGCTCACCGGCATCGAGAAGGCGAGTCGCCGCAGAGAGAGCCGGATCTCTGGACGCACGTTCGTCATAGCTCGATGGCGCCTCCGACCGAACGCGATCAGCCTCTTGCTTCTGGCGGAGATCCTGCCTCCTGAGCTCAGATGATTCCCACGCTTCGTACTCCTTCTCTAAGATAGGCTTAATATTTTCGAGGCTGTTTAGGATGCCGGACGAATGTTTCTGGAGCGAATTGAGGGCCTTCTTCCCTTCTGAGGTTTTCGCTTCGGGGTGGGAGGGAAGGCGCTCTATCATTAAGAGCATGTATCGCATAAAGAGGAGGTAAGCCTGGGCAAAGTTGCCATCGTGCAAATAGCTCTCGCCCTGGTACCGAAGCAGAGATCAGTATTCAGCGAGCTGACCAGAGGCCTGTTCCCATCATTACCTCCTTGTTCAAGGTATGTGCCGTTCGCAGCCAGGCTTTCATGGGTATGGTTGGATTGAATTGGAACGCGCTTGCTTGGTCGGCAATCTCCTTGGTGGTGAGGGGCCGGTTGACGATAGCAGATGTTGAAATCATCTTGCCGTCGGCTTCAAGTGACGACAGGCTAAACTTGTTAGATTTGTTGTGAAGCATAACGCTTCATTCCGGAGGAGGGGCGCGAGGTCAACGGATGCCGCTCATATCTCTAGGTATATGTTGTTATGCTGGCTGCCTAGGAGGGTAGAAAGGAAGCTTGCGTGGCGGTTTGCGACGGATCAGATGTTGATGTTAGAGTGGGATAGCATGGCTAGGTACCTAGGTAGGCAGGAGGCAGGAGGTAAGGGCGCACAGAGAAATACCTATGGAGGGGTGCGAGGTCGGATCGCGGGGCAGATGTACAACTCAAGGTACCTGCCTACAAGGTGCATGCGACAATGTAGGTACGTACCTACTTAAGCTGGATTAGGTCAGGTACCTCTCAGGTACCTACAAGACCCGAGAATGGATAGGCACTTCCTAGGTAACATTGGGAGTTGTACCAGCATCTGTAAATCCGTAAAGAATTACCTAGGTACCTACTGTCCTTTTGGACATAACATCGCTGCGGCTATTATCTACAGCTCGTATAGAATGTAAACACTCAGCATACAAGTGATGCTAGAACTTGACATGTGCCATTCTTGTGTGGGGATATACGAGTCGCCTTTAACAGGCCGGAGTGTGCCCATCAGTTGACAAACGCGTTGCTCGCTCTCTCTGATCCGCTTGTAAATGGCAGGTAGGTATATCGAGGGCATTTGTTCTGGTTAGTATTTCTTGCGCTTTTTATCCTTGTGCGGCAACCTGTGCTGGTCCTCCGCTGCCCGCCTGTAGACTAGCTTGGGCCTGAATAATCTCCCCCTTCTTCTTCTCAATCTTCTCCTGAACATCCTTGATATGGCTTTCCGTTCTCTCCCTATGCAGGTGAGCACATGTTTCAGTCCCGCTTTTTGACAGGCTAGAAGAGGGGATGGCAGAGAGGCAGATGGCAGGGGGTTCGAGGGTAGTGGTAATGGGAAGACAATGTAGCAAGACAACACAGGGGTTCTAATAAATGTGGATAAGAGGGCTTACAGCTCTTTGCTGATGAACTCTAGTCGTCCATTGACCGTGCTCTCGGCCTCTACCTTGTCCTGCTTTAGCAGCACTGGTCCAACCAGCTTGTAGATGTTCTCGCCATCCTTGAGATTTTGGAATTCCTACCTTCGGTAAGCGTCAAGTGATCGAGGGTACCGGCGCGAGGGTGGGGATTGTTATGCCTAACCCACCTTCTGCACGTTTGTGTTTTCCTGCTTCTGAGCTTCGAGCTTCTGTCGGGACTGGACAACAGTCTGCAGCTCTTGTTGCAGTGCCGTGAATTCCTCCGACAGGCTCTGGAGTTGTGCCTGGATCTCGGCCATTGTCACAACGTGGCCGGATGGCAGGGCGTAGCGGGAGTGGGTTATGGGCAGGCAGGTGTCGGGAAATGAAGTTCCAAAGGCCTGCCGAGGGCGTGCGAAGGTGCGTAGAACCGAGGGAGGTAGAAAAAGGAAGCAGGTGGATATCTCGGGAGGAAAAGATTGAGGTAGGCAGGTAGGTAGGTAGATATGTCCCTAACTGGGTATGTGGGTTGGTGAAGGACTCGAGAGGTTACCAACTGGGAGGCTCTCTTACAAGAGGCGCCCCACGTAGGTATATCTACTAGGTAGGTACGTAGCAGGCGGGCTATAGAATATCGTGTCTTTTTGCACCCCTCGTTGAGACGACCCATCCAGGCCAAAACGGACCAATAGATAGGCTACAATTCCCGACCGCGATAAGACATCAACAGCATCTCCGTATTGTACCCTCACATACCCACATGAAAGAGGTCCAAAAACTGGAATTCCATTAAAACCCCGGGCTTTTAGGCTATGGGCTAGGAGGTATGCCTCGTACGGTATAGGTACCACCTAAGGTAGGCCAGACAAGGCTTATCATGCTAGGTACCGGCCTCTGGTAGGTAAGTGGGCACCCTACTATATAGATAGGTAGATAGGTACCTACCCTAAGGGACTTAGGTGCTGGTGACTTATGTACCTGCCTATCAGGACCGGCCTTAAGCGCTTCCATTATTTACTTAGGTACCTAACGTAGGCCCCCGTCAGGTTTGGCCCGGCTCAGCTCCGCGCCAACCCAGTCCCCAGACAACAAACCAATTACTATTTGCCCACTACCGCCGATTTCTTCTACCTCTCCCTCCCTCCGCCTGATACACTCCCCCGGTCCCCCTTCCGAAATCCAACCCGCAGGCAGCATCTTGCTTTGAAATCGCCGTCAAGGCATCTACCACACGCGCACCCGCCTCTGTCGAGAATGTCCAACACCGATTTCCTCGGCCGAGCCATCGAAACCGTACGCCGCGCCATCGACGCCGATAATGGGAACCAGTACGAGAAGGCCTACCAACTATACTACCAGGCCCTCGAGCTGTTCATGCTCGCTCTGAAATGGGAGAAGAACCCCAAGTCCAAGGAGATGATCCGCCAGAAGACGGGCGAGTACATGGACCGCGCCGAGAAGCTCAAGGCTCATCTCGCCGACGCGGACGCGAAGCGTAAGAAGCCTGGTCTGATCGGCGCTAACGGCTCCTCGACGGGCGGGACGGGCAAAGGGAAGCAGAACGGCGAGGACGGGGCCGTCGACGAGGACAGCAAGAAATTGAGGAACGCGCTCGCCGGTGCCATCCTCCAGGACCGGCCGAACGTCAAGTGGGATGACGTCGCTGGCCTGGACGGCGCGAAGGAGGCGTTGAAGGAGGCCGTGCTGCTGCCCATCAAGTTCCCACATCTGTTCCAGGGGAAACGCAAGCCGTGGAAGGGCATCCTACTCTACGGCCCGCCCGGCACCGGTAAGAGTTACCTGGCGAAGGCTGTGGCTACCGAGGCGAAGAGCACCTTCTTCAGCGTGAGCAGTAGTGACTTGGTGAGCAAGTGGATGGGTGAGAGTGAGAGGTGCGTCCGTCCGTCTTCGGGATCCCCGTCTCGGCCAATAGCTCCATCGGGATGCTTATCGTCTGCAGGTTAGTCAAACAGCTCTTCGCCATGGCGAGGGAAAACAAGCCGTCGATTATTTTCATCGACGAGGTCGACGCCCTCTGCGGTCCCCGAGGCGAAGGTGAATCCGAAGCGTCGCGAAGGATCAAGACCGAGATGCTAGTGCAGATGGACGGCGTGGGGAAGGACTCCACTGGTGTCCTCGTGCTGGGGGCCACCAACATTCCGTGGCAACTAGATGCCGCTATCCGGAGGCGATTCCAGCGCAGGGTACACATCAGCCTACCGGATATCGGCGCGAGGACTACCATGTTCAAGCTCGCCATCGGCGAAACCCCTACCACGCTGAAGAACGAAGACTACCGAGAGCTGGCGAAGCTTGCAGAGGGCTACTCCGGAAGCGATATCGCCATCGCCGTGCAAGACGCCCTGATGCAACCCGTGCGCAAGATTCAACAAGCTACGCATTTCAAAGAAGTGAGTCTCGTTGACCTCGCCGTGGACCACGGACAGACAGCCACCCTTCATTTCCTGCTCTTTTTTTCCTTTTTCTTTTCTCCCTCACAGATGCTAACGTTACACTGTATCACAGGTACAATTGGACGGGAAAATCCGGCACACGCCCTGCTCACCCGGCGACGCTGGGGCGAAGGAGATGACCTGGGACGATGTTGAGACGGAGACGCTTCTTGAGCCTCTCGTCGACTTTAAGGACTTTGTCAAGGCCATCAAGTCCTCGCGGCCGACGGTCTCGGAGGAAGACCTCAAGCGCAACGCGGAGTGGACCAAGGAGTTCGGAAGCGAAGGAAACTAGGGTGGGGGCGGACAATTAACACATGCGGGCATTGCTAGGCGTTTCTGGCGTCCATATCAGATCGGCACCGGGGAAGCTTCCCTCGTCGATTATTTTCTCTTGGGCACGCTAGCTGTCGGGGCATTTGCGAGCGATTGCTGCTTCGTAGTTGGAACAGCATGGCTATGGAGTACTTGTTCATTCCCCTGCCGTCTGCTAGAGCAGCATCAGGTCGTGATCTAACCCGTGGTTTCGCGCCCCGTGCAACTGACGGCACGCGTACGCCTGGCGCTACGACGAGCATATTTGGTGCGGTGATGAGTACGCCCCCCCGGCCTCCTTGCCAAGCCCCGTCAGGGCGGCGCCTAAGCTCGGGACGGACGTGACACTCGCATAAGATAGTACCCGTGATCTTGCAATGGTCTCTATATCGCCCTACGGTGTTAACTAAGCATATGAGCCACAGCTAAACTATTCGATCGTGTCATGAGATGGGTGTCCGGAGTCCTTTCTACGCGTGCCCCGGCAAACAGTAGATGGGAACGAGGCTCGAGAAGAGGAGTCGCGTGTTTAGCGTTTCCAGCGTCGTGGTCGAATCCCCCCGTAGTTCGAGATAGCTACCTCATAGCCTATCCTGCCTCGGTAAGCGTTACTGAGAAGAGTTGAAAAGGCCGCGTTGTTCGGTTAGCCATAGAGGCAAGCGAGAAAATCAAGCTCTTACAGGGAAACAAGGGAAAATAGGAACAGGGTATGTATGGTTCTGCCATTTGAGCAAAACACCACTATAAAGACACTTCAAGTCCAGAACGCCTAACCGATGCCTGGCCCAACGTCAAAACTCCCTAGCCTCCTTTATTACCTCGACCCCTACGTTCTACTCATCCCCGTGCTTCTTCTTTTTCTTCTTCTTCTTCTTCTCTCCATCAGCCTCCACTTCCACGGCACCATTCGCATCGCTATGCTTGCGCTTCTTATCCTTCTTCGTCTCTTTCTTTTCTTTCTTGTCCTTCGACTTCTTTTCTTTCTTCGTCGTAGGAGCCGTACTCAGCGGCGGCGCGTCAATCATCTCTATGTCGACGGCCATACTTTGACCGTCTGCCAGAATATCGGCCATGGCCTGGTTCTGCACAAGGGGTTAATTCCTAATACGTGGCACGCCCGGGATTTCGGACTCACCATCGCGTCACTATTCTTGGTTGGCTTCTTGCCGGTCGCGTAGAACTCCAATCGGTCTTCCACCTGTTTCCGCAACGCTTCTCCAAACCTCTTGGATGGTTGCTCGGCAAAGTTGTCGATCCGGCTAGCGATACTACACTTATTGGCAAGATATCTCGAGATACGACCTTTGTCCTTCTGGCTTGCTCGGCCAATGTATGTGCTGTGGTAGATGAGGCCGAATTTGGGAGTATTACCCTTTGTCTTTAAGGCCCGGAACAGGGCCTTCTCGGCCCCGAGAATCTGAAGCGTCGAAGCTGGGTATTTGGACAGGTTGGTTAAGGAGCCGGCTTTCTGTATGAGGCGGGCGGCAACAACTTCTCCGATGAGCGCGGCTAGGTTTGGCGCGACCGTACTCATCTTATCAACCAAATAGCTGTAGAGCGTCCTCCGGTATTCGGCCAGCTTAACAACCTTCTCGGCAAAGGTGGAGATGTTGGCCATGTCAACCTCCGATAGCTCCCGCCCCATAGAAATCTTGGCTTTGGCGAGAATGGCCTGCGCCCTGTCCTCGTCGTCGTCGACGAGGGCAGCCACATCGTGCAGCTTGTCCTCCGATAAGGTCGCCTTGTCACCGATGAAGAGTGCCAATCGCGCGTATGTGAGGTTGTCGGAAGCGATGCTGTAGAGTTCTGGGAAGTGCCACCCGTATGATTCGCGAACCCTCTGAGAAAAGATATTGATGCCCTTGTCGAGGTTGTCTAGTGTCGCGATGGCTCTGATGATGTGGTTATCGTTCTTGTGGACATTAAACTTAACCTTCCCGCGCGAATATGCGTGACCGAGACCTAGCTGGGCCCTCTCTACGTCTCCCTCTTCAAGGCCCTTGAGCAACTTGGAGGCATGTAGGCGGATGCCTCGCAGTAGATCGGCCACGACCTCGGACGTGTCGCCAGTTTCGCATTCGACACCCGGGAACTCGGCCTTGATGGAGCCGGCCAAGTTTTTGTCCGCGACGCCCAGCACAATCTTGCTCTTCCTGGCCTGGGGAAGATTGAGCTCGAGATTGGATTTCAGGTAATCGGGAAGGATGCCCTCAGAGATCAGGTTGATGTTTTCCAGAGCGTCGGCGGCATTTCTAGAAAGGCACAATGTTAAGCTTCCATTTGAAGGCAGAGGAAAGGAAAGGCTCATTGGTCATACCTCCAGGGCGCAAAATTAACCAATTGCACCATCTTGCCGAATTTCGAGAGGTCCTGGCCAGCCTTCTGCACCTCCTTCAGGTGCAAGCCCACCGTGTCCTGCTGGTGGACGACCTTGAAGATGGCATAGCCAACAGCGGACTCATGCAGAAGAAAATCTATCTGCGTCATCGTGTCTGGTGTGAATTCTGCGTTGATTTGCACATGAGAATCCTGGATGTTCTCCTGTGTGGGATGGATTGAGGTTGATCACGGTCTGGCGTCGTGGGGGAGAAGAAGTGAAGGGGAAAAAAAAAGACATAAATTTTTTACTAGTTTGGATTGGAACTTGGCTCACCGAGTGAATGGCCACTAAAGCTTGCGAAAGTACGTACCTGTATGGGGAACAGCCCAGCAACAGGTACCTGGGTAGCGCATACCTCCTATAAGGCTACGTTAGGAACGTAAGGTGCCTAGCTTAATAGGCACCTACCTATCTATTTATTTACTATAGATACTTAACATTATATATTTTATAATATAAATAGAGTATAAATGCAAATTGCTTACTTTAAAAGCTATTATAAAATGTTTTTTTCTTTACTTATTATAATTAAATATTAAAAATAAAGTAAGTATTTTAATTATATACTTTCTATTTATCTTTAATATTTATAATACTTATATTAATATTAATTTACAATTATACTATTACTATAAATGTATATTAACGTATCTATATATTAAGTATTTACCTCCATTTATATAAGTACCTTAATGCATGTGGAGATGCAGATAAGAGGTACCTAAGGTACGCTGGCATCCGTGATGTCTTCCGGGCTATATTCCTATAGGTACTAATAGTTGCTGTCGACTTGACGGTGTGCTTTATAGACCTTCCTAGGTACAGCCACACAACTAGGCCATCAATGCCTCAACAAGAAATGGCGTCAGGGTTTGCAGCTTCGATACAGCCCATACCTACAGTGTATAAAATAAGTAGGTAGTAGGCTCCATCAATAAGTTTAGAGAGGTTTACCCTTCTTGTTACTAATACGCATGGTAATATCCCAAGGCGTCGCCTGGTCTTGGTTGCTGGCCCAACAACACCGGCCAACTCAAGTGGAACCAGGACATGTGAATAATATCAGATCGGGGGTAATCTGGTGAATGTGAGGGCAGTTCTGAGATACAAAAGGTACCTACTCTCTACTAGTTACTTTCCCGTCTTTCGATCACGAATTCGCGTCGAAACATATTACCACAAGCCAATACACACATCAACATCTGGAGAGACGACAGACGTCTTTGTTTTCCTCCTAACACACTGGACGCAAGGCATATCCGCACTTTCAAGGGGAGACTAGCCACCCAGCTGATGGACGCCTAGCACCTTGATCGACATCAGGTCAAGAAACGATTGGAGGAACCTAGAGAAGATATAGATATCCAACATGTCCCAGGAACCTCTCCGCAGCAACAGCGATAGCCCGAATGTCAGAAATTCTTTTGGCATTGCTCCACATAGTCATGCCTCTACCTCCCAGGCTTCCGAGGTGCGTAGGAGATATTTATACATGCAAATTAACCCCGTACATCACAATAATACTAACCTCACTAGGCTGGCCATAGTCATCCCATGCCCAACCCGGAGCATATAACCGCCCCGGAACCTCAGGATGCATTAATAAACCGCACAGTTAGGCGTCGCCTTCTCAGCCTTGTGGAAGAAGGCTTCACCTTAGGCAGTGAAGACGAGGACAGAATCAAGGAACCTCAAAAAAAGAAGTTGATGACATCTGTGGTCAACAGCTTGATGTCCGGTTTGGAGGTCTCGTATGACGGAAAGCCTGTTCAAAGTGATGCTCAGGCTCCCTTAGAGGGGGAAGCAATGCTTATCGACGAACCTGGGCTTCAGGACCAGACCGGCGTCACGTCGGCGCCAGGCACTTCCACGCAACCAGACCATCCTCTCGCACATTCACCGGAGCCCCCGAACCAAGCGCCAACCTATTACGACCCGAGCAACCATGTGAGCAACAATCGGGAAGGGGTCAATCACAGCTGGGCCAAAGGCATGGTTATCGGAGACAGGTTCTACTGCGACTGCCGTCTGGAGACGAGGGGCGTAAAGAACCAGGCTGCAGACATTTCATCGCACATAAGTTCGAACCACAACCCTAACAGCGCGTATAAAAAGAAGACCCGGACGGCGCCGCGTAGGTGCATTCAGTGCCGGACCTCCTATAAGAACTTTACCAGCATGGAGCGCCACATGAGAAGCAAACATAAAATTCGCGGCGCTACCACCAGTTGGCTCCGCGCAGTATACAGAGAGACCCGGGACGGCGACGGACTTGATCCGGACGATTTTAAGGAGTGGAACAAGATGGAGCAGAAGGTGAAGAAGGAGGAGGAGGAGGAGGAGGAGAAGGGGGAGGAGAAGGGGGAGGAAGAGGAGGGGGAAGAGGACTGCGTGATCGTAGAAAGCTCCGGGGGCGCATATGCCTAGGCGAACGGCTGTCAGAGCTTGCTCGGAGGGGAGGAGGGATGTAGGCAAGTAGAACCAGCCCGAGAGATCTTTCGCGATGACAGTCAGGAGCTTTTCAGAGTCGGCGTTTAGCACCCGTTTCGGCCCTGACCGCACGAACTCGGGAGAGGGATCTGCTTTGCGTTCGATCTGCGCTGGTGATAGCTGTCTCGGCAACATGTAGGAGATAGGAAAAGGAAAAGAGGATTCTGAGGATGTGGTGATAACTAAGGTTGTTCATGCACACGGCTTATTGATCATGGAGGATTACTGATGACGGCGGCTTATTGATAGCCGTGCATTAATTCAATTAAAGATCTCCGTGTTAGGTACAGTACAGTACAGGTAGGCACCTATAGGTTAGGTACTTAATTTACCATTCAGGCGGGTGTAGGCGCATAAGTACATACCTATATGTACCTGCACGCCAGGTACCTAAGCCGCACTTTTCGTGATGCGACTTCACCGGGTCCTTACGCAACCACCACTCGTTCTGCTGGCTCGCTTCACCACTCCTAGCATCGTCCTCTGGGACGGGAGGGCTGCCAAGGACCGATATGATGCAGGTAAATGTAACGCTGCCGGTGGCCCTCCGCTAGTTGAACATGCCACGAACCTCCAGTGGATATCGCATCCGTTCGCCGGCGAATATGGCCGACAGATTTTCGTCTTCTCAATCTTCGATGCCCATTATTAATCAACCGCGAGCTGGATCGAACGTTCTCTCCTCTTCTCTCCTCGGTGGAGGTCTACTCGTTTCAGACTGTTCATCTATCTGCCTCTCCTAGATATATATACCTACCTATATATATTCCTATCTTGCCGAGGTAGGATTCTATTACGGCAAATTGCTAGATTGATCGATAACTAACAAGGTTTCGGCCGCGGGGATCACCAGAAAGCTTCTACGCCATACGTTGATCGACACAAGCATGGCTACCGACGACAAGGCAGGATCTGGAGTGCCCAAGGACATCCCCAATGTGGCAGCCAAGGGTGTCCCGTTCTTTACGCCGGCCCAGGAGCCGCCCGCTGGGACCGCCGTGGACCCTCAGCCGGACGGAAGCGCCATCCCCAAGCTCTTTACCCCCTTGAGGATCCGTGGCCTCACCCTTCAGAACCGCATCTTTGTGTCCCCCATGTGCCAGTACTCGGCGGATAATGGCTCCCAAACCCCGTGGCATACGGCCCATCTCGGCGGGATCATCCAGCGAGGGGTAAGTCTCTTGTTATTCCGCCGCAAGATCTAGCTAGCAGCTAATTCGGTCTGGCCCCCTGCAGCCTGGACTTACTATCATCGAAGCCACCGCTGTGCAGGCTCGCGGTCGGATCACGCCGCAGGATAGCGGACTGTGGCTAGACGAGCAGATCGAGCCGCTGAGGCGGAATGTGCAGTTTGCTCACTCTCAGGGACAGCACATCGCTATCCAGCTTGCCCACGCGGGCCGAAAGGCGTCAATGGTTGCTCCCTGGCTAAGCCGGGCAAGCCTCGCCACCAAAGATGTGGGCGGCTGGCCGGACGATGTCGTTGGGCCAAGCGCCATCCCCTACGACGAAAGCCACGCCCAGCCGAGAGCCCTGTCTCTCGCAGAGATCCAGCAGCTGAAGGCCGACTTCGCGTCGGCAGCTCGGCGCTCCGTCCAAGCCGGATTCGACGTGATCGAGCTGCATTCCGCCCACGGGTACCTGCTGCACAACTTTTTGTCTCCCGTCTCGAACCAGCGCACGGACGAATATGGCGGTAGCTTCGAAAACCGCGTTCGACTTCTTCTCGAGATCGTAGAGGAAGTTAGGAAGGTCATACCCGACAGCATACCGCTGTTCGTGCGTTTCAGCGCGACGGAGTGGCTAGAGGGAGTCGACGGCATCAAGGAGAGCTGGAAGGTCGAGGACGCGGTGCAACTGGCGGAGCTGCTGGCGGAGCGCGGTGTCGACGTGATCGACGTATCGAGCGGCGGAAATCACCCGAAGCAGAAAGTCAAGACGGGACCGGGCTACCAGGCGCCGCTCGCCAAGGCGGTGAAGCGGGCGGTAGGCGACAAGGCGCTAGTTTCAACAGTAGGAAACATTGTGAACGGGAGGCTGGCCGAGCAGCTGCTCGTCGGTGGGCAGGGAGAAGACGACACACCTCTGGACATCGCGATGGCCGGGCGTTTGTTCCAGAGAAACCCGGGCCTCGTCTGGACCTGGGCTGACGACGTACGTAATCGGAAAATACCCCTTTTCCTACCCAACCCGTTGCTGCGTGGAGGTGTTTGCTGACAACCCGATTTCTTTCTAGCTCAACACGTCCATATATGTCGCGAATCAGATTGGGTGGGGATTTGGAGGCAGAGCCACGAAGAAGAAGAGCGTAGCGGAGACTCAGAAAACGGACGACGGATCTAGAGGCGGAGCCGAATCGAAGGGTCTACTCGGTCCTCTCCCATGATTAGGCAGATGGCGCGTGGCAGGCAAACTCTCGACGGACACGGAAGCCCTGGCATTCAGGTACATGGGGGACCAAAAGTAGAAGCGCAAAACAGGTTGCAGACGCGCACTCCCCTCGTCGCTATAGACCTCTTCCGAGAATGTAGACCATGATTGAGGCATCTCCCTCGCACCCAACCGATGAATATTTTGCTACGCGTACTCATAAGATGAATGTCGGGGATACGTATGCAATAACGTATAGCGAATTGCGGGCAGGTAACGGTCTGTAACCTAGGACGTCTCGTGCCCGAGCGAGTTGACATCGACACAGTGCGACAGATGTTAAGGACGTGGTGGGTATATAAAAGTGCTTGATCAATTCCGATTCCGGGGTCAAATGTCGTTTCCATGTCTAGATAATAAGAGCTGTAAGCCAGCATCCTCTCTGTAGCGGTACAATGCAGCAGTTTTCCAGCCATTCCAATCTTTGCCGTCGTCTATCTTAACAGCATCTCGAAGCCCTTGAAAGAGGCCGAGGAATCCATCCCAGTCTGCGAGATCGTAGCCGCAACAAAAGGCGAATCTGTGCTGCAACCGGCCGTTCCAGACAAAATCTGCCAGATCCTGACGACCCTTTTCTTCCAGCATGCGTGCAAAGGTAATCTCATCGTCGCCTAAGTTATTCGCCCCGCTGTAGAATTGCGCAACTGGCAAGAGGCCGATCGGGGAGTTAAAGGCATGAGTTGGTGGTGCGGTGTAGGCCCATTCCCAGTCGATAATACCAGTAACGTTGAAATCCTCATCTACTAGGATATGATCTCCCTTATCGTCGGCGTGTTTCAGATAGTACTTATGATCGTCCTGTGCTGATGACGATAACACAGATGGAACCAAGTCGAGGAGAAATCGGTGTATCAGGTATGCATCTACTGCTTGCTGCGAGTACATCTCTTGGCGAAGAATGAGATCCAAGAGGAGCTGAAGCGAAGACTTGTGATACTCTTCAGGAGACGTAAATGGACCTAGTGGGCGCATTTCGGATTGTATAAAGTCGGTAAGTGACTCTCGAGCAAATGCACCAACGTGCGAATCGCCCGGGTGATCGAGGGAGCCAAGCAGGTCGAACGGGTATTTGCCAAGTTCGATGGATACATTAGCTAGCTGCTCCATCACCTTTCTTCTTTGTTCTTGCGTTGCGATGGACCATCTTAGAGACTTTCCGGGTAGCTTTTCCATCAGAATGTAGCCGACACCGACAGGATTGTCCGCATGATCCAGCATAAAGTCAAACACTCTCGGGGCAGGTATACTGGTCCTCTCGAGAAACTTGAGGGTTGCTACCTCACTCTGGATGATATAATCTCGCAGTCCTGCCGGAGGCGATGTGGCGTTGAACCTGCGGACACGGGCGATCCATTGAACTCCGTCACTAAACCGGATTTCAATATGATAATTCATACCACCCATTACGGAGCTTCGTGCAGCTCTGTCATAGCGAAGCGGAGGAACTGAGCAGGGTATCCCTTGGCGCAAATGACTAGCTCGAGTCGCAAGAGCAGGAGTGTTGATCTTCTCGATCAACCTGGTAAGCTCGTCTGCTTCAGCGGCCCGGGCGGCAGGATCGTAAGTATCCGCATTCTGCGAATTTCAGTAACTGGAACGTCTCTCGTGGAGAGCCGAACTAACCTCCCATTTCGGACATGCGTGAAATTCACGCTGAAGGTGGTTGGAACATAGATGGCGGTTGCAGAGTATGCAATCACCGAGATTCCGGACAGCTGGGTTGTCGCAGCTCGCAAATTCACAGGTCCACATGGGCATTGTGTCGAGAGTTTGAATTCTAGAATGAGCTGTGCTGGGGCTCGCGGCACCTATTTAACGTGCAATTCGCATGAGAGCCAAACGACATGCAGGCCTAGCTCCGACAGCAAAATCCTCTCCAGTGGTTGAAGTCATATCAACGGACGTCAGGCAGGCCCCGAGCATATAAAAGATGTCACAGTCCGGATGGTTTGCACGGGCGATTCCTAAAAGGAACAGCCATTGTGAGCACAGCCGCTAGGGGAGAGTCTGCAATCCATCTCTCCTGGCTGCGGAATCCTAGATCTCGTCCACCGCGGAATGAGTGCAAGCTGATCGGACATCACGACGATGTATGGATGTAGCCTGCTGCGGGTTACATACTGCGAGAAAAGGCCTCTACCACCAATAACATGGAATTTCATCACAACTAGGCACTATAAAGTAGAAGGTATTTAGGGAAAGACAATGTAATCTCTCCAGGATCACGTTTCCGTCCCTCAACCTTTGTATTCGTCTTCCCCTCCCTCTCTTGTAAATCCTCTCTCCTCTTTTTACGTCACGATCGGACCTGGGATGGAGACTTATACTAGCTTAATAAAGTATAAAACGTACTTAATTCCTAAAACCTCCTATCTAGAGCATCCCTACTGAATAATACCCTTTGATTCTTACGACTTACTTATATAATACGTATTATATAATAAAGAGGGCTCCTACTTAGCTAGTAGGGGGGGGCAAAGGTAACCGCCCTCGGTTACGTCTTTAAAGCCTTTAAAAGGTAGCCATAATAAATAGTAAAATAGGTTTTAGTAATAACTTATTTCCTCGTCCGTCTTAACCTCCTTTAATACGGTAACTAAAGGTCCTTTAGTAACCTTAAATAACCCTCCCGTAGTTTAAATAGCTTTAATTAATTCGTATAGTAGTAATAGGGTCCTAATGGCTTACCATCTAGTAATAATAACTAAAATGCTAATCGTTTAATTAATAACCCTACGATAAAAGGGCTAGTCCATTTCTCGCGTAGTTTGGGTAGTTTTTTATTTTAATAAAGTATAACGAGATCCCCTTTTCCGATGGATCTATTAGCTTATTCGAGAGCTTCCTCTTTCTTTCTCTTGGTTTATTTAAATAGTTTTTAAATACTTTCCCTATAGTATTATATCCTAGCTATATGGCCTACGACTAAATTAGCGTATATCCGTTCGTTAGGGAGCTCGAAAGAACCATTAGCTAGTAAGGTTCTTAGCTTAGTTAGGTAGAATAGCGGGTATTCGGTTTCAAAGGCGTTAATAGGAAGGTTTCCGTATAATATCTCGAAAGGTAAATGTCCTAGGGATTTAATATATCTAGTATTTATCTTAGTTATTAGCTCGGGAACTAAGCTTACCTAATCCGATAAGTCTTAATACGGTAAGGGGTTAATAGTCTTCTTTAATACCTACTATAAGATCTTATTAAATACCTTAACTAACCCTACGGATCGATAGGAACCTAAAGAGGCGTAGATTATTAATATTTCCTTAGATATTAAATATTATAATATCCTTTATAAAGTAAAGGCGGACCCCGGATCTAGATAAAAGGCCAGGGGCTTTATTCTTAGGTTAATAAGCTATATATTAAAGCTTACGAATACGTCTTCTATTAAGGTACTAGGGGTAGGCATTACCTAGCCGTATTTACTAAACTAATAAACGATTATTAAGATATACTTATGCCTTAAATATAAAGGTAGAAAGGGGCTAACGAAGTTAAATGAAAGGATCTATAACGGAACGTAGACTATTACGGGAAAAGGAGGACCCGATAGTTTAGTCGGTCCATAATACGCGTAAGGGAGGCAGCTATTTACGTAGGTAAATATATCTCTAGCTATCCTCGGCTAAAAGACTAAGCGGGAAAGGCGTTTTAAGGTAATCGACTTCGAAAAATACCTAGCTTCGTTATAAGCTTTAACGAAGGCATTTAGAACTTCGTTTAATAATAGATACTTATTCTATATCCTACGATAGTAATGCTATAAATGCGTTCCCTAGATCCTATATTCCTTAGCTTTATTAAGTAAGGACCGTACCTTAAGCCGGCTATAGATATCTTTAGTTCTTCCGGTAATAAAGAACTTAACTACTTCTCTATATTATTCGGAATTTAGCCATCTATCTTATTCGGAAGACGATTCTCCTACGAAGAGCTTCGAGGCTTTAATAGTAAGGTCGGCGGAAAGATATAGAAACGTTACATTTAAGTAGGCGAACTCTCGAAATATAACGACCCCCTGGTTAGGTATTTAGGCTCCAGAAGGCGGGGGTAAATAATCGTTAGCTTTATCGTTAGTATTAGTTAGTTATAGTTTATAGATATACTTAGGTTTTATTATTCGTAGTTTAAGGACGTACTCGGGTCCTGTTATTCGTAATTTAGGAACGTACTCGGGTCTTATAGTAACCGTAAGTAACGATAATAACGAAACTAAAGCTATAATTACGTTAATTACGTCTACCTTAGTAAGGGAGGGCAAAAGATCCCGTCCTCGGGATCCTAATAATAAATCTACCGGATTAAGTAATTAAGCTAATAATTACTTATATCCGCCTACGTTATCCTTTTAGATCTATAACCCGTTATCTTAATCTCGGCTGCCTAGGGCCTTTAGGTATTCGAGTTCGTTATCTTCGTAATAATTACTCGGGAATATAGTACGAAAGAAGGCATTAGCGGCTTTATTCCTTGCCCCTAGGATATGTTTAATCTATATATAAAGTAATCTAAGCTTAAAGACCTAACGAACGTAAATACCTTTAACGGCTAATGAAGATAAGAACTAGATTAAGGATTTATAATTAATAAAAAGGGTAGATCGCTTTCTTGCCCGAAACATATGGCTATATCGCCGGCAGAATTTAATCATTACGTAAAGCTCTCTCTTATAAGTACCGTAGTTACGTTAAGGTTTCGAAAACATAAAGCTATCGTATAAGATAGGGACGTTAGCTCCGTTTTACCGCTAGAAAATAATATAACCCGCTACGAATTATAAAGCGTTAATATATAGGGATATAAGTAAATTAAAAGCGTACCTATGGGTATTAACGGTAGCTAAGGCTAGTAATTTAGCTAGTTTAAACGACAAGGACTCGGCCGTATTCCATTTCCATTCGGCGTCTTTACTAAGTAGGCGTATTAAAAGACGATAGATCTCTAAGTAGTTCTTTATTTATCTACGATAAGGACTAACGGCTCCTAAGAAAGACCTTACTTCTAATTAATTAGTTAGGATGGGCTAGTTACGAAGGCGGGCGGCTCGATCTTCCCGTATACGTAAACGACCGCCGATATAATAAATAACTCCTATGGCTAATATTTTAATAAAACCTATATAAATCTTTACGAAAAATAAACGTAATCTTGCCTACCGTATTCGGGATAGGAGATAGTAAATTAGCTATTGCTATTATTCTTCGGCGTTAGTATACGTACTAAAGATATTATCCATATAAAATACGCCTTTAGGGATTTTATTTAAAGAGGTTAAAGATAAAAGGAATAGTTCGGCTTATGGTTTAAGGATGATATTAAGGACTACGTATATAAGTTCCGTTATTAAGAATGCCGCCGTTTATATTTCTTAAGGTATCTTAATAGGTTAAAGCTATAAGAAGTTAGGAATAACGAACGCGATGATATACTTATCTTTAGGATAGATTTTAACGTACTAGTATCCGTATTTTAGGTTTAGTTTATAATAAGATCCGATACCTAGATACGAGAGATGGTTATATACGTTTATTAATAGGGTAACGTTTATTCCTAGTACCTCCTCTTTAACCTAACTATAGTTAAAGGTTAAACGAGGCTCGGCCTAGGGGTCCGGATCCGGTAAATCTCTATCCTTAGGTACTAATACGGGTTAAGCCGCCTAGTTTAAAAGGCGTCCATTAGCGACCTTAGTTAATTTAAACTATCCTACCTCGACTCCCTCCTAGATAAGACGGTTTAACTAGTATTTCTAAGGAGGGGTCTAGCTCTTCCTTCTAAACCTATTCTAAGGAGGCGTACCGGATCGTAACCTAACTCTATATTAATAAAGGTCGGTTATTAGTATATTTAAAATAAATATAGCTATTAGTTTACGGTAAGTATATAATCCGTAGGTTATCTTTAACTTTAGTTCCTAAGAAATAAGAGAGCCTAGTTTAATTCCTGCTTTATTAAGCTAATGGAGAGTATCTTACTTAGATAGTTCGTTACTAGTAACTAATGGAAGCCGTTTAACTCGCCTAGTAGTTAGGAATAGGGGTACTAATTTTAATAATACGGAGTTAATATTAGTTACTAAATTATCTTTAATTACGGCGCCTTTAATTAGATAGTAAGCTATTAAATTATCTCTAAATACGGTTAATTTAATTAGCCGGTATAGGTCCGATATTAAATTATCTTTAAACGCGGTAGATTTAATTAGCTAGCGTAAACCTAATACTAAATCATTTCCTAACGTAATAGCTTTGATTAATCGGGTATCCGTCGGGTAGAATTTGTTAATTATTAAAGGGGATAAGTTTCTTAGTAATAATATAAACGCGAAATAAGCTATCTAACGAAAGGCTAGTCGTTTTTCCGACGTTACTATAATTCGTAGAGCATAGAAGTTTAACTAGTTAATATTAGGAAAGGAAGATCGATAGGGTAAGTTTAAAAGCTCTTAAGGAGTATCTAATATATAAGCTTTAAAGGAAGTAAAGGTCTAGTCCGCTCGTAGTTTAAGGATATACTCGGGTCCTATTATTCGTAGTTTAGGAACATACTCGGATCTACGCTAGTAATTTAGTTTCCCGTCTTATTATTATTTAAATCGCTCTTATTAGAGGAATTACTATTACTATTATTATTATCGTCGTTTATTATCGGCGACTTATAAGTAATAAGTACCCGTAAATACTCCACGGGATTAACGATAGGTCTAGCGGCCCTAAGGGCTATTTTATAGGTAGTAGAAGGTTATAAAAGGAGACCCTAAAGAGATACTACCTCTTTACTAGTTACTTCGTCGCCGATAATAAAGGAGCTAGCCCTAATATCGAACTTAGCTATAACGTCCTATAGCTAAGAAATGCCAAGTAATAAAAGGGTATCGTTATTCGTAGATTCGGGTCGTATAATAGCCTATACCGATTTCTAGATGCCTTATATTCCGACGTTAAATAGAACGAATTTAATTACCTCTAAACGACGACTATTTAAGGTTAGTAAGAATAAGCGCCTAGTACCTAGGTAGCGTAAAAGACGTCGTTTAATACGAAGTTAATTTACTAGCTTACTAGATACGAGGTTTATGTTACTTCCTTAATTAGCTTAAGTAGTATTTTCGGGTAAAGTATAAGATATAAGCGACTCTCCGTCTTATTTAAAACGAAGAACGGCATTTATATAAAAGGATTTAATCGGTTTTAGTAGGAACGGATTAGTTAGAATCGAGGTAGCTCTTAAAGCTATAGTAGTCCCGTTTATATCTATTTAAACGTTATCTAGGTAAGTAGAAGGGTTATAAGGGATAACGTCTAATACCTAAGGTATTATGTTTCGGGAACTCGGTAGGTACTCTCGGGGCTCGGGTAAGTATTTAGGTATGTTACTTATCTTAATAGGTTTATCCTCCTTCTTTACCGCTAATTCGACGACTAATTTAGCGAAATGTACCGACTTTTCTTTTTTTAGAGGTAGAGGATTAGAAGGGATATAAGGGCGAGGCTAAAGCGATGGCTTAAGGGCTACGATCTTACGTACGGCTCTAGCTTCGGCTTTTGCGTTCTTACGAATAGAAAAATACCTGAACTATCGGGCATACTTAGGTAATACCTAAAATAAGTCCATTAAGCTTAACTTTACCTCGATTTAGCGAGTTAGTATATTAAAGTTAAAGGAAGGATCTCCTTCCTTTCCGTAGATAGTTTAAAGGCCCTTACGAGACCTCTTCTTCTTCTTAATTTTACCGTCGTCTTCTTTTACGATAGTACCGTTATACCGGCGCTTACCTAAAAAGGAGGCGAGTTCTAGTATCTCTATAGCTAGGTTATCCTAAATATTAACGCCGGTAGTCTTTAACTCTACTATGCCTACCGGTTTAACTATAAGGAGTAATAATTAGGTATTTAGAAAGGCGGTACCTAGTAAGATAATATTAGGCGTAGCGGAGGTCGGCTATGGCTCGTTAGCTACCTATTTATACTTAGCCGTATCTTAATTTAGCGCCTCTTATTCCTAAGATTACTCGTAGAAGAACTATGCCGATTTTACGTCGAGATTCCTACCTATTTTAGCTACCTACTTTAGGATGGAATAAGTTAACGACTTAAGAACTAACTATTCCTAGTAGGCTAGTTACTGCTTCCAGGGAGCCTTATAAGGCTATATATGATTAAGACTTCTATACTTAAAGCATACTCTTTCTCCCCGTTATAAGACTCGTAAACCGTTAACGATCGGATGCTTCGACGTCCTTCTATTAGGGACTACTCGGGATATATTTCTAGATCTAGAGCCGTTACCGGATCCCTAATTAGTACCGTTACTATACGACTACTATCCTTATGGATACTACTAAGGTTACTGTTATTATCCATTAAAGGCCTAAGGTAGAGCTACTAGCTAGGCTCTAGGAACCTATTAAGACTACTATATTAGGCCCTGATTCGGATATGGATAAAGAGGGTATGGTAAATAAGCTAAGGCCTAGGGAATAGGATAGGGTATGGTTTACTATGCCCGTACGTATAAAGGCGGAGCCGTTAGAGGCTAAGGTAGCGTCGTAATAATAGCGACCTTAAAGGCTAATACCTAGTTAAGGTATTCGTTAGCGATAGCTTACTTAATTAGTAAGCCTATTTTCTTTATAATGAAACGTTCGATTAAGTTCTCCCGCTCCTTTAGTTATTATTCCTTAAGCTATTCTTTCTTAAGGTTTACGACCTTCTAATAACCTTATATAATACTATATGCCTTTTAAAGGGCTCTAGATATATAAACGGCCTTTTCTAGGGCCTTCCTTTTTAGGTCGGAGTTTCTTAAGCCGTTTACGAAGCGTATAATTACCGACTTAAGTATATAAGTTTTAAGGATAGTTAGGTTATCGGTTCCGTTTAGGCGTAGGACTTAGGGGAAATCTTTCGAACCCGTACGCTTTAATAGCTTCTATACCCTGGTATAGTAAGAAGCGAGGGATTCTTCCGAGCCTTATAAGATATCGACGACCTCGTTTCGTAGGTCCGATTAATTAGCTATTTTAAACGGGAATCTCTCCCTTAAGAGCTATTAAACCATAAGTAAATCGTTTTAAGTAGTTATTCCTTGCCCCGCGAGGTCTAGAGCTCGCCGGATACGAGAGTTACGATCTAGAAAGGCTGCTACCTTTCCTTTATATAAAGTATTTATGGCTTAAAGCTCGTTAGAAGCTAGTAGAACTAGGTAACCGGCTAATTTAAAGGCCTACGTAAATAGTATAAGCTATCTAGACGTAGCCTTACTACCGTTAAAGCGATTATATACTATTAAATCGGGTAGGGCTTACGGAGGGATCGGTAGAGGAGGTTCTTAAGGGTCGGCTATTACGGATAATGATAAGGCGGTAGAGAATAACGAAGAAAACGGCGAACTTAATACGCGAAGGAGTAGTAGTACGTTCTCCTCTAAGGGAGACGACGATAACGAAGCAGATAGCGATAAAGGGGGTTATTCGGGCTATAATAGATCTATTATTAGATTTAACTACTCTTGATTTAAAGGTCCTAATACCTCTATTTCTAACGTTAACTAAAACTAAGGGGATATTCCGCGGGGAACCTCGCCTCGGTTCTTAAGGTCCTATAAAAGGTCGTTTAGTTCGGGACTTCCGGAATTTAGTAAAAACCTAGTTACCCTCGCTAGGTAGGGATACCCTATAGCAAGGAAAGAATCGGCTAAAGCTTTAAGGAGCTTTAGGTTTCGGCTATAAATAGTAGCGATATATAGCTCGTCGGATATAGAAAAAGGGGAACTACCTTCTCCTTCCTTCGGTATATTACGCCGGTAAATGGTATTAGTAACGAAGGGACTAGTATATCCTAAAATAAGGCCCGAAAACGAACTAGGAATACCTCTTTTTTAATAGAAAACGACGAACTAAAGTATTGCCTTTTAATAGATAATAACGAAACAAGGGGTGCTCTTATACGAGTAAAACGAACTATTTAAAACCCTCTATACGAAGAGGTTAAAACGGGCTAAAAATAACGAGAAAATAACTAAGCGCGCCCGTAGTTTAGGTACCTCTTTAGTACCTAGGTTCGATTACTAGCTTAATGAAGTATAAAACGTACTTAATTCCTAAAACCTCCTATCTAAAGCATCCCTATTAAACAATACCCTTTAACTCTTACGACTTGCTTACATAATACGTATTACATAATAAAGAGGGCTTCCACTTAGCTGTACTGCTCCAAATGTACCTGACCTAGAGGTACCTTAGGTAGGGATCTGATGTACCTATAGGTATCTTAAGTGGAATGTACCTAAGCCAGGTACGGAATGGCTACAACTGCGAGATCCCTTCTCCTCTACTACCTCCTCCCCGCGACTGCGCTACTCGTCGCCCTCACCCTAGCGCAGCTCTACCCCTCGTTGCTCTCCCATCCCGCCTCCGCAGCAGCGCGAGCAGCCCTCGCCAACAACAACAATAACAACGGCATCACCCGGTACTTCTTGACCTTTTTTTCCGACTACCGCCACTACCTAAACCCAACTACCGCAAACATGGGAGGCGGCCCCGAGCAGTACCGTACGGTTGCCTACTTCGTCAACTGGGCCATCTATGGCCGAAAGCACCGGCCCCAAGACCTCCCCGCCGACAAGTTGACCCATGTGCTGTATGCCTTCGCCAACGTGCGCCCGGAATCTGGCGAGGTGTATCTGACCGACCCCTGGGCCGACACCGACATCCACTGGGAGGGCGACAGCTGGAACGACACCGGCACCAACCTCTACGGCTGCCTCAAGCAGCTCAACCTGCTCAAGCGCCGCAACCGCCAGCTCAAGGTCCTCCTCTCCGTCGGCGGCTGGACCTACAGCTCCAACTTTCGCCAGCCCGCCTCGACCCCGCAGGGCCGCGCCACCTTCGCCAACTCCTGCGTCGAGCTCATCAAGAACCTCGGCTTCGACGGCATCGACGTCGATTGGGAGTACCCTCAGTCCTCGGCCGAGGCTGCCAACCTAGTCGCCCTGCTGCGCGCCGTCCGCGAGGCCATGGATGCGTACAGCCGCACGCTGCCCGCGCCCTATCACTTCGAGCTGACGGTCGCCTGTCCCGCCGGCGCTCAGAACTACGAGAAGCTCGACCTGCCCGGCATGGACCGCCTGCTCGACTTCTGGAACTTGATGGCGTACGACTACGCCGGCTCCTGGGACTCTACCTCGGGCCACCAGGCCAACCTGTATCCCAGCTTCTCCAACCCGCGGAGCACCCCCTTCAGCACCGTCGCCGCGATCGACTATTACGTGTCTCGCGGCGTGTCGCCGAGCAAGATTGTGCTGGGGATGCCGCTGTACGGGCGGGCGTTCCAAGGGACCGACGGCCCGGGGCACGCGTACTCGGGCGTCGGGGAGGGCACGTGGGAGAACGGCGTGCACGACTTCAAGAAGCTGCCGCTGGCGGGCGCCGCCGAGGTGCTGGACCGCGAAGTGGGCGCGAGCTTCTGCTACGCGGCGGGCACGCGGACGCTGGTCAGCTACGACACGGTGGAGATGGCCCGGCACAAGGCGCAGTTCGTGCGCCAGCGGCAGCTCGGCGGCGCCATGTGGTGGGAGAGCAGCGCCGACAAGGACGGCCCCGAGAGCCTGATCGGCAACGTGGTCGACGTGCTGGGCGGGCGCGGCTTCCTGGACCACACGCCCAACTGCATCGATTGCCCACACACCAAGTACGAGAACTTGAGGGCGGGGCTCCCCAACAACTGAAGTGCGGCCAGCCCCGGGAAGAGAGGAAGACGTCTCCCAGGTATTGCATTGTAGGAACAGCAGACGTCTAATGAGGAAAGAGAAAAACGAGAGACACGACAAGACAGAACGGCAAACCAATCTGTTCACGCTTGGCATATGGTACTACTAGTAGAGTCTACGGTGGGCATATAGGTAGGTAAATATTTGAGCGGACGCACATCTAACGTTACGATCAAGGAAATCATATAACTGGGGAATTTTTATCCGGCAGTGAGTTGCTCATGCCACATACTTCGGGGTCTAAAAAGGGGACAAAAAGACCGGGAAAGGGGGTGTTGTCGGCGGAGGACATCAAAGGCTGTACACATCGCGGCGGGATATACCGATGCTTGGAGAAGAGAAAATGACGCCAGGCATACCCTATACGTGACGCCTTTTTTAATAAAAAAACCTCGGCGTCACATTAATACTTAGCTCTACGGTGCAATGATGCCGGTAGCTACAGCTACCGGGTTATGGGTGCAATCAAGTTTAGCAGCAAGGCCAAAGGATGCGCTGCAGGCTCTGTCAATGGCTAAGTAGATCGGTGCGAAACGATCGAACAGCATCGACTTCGGCGTGTCCTACGTCACGGCATCCCGAGAAGAAAGGTTTAGTCTTAGAACATTTGTATTGGACCTGGCCAGAGTTGTCTATACGTGCAACACGGCGATACCAACTCCATGTACCCATTCCGTTGTTCCCAGCCGCCAGCCTAACCATACCCGCAAACGCACGAGGCCAAGATTGACGAGAGTCTAGTTCTTCTCGAAGACGTACGTAAGGTGGCATCGGCCACAATACTGTCGGTCCTGCATGGAAGCCATGAAGACACCGGCACCACACTATCCATACCGCGTTAGTACGCCAGCATTCAAGGGAGAAAAAAAAAGTCTTCGTTCCAGAGTAGGATAACTCACGGTGTCGGCGGGGCACTCGCGTCGTAGACGCTCGATCTTGCCGTCGCCGTCGACCTTGTAGTACTTGAGGACGGCCAACTTGGTCTTCTTGCGCTTGTGCTTGATCTTCTTGGGGGTGGTGTAAACCTTCTTCTTCCTCTTCTTGGCTCCGCCGCGAAGACGCAGGACGAGGTGGAGGGTGCTCTCCTTCTGAATGTTGTAGTCGGAGAGGGTGCGGCCGTCTTCGAGCTGCTTTCCGGCGAAGATCAGGCGCTGCTGGTCGGGGGGGATGCCCTCCTTGTCCTGAATCTTGGACTTGACATTGTCGATGGTGTCGCTCGACTCCACCTCGAGGGTGATAGTCTTGCCCGTGAGTGTCTTGACGAAGATCTGCATGATCGCCTGTTCGGTAGAAGAGTAATTGTTAGGATAGACCCCTATGACAGAGCGGACGTAGTATAAGGATTCTGGCAAGAGCAGCCAGCGGAGATATTGGTGCGGTGCGAGAAATTCGGGGACTAGTTTAATAAGTTTGCGACAGTGAGGGTGGTGATGCGCGCGAGATGCGCCGTAGCATCACGGAAGCACCACCACTGGCACGGCCGCGGCGGTGGTGTTGGAGGTGAAGTGAGGCATAGGGAAGAGACTCGACGTCGAGCTCGGGATCTGTTCAGACACACGTACCTAGACAATATTGCTATTGCCGTCCTAAGCAATCCTGAAGATGAGGTGGTTTGCAGGAAGGGGAAAAGCAGGAAAAAGTTCAGGTCGGGACGGCGCAAAAGTACGACCTGGCACAGCTGGTGGTGGGGGATGCAGGTTAGGTAAGCGCACATTGCCGGGAAGCTCTCACGTGATAGGGTTTCCGCTAAGGGTTGCCCTGGTACGTAGCCAAGCCGTGCCTACTCTATATTTTTGGTTGAAACTGTGCGAATTCACGCCCCTCGAAAAGGGATTCGGCCTTTTCATTGGCCCCCCTCCAGATACCCGTCCAAGTACATAGTAGAACTCCATACCGGCCCTTCGACACCAACTTCCTAGAACTAGGCCACGCCCTTCTTCTCTCGCTCTCTTTCGAAAGCACTTCACCACCCACCGCCAGCAGAGCTCCAGCACAAAAACACAACACCGTAACCATGGTCAAGAAGAGAAAGAACAAGTATGCCTGCCGTCCCTCTTGCGGTTTTCCTCCTCTCATTGCGAAGTCCTCCCCGCTCGAACCACAATAGGCTAACTCCTTTTCTTCACAGCGGCCGCAACAAGAAGGGCCGCGGCCACGTCAAGCCCATCCGCTGCAGCAACTGCTCGCGATGCACTCCCAAGGATAAGGCCATAAAGCGCTTCACCATCCGCAACATGGTCGAATCTGCCGCCATCCGTATGTTCTGAATGCGTCGTCCACGTCGTCCTACGATGAACCATTCTCCCTTGCGCCTCTGGGCCCCCGGCCGTCTTTCCCACCCTCTCTATCATTCTAGGTGGAATGCGGACGCGTGGGCTCGACGGCTCGATGGGTATCGGCTTGGAATAGCACGGTTGAGCTAACTAGTCTTGTTTCCCCGCAGGTGATATCTCGGACGCCTCTGTGTTCGCCGAGTATACGGTTCCCAAGATGTACCTCAAGCTGCAGTACTGTGTCTCTTGCGCCATCCACGGCAAGATTGTCCGGTACGTCGTCTCGTCGGGAACGACTACGCGCTTATCTCTTAAGCCGCGTGTGTGCTTGAGACGAGCCTTGGTTGAACCTCGAACGATTCCCGCGCCTCTCCCCTCCCCCCCCTTCGTCGTGCAGCAAAACCCGCTGACAGAATATTCCCAGTGTCCGATCCCGAGTGGGCCGTCGCAACCGTGCTCCTCCGCCGCGTGTGCGGTACAACAAGGATGGCAAGAAGGTGACTCCCACTCAGACTGCCAAGGCTGCTTAAAAGCTCTCGGTTTCGGCGTCTTAGGAGGGGGGGCAAGATATGTCAGGGCAGACAAGAGTCTAGTCCTCGGAAATGGTTTCTTCACTTGCATGAAAACGGTTTTCGGCAGGGGTTTCTCAGATAATGACCATGAATTGAGTCATGTTGCCACGATGAATGATGTTCTGCAGCGTCGCCGCCGTTTTACCTTCTGACTGCTCCATCCGCGATGACACCACTGGCGTTGTACGCTCGTATCTACCGCTCGATACACTAAACTCCAGCCCTGTCCTATCTCGTGTGTGTGCCGTTATCCTATGCTCCAAGAATGTCTACACGACTAAGCCTGGTAGGGTATGCTTCGATGTCACGTAGGAAACCCCCACCCACCTATATAAGCCTATATCGACAAGTCGCAGAATATGAGCGCTTACGTTTTAGGTAACCTCCAACCCTCGGTACTCCGGAAGAACTAGCAGATTAAGAGCCATGTCTCTTCACGACCGGCTAGATACAGATCCCATCATGCTCGGTTGAAAAGTCCCTGGGGCACTATAAAAAGACAGGACAGCCTCTGGCATGGTGACGAAACTGACTGCTTTGCCCTCAGCTTGCCATTCACAGACGGGATTACGCGTCTATGCTGAGGAGAGCGATCTTCAATATGATATTTCAAGTAGAATCGTAAAGCTTTCCGGATATATACCGCCTCTCTCCTCCTAGGAGATGTTTTATTTCATCTTCGTCTCGTCTCATCGGACCTCGTAACGCGATTCATATACCCAATCCCAAGCGATCGTCATTAGCACGACCAGCATTGTGCCGCCAACCTCTCGACTGCCCCGGCTCTTCGCCTGCTGTGCCGACCGGTTATCCGTCCCGCACAGAATATCTTGGAGGTTGCTCTCTTAACACCAAAATAGAAACATCTCTATCTGCCCTATCGTAAACCTGTCCCACCACGGGGTCACGAGGTTACGGTCTGCGTAGCGCCGCCGTGCTGCGGATGCTGATGCGGCCGTGCCGCGGCGGCGCGGTTGATGAAGTCGCGATTCTCGATGGTCACGCTCTTGGTCATGTGGTTGACCTTATAGACGCCCACCAGCCGAGCCGCGAGCTCGAACATGTTGTTGCGCAGAGAGATGACGACGAACTGCGCGTTCTTGGTGCGCTCCCGGATGTAGTTCGCCACGATTGACACCTGAAGAACGACCGCATCGTTAGCAAAACATGCGATGCCGCGGCACGCTACCGTAACGCCAGCGAGAGAGAGAATTTACTCACATTCCTGAAATCCAGAGCGGCGTCGATCTCGTCCATGACGTACAACGGGGTAGGCTTGTAATGATGCAGGGCGAAGACCAGCGCGAGACTAGACAGCGTCTTCTCACCACCGCTGAGGTTACTGATGTTCTTCCAGCTCTTTTTGGGCGGCATCACCGAGAACAGGATACCCTCGCTGAAAGGATCGAGACTGTCGACGAGTTCTAACTCGGCGTTGCCGCCCATCGTAATCATCTGGTACATCTCCTTCAGTCTGAGGGAGATCGTGCTGAAACCCTCCATGAAGCCCTCCAACCTGAGCCGCCGCAAGTCATCGCATCGTTTCTTGGCGGCGTCACGCTGCTGGACAGCGGTGGCTAGGTCGGACGAGCGGGCAGCATGTTCCTCGACTCTTCGACGGTACTCTGACAAGACGCTGACATCGACGTTGACGTTCTGTGTCTTCTCCTCGAGAGCAGCAATCTCGGCCTTCAAGGTCTCTTTATCCATATCTTGCAGTTCATCTTCTGTGAATCGCGGCAGCTCTGCAGGCTGTTCCTGCACCGCTGCCGCTGCTGCTACTACAGTAGCTTCCGCGTCTTCCTCTTCCTCCTCTTCCTCACCTTCATCCTTCTCCTCCTCCTCTTCTACTTCCTCCCGCCCATCCTGCTCTCCACGCTCCACGGGAGCGCGGCCCTTGTCGGTTGGCTGCCTGACTGGCGACGGGCCTTCGAGGTCGCTGACGTTCTGTAGAGCTAGCTTGCTCAGCTTCTCATCCCAGTAACGGAGGCGCTTCTGGTTTTCGAGGAGTATCTTTTGGTTCTCTTCTAGCTTATTGCGCATCTCGATCTCGACCGCGCGGGTCTCGTTGAGCTCCGAAGTCTTCTCATCCAATTCGGCCTTGAGCGTAGATAATCCCTTCTTTGTATCCGCCAGTTCCGCTTCAGCCTCTTCGACTCGGGCATTCAAGGACTCAGACTTGCTTCCCTGGTGCTCAACTTCTTCTTCGAGGTTCTCGAGATCGCGTATCGCAGCCTCCAGCTCCCTGGTGGCCTTGGCGTGGTCTTTTTCGAGCTTCACCTTTGACTTTTCTGCCTTGGCCTTCTTCACTTCGGCATTGGAGGTCTCTTCGTTGTGGGAAGAAATCTCCTCCTTGAGAGCATCGACCTTGATACGCTGAGCTCGGAGTTTCTCACCGCCCACTTCCATAATTTTGTCTTGCAGCTCCTTGATTTCGGCTTCCACATCCTCTGTCTCAGTGTGCAATTTTGATATCTCCTTGTTCAGTTTGGCAACCTCCTTCCGTAGAGCAGCTACTCTATTGTCGTCGGACTCCGACGGTTGGTGTTCCCTGCTCAGCTCTTTGACGCGCCGCTGGGCATCTACCAGGTTCTTCTCGGCGCTTTGCACCTCGAGGCCGATCTTCTGCATCTTGGTATCCAGTTGCGGAATCTGGTCTTTTAGGTACCTGAGACGAGTCTCGAGTTCTCGTTGGTGGTCTTGGAACTCCTGGAATTTCTGCTCGATAGAGTCGCGGTCGCTCTCCAGCTTGGCGACTCTCTCCTTAGTCGTGTCAGCCACGAGTTTGCTGGACATCAGACCCTTCTTGACGGTGCTTCCGCCTCCAGACATCGTGCCGCTCTTATCGATGAGCTCTCCGTCGAGCGTGACCACTCGCCATCTCTTGGCGCCATAGGCGATCCGGTTCGCCTGGGCAAGGTCTGTCGCGACTAATGTATCCTGCAAGGCGTGATAGAATGCAGGTCGGAACTTGTCCTCTTTGGCTCTGATCAGGTCGAATAGGCGTGGCGCATTCTCGGGAGTCTGTATGGGCTGCAGATCCCGTACGCGGAGCTTATCCAGACACATAAAGTTGCCTCGTCCAAGGTTGGTCTTCCGTAGATATTCGATACATTGCTGGCCAGCGTCGACGGTATCAGTAACAAAGTTGTCGAGCGCACCGCAGGCTGTCGAGATGGCGACATCATATTTCTCGTCGATGGTGCCCAGATTGCCGAGACGGCCGTGAAAACCGTCGATTCTTCCCGATTCTTTCATCCGCATTAACGCGGTAAGAACATTACCACGATTCTGATTTTGAGAGAGGTTAGATCTCGCCTCTTCGGCCTTTTGCCTGGCATTCGACACCTTGGCACGGGCGTTAGGCTCCATCTTGGCTAGATCCTCAAGCTCGGCTTCGATCTTCTTCGCCTCTTTCTCCAGTTTTGCTTTCTCCACCTGACGCTCCTTCAACTCGGCCAGCTTTGCGGTCCGGCTCTCTTCGATATTAGCAATCCGGGCCTGCATCTCCTCAAGGGCGACTGCACCAGCATTGGCCTTCTCTTCAAGGATAGCCAGTTCAGACTCCGCGACGGCGATAGCGGACTGCTTCTGATTAATCTTGTCCTTCCAGGGATCAAGAGACTTTTGCTTAACAGCAATCTGGTCGGAGAACACTTGCGTCTTGCCTTTCAGGCTGTCTCGGATAGCCGCAAGTTCGGCTTCCTCCTGTTGTACCTGCTGTTCCAGAGCTACAATCTCTTCGGCGCGCGAGGCTATTTCTTCAGTGCACTGCTCGATAGTCTCCTCGGCGTCTGATGCCGACTTCTCGGCCGTGGCAATCGTCTTCTCCAGCTTCTTCTGCTTATCCGTCAAAAATTTCCGTTTCTCGTCGAACTTCACCCTTTCTTGCTCAAACTTGGCAGCTTCCTTGACGAGGGCCTGGACATGTTTCTCCTGAGACTCAAACTCTTTTGAACCCTTTCCAAAGGCCTTCTGTAGTTGCTTGATGACCTGCTCGCTGCCCTGGTGCTTTTCAAGCTCGGCGTCAAGCTGGGCCTGCATTTGGTTAATGGCCTCTTCGGTAACGCTCACGTTGTTGTTGCACTCGCTGATATAGAGTTGGTAGAGAGCGGACTGCTTGAGCGTTAAGTCGTTCTCATCTCGGATGTATGCCAGAGCTTTGTTTTTCTTGTCCTCGAGACTGTTTTTCTCTTTCTCGACGTGCTGGACACGCCCGCTCTTCTCCATGCAGATCTCGTTGAGGGTTTCCACCTCCGCTGCGGCCTCCTCAATGGGCGTCTTATACTTGGAAGTGCCGATGATGTCTTCGAGGTACTCCAAGAGGCCATCTTCGTGTTCGTTCCCAGCTTTGGGTTTCATCTGAGCAATCGACTCGACTTCACCCTGCAGGATAAGGAAACGTTTGTGGTCGAGATCGACCCCTCGATCGCGGAGCAGTGTGGTCACAGTAGTGAAATTAGACTCGCGGTCATTTATATAGTACTTGCTCGAGTTATTCTTGAACGCTCTTCGGGAGATGATAATCTGGGAGTTGGGGATGATTTCGGTTCCGCCACCGGGCTAGAGATAGATATATAGTCAGCGAATCGGCTGTGTTCGTAAGCAGTCTGTTGCATCCTACTAACCAGGTCCATGACTTCCTGGAAATGAACCGCCACTTCACAGTGGTCGAGGTTCGGGTGGGCAGCGGAGTTGTGGATCAAGGCTGAGATCTTGCCCTGTCGCATCTTACTTGCTCTAAATCCAAAGACGAAAAGTAGCGAGTCGATCACGTTGGATTTCCCAGAACCGTTCGGCCCTACCACCGAGGAAAACGACGGGTGGAACGGCCCAACCTCCTGCCGCCCGGCGTAACTCTTAAAGTTGGTCAAGATCAGATGGGTGATGACTATACGAGGCTTGGGCCCGGTATCCTCGACAACAGGTGCTGCCATCTTGCGCGACTTTAGAACGATATCCATGGGCTTTTCCAGTATAGTATCCAACGGTCGAATCGGCTTGACCTGGGTGATGGTCTCGTCTGCGGACTGGGGGCGCTCATTGATGCTTTGGTTGGTGACATCGGACAGAGGCGAGTCACGAGGCTCAGGTGGCTCTTCAGGGCGCGTCGGAGTGGGCACAGGTATGGGAGGCTGGCTGTCGGGCGTGTCCTCTTTACTGACTTTGCGCGGCGCAGCACTCTTCCGCTTTCTCGGCTGGGGTTTCTTGGTAGAAGATTCCGGGCCGAGGACAGTAGCAGACGATTGATCGGGGTCGGCTATCTCGCTTGGCCCCGCGGAGGGCTCTCTGGACGGCTCTGGGGCGATGCTTACGCTCTTCCTAGGACGACCGGTGCGCGGGGTGGCAGGAATAGCGGATTTTCTCCTGCTCTGGGTTTGGCGGCGCGTAGACCTGGCGGTGGAAGTCTCGGGAGCGAATTCATCCTCGCTATCATCCTCTTGCTTCTTGGTGGTATCTGCGACAACGTCGTCTTCGTCATCGGACTCGATAATGGCCTGGCGTCTCGCCGCGGCGCGACGGGTTGGTCTTGTGGACATCGCAGTATTTTTCTGGCGCGTCTGTCTAAACGGCGTGGCGTGGGCAGGAGCACGGAGGGGGAGAGGGCGAGACAGAGAGAAAAGAGGGGAAAGGCTATATTTTAGTCGAAGCAGATGAATGACTATGTCGTATTTCTAGGTCCGGGCTCCGTGGTCTATCCCATCCGGATGGGCAAGTCGTTATCGTACGAATCGCGTTTATCGTGTGTCTCATCCGGATCGTCAGCGCGGCCGCTAGCTGTTCCGCGCGTTATGTATGTCTAGCCCTCTAGGCTCTTAGGGCAGGGAGGAATGGCAGACGGATGCAGGAGAGATGGATACAGGATGGGATTACGAAGTACCGGGTTGCGGCGCTGATGAAAGTAAACATAAACATCACTCTACTTCCCCCACCAGAATTTTGATTTATGCCCTTCACAGGTAGGTACCTAAGTACCCCCTCCCCAGGCTAGGTGAGTAGATACCAGGTACCTACAAGTTATGCAGGTACGAACTCGGGCAGCTTACCTAAAGGCAGATAGCGCGTCGCATCTGGGAATGACGCGCATCAGCATAACTTGCCGTGTCTACCTATTTATCCGGTGAACTCCCGGCGCATAACGAAGTCACGCATACCTTGTGTACCTCCTAGGTGTAGGTACTGGACCTATCTGTATCTTGATGTACCAAAGGTAAAAACACAGCCTATCCATCCCTACTCTCTCTTCCCAATCCGCATACTAGCACCAAACCGCTCTCTGTCGTGAGAAACACTATCGTTATTGGGCATTGCCTACAGAAATCCAAATCTCAAAGCTAAGCAGCGCTCCAATTGCCTTGAACGCCCGCTGTCACCATGAACAACCTTTCGCAGTTCGACCACATATTCGGCTCCCTGGAGCCCTTTCCTTACAACCGCGTCTTCGTCCAACAGTTGGAGGTTTGCCGTCGGAGCCTCGAAGGTTCCTTGTTTATTGACCGAGTGTTGAGGGCGCTCAATCTTTCCAAAGGTAACGTGCCCGTGGCCTTGTTGACGTCTCCCCATCACACTCGCCTGTCTTCGCTATGACCGTACTCACCGAACTATGCCCGTCTAGCTGTCAGCCATTACCCCCCCAAGAACGAAGCCTCCCTTCGGCAGCTCTACAACTACGTCTACGACAGCCAGGACGTCGCCCTTCACCATAAGCTCGCAATCATATACTATCTCCTCCTCGACCTCGACGACCGGAGAGGCGACAGCCAAGCCCAATCCTACGCCGAACACTCCGGCTTGCCACCCAGGTACCAGATCTTCATGAAGGGCCTATGGTACATGGACGCCCAGAAGTTCGACATCGCCCTCGAACATCTCGCCCACCCGTCGCTCCAGCCCGACTTTGTTGACGACATTCTCACCGTCCTCGTCCGTCAGGCCAAGCACAGCGACTTCAGCCTCGCTCTTGCGTATTATCACACCGTCCAACCCGTCATCCAGTCATCTTCGGCATTGGAACACCTATTCGACGCCCTAGCGCAATCCAGCGTCCCCGATGCCTTCCAGTTCTCCCGATCCCACGCCGATGTCATGCGCCGCCAGCTATTCCAGCGCCTCATCCTATCCGTACTAAAAGCTTCCCCTAGTAGCGCGTCGGCCGAGAGGGCATTTGAGTTGACCAGCTTGCCTTTCGATGCTCAGGAGGAGCAGTGGTTCAGGGAGTGCTTGGAACAGGGCGAAGGGAAACGACTCCCAGGGGCTAAGGACACCCTCCTTATGCGCAAAATCGCCACGGGCCAAGTTGGGTATGGAAGCGACGCGGGCACTTGGGCAGTTGTCCTCGAGGGTTTCAAGACGGGAAGCGGAGGACGCTCCCTGGCTTGACTTTCCTACATCTGATGGTGAACGGAATTGCATAGCGCTGGCGTTGGGGTTCTGGTTAGGTTATTGTATGGCGTTAGGGGGGTAGCTACCCCACGTGCATCTGAAATTGGTGGAGAGTCCATATTGCAAAACAGAAATCGGTAGAAACGGCGTGCCATTGACCATAGGCCTACCTTGACTTATACTTGTCCCAGTCTGCAAATCGTAGGAGACGCCTAAGATGCAAGCCTCTTCATTAGGAAAACAAACCGGCCTATAGTTTATCGTCATTCATACAATGCGCAAATGCAAAATGTCGAGGCCATACAAAAGATGTCACTCGAAGCTAACTCTCCGCATGAGAACATAGCAAAATGCCCATAATTGCAGAAGGCGTTTTGTTGAGACGGAAACTCCAAAAAGAGCACTCCGAATCGGGGAATCGAACCCCGGGCTTGACGGTTCAGACGGCGTTATTTCCATGAGAGCGTCAAATGTTAGCCACTACACCAATTCGGATTATGATGTTGTTCTGTTTAGCGTCGCTTATAGCGGTTGCCCACCAAGACGGATGAGTTTTTACTGAAGGTTGAGCTAGGCCAGGGTAGAACAAGGCGCCAACGGCCCCTGTGAGGCCCGAATTATGTATCTCATCTTCAACCTCACCCTGTGGTTTAGGGCTCTCTTCATTTTTGTTGTCGCCGCTTATGGAATAGACATGATTTAGGCAAGCGCTTTGAGACACACAGCAGCAACAGAAGTCGATTGTCTCGAGATTCACACATGAATACCCACCTGCTTGATTAAACCCTACAATGTGAAAAAGCGATCAAGTTTAGAAAAGAAGCTTAGAAAAGAAGCAACGGTAACCGGCCAGGGTCAGGGTCAGTTAGTCTGCTGTGTGGCCTATTGATTCATATTCAGGAAATCCTAGCCTGGAAGGCGTTACTTTTCTTGAGAATTTGCATTCGGGCCTTGTAGATGGATTAGGAAGAACTTTCCAACCAGCTAGGTATCCTATTCCTAGGCTTGCAAACGGATGTCGCCTACCTGCGGGTTCAATTCAACGTAAGAGAGCAAAGAAGATGGCTATCCTTACTGGCCCGTCTCCTTAAGAGTATGTGAATGTCCCCAGTGCTGAGCGAATAGTCATCTGTATTATGATAGACTACAACTTTAGCATGATCCGTGTAAAGGCGATTACGGTAGTGATGATCATTCGCTTCAGTTCCTTGATGGTTAGGAGAAGGAGAAGACACCCAGAGGAGGGATAGCAACAGTGAATCCATATGAGCTCTCGCTGTCATCAGGTGCGGCCATCCGGCCAACGGATCATACATACATTCCACAGAGGCCAATTTTCGCTCAAGGATTAGCTTAGGTTGATCCCATACTCTTCCTACCATATCTAGTGGAACCGCTAGGGAGTCATCGGTAAGCCTAAGATGTAAACCCAATATTCTTCGTGATACACCTCCTAGAAACACAGACACATCGCAGTTTCAGAAGGTGGCGAAGCGGAGATGGGGCCACCGTATGAAATAAAATAGAAAAGACATCAGAACCAAACGGCAGAACACTAGACTATTCCAAAGCTAAAGGTTACGAATCACGCTCCACAGAGCATAGACCTCTGTCAACCAAAAACTGGCGGGGGCCATGCCCAGGCAGAGATCAACAAGGGCGCGAGCGGCGTTATATCTCAGGGCAGGTTGAAGGTTTCGATCTCATCTCAATATACCTATCTTATTTATCCCGAAGACCACGAAACTCGTCATAAATTCGTACCTCGTTTCGTGCGGCTTCTCGCAGCGTGGTTGGGAAGCAAGCACGCTGGAACTGCCTTACTGAGCTATTGAATCCTACCACAACGCCGAATAGGAGATACGCCCGTCATAAGCAGTTATTGAATCAAAGACGCAGTAGACGCTATGCAAACTTAGGCGGCGAGTGTATATTCTAGAAAAAATACGTCTATGGTAGCACTTATCCGAGACGATATCGCCCCATCCGCGCCACAGAGATTTGGTCCCGGGCTCATGTAACTGTATATGTATCTACAGCAGATATAGACAAGCGTATAAAGAGGTGAGATATATATATCAGGGATCGTAAACATCCGCCTGCACAGCTTCAACCCAGCCTCCAACCTTATCTCCCCCTTAAGCGGGGGGAAGCCCACGAGAGCGATCCGATCCTGGGGCGATCTGTAGGCAGCCAAGTATGAGTGAGCAGACTAGAGTCGCCGTCACAACGCGGCCACCAGGAGGTCCACGGCGGCGGCCTGGGTGCCGATCGTCACGGCGTCGAACGGGCCCTGCCAGAAGAACCCGTAGAAGTCGGACCCGTTGCGCGCGTAGGCATACGCCGTCGCCCCATTCTGCTCGATGAAGGCGCTGTACGGGCGGCCGGCGAGCACTCGGTTGAGCTTCGCCAGCTCGCGGACGAAGATGCCCTTGAAGGCGGTGCCGTTGGGCTCGCACTCCTCGATCGTGCGGCACGGATCCTCCGTCAGCGTGCCGTTCCGCACGAGCGATTCGCTGGCCAGCACCGCGTTGGCGGTCCGCTGCGCCGTCTCCAGGTACGATACGTCGCCCGTCGCGCGCCAGAGCTCGACCAGCCCGCCCAGGATCACGCCCTGGTTGTAGGTCCAGATAGAGTCCCCGTTGTTGACGCACGCGTCGTCCCTCGTCAGCCCATCGTTGATTAAGTTCTCGCCGTTAATCATGCCGCTCCTGCTGAACCAATCCCACTCCTGCAGGCTGCGCTCGAGATAGACAGAGTCGCCGGGGATGAGGTTGTGGAGTTTCGCCGTCAGCTCCAGGTACAGCTCGTTACTGATCGCGTTGTGGTAGGTCCGTGTCCGGATATCCCAGATGAGCCCTCCACGGCACGTCGTGGTGTTCCAGTACCAGTACATGTACTCCTCGTCGAGCTTGGCGATTTCGAGGTACTGGCTGTCCCCCGTGAGCTCGTATAGGCTCACCAGCGCAAGCGCCCACCACCCCGTGTCGTCGGAGCTGTCGGCGCGGAACTCGCCGCCCCCGTCCGGCCACCAGGGTAACGGCTGGCGCTGGATTTCAACGGTATTGAGCGCCTGGGGGAGATAGTCGCGCTCCCCGGTTAGAATCATATAGTTCACGAGCGTGTATAGCGCGACGCCGCTCTGCCACCACGACGACCCCGGATTGTTAGGATCCCAAAGGCCTGTTGTATAGTTGTAGAGAGCCATCATGGCGTCCAATGCTGCCCGAGTTGTTTCGGGGCAAGGTGGAGCTCTCGGTTCCATAGGTGCCGGAGCTACGGCACGGATAAGCGCGAGGCAACATACTGCCCACCAGAACATCGCTGCCATCCTCAGGCGTCCGGAAGAGCAACACGCGCGGGGTTCGGACCGGCCCTCGCTATAGCTACTCGACAGGCTTCTTGTAACGAGGAGTTTGCAGAGCGCGTGCGGCAATACGTCAGGCGCCTCGCCTTAGATGAAGTGCTCAGAACATGCGATGGCATGCGATTGACGTCAATTTTATAGAAGCCCTCAGGCGCCAGGCAAGGTCTCTCCTGTGGTCTCGGCCCTTCTCTTCCCGATGCAACTTTGCAGCGCCTGCACGCTCTCGGCATTTGGACGGCCCTCGCTGTCGATCAACTCGATCTAGATCCCTTCCGGATACCTGGGGTGAGCCGAGGTTCTTCTCTTGTTGAAATAGCAAATGGCCATACGCCTCCCGACCTCCCCTGTCCTGGGCGTCCGATCGTAGGTTTGCCGTTGTATTTCCCTACGCCGTGTAGCGCTAGAGCAATGAGTGGCTGGCAGCCAATACGATATCGTCACGACCGCAATTCGTTAACATTCCTAGTCGTGCGCTGACATGTTTACTCCAAACGCAGGAACGTAGATAGGGGTAAACAAAGGGGGGGGGGGGGGGGGGGGTGAGGAAGGCTTAGGTCGGGGCGTGCGCGCGCGAGGTCTCACGACATCAATATTACCCCTTGCATCGACGTCACCGTCGAACGGCACGTACCAGCAGTTGTTAAGGGGGTGTGTCTAGTATGCAATACTACCTACCTGTTAGACACTCCTTAAACATGCATGCTTCCCGTCCCAATAGCCGCTCCATGCAGGCCCCAACGGGGAGAAGGCTACTAATCCAGAGAGTGTAGTGTCACGAAATACCGGGTTTTGGACTTTGGCCGTAGATGAAAGGTCATGATCGGATATCGGCTGCAGTCGATGTATGCCAGTGGCCGAAACACATCGCGCCAATCGGAAGGGAAGAGAGCAACGAAGACGGCAGGTGGCATTTTGGGCGGGGAGACTCTGTAGGGTTGGCATATTATCGGAGAAGAACCCAAGGGAACGGCGGAAATGCCTGACGGGGACGGGGTCATGTTCGCGGGGGAACCGTCTGCTCCTGGCCGCCCGCGCGTTGAAAAGTGAATATACGTGTTTTAGTGTCTTGGACGGCAGAGAATCCTCCTCTATGCGACTTGCTGCCGATCATAAATCATACAATCCTCGTGCTGATTACCCACTCACGACGAGTTATAATACAAGGGCCCATCAAATACGTGATAGCGATGCCCTCTGACGCCCTTACCCCTGAATATAGTAGGAAATCTCCAATCCTCGGGGACGTCGTGTTCGCCCACCTTGCGATTTCTAGCCTCCGAGTTACTTTCTAAAGCGGCGATATCGGCCTTCTCAGCGCTGGTCGTTGGCACAACAAATTTGGCGACTTGCAGTTCGGTATCTGTGATGGTACTTCTGGAAACTCTCGCATAGCCGACTCTCCGGAGGCGCTTGTACAAGATATATTCGCACCAACGATCCCAGTCTCTAGGGTCTACATCGTGCATACCCGACGTCTTGGAAACGTACGTGTTGTAGTTGCCTCGAAGAGGCCTAGTAACGAGGTAGGATAGCAGTATCGATGGCCTCGGCGAAGTGCCCATCAACTTGGAGAGATACTCGGCCTGAAGTCGACGGTCTTCGCGGTCCTCTTCCTGCCCGGAATGAAAAACGAAGACGTCGACTAGCTCCCCGTAAACGTCCAGCGTCGCATGGATGGCTGGGGCTAGCTCACCTACAGGAGATGGAAGGAGGTGGTGCGTCGAGTTCATAATCGGGAACTTAGAGAGGAGCGCCGCGCCCCATGTATGCTTATTAGGGCCCGGGCCGTAGTCGACATACATTCCCAAGTCCTCGGCGAGAAATTGAGTCGTGTCTCTATTCCCCATGATAATACGCTGTAGGTCGGACTCCAACAAGCCAACAACGTCGATCTCGAGTTCTCGAATCAAATTACGCATCCGGTACTCGGAGGACCACATATCGTTATCCAGAGAGAAGTGGATGGTCCAGATTCCAGCCGTGATCAGCCTCGAGTCTTCGTGGTAAGGCTTGTAGTCGTTGGTTGGGAAACGACGGAACGCTACGCCAAGGAAAAGGACATTGATGACACCGAGCGCCCAGGCGTGATACTTCCGGTGCTGCGGCCGAGAAGGTCGTTCGCGGGGCTCCTGGCGACGGGAACTCGTCGACGTCACATTGAGGACGCCAGCACCGATGAAAAGCATCATCGTGATCATAATCCAATCTGTATGCTCGCGGACGAGAGGCCCGCCAGGGACGAAGGCATAGGCAACAACCCAAACATGAAACAAAACCATCAAGTTGTAGATGAAAAATCCGAGGCCGAATGTTGTCGCGGGGCACCCTCTAGAAGCCGCAGTTATTACGGGCGAGGCAATGGCAGTCAGGTAGAAAGCCGTAGTCAGAGCACCGACGTACCCGAGCCAGTTGTGGTAAAGCGTAAGGATGGCCACCCCGGTACAGCCCAGACCATATGCCGGCCATGTGCTTACCAGTTTCGGTGCGCGAATCCCCGCCAGCAATCCTCCCGTCATCGCAGCCAGGGTCAACCAACCATGAATAGTACAAAGAGGGCCGCGCACTGGGTAGCCTTCCCATACCCATAGGATCATAGTACTTGTGTCGGAGAGAAGTGAATGTAGACCGAAGAAGAGGCCGCCGATGCCTAGAGCGGCCAAGAGCGATGAGCCTTCCCGCTTACCACCATGAATAGCCCCGGTATTCAACGGCGCCTTGCGAGTGAACCTCAGCACTGCCAGAAACGCCAAAGCCAATCCGGTCCCGTTATAACCGCCGTTGGCAGCGTGCATAATCGGCCAGATAGGATTATTGGTTTGCCAGGCGAATTTGGCGGCGGAAGACATGACCAGGCCAATAATCCATGCCGATATTTTCGACTCGAGCCGTGCTCGATGGACTGATTCGGAGGAGAGAGTGGCTGCCCAGGATAGGCACGACATCGCAACGCCAAATCCCACCGTGAAAAGCCTGCGCGCCGGGTCTTTGACCTGCCAGGCAAGGAGTCCGGCAAGCGATAGTAGATGAGAGGCGCGCAAATTGTGGGTAACTAGAGAGCGGAATGGCTTGATGCCTAGAATGAGAGGCGAGATCGTCGACATGACAAACGCTTCGTAGCCCGAGATGCCCATGTGCCAAAGTGGGAAATACCAGATAACCACGCCCAGCCCCGTAAGTGCTGACCAGAATACGAAGCCGTGGTAGACCTCAGCGACTGTGTCGAAGATCTCAAACCAAGGCAGTTTACCATTAAATGCTCCGGGTATGGCCTTTCCCCTTTCCTTTCGCTTCTCGGAGGCAGCAGCCGATTGGGTGAACATGTCAGCTCTGCGAAGCTCAGTCAGAATCATATTGTAACACATCGACGAATATGCCGCATACTCGTATCGAACTCGCTCGGACTGACTTTGACCTGCGTTCTGAGTCTAGTATTTAATATAAGAGACAGCTAAACGACGGCCTACAGCTTCGAATCGGGCAAGACCTCAGTTTCTCACAATCGCAAATCATAGAACCAGGAACTTGCACTTTACGGCACATCCGCGCCCCTAAGCATCGTTCTCGCCCCGCGTAGGTCGTTCTTCGGGGAATTCGGCCGCCGAGGGCCGTGACGCCTCCGTTTAGTCCCGAAAACGGCATATTCAACTGCCGTGAAACTAGGATGAGGGGTGACCACGTTGGTCGATACGATCGGTTACTTAGAGCGCGGTATTCAGACCCGAGAGTAAGTCTGAGGTCACAGCCAGCCCGAGCGAGTATGCACATCACGTCGAGTTTACTTGGGAAGCCATCGTACGTACCCCTTGCTCGCGCCTTTTACATCCCTGACTACAATCTCGAATTTTTCGAAGTCGAGAGCGGTGACGGCGTCAAATGCGACATCGAATAGAACTAAGGACCACTCGAAGAACGAATAGACGGTATAGGCTGCGAATAGTGAGCGCGGGAAATCCTCGCCAGATGTGGAGCGTGCTCAGACTGACCTCCTGCGACGCGGTGGACTTTGTGTTGAATATAGAAATAGACCATGGGAGGTATGGCGCCAAAAAAGGCGCCAGCTAGGTACTTTCTGTACCTGATGGAAATCGTATTTGGAGAGCTGAGCGCGATGCAACCGGCAGTCCAAGGGATGGTGGCCACAAGGTACGAAATCATGAAAATATCATGCCGGTCGTGGTCATCGGTCGAAGTCACATAAGTCCAGCCGGCACAAGTCAGGGTCCTGAAGAGACCAACACCGGCAACAAACTTGGGAAGGGCCTTCCCGGGCCGCGCCGCCAGGAGATACCAAAGAGTCACGAGCGCGAACCTAGGACCTGTAGACCATCGCCGGATCAGCACGGGGTACCACTTAGGAGGATCTGGTAGCCTCGTACTCCTCGCGCCGCGATAAATAAGCAGAACATACCCGAAGTTAACGCTATGAATATCATGAAAAACGACCGTTCCGGGTATCGGTCACCGATGGTAGCGGAGACGGAGGGGAACCACTCGTCAGGATATCCATGGAATTCGTTCTGGACGATCTTGTGATAGTGAAGGCGTATACCGACGAAGAGCGCGCTCAGAAAGGCAGCTGCGAGTGGCCATCGATCAGCAAAGGCATCGCTCTAGGCTTCAACTCTAATGGCTGGCATAGGGAATGACCAACTGTATGCAAAGACGGTATGCGCCCACGATACCCATTTCGCATTTATTGAGGCCACCTCGTTCCCGCCCTCCTTGTCTTTGTACTTAGACATGGCGGAGGCGATGGAGTCTCGAGTCCGAAACAATGGTGCCAACTAGCCCATGTGAAAGTCGAGTGCATGCAAATCAAGTCGCCAGTAGGGTGGTGTTGCGAGTAGAGAAGAATGAAGAATAGCGGACAGCTACCCAGGCGGTAGGAGGGGACATCGGAGAAGGGAAGGGGTAGGCACCCACGGTAAGTAGGCCAAGTAGTTCCCCAGGTTAGCTTTTATCACCGGGCACTTTGGTGAGGACAGGGAGCAAGGTGTGGCGTTGCGTGGGTGTGCTCAGTTCATCTATATCCGGCCATCCGGCCACTCAGTGACGGTGGGACAGATACAGATCGACTGAGGCGACTTATGGCCGGGTACGTAAACACCTAACGTTCTATAGTTGTATCACGTGCTTACTCCTGCGGCGGCGGCGGGACCTCCTATAAGTTTAGGTATCTACCTACATACAGGAGGTAGGTAGGTACGCCTATAGTCCATAGTATACCTGTATACACGCCGGGTGCATACCTAACCTTGACGTACCTAGGTACCTAAGGTACCTCTACAACGGATACGGAGGTACTTACCTTATCCTAGATACAGGTACATATTACATAAGCCATTAGGCTTTTTTCTCTCGGCTCTGCTTGAAACTTTTCTACGCAGGTCTGCCTATCTTTAACATCGCGAGACCGCGGTACCGACCCCGAATCGAGTAGGCCAATTCGAGCCCAGCCACTCCGAGCATCCTCCGGTCGAGAGGAGCACTAAGCATGGCAGGTGTTCCTGAGAAAGCTCGGTTCTATCTCGAGCGCGCAGTCCCGCAACTCCGCGAATTCGAAGCCAAGTCCATATTCACTAGTGACGAGATCCGCTCTCTCGTACGGAAACGCACCGATTTCGAACACCTTGTACTCTCTCCTGGAAACAAGCCGAGCGACTGGCTAAATTATGCCGCCTGGGAAAAGTCTCTGGAGGCGCTACGCGCAAAACGCTGCCGTAGGCTGCAGATTCGCACCTCGTCCAGGCACACGGGCGAAGGAAGGATATTCGCGATACTGGATCGAGCTGTGGGCAGGCATCCCGGGAGCGTTGAGCTTTGGAAGGAGTATCTAGCTTATGCTCAAGGTCTGAATGCCACCAAACGGTATCGCAAGACCATGAGCAGGGCATTAAGGATGCATCCGACGAAGCCGGAGCTCTGGGTGTTGGCAGGTAGGAGGGCGGCACAACACGGCGACATGCAGGCCGCGAGAAACTTTTTCATGCGCGGCGCCAGATTTTGCACTCGAGACGCTACGATCATGCTGGAATATGCCAGGTGTGAAATGGAATGGCTGGAGCGGATGGATGCGAGGAGGGAAAAGAAGGGCGGCGCCGAAAAAGCGCTCGAGGAGCAGGCCGAGAAAAGCGATGATGAAATACAATTTCCTGGAGAGGAAAGCGACGACGATGTTGACGAGAACGGCCGACTGGTTGCCCCGGACCCAAGAGAGCCGGCCGAGAAAAAGGTGTTCGACGAAGACATGGCGAAAAAATTGCGGGGTAACCCTGCATTGGACGGGGCTATCCCCGTGGCCATCTTCGACATTTGTAAGAAGCAACCCTTTTTCAAGGCCGCTACAGGGGAACAATTCTTTGATCTCTTCGCTACGTTTCACACCGTTTCGGCTCAGGCCAGGCTTATCCAGCACGTTCTCGACGGTATGACCGAGATCGATCCCCACAACCCATCAACTTCCTTCTGCCAATTCCGACAGCCGTTTATCAACATCGGCATCAGCACACCATCGTACCCAGAAGCACTACGAGAAGCGCTCAGCCGACTCAAATCATCCCTTCCTACAAGTACAAGCCAGCCTTTGTTAGCAGAGAAAGTGAGATCATGGATAGGACCAATCCTTGCCTCTCAAGACTTTGACCCAGGTATCCGGACGGTTCTCGAGCACACTCTTCGGACTCTGCCTAAGCCCCAAGGAAGCCTACTCTTTACCATGGGCGCAGGAATAGCGGGCGGTGCAGGAGGATAGCCAAAACACCCTCTAGCACCGTCCAGAATGGCTGGCGCGTTAGTTAGCCTCACCACCACGCTGTCTCGCTATGCTTATTATATGCTCGAACTCTTCAGAGCTTACGCGGCTCACACTAAGCCGGCTCTGTTTTAGCAATTGCATGTTCTCGAGCGGCTGTCCCGCGTGACCCATCTCACGAAGTTCCTTCAACCCGATCGGCTGGCTGAACTTGGTACGAAACTTGACATGCACGACGCTCCATTTAGGATTTTCGAGTTTCGAAGATGGGTCATAATATGGTGCCTTCGGGTCGTGCGCCGACACTAAGCTGCAGTTAGGGAGATGCAGGGGGGGTTAGGCGCAAACACCGAGCACTTACAGTCTGGCGAGTGTTCTTGTACAATCTCCATTGTACCCACGATGCCTGGGTCCTTGCAGTTCGAGTGATAGAAGAGGGCCACGTCGCCCTTCTTCATAGCCCGGAGGTTATTACGAGCGGCGTAATTGCGAATGCCTAGGATGGGTTTGTTAGACTATGACACAAACATCTTGATAGACCAGGCTATAGAACAAACAGGGGACACACCCGGCTGGCCAGCCAGCCTAGTTCACATTAGACAGGAAGCAATCTTACCATCCCACGGCTCGGGCTCTTCTCGCGCTCTTAAATCGTCGATAGAGAATCTCACGTCGACGCCGTTCTCGAGTCTGGTCTCGGGCTCGGCCTTCATGAGCCAGTATGACCTCTCCGAATCGGTAGGCGTCCCACCCGCTTCAGGTCGCGATGTTGCGGCAGACCGGGTGGGATTCTCGGTATCGCCTCTTGGGTTTCTTACTGGAGGCGCATTTCGAAATCCATCTTCATCCGGGGCTCTGGCGGCTTTGAGAGCTCGCTGTTTCCGCGACTGGGAGGGTCGGAGCGCGTTAGTTTCGGATACTACCGTCGGATCTGGCGCAGATGGTTTTTGACGCGTCGATCTTCTCAAACCCGTCCTATCCGGCTCCACCTCCACCTGGGTTGCTTTCCTCTTGGGCATTGCGATCTGGGTTGTCGAGGCTTTCGTCGTATCGATAGGTATAGCAACGAAAACGCGTCTCCAGTTCTTGGTGTGGTACTAGCAAGTTAGGTATAGGTAGGAGGTAGGCACTGAGGCGTCCTCTTGCTAGGTTCTATCAATTACTAGAGGTACTTCTGCTACATAAAAACTCATTAACACGTCACGTGTCTGGATAATTCTAAGGCACCAGCCTATAGGTACATGCACCCACGACGATCCAGCTTGGGCCTACCTATTGTCTCTAGGTTCTGCATGCACCGAAGATGCCTACATACCTACCTCATTATGTCGGTCGTAGGCAGTGGATAAGCGCCTAGCATGCTGATTTCCTTCTATCGCGACGGAGGCGTTTCTTATTGTCTCACGCTAGCTTGAGGAATTCCGCAGGTCGTGTCTAAGCAGCCTGGGGCGGTGACGAAATACCGAAAGAGCGCATTTGATAATACCTATACCTACCTTAAGCCGATGCAGCCTGCTTCGGACGCGTACCTTTATCATGGCAGCCCACCCCTTAGAGAGCATCCCCACGCGACGGATAAGTGCGTACGGTAGGTATAAACATAGCCGCCGCTTGCAATATGGTGGATCCCGTCAACCTACTTGGACTCCAATAAAGGATGGGAGATCACCGTCGGCGCCACTGGAGGTGTATTGAGGAGGAGGGGCGGAAGAGGAGCGGGAAGACGGTGCTAATGCTAGGTAATATGTCTCTTCGGCAAAGTTGGAAGACAGGGATCATCCGTCAATATTCGAAGCGATCACACCAGTGAGCCATGATGTACAGGTCAAGTAAGGACAGGGCAGGGCAGGTTGGGCCAGAACGAAGAATCCTATTCTCGATTGTGCGTCGTCGTGGTAGGCTATGGCTGCGTCAACTGAACTGCGGTACTGCTACGGTCCCAAGCTGCACGCATACGTATTTGGCCCTACCTCATTTGATAAGTCGAAAGTCGACATGCACGTAGATCAGCCGGCTATTTCCTCGAGTAGTAATTACTTGAAGCCCTGTCTTCGTAGCGGAGGAGGCATAATATTTGATGCTTTGTCCTGTTGGAGATGGAGGGGGGGAGGACGAAACAGGCCTCGAATGAGCTGGATAATACCTAGCTTCAAGGACCAAAAAAAAAAAAATCAAAAATCAAAAATCAGGCCAGCCGTTTAGAATCAAGCTGATAAAGTTCGCCGAAGGCTCACTTTTCACCGGCAAAGCTTATCTACGGCCTATCCTGAAAATGATAGCCCTAGCAGACGAAGTTTCTGCCAAATTTGGCTCCTCCCCAGCTTCGCACTCCATAGAACGCCCATCCATTCCCATTGGCACATCGGCATAATCCGCGGGGAATGTCGGTAAACGCTCGAGGTTGCGATATAAGGCGTAAAAGAAGAAGATGGAAAGAAGGGAAAAAAAAAACAGCAGATACGGAGACGGAGACAGGCGGATGTAGCGAGAGAGGGAGGGAGAGAGCTGTGAAGCGTCATTCCTTGGATCAAGGGACATCGATGATGGGGGACTGGGCTTAACGACCACTGGCAGTTACAATAGGTTATAATTAGGTATCCTCCGGAGAGGAGAATAATATGATGAGCGAAAAGCCAAGTCACGCTGGATCGAGGGTAGGGTAGGTAGGTAGGTAACGTGTAGGTAGTAAGAATGGAAAGGCAGGCCAGGTATTGTAACCGATCTTCCCTCAGACCCTCTTCTTCGTTCCCCTTCTACCATACCTAAGAGGCCCATCGACCACCCCTTCGCCGGTCCCTTGTGACCGTCTCTCTCATCCTTTACTTTTCTTCCCCTTCTGTGCCCTCTTTCTCGCTCTCTACCTTCCCTGCCCTTTTCCTGCCCTTTCATTCCTATTCCATTCAAATCCCCCTGCCCCTGGCGCTTTTTCTTTCTTTCTTTTTTGAAACCGCATCGTCTCGAGGCCGTGCCGTAATTGGTGTTTTGTCCCGATGACGAACTCGCTTCCCACTTACATGGAAATACCCCAAAACGGTACTGGCGCGGAGCTACTACACGTGCACTATGGAAAAGAGAGCGTGTGAGCGAGGAGGGGAGAACAAGACGTATTTCTCGGCTTGACGAACCCCGACACCAGCGACACTGGCAATCCGATTTCATGAGCTTGTTGGCGAGGTAAATGTGCCTTCTACCGCTGGTCGTCCCTTTGGGATGGGCATTAGTTGAGGGCAGGCAGCCAGCGTATGGATCCAACGTTGCGCAAACGGGCCTTGACCAACGATGGCTTCTTGACCAGGATAAGTCGTCTCCGCTAGAAAAGTTGCAGGGGTCGGTCATCAGATACCAAGCGACGATGCTCTCGTTAATCAATTTCTACAGAACTCGACGGGGACTTGTCAGGCTTGTGGCACGAGATAAAATAAATTCTTCTTCTCCCCCCCTCTTCCTTGTTGTTGTTTATTGCTCTCCCGGCTTTTTTCGCGAAACCCTCGGCGTAGTTCTGAGGAATTCGTTGTTATTATTCATCCATATCTCTCTACCTCACCCACCACGAGGGTTCGATTCAGCCAAGCAACATTCCCTTACATTTACCTGTTGTACGCACGTCTGGACTTTCAAATTCTCTGCAGCACACCGGGATTCTCATGTCGTTCGTACGACAATCACCCCAGACTCGCGCACCCCTCGCCAGCTTCCCGTGGGGAGGAGTTGGACATTTAGATGTCGAAAAGGCGGGTGTGGGTGAGGCAGAGAGGAAGAGTGAGGGGCAGAGAACACCAGAGGCGGTCGACCGCCCTGACTCCAGGAGCCTCCGCCAGGAGAGGTTGCAGGTCGGCTCTCGCCCTCCCACCTACCTAGGTAGCGGGAGAAACATCGCGCGACCTTGCGGCCGACGTTTGAGCGACCACAGCATTTATTATCGGCTTCTCGCAACCCGTACCAATGGACCGGCGAAGAACGCTCATTGGCTCCACGTGAACCACCACTAACGGGGTCGCTCTTGAGTGCTCCGTTCTTGCACGCGTCACTACGAGATGGGCTGGCAGCACACGTGTCTACCTACTCAGCCCTAGAAACAGCGTCTGGGAACCCGATTCTTTCGTGACGGTACGGTCTGGTTTGAATGCCTTTCCGTGGCCCGCTCACCTAGCCGGCATACCTTATGAATTCGACGGGCGGATTCGACTACTGCGTCGGTATCGGTTACGATGGGCATTCCCCCGAGGGATCCGAGGCATCGAGAATCTCGAGCGTACTTGCAGCCGCTCCTGCCAGGCGGGTCTGGCGTACATCGGCCTGGTACTGTCTTGTCCGTCATCGCAGGGTCGGGAGTCAAGTCACATGCACGCGGTTGGCCTACCGGAGGCATTCACGTATCGAAGAACGTTCTCTGGTCCTGGCTTTGGCCTCCCCTTACTCCTCTAGCTCGGACTAAACGGTGCGACTTTTGTTGGCTTCAGCATATGAATGGCATCTATACGGTGGAGACTGGGTGCTGACCCGCCCTCGGCCTGGATACCACTTACGAGGCGAATACGTTGAAGTAATCCGTTGTCGGATACCGTCGGGCGACACGCTGGTCTATCTGGTTGACCAGACATATGTGACGTACTGAGAGGCATAACGCAGCGCCTAACGAAGCGAAGACACCTGTACCATCGCCAGTCCGATTCGCACATGGCCAGGTCTGGCTTTATAGCTTCATGGCTCTGATCTGGCATCGATGCGCGTCTAGATCTCCAACCGTCTCGGCAACGACACACGGATACGCCCAGAGGATAGGCATCAACAGAAAGGTGTAAGGCAGGCCGGTATTTGGTTGGTTCCTCTCCTGTTTTGAAATTCAACTCTTGTGTGTTTCGGGCCAGAAGGCTGGCTCCTCCATTTTCACTCGAGCAGCACTAATAGATCGTATGGGCTGTCTTGTCTTATTTTTTGGCTCCTGCTCTTATCGACACGGCAAGCTATCGTCGATTCGGGATCCGTTTGCCCAAGTACCACCATCGAAGTGCGAGGTGTTGGGTTGCCAAGGAATGCGGTAAGAATGGGATGGGACGGATTGATCTCAGCTGGCTGTGAAGTTCAACACGAACCGGTTAGCGGGGGGACCGTGCACAGCAAGACTGCCTACCCGTTTGGAACGACCGGGAACGACCGGGCCACGGCCGGCCCCCACTCGTCTTCGATCCGCGCTGCTGCACCCAATGGGAGCGGCCTGCCTGCTCTCGGGTAATATGCGGGCTAACAGCCAAGGTCTCTTGCGAAGGTACCTGCTGCGTCGGCTTGCGCTATTCCGTCACAGCAGTAGGAGGTACTCATACACCCTCCCCTTATCACGCTGGCTTCTTGCTGGGCCGGTAACAGGGTACATCAGTACCCCAGTGCATAGGCCGGTCGGGTCTGAGGGCAAGGTTTTTTTTTTTTTTGCCAACGCCCCTTGGCCGGCCAATAGGAGGGGGTGCCTAACCTACCTCCTACCTTAGGTACCTAAGGTACCTACCTAGGTACTTACCTAGGTACCCACTGGTACTTACCTCTGTACCTGTATGTGCTCCGGTACGTACGTGCGCTTCACTTACGTACACACATTTCCTCTCCTCCACACCCTTTTCGGGCCTGGGCCCCGGCTGGCCTCCACTGGAGCAGCAAAAAATGGGACGGGTCCCTCTTGGTGGTGGTTTTTGGGGAGGGGGGAGAGTGAGGAGGCGAGCGACTCCTATTTATTGCGCATCAACGCATGATTTCTCATCACGTTGTTTCCCCCATGCTGTTCCGGGTCTAGCGCGTATGCGTCAAGTAGCATTGCATGGCCACCACCCTTCTTGCGCCTCCTCTTGGGCTGATGTGGCCAGAGATTTTCTTGACCTACCCAGACCTTTCCCCATCCTATCACCCAGCCAGCTCCCCAAAGTTGCTCCTAGGGACGCCTTTAGCCCACACACAGCACCAGCACCAAGCACCAGCACCGAGCACCAGCACCGCCGGGCAGACTGGGCCACCTCGCCAAAAAGTCAAGTGCCTCTTTTCTAACATTACCTGCCGCCGTTCCTGATAAACCCTCCCTCGCGGCAAACACGATCGGAGAGCTCGAGGGGAGTTGTCAATCACCGTTGGCCTAGCTCAGGTAGGTAAGGCCCTGTTTATCTCGTCGGTCCGTCGGCCTGTCTACCTATGCCCGTCGTGTCTCGTCCCTCTCTCGTCCCAGCCCGCCGGTCAAGGTATCTGGGTATCTGGGTGTTGCCATGTTTTTTTTTTATGGTTGTAGGCGTATGTGCATCCCGATACGTTGCGATCCGACCTGGCCTGTCGTTGCTGATACAGTCCTGGTCGCCATCCATCTGTGTCGACTGGAACATTGATGCGCGTTGCTGCATTGAAGCGACCGGTCGTTGTGACTTAGCATGCGCATACATACACAACTAGCGACAAGGGGAGACGAGACACACACACGCACACACACATACGCAAACACACTACCTACATACACATACACACACATCCCGTGCCCAGTCCGTCATCCGACGCCTATTATTAGTTAGAAGAACCACCTCCGTGTATCGAGGCCCGGGTTTACCAACCGCCAAGTGGGTACGGCGCCGTGCTGTGTTGTTCCTCCTCAGCAGTTATTCCGCCGCTCTGACCTGTTTTTCCTTTCTTCCCCGGCTTGCGTCCTGGTGTCCTTGCCGTTATCGCTATCGGCCTGCTTCCCGTGTTGCGATAAGCCCAAGTACACGCTGAACTTGTCAGCACATTTCCAGCGCTGTGTCAGGCATTTAGGGACCCTCTCAAGCCTACAATCCGCAGCGCTACAGGGCACTACTGGGGGCACTTACGGGTACCGTACCTAGCACTCGTAGCAGTACCTCTAGCCTGCTGGCCGCAGAGTCTGGGGAGTTGTTTTCTTTCGAGGAGCTGGGCCGCGCTCTTCCTTTCTCACCCCCCCCCAACCACCGAAAACCTGCGACTGTACCAACTCTCATTTTCCCGATCGCACCGGCCGCTCGCACCCACCTAAAAATCCCTAACCGTCTCGCGACGCGCTTTTTTCACCATCGCGAAACTCGATACTCGTGACACTATCATTTCCGCTTTCTCGTTGTTCCATCTCAATGGACTCGGTTGTTTATATTAATTACTGACATTTGCGTGACTGTAGTCAGATGGGTTCCCTTCTGCGACACCATCCGTCATGAGTTCCTGGATGAACGAGGCCGCTGCCGTCCAAAACCACAATGGCAACGGCTTCCCACACATGAACGACCCGAACAATATGGGAGGAGGGATGGCCGGAGCGTCGGTGGGCATGATGGACCCCTTCATGGCCGGCGCTGCCCAATTCAGTCCTGTTGGCGCCGGCCAGTTCAATCATCAGCAGATGGCCGCTGCTATGCAGAATGGCCCGATGCGCAATGCCTCGCCCTCCTTCTCGAATTCTGCCTACCAAACCAACCCAGTCATCCCCTCAAAGCGACCCCGTCCCCGAGAAGATAGTATTGGCGCGTCGCCGCGACAGAATCCCGGCATGCTACCGACGTCGCGAGCTGACACGCCTCAGCAGTCGCCTTTCCCCGGCTTCCAGCCGAACGCGATGCAGCCGCAGAATCCCGCTCAACCACAACATTATCCCCATCTACAGCCCAATGGCTCCGCGAACGCGTCGCCATCCCCCGTGATGGCTGGCAATCAGCTGCGTCCGGGAAGCGTGCCGCAACGCGTCAATACCGCGTCTCCTCATCCTTTCTCCCCCGCGTCCCAGCAGTTTGGCCCGCAAGCCTCGCCCGTGCCTTCAGATCACGGCAACACGCCCCAGCCGGGCATGTTTATGCCCCCCCAGGGCTTCCCTCAAGGCTTCAATCCGAATTATCAACCCGCTCAGTCTCCTGCCAGGCCGCCGTCGGCGCAGAATCCGATGGCGCAATCCATGATGCCCCAACCGATGGGCCAGTCGATGGGTCAGCCGATGGGGCAACCGATGGGCCAGATGCCACAGCAAATCGCCCAGCAGATGCCGCATATGCAACAAATGACCCAGATGCACCCGGGCCAGATGCTCACTCCTCACCAGATACACCACATGCAACAGATGCAGGCGGCGCAAGCGGCGCAGGGCCGCGGCGCGATGGATCAGCAGCACAAGATGCTGTATCAGATGCGTCTGCAGCAGCAATTCCCGCAAGGCGCCATGTCGATGGGCGCGCAACTACCGCCTCAGAATATGGCCCAAAACCGCGGCATGATGCCTAAACAGGCGATGTCGATGCAGAACGGGCAGATCGCCCCCGGTACCATCCATCCCCAGCAACAAGTTCAGATGTCGCGATCTACCAACCCCGAAAGCTTTCTCAAAAACCTCGCAACGTTCATGAACATGCGACAGCTCCCCCTCGATACCAACCCCGTCGTTGACGGCCGCCCGCTGCACCTACTTCACCTCTTCCAAAATGTCTCCAAGTTTGGTGGTTATCGGAATGTGTCGACGCACAACCTTTGGATGTCAGTCACTGCGTCTGTCGGGTTTAACCCTCAGCAGATGCCAACGGCGGCCACGCAAGTGAGGGCAATCTACGAACGAAATCTGCTAAAATTCGAGGAGGCCTGGGCGATGCAGCAGCGAAACCAGCAAATCAAGCAGCAGCAAACAGGCCCCCCGACGGGTGCGCCCGCAGGACCAGGTCAAGGTGTACCGCAAAGGATGGGCCAGCTACCGCCTGGCCAACACGGCCAGCCTGGGCAGGTCCATCATATGCCCCAGCCGCATACGCCGACCCCCATAAAGCAGATGGCGCCGGCGATGTCCCAGGTGAACGGGTATTCGACACCACCGAAGCCCCGGGTCAATCCGCACCAAGCGAACGCGGCCCAAGGGCACCCCAGAGGCGCTGCGTCTAGGAGTATCGACGCCAGGCCGGCAGTAGGCGAGTTTCCTACACCGTCACCGGCGCCTGCCGTCAAAGCTAGCAATATTTCAGTACAGCCCCCGCACCAGCAGGCAGACGGTGCACCTACTAATGGAATCGCTAACCTTCCCTTCCCGGGCCCGTTCTCGTCTGACCCCGATGAGTACATACCATGCTCCCGAGAAATGCTCTCTGGATTTTATGGTGGCTTCGACCTAGAGTCGATACGCAAGCTAGGCAATGATTTGGAGAGGTGGAGGCCGGACGTACCGCAAAACCACGAGCTCGGCGATATCGACATCCATGCTCTCACGAAAAGCCTGCAGTCTGGCATACACGGCGAGGTGCGGCTGGCTCTAGACACTCTCGGGACCATATCGCGCGCGTCAGAGTTCACTGCGAACTTGACCATCGATTTGAGAATGTGCGATGACCTTGTCGAGTCGCTCGTAGACTGCGCCGAAGAGCAGGTGGACCTGCTCGCCGAACGCGCGGACCCGATCTCGGATGAGATAGACCTGACTTCGTACGAGGATGTCATGCGGAGCTGCCGTCTCGAGTCGATCGGTCTCCGGAAGGCGCACGTTTTGGGAGACGCCGAATACGATCTCGAACATGCCGCAGATCGTCTGCTCGCGATCACGACGATATTGCGTAATTCCTCTTTCGCAGAGGTCAATCAGCCGGTCCTCGCCGACGAAACAGTCATCAAGTTCCTGTGCAGTACGATACGGTCTCTGGGCACCCACGAGAATCTGTTGCGAGCGCCCGGGAACACCCTCGACTTCATGAAAGACGTCATCATTTTGTTATCCAATATTGCTGGTTGCATAGAGATACCCGGACGTGAACAAGCGTTCTGTCTCCTCCACTTCCTCCTAGCTTTTGCTCCTTCGCCGGCCCCGACGTTGACGACCGATCGAGTCGTTTTCTCTCCATTCGAGCCTCCCATTCACCCCTATCTACCTCACGCAGTCGATGCTCTAGCCAAGCTTCTAGCGCGGGACGAGCCTAACAGGACCTACTACAAGGCTATCTTTGCTGCCGACGCCGCCTCCTCACCACCATACGAGCTCCTTACACGGACTTTTGGTCTAGCGATTTCCCCGATCCCAGACCAGAACAAGGAGAGCCGTCCGGCAAATCTACCTTCTTTCGTCGAAGCGCGCAAGGCGATGCTCATGCAAGGCCTTCTCTCCGCTGATATCATCGCCCAGCTCGCCCCGGGTTTCGAGACGGGAGTGACGCGGGCGTGGCTGTCTTCGAGCGAGGGGTTCGCCCAGAATCTCTTCAAACTCATCCGTACGCTCTGCACCCAGGCGGAACCGGCATCCCGCATCGGGGGCGGTAACGCTAGGACGCAGCCGCGCGAGGACGTGGACGTTCTGTACGTAATCACTTGCGGCGTCTCGACGCTGAAGAGACTCAGCGAGAAAGCGAGAGACCCGAATAACCCGACCAGCATTCCGCCGAACGCCTTGCCAACGCGCGAAAGCCTCTTCGGTGCTCTGTTAAGTCTGAAGAGTCCCAAGTGGACGTTATTACTGAATCAGCTGAGCACCTACGCCGGACTAGAAAGTTAAGGTGCCCCGTCGAGGGGTATACCGGGCCGTAATGCAATCGTAATGTTCCAATCACCATCAGCGATGGCAGCCGTGAGAGGCTGCTCAGGAAAGTCGGAGAATCAAACCACCCCCCCAACGGCGATACAGGCGATACAGGCGAAAACGGCGAGGGTGATGCCAACGATCACGGTCATCATACGGAGGGAGTACTCTCAGGTGGTGTTGGGGACTCGGCTCTGGCCCCCCTCCCAAACCCCCCCTACGTTAATGGGCGAGCGCGGCGTTTAGGAGCTTTTAGATGAGTAGCATGGGATGTACAAAGTAGCCCGGCATACAGGAGATGTATAAATGTGTAGATTATGCTTCACGGGCTTTACGGGGCAATGCCAGGCACACTGTGGTAACGTTGACAGTGCTCAAGTTTTGGACGATTTTGGAATGTTTACAGGATTGCTTGGTGATCACAAACGTGTGAGTTTTGGAAGGGTCAGATGGCCGCCGGCCTTTCGCAGTGTTGCGTCAGTAGTACACGTGTGACCGGATGCTTCTAATCGAACATGTCGTGTTTATCAAAATTCGTGCCCGTGGATGACTACAAATGGTTCTTTTTTTCTAACGCTTCAATGCAACATGGCGTGCGGTCGTACATCGCCGTTACCACCTACGTTATTCCGGGGCGATTCAGGGGGCGGTCGTTTCCTACTCGACCTAAGGGCGGTTGCGGAATCTCAAGGGGGATATCCAAGCTCCTGCTATATGTCAAGGTTGCCGAAGAAGTGTGTGAGGGGCGAGACCGATTCTCTTCGCGCTACCCATACAAGGTGATCACTCCGTTAAGCCTGGGGGTAATAAGGTAGCGGGTGTCTTAAACCTATCTGGCACGGACCTGCTGGGAGAAACGCGTAGAGCGGGAGAAGATATGTAGATCAGTGTCGCGAAGAGGCCAGCGGAGGGTATCGAGAAGGGACGATCAGGCCCAGAGATTCTCGTCTTCCTTTTGTTCGTTCCCGGACTATAAATACACACGCAATATACATAACGACAGTAACACATATATCGACGACACGCTGGAGTGAAGATAGGCGCATCTTTTTGCGATAGCCGGAACCAGTTCCGCTTTAGATTTGACCCAGCTCGGCTTTTATCCAACTCCGGACCAGGTCCGGCAGCTTCTCATCGCCCCCCCCCTTCCCCCCCTTCTTGCTCTCTCTGACTTCTAAACCTGGCTCAGCGGCTCGACGGGCTTCATGGCGTGCGAGGTATCGTCGGGGCGCGACCGATACGCGGAGTCGGTGCCGCGGATCGAGCGCGCCAGGGACTGCAGCGAGTCCCGGCGGCGGGGAGGAGGGAGGTAATCGGCGCCGTCGTCCGCGTCGGCGCGCGGCTTCTGGTACGCGCTCTTGGACTTGGGGGGCGCCGCCGGCATGGGCCCGACACCGTAGTCGTCGAGCTCCTGCTGGCTGTTCTTGGGCCACTCGCGCTCGTCCTTCCTCTGGTGCCGGATGTGGAGTATGACGAGGGTTGCGATGGTGACGAATGCGAGGAGGCCGCTATTTCTCCCACCCCACCGGAAGCGAGTCGCGTTAGACGGGTTCTTCAGTCTCCTCGGCTTCTCGTGCGGGGGGACGTCGAGAGGTTCGCGAAGCGCGGAGAGGAGGACAGGAGAGGGGGAGATCGGGGGAAGAGACGAGTGTGAGACTTACCCCAAGGTACCGACGACGATTGCGGTGGTGCTATTGCTCGCGTTGGGCTTCTCGCAGAGGTCAATGTTAGGCCGCGGATGGCAAGGATCGACTTCGTCGGCGCGAGTCAAGATGCGGAAAGCCCTTCTGGCAAAGCGCCCAGCGACGGACGCGGAGAATGACGACAGCGGCGCCGCCACCGCGTGGTCAGCTGGGAAGGGACTCATGGTGGTGTGGTAGTATGTGAGACGCTGATGCGCGAAGTCGTCGACGATCAGGCAGACTAGCGGGAGTAGCGGCAGCAGTGGTGGTGGTGTTGGCAGTAGCTGTTGCGGTAGTAGACGGTGACAGGTTCCGATTCCGATTCCGACAGTCCTGCTTCTTGGCCGTCCCCCTCATTCCCAGGCACAGAAAACGACCGTCCCTTATCCCGTATGAATGATCGGATGGTGCGGAATGCGCGAATTTAGCGATGGAGCGAGCGTGAATGAATCGATACCCAGATTGGCGGCGGCGTGGGGCAGGAGGGCGTTAAAAATAAAATAAAAACCTCCTAAGAGTAAAAAATAGCAAACGAGCCCAGGCAATGGGCAAGGAGTGAATAGAAAGAAGAGAGCGTAACCGTCGCGTGGCGTAATGATCGAGCGGAGGGAAAACGAGGAACAAAGAGGAAGAAAAAGTAGCAGTGGAAGAGAGAGCGGGAGAAGAGAGCGTAGTAATTATTACGGTGAGGCGGTTAGGACGGACAAACGAACGAGGGTGTACGGGACAATATGCTACTAATGTTACGCGAGGAAATCCTCTCTCCCTATTTTTTATTTAGTTTCTATTTAGTTTTCCAGCTTTCGGGTTGACCTCTGCACCCCTTCTCTTCCTACCGGTAGGAGTTAGCAGCAGGAGGCACAGCCCATGATACAGGACGTTTCACTGACCATGGAAGGGGAGCGCTGGTGAGGCGATGGGATGGATGGCGATTGGCATAATAGCGCACGAGGACGGGCGCATCGACGAGACAGGACGGGGACCCCTGCCGAGCCGATTTGACCAGTGTCCATCAGCTGGAGAGGAGAGGATCCGGGTACGTACCACCAACAGCCTGCCTCCACAACGCGTGCTACAATTAGGAGCGGACTAAAGGTCAAATGGGTACAACCTACCTAGGTAGGTACCTACCTAGGTACTTCATGCCTAGGGCTGGCAGACGGCCCCTGAATTGTAGGTACCTTATGTACCCGAGGTACCCGTGACCTGAGGCATGTCTCCCAACATCCAACCCATCGATGGGTCAACTGTCATCAACGCGGTTGTTGCGTGCCTAGGTTAGGTACCTACCCGTACCTACTGCGCCCAACACTGGGTACATCGCAGCACGACGGAGCCACCAACCGTGGCTTCGACGGGGAAATGGGGATGCAACGCGCGGAAATACGCCGACGCAGTCACTTACCTCCCTCATACCTAGGTAAGCATTATGTGCCTCCAGGACCCCCGAATCCCGCTACACAGCCAGCGAGCGTCAGCGGGTGTGCGCATACATATACCTATACCTGCTCATACAAGGGAGGACACCCGGCCACGCACCTCAGCGCAGCCGCTGCGGATTCGCGCGGCATTAGCAACCAGAGGACGTTCCGTGATGACGAGAGCACCGGCTCGAACCTCGTCGCGGCCCTGGTGGCCCTCGCGGCCGTCGTGACCACGACGGCGGGAATTCCGCGCGCAGGCGGACAGCATGTCCGAGTTATCCACGCTGGCCACAGGCAGGGCGCCGCGCCGCGGTTGGGGCGTGGCCAATAAGGCGGTCTCCATTATCCCATCGAACGCGGCCTAGCTCCGCAAAGCAGGGAGGTCGGTATGCAAATGCCGTCAGAGCCTCTGGGGCCAGTTCCGTGGGTAACCGCACCGCTCGTGATGCTACCGATTAGGCAAGCTGGCGACGTCGGATCCCCTCTTGTTTCCGCCGTCGCTGCTTCATATGCGCACCGTAGCTCTAGCTAGCCGCGAAAAGCCGAAGTCTTACTTATAGACGGCCTCTCATGCGCTGGCCGACGCGGACGGGTATGCCGGCCGGTGCGCGAGTAGACAGCGACAACTTGAGCGTGCCCACTTCCCTGACGAAGAAGGCCCCCTCTCTTTCTCTCTCTTGTCTACGTCCCTACATATAGATAGCGTGCCGTAGTCCCCTCCGTCGTCAATAGGCTCCCGACATCCGAGGCGTCTATCGCTACAAGAGGAGCCATGCATTCGGGACACCTCGTATCGGGTGCAGCTGCACTAGCACTGCTTTATGTCAGTAGGACCTGTCGACATAACCTCGTTCGCTCGCTCCGGACGGACTGGCTGACTAGGATGTGCTCCAGGTCTCGGGGCTCGTCCTCTACCGATTATTCTTCCACCCCTTAGCCAAGTACCCGGGGCCGTTCATCGCTAGGATAACGGACGCCTACCAACTCTACCATTCCTGGAAGGGCGACCGACACCTCGAGTTTTGGCGGATGCACCAGCGATATGGTAGGCGAGCGAGGCCGGCCGATCCTCTCTACCTTCGTGACCGGCTAACATGGCGAAAGGCGGCGTTGTGCGGTTCGGTCCCAATAGCGTCTCGTTCAACTCGAGCACCGCCCTCAAGGACATCTACGGCTTCAGATCGAACGTACGCAAAGCCGAATTCTACGACGCTTTCGTCCACCCGGCACCCAACACCCATAACACTAGGGACAAGATCATGCACGCGCGAAAGAGGAGAGTCCTGTCTCAGGGATTCTCCGACTCTGCCACCAAGGAGATGGAGAGGTACATCTTGGCCAACGTGCGGTCTTTCTGCGAACAGATCGGCCTCGGCGCGAGCAACGAACGAAAAGGCTGGACTGTGGCTAGGAATATGGCCGACTGGTGTAACTACCTAGCCATGGATATTCTTGGCGATTTGTGCTTTGGAAAGGCCTTCCACATGCTGGAGAAGCCCGACAACCGGTACGCGCTCGAGTTGGTGTCGATGGCCACGACCAGGCATCTGATCGTAAGTGGTCTTTGGCTCAGCCTTCCCAGACAATCCACATACACGCCCACACACACGCACACACACATATGCACATTATATACACACATGCATGCATATAGGCATATAGTCGGACCGGTTGCTGACGAGAGAGTAGTGCGGGACGATGCCCCTAGTCGGCAAGCTCCACCTCGACAAGGCCTTGTTCCGCAAGATCGCGACCGGCCGTGAAAAGTACATGGCGTACAGCAAGGCGCAGCTGACGGAGCGAACGAAGATGGGACACGACACAGATCGCCGTGACTTCTTCTACCATCTCCTAACGGCCAGGGACCCCGAGACCGGGCTGGGATTTACGACCCCGGAGTTGTGGGGGGAGTCGAACCTCCTGTGAGTTCCTGAAAGCGACTGTGGAGGGCCGTGGCTAACTGCTGTTAGTATCATAGCAGGGAGCGACACAACCTCGACTGCCATGGCCGCTACGCTATTCTACCTCGTCCGTAACCGAGCGTCGCTTGAGAAAGCAAACGACGAGGTCAGATCAAAATTCAACGACGTGGAGGAGATCTGCCAAGGACCGGTCCTAAACTCGTGCGTCTACCTTCGAGCATGTGTCGATGAGGCGATGCGCCTCTCTCCTTCCGTTGGGGGGATCCTCCCGCGCGAAGTGTTAAGCGGCGGCATAACGATTGACGGCGAGTTCATACCTGAGGGTACCGTTGTTGGCACACCTCATTATACCATCCACCACAATCCAGCGTACTATCCCCAGCCATTCTCGTACGTCCCCGAGCGTTGGATAGCGGGCTCGCACAAGAGCTCTACCGGCTGCGGAGGAGCCGTCGTGACCGAACAAGACGTGGCTTCGGCACAGAGTGCTTTCTGCCCCTTCTCGGTCGGGCCTCGAGGGTGTATCGGAAAGGGCCTAGCCTACATCGAAATGATGACAACTCTGGCGCGGGTGCTGTACTTGTATGATTTGCGCAAGTCAGCCGGTTTCGACCCGGCCGAGGGGAATCCCAACCTCGAGTGGGGCCGCCATCGCGTGGACGAGTTCCAGCTTATTGACCAATTCACCAGCTTGAAGGATGGGCCAATGGTTGAGTTTAAGAGGCGCATCTAGAGGACCGTCTAGAGGACAGGGAGGGAGGCGCACATGACTACCCCAGGAATATGAATACACGCATGTATCATGCTGGTATATGATGCCTACCTCGGCACGCTTCAAACTTCGTAGCCCAGAAAGCCGTTCAGCCTATAGCTATAGGCAAGTGGACGGAAAAGGCAACCAGATGGGGTTGCGGATGGCTTGATAGGCTGGCTGTGAATAACCGCCACCATCGACCAAAAATAGCTAGAATCAGATCCTACGTAGATCGAATGGTACTAGTCCAATCCTGAAGCGGGCGTGACTTGGGCGGCAACAAGGGCTGGCCAAGAATATGACTTATGGAGATTACATAGACTATGCCGGCAATCTGGATGAATGGCGCCGGGAATATTATTTGCTGCCCCGTCTCGAGTGGGTATCGTTGACCGGGGCCAGACAGGCTGTCCCCCCCCTAGCCCTCCACAATGGGCCAATTCCGGACAGCCAAATCTTGGATAGAGGCACATTGTAGGGCCGAATGACATGTGAGCTGCTAAATTCCGGGGCTGGACCTGCGTTAGTGACTTCGTCCGAGAGGCGGCAAAAACTCGGCCGGCTCGGACAGATGTTTTCACGAGAGCTCGCCCGGTCACCAGCGTCGTGAAAGGCGCGGTTAGAAGCTTCACGATGTTCTGGATGGCACCTCAGCATTATAAGCGGCGGACGCTCCCGAGCGGGGATAATTAGGTAGGTGGAGTGTGATTTCTGGGCGAATTACATAGGCATATATAATCTGCCGCTTCCGGTACGAGATCGTACCTGGTAGGAAGTGGCACGGTCGTCTTCGCGGGAAGCATATCGGTGATCCTCCATCATGGCAAAACCAGCTCTACGTCACTTGATATCTCTGCTCACCCTGAGCGGTAGCCTATTCTCATCCGTCTCCTGGGCTTCTGCCTCGGCTGTGAGCAGCCATGGCCGCGCCGAAGGCTGGCCGTACGGCCCGCTAGTTACCGCCGGTCGTGACATAAAAAACGCGCGGGGGGAAACCGTCGTCTATGCTGGCGCGAATTGGCCAGGCCATGGAGAAGCCATGATTCCCGACGGACTCCAATACCAGTCCATTGAAAGCGTCGTCTCCAAGATTAAAAGCGTGGGCATGAATGCCATCCGCTTGACCTTTGCCATCCAGATGATAGACGAGATCTTTGCCAACGGCGGGAAGGATATAACCGTGAAAGATTCATTCGTCAAGGCACTGGGGCAGACCAATGGAACCAAAGTGTACAGCCAATTCCTAGCCAAGAACCCAGCCTTCAACGACAGCACCACTCGGCTCCAGGTGTTCGACGCCGTTGCGGCGGAATCTGCCAAGCAGAATATCTATGTGCATCTCGACAACCACATGTCGAGGGCCGCGTGGTGTTGCTCGACGACGGACGGCAATTCCTGGTTCGGCGACAGCGACTTTAGTATGTATGGGGACTACCTAGCCTCGTCGACATAGACAAACTGACATTCTCGCAGACGTGGATAATTGGACGAGAGGGCTCTCGTACATGGCCAACCACGGGAAAAGCTGGTCGGCTCTGACGTCGGCGTCGCTGCGCAATGAGCTTCGCAGGCCAGACAACAACGCGACGCTCCGGAGCGAGTCGTACAATTGGCGGGACTGGTACACGAACGTCAGGAAAGGCGCGGCGGCGGTCAACTCAGCCAACCCGGACCTTCTCATATTCCTCTCGGGCCTCGACTTCGACACCTACGTCACGCCGGTTGTGCAGGGCACCGTCCTGACGCCGGGGAGCGGCAGATACAGCGCCGCCGACTTCGAGGGCTACGCCGACAAGCTGGTGCTGGAAATCCACAACTACCAGAACAGCGCGTCGAGCTGTTCCGGCGTGAAGAGCTCGCTGTACTCGAGCGGGTTCCAGGCGCTCCACGCCGAGGACGCGAACACGGTCAACGTCTTCCCCGTCCTGCTGACCGAGTTCGGATTCGCGCAGACGGCGACCGAGTGGCAGAGGCCGTACGCCACCTGCATCGCAGAGTACCTCGCCGAACAGAAGGCCGGCTGGTTCATCTGGGTCGTCGCGGGCAGCTACTACATCCGGTCGGGCACGCAGGACTTCGAGGAGCCCTGGGGTCTCCTGAACCACGATTGGTCGGATTGGCGGGCACCGTCGTATATCGAGGGAGGACTGAAGCCTCTGGCCAAGAATACGGCGCAGGGATAGGGTTGCTGGGTATCTTTTGTAACGAGTGGTAGGTAGCGATTAGATGACGCTCTTCTCTGTGGCTAGCGTACCGCTGCCACTTATCTGGGGCATATCTTCGTACAAATAGGAGAAGGAATATTGGCGAATTTATAGCCGCATTATAGGTATCGTGATAACAACACCCATGGATTCTCTGGACCATCAAGTACCTAGATACCTATCTTGAGGGCACCGCCAAAAGCTTAGGTAATGTACAATACGTCATGAATCAGGAGGTACCTGCGGACAGGCACCGTCACTGGGTAAGTTAGAGGTAGGTAGGTACAGGTATTTATTTTCTATGTCTACAAGCCAACCAACACTTGTCGAGTACATCAGATACCTTAGGTACCTACCCTAGGCACCTGATGTACCTAGTGAAAGCACTTACCTAACCTCCTTAGGGAAGGTGGTATCTATAGTAAGACCCCTCCTGCCCCTGATATATTACATGTACCTACTGTCTGCATGTACCTGGACGTACCTACCTCCTATCTGCAAGCTCCCAGTGCAACACCAAACGGTCGCTGACACCTGTCAGGGATCGATGTCGGTGGGTATCGTGCCGCCTTTCCTAGGTGCTCTCGAACTCTTCTTTCTCTTCAACCTCACCTCCAGAATGCCGCCTATTTGCAAATTCTGGCAGCAGGGCAACTGCCGAAACGGAGGTATGCAATTGGTGAACCCATAAGTAATGGAACTGAGACAACGTGTGCTTACGCTTACTCCCCGTCCGTATAGCGTCCTGTCGCTTCGAGCACCCCGGTGCCAACACGAACCCGTTCGGGGCTCCCAACTCCAACGCGAACCGCTTCAGCGCCCTGAGCACAGGAGGAAATAGGCTGCAAGATGCCCCAAACCCTTACAAGATTACGCCAGAGAGTATCAAAGTCGACCTTATAGACGAGCGGCCGTCATGGATCCTATCCTCTTACGGCCCCGGGAGGGACGCTCCAGAACAGTTGTTTGGAGGATACCCACGAGAGCAGAGCCTAGAGGAAGTCATGGTGCATATTAGGGGCTCTAGTAATCAGCAGCAAGCGGTATGGGACAATCCCTATCTTCACTGTCAAGTTGCTAACGACCCCCCCGCTCCCTAGATGTCCGATGTCACAGCCCTCTGTCAGCAAGCCGAGCAACAAATCCAGACGACCCTTAACAATTTAGACGGTGCAGTGCAATTCATCCTAGCTGCTGAGAACAACCACCCGAACCGTATAGATATTTGTAAACAGAGTGCTGGGGATGGAGGCACAACCGGAGTCTTCTTGAGGGATGCTGCCGGTCCACTGGCTGGTTTCTCGAATCCTCTTACGGCGAATACCAATACTGGCCAGAATCCCTTCTCGTTACGCCCCCAGGAGAACCCATTCAGCAGCAGTGGAGGAGGTGGTAGCAGTGGCACTTCAGCATTTGGCCAGCCGTCGGCTCTGGGACAGCGGCCAAATCCCTTTAGTTCAACCTCGACGTCTACAACCTTTGGCCAGCCATCCACGATGGGCGCGTCGGCGCCTACGTTTGGGCAGCCATCCCGGATGGGTGCTGGTGGCCCGGCATTCGGACAGCCATCGGCCTTAGGCCAGAAGCCTAGCCCTTTTAGTGCGGCTTCTTCTGGGTCAGCTGGCTTTAGCCAAACTGCGCAACCAGTTACCGCCTTCGGCCAGCCGTCCACCGTGGGACAGCGCCCGAATCCCTTCGGCGCGCCAAGTTCAGCCCCGGGTCCTTTCTCCCAAACTTCGGCGCCGAATGCATTCGGCCAGCCAGCGCCTTCCAACCCCTTCGCTCAGGCACCGGCCACAACGAACACACCTGTCGACCAGCCGATGGAGACTTCGATTTCCTCACCAGCTGCTAGGAATCCCTTTGGGCAGCCATCCTCGAGCTCCCCTTTCTCAGCCCCTGGAAATAACCCGTTTGGAGCACAACCGCAACAGCCCTCATCAGCGTTTGGAGCCACGGCGAATACCCCGTTTGCCCAGGGACAGACTCAGCCCTCTTCTACAACCACGGGCGGCGGCAACAACCCATACGCGCCGAACAGCACCAAGAAACATCCATCGGTCGAAAGTTACATTAACAGGGCCTCGAGTGGACAGATAACATCGTTTAATGGGCTTCCCGTGGTTTACAGATGGAAGGTAAACGATAAGTACCAAGCTGCGGCGCCTCAGGATCATGCAAGTGGAGAGCCCCCGGTGCCAGGCGTGCGGAACGCGGACGGGTCGTGGCGGAAAATATTCTTTCCTAATGGTCCGCCTGGTTATACCAAAGACACGGAGCCTGATCCTGCAACGTACGACAGCAATACCCAAGCAGCGTACGCGACCATGGTTGCCACTGGCCGGTTCGAAGGAGATATGCCAGAAGTGCCACCTATGAGGGAGGACTGTGTATGGAATTTCTAAGCTTGCCAATTGGCTATAATGGGAGAACGTGGACAAAATAGATGGATGGGGCAGACGGTCATAGAGATTATTTCATTGTGAAGATCATTGCTGGGAGTCAGATACCCTGGCGTTTCAACGGAGCCATGCGTTGATTCCCCTAGTGAACGCATGGCGGGTAATGCGACTAGAGGTGTTTTTTTTCTCGACTCAATTGCGATTTGTATTCGGTTACCTTGTCCCCCCATGTGCCAGAACTAAACCCAGTTAGAAGGTACCACCATTTGCGCGGCTACCAGGCACCCTTCCTAGCTGTGCTCCCTCACGGTATCGGACCTCGATTTACGCAGCGATGGTAACTTCGACTTCGACACCGGCCTCGATGTTAACGATGATCTGCTTGACGATCTCGGTAGGGGCATTGAGACTGCAGGGGAAACTCTAGGTTAGCAGGCATTTTGAGAGAGACAGGAGGAGAGAGAGGTGGCCGTACTCGATCAGGCGCTTGTGGATACGAAGCTCGAAGCAGTCCCAGGTCTTGGAACCCTCGCCGCATGGCGTCTTGCGGGTGGTGACCTTGAGAGTCTTGGTGGGGAGGCGGACGGGGCCCTTGACGCGGAGGTCCTTGCTCTTGGCGCGCTCGATGAGCTCGTTGCACACCTTCTCGAGCGAGCTGACCTTGCGGGAGGTGAGGGTGATGCGGATCTTGTGAGTCTTCTATTTGGCGGGAGACGAGAGGGCGCGCGTTAGTGACGAGAGCAACTATCAAATAGTCGAGGGTAGCAAGGGCCAGGGGAGGGGCAGCACGAACAGGCGCCTCAGCAAAGTCCTTCTCAGGCTTGTTGTACGACATCCTGACTTGTTCGATTTGTATTTAGTGAGGCAGGAGAACACGGAGCGGTCGATTAGTCGGCGGCCTTCAAGACTCGAACGGCGGGACGTTACGGCAAAGTGATGAAGGCGACGAATACTGCGATGTGAGGGAAGAAGTTGCGAATGCCGAGCCCAGGTGAAGTGGTGATATCTTATCGAAACAACATCGAGAATCTTTATTTAAGGTGTGTGCGTGGCTTACGATAAGGGCTAGGGGTACATATGCTTAGGTTAGGTACCTGGTAGCGTAGCTGGGATACCTACCCAAATGTACTAGGTACCTACAGGTTACGGGGTACCTAAGTACATAATTTGCCCCAGGAAGGTACACTAGTAGATACTTGAGTATCCTTCTTAAAGAGTATATGCGATATACGTATATTCTAGTTACTGTATACAGATACCTTATATCCAGCGTAATTTGTTACAAATAAATGTATATTTCATTGAATATTGAGTTAGAAACTCTCGATGGAGAGGAGTGTAAAATGTAAACTTCTCACTGGCGCTGACTCGGAGTTTTGGTCTTATGTAATTGAGCATCTTCTCTTCCACCTTTGCTACCTAAAAGAAGACCAGACGGGTGGAAATACCAATATAACACGAAGAGGCACACGAAGACATGGTCATATGAAAAATAGCTGGACGACGCCTCCTCCTTCTGAAGCTTGATTTTTTTCCCTTCATCCCGTTGTTCACTGTCGAACAATTGTAGCTTCCCGAGTCTGCGGAATGGCCGTCACATTGCCCCCTTTTGCACCCTTTCCCGAGGCGTCGTGGGGGAACCAGATCGCCCCGGCGGAATGGGAAGCCTGCCTGGATGGCTGGATTGCTCTTATCGACGCACATTTGTCTCTGCCCGGGGATCAATTTAGCACCGTCTCCTGCGGCGACGAGTCGATATCACATTTCCTCTCGTCTCTGATGAGAGAAGTGTCTGCAAGAGGAGTAGCCCTCCTCGGCACTTCTCAGTCAGCCGGCGTCCTGCTCCGGCGATGCACCCTTCTCACTGCTAGGTTCCTGCGCACATCCTCCACACCACCATCGCTACTTTCCTGGGAGTTCCTAGCGGATTTCGCCCGCGTGTGCTCGAAGAAGCGGGCCGCTGTCATAATCAGCGGCGTCTTTCCCAACCCGTCCGTGATAGCCTCTCTTGGTGCGCTCAAGAAATCGCTGATCCTTGCCCTGGATTCGGGTCCCGGGGGAGATCCGAAGGCTCTCGAGCGCCAGCTGAAGAGGTTGAACCATCTGATTTACGCGTCACCCGATGCTGCGGCGCTCTTCCTAGCTGGGAGCGACTTTCTGGACGGGCTTATTAGTTGCTATACGAGCGCGAGCCCCCCTCTAAGGAAGACAATTATCACAACCGCCTACCTATGCCTTGTTGGGCTGACCGAGGGGGGGCACCCCAAGTTTTCCATGCTGGCCGACCAGCTCTACTCACTTAAGACGGCGGCCGAGGCCCACCGGGCAGGACCCTTGGATGCCAACGACGCGATGGTGGCTGAGCTAGTTACCGCTACACCAATACTCAAGCAGGTGGATCGGCGCCTGGAAGCATCCGGATCAAGTGCAACAACACGAATAAAGTCTTTCGTTGCTATTTTGGAAGGCTTTCGAAAACCTGGCGGTGGCGCCAGGCCGAAGAGGCCGACGAAGCGAAGGATCGACAAAGGGAAGGGTATTATGACAGAGAACGACGAGGAGGCGACGGGGGAGATGAGATTGCATCAGATGAGCCAGATCTCACAAGTACAGGACCTCTTCCCGGAATTGGGCTCTGGCTTTGTGTCGAGTCTCCTCGATGAATACGGGAACGACACGGAACAAGTCATTGCACACTTATTAGAAGATAACCTACCTCCTCACTTGGCTTCCGCGGACCGTACCAAGCAGCTGTTCGTCTTTCTGAAGTATATATTTAGGTATATGCTCGCCCTATTCGCGCACTGACTAGCTAACCTACCCACAGATCCCCCCCGGCCAATGGTAGGGAGGGTTACAAAAAGACACATCAGTACACGTCGGCCCAACTTCCCGTGCGCGATAACGTGTTCGACGACGACGAGTTCGACAGGTTATCGGTGGACCCGGCCAAGGTCCATTTCGGGAAGTGGAATCCAGATAAATCGGCGGACGACATCCTGAATGATCGATCCTCTGCTCCAACGAAGGCCTCCATTCTCTCTGCTCTCTCTGCGTTTGACGCAGACGACGACGAGCGAGATGACACGTACGACGCAGCAGATGCGGGATTTGTAGTTAACGACGGGACTCTGGATGACGCAGATGACGGGAAAATCAAGGACGCGAACGAAGAAGTGCTTTTCAGAGCGTACCAGTCGGACCCTAAACTATTTGCCAGGGACGCAGTTACGAGACGAGGCGCGGCCAGGGCAAAGTTAAAGCAGGAAACAAAGCTAACTGATGAAGCGATAGAGGGCTGGGCCGTGATGCTGGCTAGGGCTCCGAACGAAGCGAGGCGACTGGAGATAAAATATAGCGCTTTCCGCGGCGACCAGCCGGTTTTGTCCTCGACCGCCTGGCGCGCAAACCCGACGGGGCCAGGTACGGAGGAGTCGGACGCCGACAATGGTGACTCTAGCTCTCGGGGCGGATTCCAGGGCCGCGGCCGCGGCCGTGGCAGAGGAAGAGGCGGTGACCGAGGAAGAAGTGTCTCTGGCCCAGCGGGTGACAGAGAAACCGAGAATGCTAGAAGACGAAAGGAGGCAAACAAGGGCGCCAGGGCCAACCATAACCGTCGAAATCAACGCGCAAAGAAGATGGCCCGCGGAGGATTTCCCGGGTAACGAGGCCGTACATACTATATATAGAAAGATGCGAGATGCGAGATCCTCGGGAGGCGTCCGAGGCCGCCTTCACACCATCCTCTGCCTCTTGGCGGACTGCTGGCCGTCGACACGCGCCATCGGCGGGTGCAGAGCTGGTCGTTTTCCTAGTGCGACCTCACTTGTGCCCTGGCACTTTTCGTAGAGATCCTCGTCGTCTAAGGCCTGCGCGTATGGACTCCGCAGTTCTGGGTTCCCCGGAGACACCGCTTGTGACATAGAGGTGGAAAATGCGTGTAATGGTGCCGGAGAAACGACACCGCCGACCGACGAGGTCGCCTCGTCGTGCGCTACGTAACGGACCAGGTAGGAACGGGCCAAGTAGGATTGGTCTTTTGGCGTTGCCAGTTCCGATACGGACGCGAGGTCGTTCTCGTTGTCGCCGGTTCTCCCCTCGTTCATCCCGATCATCGACATCAGCGACTCCCGGGAGCTGCGCCGGCTCTCGAGATAGCCGTGAAGATCGAAGCACGTCCTGCAGACGGGGTAGACGGACCAGCGGTCCGCGTCGTCGCGGTACTGGGGCAGCTGGGGTCGCCGCTCTTGGCCGCAACGCTCTTGGATGTCGTCGAAAATGTCCAGGATCGGCGTGAAATACGCCCACCGTGGCCCTGGGCCGTGGTACCGGTTCCGGCCCCATAGTTGGCCGACGAGGCTATTGCTTTCGCAATCCACGATGGCGGCGCCGCTGTCTCCTTCGACGCCGATGCCGCCGCGGATCCAGCTGTCCTCGTCATCGTACGGATGCGGCTCCTCGATATACCATTCGCGCGACGCCTTTCCGGTCCCGTTCTCTGCGCCGTCGAGATACGCCGGGATTTCGCATACCTGGCCGTGCTGGAAGCCCGACGTTCTTCCTGTCGAGCACGCGGTCGCTCCAGGCACGACGGGAGCCATCAGAGTTACTGGAGTTTCCTTCCTCTGGTTGGCGGTCGGGAACTTCCTTAGTATGTTCGCTTGCCGCGTCGAGGCAGATATCAACGCCCAGTCTGTTACGATTAGCGGAGGCTCCTTGTCGCATTCTTCCCAGTACGGGTCGTGAGATATACGAGTGGTCTCCAAGTTGAAGCCCGAGGTTGCTGCTAAATTTCCAATGCGGAAGTTGAGGCTATTGCTGCTTAACGCATCGTGCTTCTCGTATAGGCACCTTGCACGATCCGCTGGCGATGGATGCTCGATCGGTACCGGGTGCGATCCTCTGCTTACATCCACAAAGGGGTGGAAGTTGACAAGCCAGTAGCTCCCGTCTCCAACCGTAACGCATGGTCCAAGGGTCGCTGTGATATCATCGCCGTCTTCCGAGATCCCGATGCTGTCCCCCATGCATGGATTCGTATAGCAGAATGGGTTCCGCGGGACACAGATCTCGTCCGGCATCTCCTTGCTCAACCCCCGCGCCCATACGAGCCGGTTAACCGTCCCGACGGAAAACATAAATGAAGCTGTGCTGCGATAGGGCTCCGGCAGCAAGTCCCGGACATGTTGCGCGATTACTAGCCTACGAGCTCTAGAGACGACCCGCCTCGTCATGATAAATATGCGTCGAGAATCGGGGGTGTTCCCACGCGCCACGCTGATAACGTGACCGGGACCGCACCACTTGGGGAGAAACTCGGCGAGGAAGGGCAGGACCCCGTGTTCCCATACGATTGGGAAACTCGCTGTGTCGAGGGGCTTGGGCGTACGGTTCCCGGTCATGCCGGGGCTTTCGACAGCCCTCGGGGTGCCTCCTTGCTTGTTGTTAGTAGCCGTGGCGTAATGGAATCTGGACCGAGCAGGCTTACCATTCACCCTCTTCGACCTCCTTTCGAGCACACTCTTTAGCTGATCTCCGCACCTTTTTTTCGAGATGCCAATGCTCATCTCCATCTTCAGGAGCCTGTCCTCCTCCTCCCCCGCCCTCTTCGTGAAGGCCCTCGGCGTCGCCAAAGGGGCAGTCGCGATCCCGTGGATGTCTCTCTGTTGGCGAGCAGTCTTCTCCGTCGCTGCCTCTTTATGGGAAAATTTGAGATGAGAGTCTAAAATGTCTTTATGGGTGAAGACGCTTTCGAGACAACCGGGGACCGGGCAGAGAAGCAGGTGTTCGCGTTTTACGTGCCAGTTGAGTTCGTCGCGCGTGGCGAAACCTGTGCTATCACACTGTCCCCAGAGGCAGATATGCAAGCCAGCGTCAGCCGGTGTAAATGGCTTGGCCATGTTCCGTAGGGGGCTTGTGACACGCGACAGTGACGTGCCCGAGGGGAAAAGCTCCGATGCGAAATCCGTTTGCGTGGGCGACCAGACCGAGCCCTGATACGATGAACAGGATGAATTGTCTAGACCGGATGGCGGTGGTGCTTCGTATAGTGAGCTGGCGGCTTTAATTTCTAGGCATTTATCACTATCGCCGTATACACCTCCTATCCCCAAGGGCAGCATCACGCTCCCGCAATCCTCCCATGGTGAATCTAGAGGAGCGCAAGGAAAGCTAAATGGTAGGATATACTCGAAACGGGAAGTTCTGCCGGCGGTCTCCGGGGTTGTCTCTGTATCTCTATATTGAGGAATCCTATCCGCATGTGAAGCGGTGGGGATCGTCTGTGCAAAGGACCTTGAAGTCTCGGCGGCTGGTAGTGAGGTGACCGTCTGGCTAGCACACATGGTGGCTGTCGTGGTTATGATGGGCCGAGAGAATGAATGGGGCTAGCGGTGACAATGAGGTACTGCTAATCTTCAGTTCCTCAACGGGAAGATGCTCTTAGCCTGCCTAGGAATTCGGTTGTAAGTTTCTGGGCTTTTTGTGGTATTTCTTAGGCTGCTATCCGGCTAACGAGATGCCTTCAACCGTCGAGGCATTGCTGAGCGGGAATGCGGCGCAGCGACCCGTAGTCCGCCAACCATCCTGGCCCAGTCTGGCCGCCTGACGGGAATTGTCGAATCAAGTTGGCCATCTCGAACATACCAAACTAGGCAGATACTCGACCGTCGCGTCCTATCAGCCTGTAGCATCGTCCTTCGCAAGGCGCTCATCAACTCCTCATCTCTTACTCGACCGTCGCTAGACGTCTTTCCCGTTGAGGCGTCAAGAACCTTTCATATAGAAGGGAATGAAATAGAGAAGGGAGAGAGATACCACAAGGAGGCAGTCTTAGGCGTAAATGGATGCGTTTGCTATTGATCGTGTCTAGCCTTGCTTGGCCAACCACACTCGAGTGCGCACTTCGGCGGGAGCCTCGAATTCATTCCGAGGCCCCGGAGGGGAAATCTCGCCGTATAGGTGCCGTGGAAATGAAGAACGCCGTAGATGCGTATTGCCGTGGGGTGGAATTTGGGGGGAACGCCATGCGCCATGCGTCGTTGATAATAGATACAAAATACTAATTACTGGGTTGCAATAAACCAACTTCCTTCTTATGCCTGCGTTGTCCGATCAGACCACGCCTGCGTTGTGACAAGCTATCCTCATGAGTTGACTCCGAAGCTTCTCTTTACTCCCCGTTCCCTCTCCTCTTGACGCGCACCAGTTCCGCGGTGAGCTCACTATTCTGTCGCTCGCTGTCTTGAATCCTCTGCCTCGCCGCGACTCGGTCCATATGCCTGGCCTCCCTCTCCTGCTTGAGCTTGTATTCGAGTTCCCTTAGTCTAAACATCCAGCGATTGTCGTCTCCGCTCTTCCCGGAAGACCCCTCGCCGTTCGAAGTCCCCAGTCGCTCCGCCTCGGCGACACCCATGGTAGAGGCGCTTCGAGATATGCTCCCGGATCTGCTTTTGGTACCTGAAGTGCCCGTATCTAGATGAGTCGTTTTGCTACGAGGAAGCTTGGAGTCCCTACGATGCGGACCGGTTGGAACCGATGGTGAAGGGCTTCCACCGTCGATGAGATCCTCGTGTGAGCCGTTGCTGCTGAGCTTCTTAGACCCGGACCATCCGGCGCCGCGAGTGCGCGCATCGTTGGCACGTTGCAGAGTCGCGTTCTCGATCTTGAGTGCACGGTAAGCCGTCTCCAATTGCGTCACTTTAGCTTGCGCGTCAAAATTGCCAGCGGCGATGCCAGTGCGGACTATGGTCTCTAGGCGCTCAAGCTTCTTGCCCTTGGCGTCTAGACTGTTCTCGAGCGACTGGTATTCTTTCCAGAGTTCGCGTTCGACTGCCTTGATGCGGGACTGGAAACTGCCCACGAGGCTCTCGATGGTCTTGACGGCACCAAGCAGGTTCTTCGCAAAGCCCGGGAGCATGGTGGATACGGATTCTAGCGAAGGCAGAGCTCGGCCGTTGATGAGGCTGTTGTCGTGGGCCCAGTCGGAGCCGCAGAGCGACGAGAGGCGCGTCCATAGGATAAGAAGGAGATTGTTGCGCTCGTTAAGCTGTTCCTTAAACGAAGTCTCGAGCTGAGCAATTTTCTTCTTGTCCGTAGCTCGACTTGCCTCTAGCTCCAATATGCGCGAATCCTGGCTTGTGACCGTCCGTGATACGTGTTGATGTGTGCGCTGGAACGTCTCAAACTGATTCTTGGTATTCCGATGAGCCTGGCGTTCTTTGTCGAGCATCTCTGCCAGTCTCCGGGATTCCAGGCCGTGCGACTCGAGCAGGGCGTCGCGCTGTTTAATTATGCGGTCCTTCTCAAGCATAGAGTTCTTCGTAGTGTCGAGTTCGCGGACAGTATTTTCGAGCTCCCTCTGGAGTTTGGCGATTGACTGTCGGATGATTATTAAGATGTCCCATCATCGGGAGCAGCACCTTGTCAATAACTCACCTTGAGTAAACTGGACCTTGTCCCATTCAAGTCTCCCAGCGCCTCACGCAAGTTATTTTCCAGCTCCATAAGCCTCTCTTTCCATTCCGTAGCCTCGACCTCCCTACTCGTTAGACTCTTGCGTAATCGCCTGGCCTCGTCTTTGGCCGTGGAAACCTCGCGGTTGAGCTCGTTTACAAACTGCTGAACCTCCTCCTTCTCGCGTGTCGCTACGATCTCGCTCTGCTTCCGCTCGTTGGCGAGACGCTGCTCTAATTCCTTGGTTCGGTCACGTTCCTCCCGCAGACTCTGTTCGGTGCTCGCGAGTGCGGCCTCAAGATCACCGATTCGGATCTTATCTGCCTCCTGCTCCTCGCGTAAGAACGCGATTTCGCCCTGGCTGGATTCCTGCTGGACGCCGAGGCGCTGCGATTTATCGTTGGCCTCGAGGAGTTTGACCTCGAGATCCTCGAGTTCCTTGTTAGATTCGGACAGCTCCTGTTCAAGCTGCTCAATCCTCTTCAGCTTCTTCTCCTGTTCATCCTCGAGTCTAACTAATGCTTCGCTCATTTGGCGCATCTCTTCCTGGAGGGCATCGAAATTTTCCGTTCGGTCCTGCAGCTCAATTTGCAGCCGCTGGATCTCGTCGCCCTTCTGGTCGCTCTCAGACTCGAGTGAGTCGATTTCCTCCTGGGCTTCTTTTCGCAGTATGTCGAATTCAGCTTCTAAGTGTGCCTGCTCCTGTAGCGCCTCGTCTCGCTCTGCTTGGATCTGCATCAGATCGTTCACCGTATTTTGGAGCTCCTCTTCTAGAGCGGCATTGTGCTCGTCGACTTGTTTCTTAGCCTCTGTTTTATGGTCGAGTTCTTCCATGCAAATCTGCAGTTCGCGCTGAAGCTCCTGTTTTTCGAACTTGAGCTCATTCACCTTATCGCGGTGCTCGGCTAGCTTATTTTCCAACTCCTCCCGGTCCGGGTCCTCCTCTACCGTCATGGTTAGTCTAGTACGGCCGCTGCCTCGTGACGTTGACCGCTCGTGGCCACCCGCGCGCGAGGCAGACCTATCGAGGATGCTGTCAATGGTCGATGGTGCTGGGCCACCGCGCCGCTGTGCCAATTTAAGATCTTCAATTTCCTGGTACAGCCTCTCCTTCTCGCGGTTACGTGAGGTGAGCATGGAGGTCTGCGCACCGACCTCCCTCCTCAGCTCAGCATTCTCGTGACGTAACTGCTCACTTTCCCTACGGAGCTCTTCGACGAGAGTTGCCGATTGACTCGAGGAGCTAGGATCAATCTCGCCTGATAGGCCAGACACGGGACGCGATCTTGAGGGCGACATAGGCCTCGACTTTCGCGTGATGTTGTAGATGTTGGTCGTGTGGTGCATGCCGCCCCCTCCGCCCCCTCCACCACCACCACCAGACGCTGATCCGTTCATCTCCTGCCTCAATCGGAATATCTCATCTCGAAGCTTTCGGTTTTCATCATCTGCCTGCTCGCGACGGGCTGTTTCCTGCTCGAGAAGATCCTTGTATACGTCTGCCTCTTCCTGCCGGCCCAGGCCGTCGCCGGCGCGCTCACCGGCGCGATCTCCCATCGTCTTGACGGTCTCTGCCAATCGCCTCTTCTCCGCTTGGTTGGACATGTTCTCGCTCCTAAGCCTCTCAATCTCGGCGACGTATTCCTCAACCCGCTCTCTTAGGTATAGCAGTTCCTCCTCTCGCTCTTGCGCATCGGGATCGAAGGCGGGAGTGGCGGCTCCGTCCGAGGAGTATCCGCTTCTTGCTGTGCTGGGGCGGTCTTCCTCGTCGCGAAGGCGCTTCTCCAGCTCCTTGACCCGACGCCTTAAAATCTTGTTGTCCCTCTGGGTGACGGCTAACGAGGTCCTGAGCTCGACATTCTCCGAGATCATTTCCTTAACACCTTCTTCGGAGAGCTTGTCTAGACGATCGGAAAGGAACATAACCTTCAGCTTGAGATCAAAATTCTCCTTCGATAGACGCTCGATAGTGCTAGATTGTTCCTTGAGTGTTAAATTTTTACCGCTCCGCGCAGCAGTGCTAGTAGTCGCGGGCGTAAAATTGGATGGTTTCCTGTAGGGTTGGTGAACCGGTGTCGACAGACCACCCTTCGTCTTGTATTCATTAGCCAGAGACTCGGGCACTTCTACATTGCGCACATGTCTTGCGATGACAGTGTCTGTCGGAGCCGTTAGGGAACCTCTCTTCGCCTTCGGAGTCGCGAGCGGATCGGCGCGATGCTTCGGGGCCGGGCTCTCGACTTCTTCTAGTGGCTCCAAAGGATCTGGTCTAATGGGATCTGGGGCCTCGTCGAACCCGGAGGCCATGCTGCCAATACTTACCGAGCGGGACAGGGTATTGCTGGCGCTCCGGGTCAAGCCGAGGGTGGGCATAGCACCTCCGGTTTGCAGCGCATAGTCAGCACCTAGGCCTACAGTAACATCGCTCTCCACATCCTCGTTTGAGAGGAAGGAGGAGGTGGAAGATCGCTGACTCGCATTTCGGCTACGAAGATACTTAGGGCGCTTGCCTAGCCCTAGCGAATTCTCCGGGGCGTGCAGGCTCTGGTCCGAGTTCTGGTGATCAAGATTTAGAGCCTCAACAGTCTCCTCGGTTGGCGCATCGAGACTCGAGCTATCCCGTGGCGGGGCATCAAGGTCGCCTTCTGCGCTCGCCGAGCTCTCGCCGGCATGCTTGCTTGCTACGGGCATCGCCCTTGACACGGCACGAGCGGCGGCAGCAGCGGTCGGGGAGGACAGACTGTCCAGGGCCGACGTCGAATTGCCGCTTTCGGTGACATCAGGATCGTCGGGTAGGGGCTCAGGGAGGGTCGGCTCCCTGTTTTCAGCTCGGGTGACCGTATTCTGGAAGTCATCACGGAGGGAAGGGCCCAACATGGAAGTAGCCGGATGAAGGGAGGCGGGATTCTCGACGGGGTTCGATTCAGTGGCTGGTTCGGTAGAGGGGTCACGGTATGCGTCGCGTTGAGGTTGTGACGGCTCGGGCTTGAGCACAGGTTCGGGCTCGGGCCCGGAAACGGGATCAGAGGGCGGAGAGACGAGGATGGAGGCTGGTGGCTTGTTCGTGGTGGCGTCAAATAAATATGTATCGTCCGCGCCTGCTTCGGGACCAGCGACCTGAATTGGCGATATTGGGGGAATGAAGCTAGACTCGACATCTTCCAGGTGAGCCCTGACCTCCCGTTCCTCTGCCAGCGAGTCCAGATGTTTCTCGTCGTGTTCGAGACGCGTGGTCTCGACTATGCTACTATCGTCAGGGCGCAGGCGGAGGTGCGGTGGGAGCAGCAGCGGGATAGTCCCCTTGTTAGGCGAGGGAAGATCTGGGCTAGCCGGCTCCTGAGCGGTGGTGTCAGGCGCTCCGGTCATGTCGTCGGGGATTCGGTCGGTGTGACTACCGTCTTCTGCCATGGCAACTGGACCTCGACTCGGACTCGCTTCGTGGGGCAACACATGCGACTGTGAGGCGGCCCCCCCTAGGAATAGGTGAGATGAGAACACCGCCGGTCGGTCGACCTCGTCAGTAAGCTACGGAGACAAGGCACGTCGGGGCGACGAAGCAATGGCATACGGGTAGATGGGCGTGGTGAGCCAGAGCTAGATGGACAGAAGGGACGCGGGTTGGCTGATAGGCGGTGTTGGGGTTTGACCCGAGTAAAGATGCGTAGCAATTGATGACGAGAAGGTTTAAGATAGGCAATGCGCCTTGGGTGGGCAGGAAATTATCAGGTGATGCGCCAACACGGAGAAGCTACCTAGGTAGCCTAGGAAAGCGTTGCCGATTCCTGGCTGGTCATGATACTCTGTCTGTAGCGGCGTGGCAGGAGAAGAGAGGGACAGAAACATGGCAATTCGATCTACGGATTGAGGGAAGAAGATGGCAGTGCGTACCCAGGTAGGGTCGGTAAGACAGGAGGGTAGGTAGGTAGGTAGGTAGTTGGCGTTTTTCCCCTTCCCTTCTTCCCTTGCCTCTTCTCTTGCACACACCACCTATTCTGCCCCTGCCGACGGACTCCCTCAGGTACATGTTACCTATATTCATGTGCCTCTGTATTGGGTACGTACCCACCCACCTGTATCTTCCATGGTAGAGGTGGGCGGGCGCCAGGTGGGTACAGGTATCTATAGGTACATCTGGCCTCCTATGTTCAAAAACGGGCACCCAGTGCCGGGTTAGGAGGCAGGTACGCGTTCCTAGGACCATCCACCCAGCCAGTTGGCACAGACATACCTACCTACCACCTACCTAGGTACCTACCTATCTAGGTAGGTACCTGTTACTTACCTACAAGCTACCTTAGGTAGGTAGGTAGATACCTCCTACCAATAGGTACTTATAGAGCCGACGTAGCTGCTTGGAGGCAGGTACTTGGGTACCTATGCAGCCGCAATTGACATAGAATATTCTATTGAGATACCTAAGTACTTATATATTATAGATATATAAAATAAACTTTATTAGAAGTAATAAATTTTAAATATATATAAAAACTCTTATATCCTATTTTATATACTTATAATTATTAATCTATATTGTAAAATTACCTATAAGAGGTACTTGCTACGTGATGATCAAGTATCTACCTACCTACGGTACCTAACCTCTCGAGATAGGTAAGTACTTAGATCCGAACCCTTACCTACCTAGGTACCTAGGTACGTACATTTCACAGACGAGTCCGTGAGGCAAATACCTAGGTTTCCTATTATGAGGGACCCTTAGCATCTACGGCAGTATTCCATCCCTTCAACCTTGGTATCCTCAACAGTAAGGATCTCTCCCTTTTGGACAGCTTTCAGCATCGTATACGGCATTCACCCCTGTGGCTGATCTTCGTCCAATGTGACTCAAGGTTGCTTAGCACTACAGACGCCTGCCCATTCATCGTCTGTAAGTAGGTCTGGAGGCGGGGACCCCGGTCGGACAGCGGGAGATCGGGAACTGCGGGGTTATTTCTCTGAAGCTACGCTTTGATTCATCCATCGTCCCTCTAGCAAAGCCGATGATGCCGGCAGAGGTTACTTAAGCGTGCGGCGTTATTGTATGCTGCCAGGTTAATTAGCCCCAATCCTAACTGTGCCTACTTACACCGTAACAACGTCAAATGGCAACAAGCCTGACAATTGTTGGATCCAGAACCGACGCCAACGTCATACCTATGTTCTCATATTTCCCGGTGGCAAAGTTGTCAGATCGAATTCCAATATCTCGGTGCCTTAAAGATGAGGTGGGGCACGTGGGTGTTTCTCATGGAGGCAGGTTAACGCGCCTTTGCTGGGAGTGAATCGCAGTGGTGCTGATCTCCGCAAGCAGGATTATATCGTCAGGAAGGTATAGTGCGGCCAAAACTACCGCCCCCTCTCTATCTTGTCTCGCCTCAGGAGACTCTTCCCGACACACAGTCTCGTCCATCATCAATCACTCAGCATTAACCACACCAGCTTCTCCGGTCCCCGACATTCCTACGAGGTGTCCAGCGTATCCATCGGATCGTCCATGATTACAAACACGGCCGAGATCCTAACGAACCGTTACGAGCAGGCGAAGCTACTCGTGAGTAGTAAATTTTCACCAGAAACAGGAAACCATCTAACAGGACGTGGCCAGGACTGCCCAGAACCTCGAGACTACAACAATTTTTCTCGCACTTTATCCATGAACTTCGGAGCCAAGTGCGAGGGACAACTAACCAACCCCCTAAGAAGTGAAAGGTGCCAATGTGACGAAATCTTCGCTGGAGACGCCCGTGCCGGTGTTCAGCCTTCGGTGTACTTCCCGAACTTCGCCGTCAAGACACGGTACGTTCGGCGCACACGTCACTTCAGACAGTGCTAACAAGAAGCCAAGATCCGGCACTCAGGCGGCCGGAAGTCGGAGGGCACGCGCGTGGTGTCTCGACTAGGACCGGGGATTAAAGCAAAGCGCCAGCGTGCGCTCTGCAATTCGGCAAGGACAAATGGTGCTTATCGGCAATGGCGTACTAGAACAGGGCAGAGTTGAGACGACGCGTAGGTTTACACCCTAGGTCGCTCTTTGGTCAGGAGCTGCGCTGCAGAAAAGCCTGGCTTCTCGAAGCTAGGTTAACTACCTATATATATACTAACTGGGTAGCCACCTAAGCCGCTCGCTCACATTTCCTTCTTCTCGTTAGCTACCTAGGTAGTACTGAAGAATTCTAGAGAGCCACGCTTGGAACAGCGAGTACTTTGCAGCAGAGGCCGGGCCATCAAGCCGTTTGCAAACCTACTAGGTCTCCGATTACCGCCCACGCTGCGAAGAAGAGATGTCAAAAATAAAAGCGTTGACACGATACCTACGTCCATTATTTAGTCAGAATCAATCGTAGAAGATGCTTAGAAGTGGTATCTCAGCCGTGTTGACTACCCAGAGATTGAGTAAATAGACTAGTTAGTGTAGAAATACTACCTGTGACAGGTACGGTGAGTCGACTAGGAGACACGGATGAGTCTATGTAGACCCCTGCGCCGTGGGCGCGGTTCTGCTAGGGAGCGACCTGAGGCTGAACTACCTACCACCTAGGTAGGTAGTAGAGTATGATGATAGGGGGCAGCACCGGAGGCAGCACCGGAGAGTGAGGCCTAGGCCTGGGCGGCTTTAGGCGGTACGTACCTAGGTACCTCTCGAGGTACACGTTCGCCGTTTTGGGCATACCTGCGTTGCGAGGTGTGCTCGCTGGTACCTAATGTGGAAATACCCATATAGTGTTATTTCCATAGCGGTGTTTTTATTTCTTATTTTTCATTCCCCTAAGTACGACAGACCCAAATGGCGGCATGTTCTAAATCGGACGCGCGGAATTGGGAGCTGGGTGTGCGGTCCTCCTACCCAGGTGCCTGACATAATGGATGATGGAAGACGACGACGGGGGAATTTTCAATAGCAGGGGATGGTATGTAGATAGGTGGGTACAGGTAGGTACCTAGGTATATCCTTAGCGGTCGCAGTAGGCAGAAAATTATCGCTAAATGGAACCACGGGGGAAAACCTGAGAAAAAAAAAGAACGAGGGTTGATTGTGCTTCCTTAATAGATGGTCCTGTTCTATTGTCGAATCCTCTCATCTAATCGAATTCTAGGGTTGACCAACCCCGTACCACACATTGCACATGTTTTGCATCCGCAGCCATGTGTATAGGATCTTCCCTCCTCTCCCTCGCCGTCTCCTCCTCCGGCCGTCTCGGCCTCCTGTGAGTCGCGCCGTCTCGTTCAAAGTCCTCGAGAAAGCCCAGCTGCGGGCTGAGGGCCCGGTAGCTGTGAAGCTTTTGGAAACGGGAGTATGGGCTTCCTGGAGACAAGGCCGGTACAGGAGAGGGATTGAGGACATGTTTGTCCATCCAACGGCTAAGGAAGCAGCGCTTTTGAAGGCCGGGAAGACCGCAGAGACCGCGAAGGCCGCAAAGACCGCGAAGGCCGCAAAGACCGCGAAGGCCGCAGAGACCGCAGAGACCGCAGAGACCGCAGAGACCGCAGAGACCGCAAAGACCACGAAGGCCGCAAAAACCGCGAAGACCACGAAGGCCGCAAAGACCGCGAAGGCCGCAGAGACCGCAAAGACCACGAAGGCCGCAAAGACCGCGAAGACCACGAAGGCCACAAAGACCGCAAAGGCCGCGAAGGCCACAGAGACCGCAAAGACCGCGAAGACCGCGAAGGCCGCAAAGGCCGCGAAGACCGCGAAGGCCGCGAAGACCACGAAGACCACGAAGGCCGCAAAGACCGCGAAGGCCGCAGAGACCGCAGAGACCGCAGAGACCACGAAGACGAAGGCCGCGAAGACCGCAAAGACCGCGAAGGCCGCGCAGGGGCACAAGCCCGACGGGACCAGGGTAAACGTCGTTAGCGAGGGGCTCTGCGGTAAGCAAAACATGCGAGCTGCTATTCTCCGCACTGTTTCCTGACACCTAGGCGCTGCGCAGATGATATCTTCTCATATATCGGCCCCACTCTGGACCGGCACAAGGGTTGTGATATCCTCGATATCTACCCCGGCGCCGGAATCTGGAGCCAGAAGCTGCATGATTACCTTAAGCCGCGGTCACACATCTTGATGGAACCGGACGCCAAGGTCTACGAGCCGTTTCTCAAACCTCTCCTTGACCGACCCGGCACACTTCTCACCCCTACGTCTGGGATTGTCTGGCGAGAGCTCAACTCGATTCTTACGCCCAAATACTTCCCTCATCAAGCCGCCGCCGACGCGGCTGGGCAGACCCAGCGCAACGACACTTTGCTAGTCACAGCAAACCTCGCTTTCCACCCAAGGAAACGCTTCAACAAATTTGAGTCCGTGGCGCTGCTCATACTTTACCAATTCATCGAGGCTATCAAAACTAGTAGCCTGTTTCATCGTTACGGGCTGGTTCGGATGCTGGTGTGGACGCGGCCCGACGATAAGCATGGCCTGCTCCCTAAGATGATGCAGAAGCGCAAACGGCTCGCGATCGACGGCGAGCTGTCCTGTGAGTGGGTGAGGGAGGTGTGTGGTGAGGAAGGGGTGGGACACTCCTGGTTCGTCCGCGATAACAACATCGATATAAACAGCAGCCTCGCCGCGTGGGACCGGATGAAGGCCTCCGGGATGCAGATGCCTTCCGGTAGGGTGCCCGACGAGCTCAATGACGCTGAAGCCGCGCGCAAGTCCAATAAGGTCCCAGACCCCACGTCGAACCCCCCGGCTTTCAAGAGGCCGTTCCAAGAGGTGCTCCTCGGCCTTGAGACGGCGCACCGCGAGCAAGCCCTGGACCGTGATTCTGATGATTACAAGAGAATGCTGGGATATCGATGGAGGTCAAATTGGGAAGATAAGAAACACCGGCGAATGCTCAATCTGAAATCCAGGCTGGATGCCATCACCGCATGCTACAAGTCTGGCTCGGCCACCCCTGAGGAGATGGAGAAGCTCGAGGCGAAATGGGAAGCCCAGACGCAGAAGTATCCCGGCCCATTTGTCGAAGAATTCTGCACGTACAAGGATAATCTCCACTACTTTTCTCAGGACCCACCGTTGCTTCACTGGGACCGGCGAGCCTACACTGCGATGAAGGTGAAACGGGAAGAATTTCTCCCTAATGTTCCGTGTAGTCTTATCGACATCCAGCCCAAGGAGGTCCATCCGCTGATGCGTCAGATGGGTACTAAGTCCAGCCGCGCCGGTGACTGCTTCGAGTTGATTGTGAGGTCGCTGATGGCTCACAGCACCCTTCCCATGAGCCAAGGACTGGACGCGCTCGCGCCCGGTGCTGCTGACTACATCATACCTCGCTGGAAGAGTGCCAGGGACCCAGACCGTGGGGGCGTAGTTTCTAAATCTGCTTATGCGGTTCTAACCCCTAGGATGGTCAATGCACGACAGTGGGAGGAACTCCTGGAAATTTGGATGGAATGGCCTTTCCGTCCTGATTTTTATGAGCTCGTGGGCCGAACTCAAGAGGAACCGACAGAGGAGGACAACGTCATGACTATTGCTACAGAGTGACCGCCCAGCCTGATATATCCGGCTATTTCTCTCAGCCGCCATGAGTCATAAGTCGGGATACCTAAGTCCTGAGGCTTCTTATACCTATGGCTAGACAAGCTACTATATAGCTGCAAGGGATCCCTGCGGATGGACAAGGCGGCTTTAAAATACTCATTACCAGGCAATATAAACCTCCGCTAGATCGAGGAATAAGCACCCGCAGCGCCATTCTGCAACTCTTGGTTACCCGCATGAGCACTCTTCTCGACTCACTTACCTGGGCCAACTGTCCCCTGCAGCATATTTACAGCAGCAGCAGGTTGTTATCACAAGGCGGTAATGAGATCACACCTGCACTGTTGCGTGATTTATTTGAATAGGCACACTGGGGAATGCTTAACGGCAGCCTGCTTGAACACGAAACTTGGACAGCTAGCTGCACAGTTACATTCAGTTGGTATTACCGCCGATGTAATTTTCCGACTACCTAGTTAGGGTACGGCTGTTGATATATGTATGATATCCGACTGGTCCGTGATTTGTACGCGATACACCAATACTTGTACTATGAGCACTATGACGTAGGGGCGATGGAGGAGTTAGTCGTTTGTTACTCGTATGAAAAGGGTAAATTAGGAGTCCAGGTATACACTGCCATCTCTTATTACCTTTTCATTCGAAAACATAAGAAGCAAATGCTTCTATCAAGTGTTGAAAACGACCTGCAGTAAGCAGGGATCGCCCGGGCCGTAGCCGTGACACCTTACTCATCTTGAGTTCTCAAGCTTTCCGTCGTCGTCACGATTTCTCCTGGTTAGTGTTAAGTTTTCGTTTCCCACATCTTCACATGTTCCTGTAAATAAGTCGCGTAGGTGAGAGATGAGGAGCACACCTAAGCCCTCCACAATGATAGGACAAATATGGTGCCCGAGGTATGGTCTTTATGCAGACGTTGGGGTTACTACCTTGAAGGTGTACATACAAAATGAGACTTTGCTCTGATGGTACCAGGTGTGGGGATTCTGGATGGGTATGCATTAGGAATCTGTAGGAGTACTTATATTATCTTAGAGCGTGGAGGCCTTCATTGAACCAGGTAAGTGCTCAGCTCTACTGCCGCTAAGGCGCTAATACTGCCGCTCATTCAATAGATTACAAGGACTACTGCACAGACGCCGACCGACTCCCTGGCTAACCGATGTAGGCACCTAAGATAGGTAACTTACTCCATGGTAGGTAGTGAACACGTAAGGATGTAAGCCCGGCAGGCTGGGACTCGCTTAAATTATATGGGGCATCTCGTGCATGAAGTATGGAAGACTTCCATACGTTGGATGGGCACTTGTATATGTGTAAGGTACGTAGGCGCATTTGTACTATGTGTATAGATTGGATCCGGCAGGCGGGGTCGATGGACCAGTACTCATACTTTAAGTAGGTACTCATAGGTACATCCGGGTACCCAGGCAAGGTAGGCGGTATCAAGATGTCATCAACTCTCAGATCACAGGAGGCATTTAACAATCCAGCCACGTGATTTGTGCATATAACTATATATACATCCTGACTGCGTAGTGATATCTCACGTCGTATTTAGAATGGGGTTGCTGGCTTATCTGACAGGCATCCTAACATCGTATATGCAACATGAACCGATCCATTGGAACACCAGGGGTAGCCGTAGGTAACTCAATCTACTATAATAGGTAGAGGCTGCTCTACGCTGGCGCGGAGCACTTTCCTGACCGTATCTAGGTATCTCCCATGCGTGCGGCATATGAGTAATGATCTACCTAGGTACCTAGGTAGGTAGTAAGGTAGGTACGTACGTACGTGATGCTTAAACGCCCCTGCGTAATCTGCCCTTCGTGTCATGGCTTGATTCATGTACCCAGTACCCTCGCACTCAGCTTACAGCTGGCGGCGCCATCCACAGGGCAGGGTAGGCGGGTACCTCCAGCGTGTACTTAGAATACGCACACACACCTCAGGTAGGTTAGGTACCTCCTACCTTACTCATACACTTATCTGACGTGTAGGTGCTGGTACAGGTAGGCAGGTACCTGCGGCAGCTGCCTCTTACCGAGATTAAGTACCTCACAATCTAAGGTACCGTGTACGTGCCTTTCACGACCTTAGTCAGTAACCAGCTGAGGTAGTGTACGGAGTCGCACAGCCACATCGCTATGTACCACCGGCAGGAGGGAAAGGAGGGAAAGCGTGCAGTTGCAGTTGCAGTTGCAGTTGCAGGTGCAGTGGGTGGTGGGACAGTGGGCTGTCAGAATTTCTCTAATGGATATAGATCCCACTGCGTGCCACTCTACTGTGTCATTTTTCGCATCCTCAAGCTGACTTCTCCCTCTCGTTGGAGCGACCATGCGACGACAACTTGACAGTTAGATCTAAATGATTGTCACACCATCCGTAGTCAGTTACCCGATTCCAGTGCCGTGAAATTTACCTCCCGGCCTCCACTCTTCTTATGTGGTCACTTCACTTTCGCTCGCTCGCTCGCTCGCTCCCTCTCTCTCTCCTCTCTCTTTCTCTCTTCTCACCGGAGCCTATACGCGCGCGTGCAATCATACACGTCCATCCACACACCTCCCCCCCCTCTCTTCCTTCTTCTACCCAGGCCGCTGGGAGTCAGAATTCCTTCTCCTTAGCTACGTTAATCTGTTTTCGATATATTCGGCTTGCGACTAGCTAGGCGCCTCGCCCCTTACTGACTCTAACCTGCCACCTGTTTCTAGTTGGAGCTCTCGAGCCTCTCGTTCCTATTTAAACGACCAAGTCGACGTCCGGGCCCCGTCGTGAGGTGGCCGACGTCTTATCCTCGCCATGCGCTCACCTGCATTTCCCCCGAGGCGACCGTCTCATCTCGTGCGATACGCCTTGCCAGCTCTCCTCATCTTGGGCCTCTTCTACTACCTCTCCCACACCCCCCGCGAACCCCGACTCCCTAATTCCTACGCTAGCCCTGGTGGACATCCCCTCCAGGAGCACCCATACTCCTCTCCCGACTCCTCCCAACACGAGACGCCCGATGTCGTGAACCAACCTGGCCAAAATTCGCCCTCGAATCAAAAACTGGTTCATGGTGACCCCGACGACAGTGCACCCGCTCCCGAGCCAAAACCTCCATCGGCCCACGACCCCAAACCTGCGCCCGCTCAACCTATCCCTCCAAAGCCGGCCTCTCCTCCGCACGCGATCGACGAGTTGATCAAAGTCGCCGAAAAAGACTATGAGAACCTGCTGGCTAAAGAGTCCAAGACACTTTCCGAAGCTGCTGCTGCGTACCGCAAGCGGCGTGGCCGGCATCCCCCTCCCGGCTTCGACAAGTGGTACAATTTCGCCAAGGAGAACAATGCTCTTCTGGTCGAGGACTTTTTTGACCAAATTTACCACGATCTGAACCCCTTCTGGGGTGTTGATCCATTGACGATCCGTACCGAGGCCAGTGGTTATGAGATGATTATCAGTATACGCAACGGCAACGCAAGCGCTGAGAGTGACTGGTTCTGGACTCAGATCTGGTTAGGCATGATCCAGACTATTGAGCACCTGCTGCCGGATATGGACGTTGCTCTGAATGCCATGGACGAACCTCGACTTGTGGTTCCCTGGGAGGACATCAATGCGTACATGAAGAAAGAAAAACAGAGTCGAGTCCTGAGTCCGGTCAAGAGCATTATCAAGGAGTTCAAGTCACTTCCGCCCCCCGTAAACTCTGACGACAAGTCCCTTCTCCATACTATTAATAAGGACTGGGAGAAGACTAGTACGTCCCCCACACCGTCGTGGAGTATTCGTTATGCTGACCCTCGGCTAGATCCATACTGGCTCATCGCTCGCCGGGGCTGCCCTCCCGACAGCCCCGCTCGCAAGGCTGCAGTTCTAGATTCGTTCGACGTCAAACCGAGCTTCTCGTCGTCGTGGGCAACCCCACACCAATATGAGGGCTACGTATCCAACTCGACGCTCGCCTCCGAATTCTGCCACCAACCTGACCTTCAAGGTCTCGAAGGCATCTTCATCCGCCCTCTGACAACATCCGCCACCAAGGTCCTCTTCCCTATGTTTGGGGGTAGCAAGCTGGCCACGAACAATGAGATCCTCCTCCCTGCCCCGATGTACTGGAACGAAGAGGAGCGGTTTACCGGCGGCGATGATCACGGCCCGTCTTGGGATGAAAAGAAGGACTCGGTGATCTGGCGCGGTGTAGCCACTGGTGGTCGCAACACCGAATCGAACTGGAGAGGCTTCCAGAGGCACCGATTCGTCTCGATGAACAACGGGACAAAACTGCAGCGCGCGGAGGAGGGCATCGAGCCACCGGTCAACTTTGAGCTGCCGAGCGCAACCTACGACCTTGTGGCGCAGAAGGAGAAGCGCCTCGGCGCCTGGGTGACGCAGTGGTCGGACGTTGGCTTTACTGACTTGTTCTGCGATCCGGAAATCGAGCCGAAGCAGAAGGGCGGACGATGCGTTTACACCGACAAGCATTTTAAGAAGGTGCCTGGCGAGAAACTAGCGGCTCAATTTCGCTACAAGTATCTGCCCGATATCGACGGCAACTCGTTCTCCGGCCGGTACTTGGGGTTCCTGCGCAGCACGAGTCTGCCGATCAAGAGCACGCTCTGGCGCGAGTGGCACGACAGCCGCCTAGTGGCCTGGAAGCACTTTGTGCCGATGGACAACCGGTTTGGCGACTTCTACGGGATTATGCAATACTTCTACGGCTATGAGGGCATCGTCTCGGACCACGACGGTGCGGCACGGAAGATTGCGATGGACGGCAAGGCCTGGGCCGAGAAGGTGCTGAGAAAAGAGGACATGCAGATTTACGTATTGCGGTTGCTGCTTGAGTACGCCCGGATTTCGGACGACAGGAGAGAGAACATGGGCTGGGCAGACGACTTGATACCGTGAAGGGGGGGTGGGGGGGTGGAAGAACTCGGACGAAGGTAGCCCGACGATTGATTCGATGTATATCCCCAAGCGAGGCGACGAGTCCCCGTGTATAACACCGTCGGAGTACCATGCAAGAACGGCGTTTAGGTGGGTTGTGGCACGGAAATGCTCACATATTTAAAGCATAAAGCATATGGGCTCGACCATCGTGGTCTTTAGGCCCCGGAGAATCGGCGTTGGGTGGCTGTGTGTTTAAAGATGGGCAATCGCGGTCTGCAAGCTGTCACATGTATGGCAAGCCGGTGTTGTGATGAAAGGGGGAAAAAAACGTAGCTTGGAAGTGAGGCAAATACCTATCTTGGGACTGGTGAAGTGCGGCAGAAGAGTTCGTAGATATATACCTAGGTGCCTACCTCTTAATATCTATCAGCCTACAAACTGCTCCATTTCCGTTCCATTCATATGGTCAGTTTGGGGGATCTACGATTTGTCTGTAACAATAAAAGGAATTATACCTTATTTAATACCTAGGTATCTACCTATCCATCTACGTAGGCCCCCCTAGGTGTATTAATAGATAAGTTTTCTGGTTATGGTCGGTGTTAGACCGTCGATGTTTAATTCTAGGTGTGCCACATCGCAGGGACAGTCGCATCTTGACTACGGGCCGCTCCTACGTGTATTTTTGGAGGGCTAGCTCGATCCCTCAGTTTGGGTACCGTTGATGTCACCGAGATGGAGTGAAAAGGAAAAAAAAAAAAAGCCGACGGCAAGGAAACATCTCCTTGGAGCTATGGCGCGTGAAATGAAAGCCATACGAAGATGCTCGCCAGCATCGCCCGGTAGCGCGGCTCGATACTGTGGGTATTAGGGGGGGGGGGATCGAGATCGGAGAGTCTCACAGTTACGTACATGGCGTTCCCGCGGACGTCATCATGCCCCTCCACGCCACCGAATGCAGTGCTTCCCCCCTCCCGTCCCCCCCTTCAAAGACGTGAAGTGGGAAGGCTGTCTTGGGTATAAAAGAGAGAGCATGGGATTCCCTGGCAGACGCAATAATAATTCCTTAGCATCCCCGTTAACGACACGGAGAATCCCACTGCCACGCCCCTGACCAACGACCACCACCATGGACGCCCTCAAGAAATTCGCGGGTGGCAGCAGCAGCAGCCACGGCAACGGCGCGCAGACGTCCGGAGAGAAGAAAGACGTCGGTGACAGGGGTACCGCGTCCTCCCGCTCCCTTCCCCCCCTCCCCCCCCCCTCCCCGCACTTACTCGAGCATAAAGAAGAAGAAGAATGGGTGTCTGACCGTGCGTATACAGTTGCGGGATTCATCAACAAGCGCCAGGGCGGGAAGCTCTCCGACCAGCAGCTCGAGACCGGCACGGACAAGGTTCGCGGCATGTACGAGAAGGCGACCGGGTACGTGTAGACAAGCCAGCCGCGCGGAGGAGGTCGGATACGATACTGACGCTTTCCGGGTGCAGAAAAAAAGTCAACCCTAAAATATCCAACTAAATCATAAGTGTTGTGGTGGCAGCGATGGGCGTGGGTTGATGGCTTTTTTTTTTTTGACAACCTGGCCGGGATGTAGAGAGGGAGAGAGAGGCGATACACGGCCGGCGAAGACGGAACAAACTCGGGCTTGGGTTAGAGGAGTTGGTGGTGGTTCCTAATGAGCTCGGAACTTTGAAGAATAAGCGGCTTCATCCGAATAGTATATCGTGTTAAATACTGGCGAGCTAGCCATGTTAACAGAAACTTCTATTCATTAAATATTGTCTCAACGCCAAATCCTCAGGTGTACATACGTAACCGATCAAGATTTGACTAGGGAGCGTTGTGAATCATCTTCATACAAAGGGATGGCGCGCCGGTTCTACACGGCTCCAGCCCCCATACCCGCACACAGATTCGTAATGGCTTCTCCGTATCTGCTCGCCCTGACACGCCCGACCCTCACGCCTCGTCATAAAAGACCTGTATCGCCATGACGATGATCCATAGCAAAAATATACACCCTATCAAGCCGAAGGCGAAGACGGCTTGCCATGACTGACCTGCGCAGGCGGAGACCGTCAGCTTAAAGCAATCCGCATGCGTTGCGGAAGAATAGAATTGCTTACATATGGACCTTTCCTGTAGCCAGGCCAGCGTCGCCTGATTGTTCCCGGTAGGAGACTGACTCCAAACCAAGAGGTTGCAATTTGAGCTCACCGAGCCGACGGGGCCCCACAGCTCTATGCTGATGACGATGAGCCCGACCATCCAGAGCACGAAGCAGATGAAGGAGCCGATGATGACGATAGAGGGCAGGAGCCGCCTCTGGGCTATCAGCCACAGCAGAACCGTGATGTAGACGATCATCAACACGGCGACCGTGATGAAATATGGGAAGTGCCTGGAGCGGCGCTTGTTAGAAACGCGATCCAACTAGCCGCTAGGGCGACTCGCCGAGGGTTGTTAGCCGGCCTCGGACTCACCATGGCACGTATAGCTCCAGCTGCTGCTGGACGTTGATGAATGTTGCAGTGATTCCGATAATGCAACATGAGGCGGCAAACATGACGAGCATCCAGACATTGAGCTGGATGGCGGGCCAGTGGTAGCGATGGATGCGGGCCAGACGGCGCTCGTAAACGGGCGACGACCCGGAGCCCGTCGCCATGGATATGCTAGCCATCGTGGATGGACGGGTTATTGCCTTCTCGAGGCACTGCGGACGGTACGTGGGAACGGGATCACACGAAGTCGGATCCGGTTGCGATTCGGGGAGGCGACGGCGTACTGGGTCGTTTGATCGCTCGCGCACGCAGCCCGGGCGCAGTTTATGCGCAACCGCCTACGGACTCTGCCGACCGTCACACCCCTCTCGGCCGTCGAGGGTCTGCTCAACCCGACCAACGGCGGCGGACAATCCCAGATGCGCACGCGACGCTTATGGTCGTGTGTTCGACCAACTCGGTCCCGTCGTATCCACCGATGCCCTCGGTAACGGGTTACCGGTTACCAAATTGACGATATCCACCCGGGCGCGGGACACTCGGCAAGGACGGGGGTTGGCGATCGCGACGGTGGCTCGGGCATACAGAGGATCGAATGGGTGAGGGGGCGTCGTCATGTATTCGGCTTATTCGGGAAGTCTCTGGTCGACCTGGCCGACGGGGCACTCAATGAGAGTAGCGAGGCCAAAGGGGCGAAGAAGAGGAAGAGCAAGAAGAAGAAAAAGAAGCTGCGCGCTCAGAGCTATTCAATTGGAGGAAGAGGATGAGGAGGGTTGGTTGTAGGCGCCACAGCCCCGCGGGATGGTGCGCTGTCAGGCGGGCCGAGCTGAGGAGTAAGTACGTCGAGGTGGTACGCAGGGATGCAAATGGGTCGGGCGTTTATCGTGTCGCAGGGTCGCGATGGGCTCCGATGGATATCGCGGGAGTGGACGAAGTGGTTGATGCTATCGTGATGGTATCGCGACGCCGATGCCTCTCCATCGCGTTCGTGTATCGATACGGTAGTATTGATGGAGGGAGGAGAGGATTTCGAGAAGGCGATGGATGATGGTGGCTGGTAGGTACCTAAGGTACTGCCTCTAGGTAGGTACCAGGGCGACTGGGGCACTTCGGTCGCCAAGTCTCTGGAATTGCGGGAAAGTCCCTAAATCCCCCACCCTTCTTTGGGTGCCCAGAGCGGGAGGGCAGGCATACGATGCCGTCGGTACCCCCACACCTATGTATTCTTGCTACGCGTCAACAACATGTCGTCTAGTGCAGTGTCGCCGATAGAGCTATCTACTAAGCCCACCCCCAATCCGAGCCTTGCGCGGTTGCTCCGGGTGGCATCGACAATACAAAGGGATTCTCTTTACGGTTACTTCGGCCGATTCGTCGCCGCTGGCACTGACATACCTATATTTGCCCATGTGTAAACCCGCCAGCCTCCTATATCATTTAGACGTCTCGCACCCTCCGCGATCCTGGTTCGCGCAATGGCAAGAAAGGGCGTGACACAACCCGAGGCTATTTGTTGGGCGAATGGATCTCCGTCGGCGTAACTCTACAACAGCGACTCGCCCAACGCGCACCGCACCAGCGAACATCCTGCCCGGACCGTCTCGTGGGCTCCCCGGTCGACTTCTGGCGCCAGGCTCGGGTTGACCTCAACAAGGTCAACAGCTACGAGGCTCCCCGTCAGGTGTACGCTTTCGCAGATGTAATCACCCTCGCGTAGTGTCAAACCCCCTCGGACGGGCGTTCCCGTACTCGGCGCCCACATCGGATCGAGCGCATCAACGTCAAACGATAGGTGGATGGGAGTATCGGCGCCGATATGTGCGAGCGCCATCTCGACGACGCGGCCGATCCCGTGCCTGCTCCCCGGCGAGTGCCGTCATACGTCAGCATACGCCCCTCAAACGACAGTAACGTAGGGACGGTGGGGGATGGCGGTTCTGGGTGCTGGGCGCTGGGCGGGGTGTCAATACCGATCAATGTCAAACATGCTGAATGCCTTGATGCCGTTGTCACGAAGGATCTTCTTCTCCCCCAAGTCCACGTCGCGCAGGCCGATATACACGAGCTTGCTCACGTTCAGCAGGTGCTCAGGTTTCAACCAGCCGAAGTATTCGGGCCTCTCCTCCTTCGCGATGCCAGTCACAAAGCTCACGGGCATGCCGTGGATGTTTCCGGAACCGCTCGTCTCGGGGGTGTTGATGTCGGCGTGAGCGTCAACCCAGATGACGGCTATCTCGCGGCCGAGCCTCTCGCGCACCGCCTTGGCCGTGCCGGCGATCGTGCCGATAGCAATTGAGTGGTCGCCGCCTAGGGTTAGCACCATCCTGCCCTTGCTGGCCTGTGAGTAGACCTGGTCGCACAGCCGCTGAGTAACACTGCTCACGGCCTTGGGGTTTTTCATATTGCGGAATGGCGGGTCGTCCTGCGGGATGAGATCGTTGTACGACTGCACCGTGTCGTGGCCGTGAAGCTTGTAGTTGAGTTCATCTCGCAGCTGAGTGAGCAGCCCGGACTCGATCAGAGCTGATGGGGCGGCATCGACTCCCGGCTTACACTACGAGGAGAACAGCGGTTGTCGTGGTGAGCCTTCCGAGACCATATACGTAGAGAGGAGGGGAGGGGAGGGGAGGGAGAAGCCGTACCTGGCCGCCCGAGAAGCCCACGGCAACGACGCCAAGGTCCTCCGGGTGGGAGAGGAATTTGGACTTGACCGTCGAAGTGGTCATTTTTGGTTCCCGCTCCTCTCCCGCAAGTACCTATGCGTATGATCTTGGGCACGTCTCTGGGGGGGGGGGGAGTTCGGCTGACGGATTCACTTGATGGTGTGCGTTACGAGGAGCTGACTAGGTAAAACTCCTGTTCACGGGTAGGTAGGTAGGTAGGTAGGTGACTGCGTAATGAGAGAACCAACACGGACCTCCGAGGTTGGACTTATACCGCATTTATGTACGTAGGTGTGTTTGAATGGGACGCCGTTCTGGGAGATCTACTAGTAGTGCTTCTCTTGGCACATGACGGGGCCCCGAGGCAGGCAGGGAACAAGGAGCAAGTTCCACCTCTACATACATATACATGCCCATTCGTGGTGGAGAATTCATTCGGTGTGTGCAGGTACCTACTGTATGTGGGTATGTGCACACAAGCGGGCTACGGCATAGTCGGGCATAAAGTCGACGGAATCCCATTCCACCGTTACGTACCTGACCTCCAGGCCCGGGTATCTGATGTCTTCTTCTCTTGATGAAATACCGCAAAGTGCTTATGACCCTCGCCTTGCTTAGCTGAGAAAGGCCGCGTTAACCCGACGCTTTCCTTCTCCTACCCTTGGCCCGCAGTCGATTTCCCAATTCATCGTACACTTTCCAGCCCTCCACATGACAGAGTAGCCGGATATAGCATCATCTCAAGTAATAGAATCAGCGGCATCTAAATCCCTTAACCCAGATCTAGAAGGCCATGGCAGTAGGCTGTCGGACCAACCGGTGACCACACATATGCCGCCGAACTCGGCACCTGCCCTTCCCTACGAGATGAGCGCCTGCGCACCGCATTCTCCCTTCCGCTTGTGAGGTCGTGGGGCCTTGCCAAGAGGCTGACCGAGCTGATAAATCTCTATCCGAAGAACCTCGCCAAAGCCTCGGTCCTAGCCACTAGAACTGCCGGTGACCTTGTGGAGCGTGTCAATATAATTGGAGAGGAGTTCGACATGCCTCTAGGGTTGGCCGTAGATTGTACCTGTAGGTAGTACATGCTTGGGTGGACGTCAAACCATCGCCAGCACCTCCCGGCAGACGAGTCGTGTCTTCGAGCTGGGAAACTCTATGGGGGATATGGAAATCTCACCGTCGAAAACCAGCGTTGGGTACCTCTACCTACTAAAAGCCTTCCCGAACCATCATCGTCCTTACAACGTTTAAAATCATCCTCGAAACTTTGATAACACATACCTACCTCCCAGAATGCTTCGTGCTTTCTAATAGACGATGCAACGCGTTCAGTTGTAATATGACGGTTTCTCAGCGAATGGAACTGATATTTCAACCTCATTTATTCCTGTTTCGGGCGTGTCTGCATTAGCTGGAACGTCAAGGGCACGACGTACACTACCTGCCTGGGTAGGTAGGTACCTATCTGGCCCAGTAATTTAGGTACCTAGCCCCAAGCCAAAGTACCACTTCTCGTGAACGCGTAGTACCTAACATTTCCGCATTTATATCCAGGTATGCATGCATATAAGGGTGGATTATGAAAGTGATAGGTAGATCGCCCCCCAGCGCCTGCCCCTCCGTCCCCACAGGACCTACCTGGGTACTTGTGAAGTGGTCGCATTACCTAAGTAATGCGAGAGGCCACCAAGACTTAGAGATGACGGCAAGGGAAGGCGGCGGCTTATCAGTGGCTTGAGTTGATTAACCGGGTTCCTTCGAACCGCTTCCCATCATCTTCGCCGTCACCAGCCTCTTCCAACCAGACATCAGCTTTCGCCTCGGTTACATAGGTATTGGCCGGTTAGTGCTGCCGTTCAGAGCCCCCGGAATTATGTCAGTAGTTCACGGAGTGAGGCCCAGTCGCGTGATCCGAGACCCCTCTTATAGACCCCGACCCTCCCGAGAAGCTAACATATATATATGGCGAGCCTTTAGGATCGAGCCGTCGAAGAGGCTGCGCCGGGCGGTTCGGAGCAACGATGCCCTGCTTGTCCGCCGTATTGTCAAGGCCCACCCTGATTTGATCCACAACCCAGATCAGTCCGCTACCGGTCTGTCTAACTCAAGCCTCCATCTCGCTGCCAGCCTCGGCCATCTCCACGTTTGCAAAACCTTGGTCGCTCTCGGCCACGAGCTTCCCACACCCGCCCTCAACGATGAACACCAGACAGCGTTAATGCTTGCCGCCTCGGCTGGCCATACAGAAACCGTCCTATTCCTCTCGGAGAACAATCCGACGTCTATACTCCGTCGTGATGTCCGAGGTAGAGACGCAATTATGATGGCTAGCATGGGAGGTCACGACACCGTCCTACAGATCCTCTTAACATACGTGCCGGGAGGGGCGGAGAGTGCCGTTCAGAATGCGGATCTTGACGGAAATACCGCCCTCCATTTCGCTAGCAGTAACGGCAACCTCCTTATTCTCCGGACCTTACTTGCCGCGGGGGCCGACCCGACGAAAAGAAACGTATGGAGCTGGACCGCCATCGCCTACAGCGCTACCGTGCAAGCCGAGGTCTACCTTAAAAGCCTCGTTTCGGAAGTCGAGAAGCGGAAGTGGGTGAAACTTAAGGCCGAAGAAAGCAGAAAAGGCGCCTCTATTCGGATGGTCGGTCAGGAAGCCAGCATAGCAGAGTAATAGCCAATTCCTGATTACGCGTTAACTAGAGCCCCCCTCCCAGACAGCGTACTTCGAACCTCGTTCCGAGACCGAGAGAGGAGTTTCACGGACGACTTCGAAACAACGGCATCCCGGTAGGGTGGCGAGAAACGGCTACGGTCGCCTGAAAACGACAAAATACTCGTGATTCGGGACTGATTGCCTCCGATTCCTGTCGATTCCGGTAGCGAACCAATGATTCTAGATACGGCCTCACCATATATAGGCATGCCACCAGAGTCACAGACCAGGTAACGATCCACGCATCCCTCTCGGTAGGGTTGAACCCACTAAAATCGCATAGGCTCCATATGATCCGAGCATCACTACGCGCTCTTTGGTTCTATTACGTGTTGCTAGTCTCAACATATTATTAGGTGACCGGCGAGCCGAGTTCTCCACCTTATGAGCACCAGCCGGTAGTCGATCTGAGCTGGGGTCCGTTATACATACTTCGGTAACCAAGGAGCAAGTTTATACCTATTTTGATCAGCTATACTGCGGCTCCATGCAAGGCACAATCACGGCACCATACACCCAATGAGTAATGCCAAATATGTCAGGGACCTACCTCAGGGGCCTGCCTCAGGGGCCTTCCTACGGCACCGTCGAACTCGCGGTGGAGCTGCGGGGAATGGGTTCCGTCCTTCGATCTGATCAGCATGGGTGCTACGTACGCTAACCGGAGGATGATTGCTTCAATGTGGTGTCGGCCATAATGAACTTAGTGGCTAGATGGTATTGTCACTAGATGGTATTGTCATGAACCTCGCTGTCTATGCGTTTAGCTCTGTTTGTGAACATGATGTTTCACCGTCGACATCTCTCCAATCATGAGCGGCGTAGGGATCTGACATGCCATGTCATGTCCTCCCGCATGCCCAGTCACTGCCTATTATCTACTAAGGCAACAAGAGAGTGACTTTCAGCATTATTATCAAGCCAACAATTAGCCCGTCACGCACAAAGGTCGGTCAGTTAGGCGGGAAGGCACGTACAGCTCTCCTATATAAAGCTGTGCCACAACCGCAACCCGAATCTGTTCCCTCTCTCCCTGTCACTCAACACCATATTAAGTTGTCTAAGCGGATACAACGTTAAACGAATGAGCTATCTGAGGCTTCACTTTGCATCTATTTCTACAGCCTGCTCGAGTCTTGTCGGCTTCACAACCCTTGTTTATTACGCGATTACCACTTAGCCACGGAACTTAGTACCAGACACAACGCTCTTACAACTGCAAAGGTTGTGATATTCGGCGTGTAGGGGTGTCTCTATTGTGGGGATACAACTTTATCCGACTCTGCCGCAGAACTAGGGAGTCAGCAACGGTGAGCGGCCTATTTCGTTACGAAGTCTCCCTCACAGCATACTATATTCGGTTTCCTCTTTCCTTTTATTTTTACATCGACGCCCCGTATATAAATATCACCTCCTCCCAGCGCCCTGTCACCCATGTATATTAGTTAACGCTAGTGACTATGGTCAAGACTTTGCTATACCGGATCGCTTTATTAGGAGTGCTGCTCCGTAAAACACACCGTCCTCCCCCAGCACCAGCAACCATTGTCAGAAGTGATGGCTGCCCCGGCATTTGGAAATGGGTGGAATCCACAGTTCGGTTGGGACCCGAGAACAAGTGCTGGCTATGGGAACCCTATTTCCGGTGTTGGCATCGGGGGTGCTGGCGATTTCATGAGTCGGAGTTTCTTTTCTGCCGTGCCCGGGGGCGCTATGTTTCCCGGACCGAACATACATTCTGGGTACCACTATTCCGTTCCCGTTTTCCCAGGCATGAACACCCGCTTGCAGACTCCCCATCCCGTTGTTGATTACGACGCCCCAGCTCTGAACTTATCCAACTCGACGGGCGGAGTCGGTTGCGAGCCCGGCTACAATTATTTCTTCCCCCCAGAACACACCAAGCTTCACATCATCAAGTCGTCAACTGCCCCCTGGAGACTCCCGGAGGGTGCGTCGATGAGTTTCGGCGCTTATCACGTCCCTGTCCACACCACGCTTTCCGATCTCATGCTGGGTTTCGGGGCCACCAACCCGATTCCACAGCAGAACAGAGTTACCGAGATCATCCAAGGAGGAAACGGGAAGTGGTACAGGGGCGTTACTTTCTCAGGGGAAGACCTGGAGCAGATGGCAAAGACGCTCAGAGACCTTGGCTGGGACCGCAGCCGGACCGGGCGTACAGGAGAGAAGCCTGTCGTCTGGCTCTGGATCACCAAGGATTGACATATTCCTTGAGGTGATAGAGAAGAGCGTGTGCTGAGCTTCGGTTGACGAGTCGACGGCGGATTTCCCAGTGGAATTTATAGCAGGACTATGTGCCGTGTGTTATGAGGATTTATCACTGAGGTAAGCGGGGGTTGTATTATCTTCATAGTCACATATTAATCAACCAAATTCACGAATTTTCGCTCATTTTACTGCTGTCACTCTTTTTTGCCGCGGGGTGATTGTAGTTATGCAATCTGGCCCTCTAAGTGTGATCGTACGTATTAATATTGAAACATGCTGACGACGTTAATTAGTCAAGCATACTAACACAAAGCCAATCCCTAGGTCGCTATAGCGATATTACTGAACTGCGAGATTACTACGGTGCGATGTCGGGGGTTGGGAGACGGCATACTATCGATTAAGATGGGAAGTCGCCCATAATAAGGACCCCATAGTCTTGGGCCAGTATGATATCGTACATACTCGGGAGTGTAGTCGATTTCTCCACCGATATTTCATGGAGCCACCCCAGCGACGATGTTTATGTTCTATATCCATCGCAGTTCGCTCCGAGGGGCAGTAACACAATGTCATACCCTGTCATGGTAGAAAATAGGGTAACTTGTCGTTCGTCGGCGTTACGTACACTATCGCGTCTGGGTATATCAAAGAGCTCGCGATACCGGCGTATCGCCATAGTCACACAGTCACTATCCTAGTTGCTGTATCGCGGTAGGCTTATTACCGATAACAGCCCCCCTGAGCCAGACGACGGGTCGGGCCACCACTACGACCGCGGACGCAACCCAAAGAATGGTCCTCTGCCGACAGCCGGTGCACACAGCCTATCCAGCCACCCCACCACTACCGGCGGGCCTTGGTCCCCTTGGCGCCCCTAGCGGCCTTCGCGGGTCCCGGCGCGGGCACGGCCAGCTCCTCCCACTGGACGCCGGCCCACTCCTCGAGGTAGGCGACGGCGCCGTTAGGGACGCCCGGGGGCGCGCAGTCGCGCGCGCACACGGCGACGAAGACGGTGCCCCAGTCCATGCCGTCGGCGAGCAGCGCGGCGGCGTCGGCGCCGGCCTCGAGCTCGACGATGGCGCGCGGCGTCAGCTGGACCTCGAAGGCGCGCGCGGCGCCGCAGCTGGGGCACGCGGGGATGCCGGCGCCAGCCGGCGCGAAGAGCCGCCCCACCGCATCGTCCCGAGCGTACAGCAGCGGCTGCCCCCCAAACTCGTACCGGATCGCCTGCTCCGGGTTCTGCGCCAGCCGGTCCGCGAACCGCTGGAAGGTCGCGTCCATCGACGACTCGAACACGTCGCGGTCCTCCTTCCCCCCGCTGCCGTCGCCGGCGTCGGTGTCCAGGCGCGCCGTCGGAGGCACCTGCGGCGTCGCCGGCGTCGGGTCCAGGGTCTCGTACTCGGCCTCCGAGAGGTACGCGATCGGGTACGGCGCCGGCTGGTCGGCTTCGGCGGGCCAGGGCTCGGGGGCGGCAGGCGGGGTGGCGGAGGCGGCGGTGTTGTTGTTGAGGGAGAGGACCTCCGCGAAGGTTTGGGGTAGGGCTTTAGCCTCCCCTTCTGCACTCGCTGCAGATGTAGGCTCGGAGCTAGGGTTGGCTTCTGCGGGAGGAGCCGGCGTAGGGGCTGGAGTGCTGCTGCTAAATGGATTCCCGGCGGTTGCGAACGGGTTTGCGCTCGCCGCCGTCGCCGCGGGGGCGGTAGAGAAGGGGTTCGCCGAGCCAGAGGAGGACCCCAGCACCTTAGCGCCGAAGAGCGTCTCGCCCAGATTCGCCGGCGGCCTGGGCAGCTCCGTTGCGGACTCCGCGTGCTTATTCTTCTTTTTATTGCCGGCGTCATCTCCCTTCGCGCTCGCCGCGGGGGCGGCGATGCCACTGTCGGGGGCCACGCGCAGGGCGCGCAGGGCGCGGGTGCTGCCCGCCTTGCGGCGGCAGGCGCGCCGGCGGCACGAGAAGACGTACAGCCGGCGCTCGTGGCCCGGGAAGCGGTCGGGCAGCTCAGCGTCGAGCTGCAGCAGCAGCACCATCAGGTCGCGGCACACGCGGCAGCGGGCGAGCGCGGCGGACGGCGGCGCGCTCGCGTCGATCCATTCCTGCGGGCGCCGGCAGCCGGCGTCGACGTCAGCGGCGGCTGCGGCGGAGCGGGACTAGGTACAAAGAGAGAAGGGGCTGAGAAAGGGGGGGGGAGACGGGGTTATGGTGGCTTACGGGACGGCCGCCCAGGCGGCTGACGTTCTCATCGGCCGGGTCCCGTGATGCGTAGCCGAGCAATACGTTGGTCTCGGTATAGTCGTTGTCGTCCTCGGCGGACGAGTCGCTGTCGTAGGGCGCCATGTCTAGGGCCCGTTTGCTTATCGTCGTGTGGTTGTCAGGTTTGTTGTTGCTGCTGTCACAACTAAGCAATTCATGCTCGGTTCTCTCTTACTTCATGCCTTTTTGTGAAAGTGGTCTACGGCGATTGCATTTGCTTCGTTTATCTCGATCTTCTTTCCCTTTTTTTTCTCTCTCGCTTCCCCCAGGTTCCTCGTATCGATATGGCGGGGCAGATTCACGCGATAAGCCCATGGCGGGGCTTATCTGCTGCTGACTTAGCAGAGGTGCACTCTGTTTTCTATCACACCTTAGGTACGTAGTGAGTACCTAACATGGGAGGTTATGAGCTACCTATAGATACATACCTTCACCCTACAAGCCGGCCTCACTGCGTATGCGACGAGACACTCCCGATTAAGGATTACACGCCATCACGTTTCGTGCACTCGTCCTCCGCTCCGGCTTAGGAGCGGCAAATGCTGGTGCCGGGCCCAGCCGAGCAGACAAAGGTCTGGGCTCGCCGAGGTATTGGGCTCTTCCCTCCGAGCCTCCCTCGCGATGCCATCTACTGAGATATCCATGTTATTTCACGATACCCCGAGGCTGCCACCCTGGCGTATGTGGAGGAATGGGTCGGTTCCAGCGGCAAGGGATATGAGCGGATGCCCAGCCACCTAGATGGGTATGGGCTGATGATCTACGCAGGGAGGTTGAGGCCCCATCGATCGAACCCTGGTTGCCCCCGGTGGAAACGCTTCCTGGGGACTCTACCCGTGTACCACGTACCTATGTGGCATACCTACCCCTATCTGGCCACGCATTTACTCGGCCCAGCGCGGTGCCATCCCAACTGTTGGTCAATATCCGAGCTCTCGTCCACGAACTCCGCACTCCGCACTCTCCAACCACCTCTGTCATGGGAACATGGGGAGCGGGTGATGCCTGTTAGCAAAGCAACACTCAGCGCCCCTTGGCTGACATATCAAACTGCCCTTTGTGTCTAGCCGAAGACCGAAGACCCTGGGGACGGGGTCTGCCGTTTAAATTCTCGCCAAATCACCACAAGCGGACAGGATCCCAAGCCTATACACTACGCCGCGAGCTATCGGCACTCCCCTCCCCCTCCCCAATCTCCGCCGCAGATCATCCAAAATCCCCCCATGAAGATATGGCGGAATTACAAGTGCCGACTGCGGACGCCCCGTTGCTGAGCGACTTCGACGTCCTCACAATCGGGGCCGGCATCTCCGGAATCAACACCGCCTATCACCTTCAGACAGAGTTCCCGGGGACCTCGTACGCCATTCTCGAGGCCCGTGATAGCATCGGCGGTACCTGGGACTTCTTTAGGTATCCTGGTTTACGATCTGACTCGGACATGGTCACCTTCGGCTTCCCCTGGAGCCCGTGGACTTCCGACCAGAGGACAGGCACTGGCAGCCAGATCGTCGCGTATATACGGAAGGCGGCCGAGGCGCAAGGCATCGACAAGAACATCCGCTTCAACCACAAGGTCCTCGCTGCCGACTGGAGCACGCCCACTAAGGCCTGGACTGTCACCGCTGTCAACGGCGCGGGCGAGACGCGGACCTTTCGCTCTCGGTTTCTCGTCCTCGGTACTGGGTACTATGACTACGAGAACGCCCTCGAAGCGGACATCCCGGGGTTACGCACTTTTGGCGGCCAGGTGATCCACACCCAGTTCTGGCCTGAGGACTTCGACTACACAGGTAAAGATATCGTCGTCATCGGGAGCGGCGCTACCGCCGTCACGCTCATTCCCGTCATCGCTGAGAAGGCCAAGAGCGTCACCATGCTCCAGCGCAGCCCGACCTACATGGTCAGCCCGCCAGCCCGCATGGGACCAGAGAGTGGCCTGTCCCGACTTCTCCTACGCCTGCTCCCGACCGCCATGGGACATTGGTACCGGCGCATGCGTTCCGCCCTGTTCTCTTCCTTCTTATACGCCTTTTGCATAGCATTCCCTACTCGCGCGCGCGCGTCGATCCTGAAGGCCACCGCGGCCCAGCTTCCCGGCGATATTCCCGTAGACCCTCACTTCAACCCGCAGTACATGCCTTGGGAGCAGCGCATGTGCGTGTGTCCCGGGGGGGACTTCTTCGCCGCGCTGCGGTCGGGTCGAGCTCGCGTCGTCACGGACCGGATCGCGGAAGTGACGGCGACGGAGATCCGGCTCGCGTCGAAGGGGTCGCAGCCGCTCCGGCCGGATGTGATCGTGACGGCGACGGGCCTGCGGCTCAAGTTCGCGGGCGGGGTGGCACTATCAGTAGACAGCGAGGTGGTGGACCCGACGACGCGGTATGTGTGGCGCGGGTGCATGGTCGAGGGCGTGCCGAACCTCGCGTTCGTCATGGGCTATATAAATACGTCGTGGACGCTCGCGACGGATGTGTTCGGGCGGGTGCTGACCCGTGTAATGCGGCTGACGGCATCGCGCGGGGCGACCTCGGTGACACCACGGCTGCGGGACCGCGACCGCAAGCCGGGCCAGCTGCGCGACCTCCCCGTGTTCGCGCTCACGTCGACATTCATGAAGAAGGCGAACGAATCGTTCCCGCGGGCCGGCGGGGGCATCTGGGATCACCGCCGGAGCTACCTAACCGACGAGCTCCACTCGCGGTTCGGCGACGTGAAGAGCGGGCTCTACTTCGAGTGACAAGAAAGCCAGGCAGATACCTGCAAGCGGTGTATACATACATAGGTTATACGCGCACAACGACTCTTCGTGGTGCATCAACCTTTGGTGTTAGGGACCGGGGGTTTGGGCGGTTGTGGGGGTGTGTACCGTGGCCATAAAGGAGCAAGATATTAAATGGGATTTTATTGGCATGGGCGCATTGCTATGAGGGAGTACGTATGATTTCACCAGTATGATGACTTGGAAAGACTGTTCGTAAGGACAGAGGTGGGCATGGCTATAGGTCGTTACGCTCGTTCGCTCGCTCGTATGCACATATTACCTATATCAAAGGTATCCGCTTATTGGTGTGAATGGAACATCCACGAGAGCTGCGGCAGACCTCCATCCTAAGACTAGATATCTAGAAATGCCTCTGCCGTTGATCCAAGAAGGGTGTGTATTTGCCCTAAAACAGCCCTCCGTTTCCTATTGTTAGCCGAATACCCCATTAGCAACCACATCTACCCTACAAATCAAGTAGATCCCTGGCCGCCAGACTGCTGTATATACCTGCATGGTATGATGTAAATACCTACATACGCGTGAAGACAGCTCCGCCTCCACCGTTGCTTCTTCCTGCAATGCAACGGATCACTATTCATCGGCGTCCCTCCAACGCTATTATCCGGGTGTCTTCGTAACGGCTACGCTGTGTACATACATACGCATACCACCCAACTCCTGCATTTCAGAGCCCTCCTCTCCTTTCAGGTGAGTCGTTTGGGGCGGGTATCTAACGTGCTATGGAGAACCTGGTCATTAGTCGGTTGAGACATGTTGTAGGTACGATGCGCCTATCTTGAAATACGCTGTGATGGGTATTATAAGTGCTAATACAAGCTAAGCTGTGTAGGTATGCTCTATGGCGTATGTAACGTTGTCGCGGCGGGACGGTCGGTCGGTCGTCGGGCTGAATCGCTGCGCTCTAGTTGGGCGGGCATGGAGGCGCATGTTCTCTTCGTTGCCCTATCGGGCCGCGAGGTTTCAAGACACAGGGGCACGTAGGTGATCCGTAGTATGTCTTTGGAGTATTATTATATTTTCATCAGGCGGGAGGGCAGACGGTACGATCGAACTCTTACCTCGCTGCTATTGCTGCTACGTAGTACTACAACCCTACATACACTACGATGCACATACATCATCTATAGGTATCTTGACTTTCGGCAACTTCATGTACGCATGTGGGGAAATACCCGCGCTCCGTGTCTTACCCATACCAAGCATCTCAGACGGGAAGACGGTTGGGTCCAGGTACAGCAAAGGAAGCACATCATCAGTGGCTTACCGGCACTTGGAGCGTCATGCGAAAGCAGCAGTAATAATATGTCTTACTATAACGTAAGGGTTATCGATCCAATCGGATCCGGCCTCTTGGCCAGATCCATACTACCATGCGAGCCAGAGAAGATAACGCCAACCTCGAGATAAATAATCGATGGAGCAATCTGCCGGCCCGTCTGGTCACTACATAGGCCAGCATATATACGCCGTCTTTATCCCCTAGGCCCATCATCTACTGGTCAGGTCAAGTCACGAGTTGACAACACCGGAAGCCATACACAACATACAACACACAATACCAAAACTATCTACGTAATATTGGGCTGAGAAGAACCTAACAACGAGCAGTTTTCAGGATATGCACTCTAACGGGAGCTATTTTTAGGGAGTGGCGAGAGAGAGGCCCAACGGAGTGAGCCCAGGAAGACTTACCTAGAGAGTTAATAATAGGGGCCGGAGATGGAGACAGGTAGAGAGAGAATGAGAGGAGAGACGACGCTATGTATGTAACGGGAGGTCTCAATGCAAGCGGCCTAGGTAATTACCGAGTTTAGGCAGCAGCGAAACCAGCAACGGCTGGAGGCTTGGCGCCGACGGCGTACATGGTTGAACCAGAAAAAGGGGGGACGGGGGGGGGACGCAGGTGAAGTCGTTCAACAGGAAATAACAGTAACAACAAGTGCTATGGCACTCGTCTTTGTGGAACCAAGACCTCTGGCATGTAGGTATATGCATATACATGCACGTATGCAGATGCGCCGCGTGATGGGCATTGACCGAGAGAAAGAGAGAGAGCGCGTATAGTAGAAACGCATGTAACGTTTTATGTCCACGTAGGGTATAACCATGGCCAACGTGCCGAAGCGATGGCTACGTCGCCAGCGACTTCTTGATGCCTGTCGTCGGAGCTACATCTCCATGTGTAATAGGAATTCAAATCTAGGAAGAGGCGCTGCGCTGGGGCGCGGACACTTGTCGTGCACGATGGAGGCATATGGGACCACGGCAAGGTCGATTATGGAGTTAGCACATACCTATTGATCGTATTCACCGTTGCTAACTGCTACGGTGGTGCAAGTGGGCAAGGCAGATACAATTCAGCATAGTGGGAAGACACATAACCAGTAGGCATCTAAATGGTAGACGATAATAGCGACTTACTGGGTAGGGGGAACCGGACTATTATTCCTTCGACGTAGGTAATGCACCTACATACCTATATATACGGCTATTGTCATCGAAAGAGGAAGAGGAAGAAAAAGCTTGTCTGCCATAAAAATAGCACATGGGCCGTTTATATTGGCCATTTTAATATGAGGGCTACTGTGAAACAGCCCGCTCTCTCCCCAAGCCTTCCGCGATCCCGATCCTTCGCGCCGCGCTCTGCCTAGCGGCGCACCACCGCCCTCTCTACACACGACTCGGCAACATGCGCCACTAGGGAAAATATGACGGGCAAAATAGCTAGGGGGGATCGACGAAGCGATAACTGAGACACATCCCATCGCTGCGTCCTCAGGTCACCAGGCAGGCCGTCACCCGCCAACTTCCCTTTACGGACAACACCCGCCGCGAGCCGGGAGGCCGAAGTCAATGGGGACCCACGGGCGACCACCAACGTAGCAGCGGCCAGCACGAGAGGGCGCCGAGAGGCTTGGACGTGGGCGGTTCGCGGAGTCCACCCAACCCGCTTGGCTGCTAGCCCGGCCAGCATCAGCCTTACCATGTGGCGCCGTGTGTTCCCCGATTGTGTCTGCCTGGAATCGCGCAGGGGTCGCCGTCGTCCTCGCGAGCAAGCCGTGTGACGCCGTATAAATGACCTGGTGCCCTTCGCCCCATCTCACCCTAGAGCCAGATCTGCAACACCAGCAATCTACAGAACACCCTCGCTTTAGTACAGCTCGAGCCGCCACCATGAAGCAAAGTTTCCTACTCGCGATGGCCGCCAGCCTGGCGGCAGCACTCCCTTCCCCATACCCGGACCCAGGTGTAAGTGCCGCCCCCCGCCGCATATTCCCCTCGGGCGAGATATCCCGCGTCGTAAGACGGGAGGAGGGAGAGGAGACTGGAGCTAACCGCGGGCCAGCCGATCGAGCTCTTCAACGTGACGGAGGCCGAGTTCGACCACGCGGAGCTGCTGCAGGCGCGGGCGCGCGGGCCGTGGAACGGGCCGGTGATGGACGTCAGCTTCCCGGACCCGACGCTCTTCATCGACGGCAACGTCTGGTGGGCGTTCTCGACGTCGAACGGCAAAAACGGGCACATCCCCGTCGCCAAGTCCAGCGACGGCGAGAAGTGGTCCCTCGCCGGAATAGACGCCATGCCCGACGTCGGGCCCTGGGTCGACCCCAAGGACCGGGGCATCTGGGCCCCCAGCGTGTTCAAGAACGACAACGGCAAATACGTCATGTACTGTGAGTAACCGCCTTCCCTCTCCCTCCCCCGGCCGTCGACATCGGCGTTCCGAGGCTAGATATAAATAAATAAAAAAATCCCCTTCCGCTAACCGGGTGCGCGCGCGGCACAGTCTCGGGGAAGCGGAACGGCGGGCGGCGGTGCGCGGGGGTGGCGGTGGCGGACTTGCCGCAGGGGCCGTACAAGGTGACGAGCAGCCCGCTGATCTGCGACGACGCGGGGGGCGGGGTGATCGACTCGGTGCACTTCTTCGACGGGTCGCAGCGGTGGGTGATCTGGAAGGTGGACGGCAACGCGCTCGGCGGCAAGACGACGTGCACGGGCGGGCCCAGGTCGGCCGACTACAAGCCGACGCCGATCCGCATCCAGCGCGTCTCCCGCGACGGCCTCACCCTCCAGGGCCAGCCCAAGACCATCCTCAACCACCTCGGCGACGTCGACGACGGCCTCGTCGAGGGCCCCGCCATGTGGAAGCGCCGCCCCGGTTCATACGTACGTGTTCTCTTTCTTCTCTCCCTATCCTCTCCTCTCTCGTCTCCCTTCCTCCCACCCCAGCTCTAAGACGGGAAAAAAGAAAAAAAAAAGAAAGAAAATAAAAAAGAAAAGCCACAAAAAAAAGGGGGAAAGACAGACAATAATACTAACTGGGGATTGCGCGACGCAGGTCCTGTTCTACAGCACGCACTGCTACAGCAGCGACAGCTACGACATCCAGTACGCGTGGGGCACGTCGCCGGACGCGGACTTCGGGCACCGGCGGAGGCTGGCGCGGTCGGGGCCGAAGCAGCCCATCTACGGGCCGGGCCACATGGACATCGCGTCGGACGGCACGACGATCGCCTTCCACGGCCGCGACAAGCCCGGCAACCCCAAGGACACCAAGCGCCGCATGTACATCGGCAAGATCAAGTTCCCCACCGGCGAGTACAGCGACGGCATCAGCGTCATCAACTACAAGGGTTGATGATAAGTCGAGCGAGCGATGCATATTTATAGGTATGCATGTGTATGTGTCGTTCATCCCCCCTCCCTTCCCCTGAGGAGTTGCCGGGGATGGGGAGATAGGTGAGGGAGGGTGGGTGTGTGTATATTTGATCGATCAAGAGAGGGACAGAAAAAAGAAGGATAGAGGCGAGGAGATGCTCGCTATTAGAGGTTACGGCCCGCAAATACCCTGTATATATGCTAGCGGGCCTAGTTACATTTCTTCCACTTGTATATATATATATGTATCATTTTCTGTATAACACCACGTATGTGCACATCTGCTCATTCCTATTCTCTGTCTTCGCAAGGCGTCCTACCTCTTGTGTCCTCCACACCCCATCCGTCGCTTGATACCCCTCCTCCCTCTCAGACTCCGTTATCTGTGATAGCAAGCGAACGGACCAATCCAGAGAGACCGATTTCCGTACCACTCATCCCGACGGGACCTCGACGAGCACCAGAGCGAGGCTCTCGGTAGACACGGTGTGATCCTGTGCGTCCCTACTTGTGCGATTCGTAACCCCCTCCAGTTCGGACGGGTTCGGAATCAGATTAGATTGGCGCGGACGTGTCCCACCGGCGCCACCCATCGCGAGACCATGTTTGTCGCTCTGACGAACTTCGGGTTGCGGTGCGTACCAGGGGAACTCGACGATACAAAGCACGCGTTGCGTTGTTTGCTCGGAAGCACACCAGGCCAGGCTCTCGGTCCTGTTTCCTCTCCAACTCAGGCTCCCATCACGCCGGGCCGGCCTGGTTCGATATCCACCCGCCTGGACACACGAGCAAATATGTAACTCGCAGCAACCAGGCAAACCGCCCTGCCCGCTGAAAGCAAACTTTTCACACACCCTCTCCATTGTTCTCTCCCTCCCTTCTCTTTGGCCTACACTACGCCTACTTACCACGTAGCAACACGCATAACTCGGCCGCGTGAAACCAACAACTCGGCGCGCCTGTCTTCTCAGACGAGAAATGAGCCAGAAACGAGCCAGGATTCGGCATCTTTTCCCTTCTCCCTCCTGCAGCGCATTTACCACGACGGTTTCTGCCGCCAAGCCCAGCATCGCGAGTCCGTCTGAGCCCGTCTCTAATCCGCAAGGCCGTCGCCACCGGCGAGACTGGCCCTCGCAGTTTACAAGGGGTCCGTCCCATCCACGCCGACCGACACTGATGTCAGGAGGAGCTGCTGTTCACGTCTGACAGCCAGACCAACACAACGTTCGACTTACCGTCGCGTCCACGCTCGCACGCGGCGAGCAGACCGCCCATCAGGGACCATCTTCCGACGTTCGTTACACGCAGGCTCTGGCCGTGTTCGTCGCCAGATTAGCCACCTATCGACCTCTGCAGCCGGCACGTCGATTGGGAGAGGAGGAGAGACGAAGACGAGCCCATACCGCGGAGAGAGAAGGGACAGAAGCCTAGGACAAACCAGCGCCCGCCGCACTCCTCGCCACAGCCCTCGCGACATCCCATAGCCACCTTTCGGGAGCCCCCGAGCGCACCGACCGATCCGCCATGCCCGCAGCAGCAACGACCTTCTCCAGGGCCCTGCGCGCCGCGGCGCGGGCGGCGACCCCGACGGTATTCCTGCTCCCGCCGGACGGGGACCCGGACTCGGGCGCGGACACGGCGGCCCTGGTCCCGGCGCAGCCGCCGCCAGCGCCGCAGCCGCCGCCCGAGGTCCGCAGGTTCGACACCGCGGTCATCGTCGGCGTGTCCGTCGCGGGCGCCTTCGTGCTGCTGTGCGCCGTCGCCGTGGTCGTCTTCTGGTACCGGCTGTACACCAGCCGCGGCGACGCCTACCTCGAGTACGGGTGGAGCGGCGGCGGCGGCGGCGGCGGCGGCGACAGCGCCGGTGCCGGTGCTGATGCGAATGCGAGTGCGGGTACTGGAGCCGCAGGCGGTCGCCGCGCCCGCTTCGGGTTTCGTCGCACCCGCCCCGCCGCGAGACTTGGCTTTGCGCTGCGGGGCGCGGGGCGCGGGGCGGAGGGGGGCGCGCGCCGAGCAGAGGAAAGGGGAGGGGGGGGCGGCGGAGGATGGGGTCCGGCGCCCGGGGGAGGAGGCGGGATGGGGATGGGTGGGACGGGGTGCTGACGGGGGCGGAGGTGTGAGGATGTGTGGCGGCGAGGCACTGAGGGATGACGGTGAGGTTCGAGATGATAGTGTGGCGTTGGGGTGGGGTAGTGGCACTAGTCTGATAATCCAGCCAGGACGAGAGGAGGAAGGGAAAAATAGATTATGACCTTGCTCGCCGCCGGAGGGATCCGTGTACTTCTCCTCTAGCACACGAAGCTCCGGCGACTTGCCCAGGCTGCGGATGCAGCAGAGAGCAATGCGAAGAAAATACGAGAATGGATGACCAGGTATCTCGCGGGGAAATGAGAGAGAGGATCAGAATATAGATAGATAATTTTAAACTAAAAACTTTTACCCAGGTCCACCCCCGGAATGACAATGCACTAACTAGAGAATAAATAATCAATGAAAGAAAAACTAAGAAATAATTTCAGAAGCCTGCCGACACGATCTCCCAACCGCAAAATCTGTCTGTCCGTCAACGTCTCACTCACCACACAAACGTCTTGCCTCCCGGCTTCGAATGGGGAGAGAGCCGAGCTCCTCCACCTGCCGCCAAGCCCCTGTTACCCCGCGACGGGCCGGCAATACCCACCCTCCGCATCACCCCCCACTACCCCGCTCGCTTATCCTTCGCCGCCAATCCAAGCCACGACGAGAGTTGATCCCAACTAGACTTAAACCTGTTCGCCCGCGGTACGGCCCGGAAGCCTAGCTGCCGCAGCGAGGCGAAATCCGGTGTCTGGGTGTAAAATCTAAATCGTTCGTCCGCTCTTTTTTTCTTTTATCCAAGGGTTGAGGAATGCAGGGCGACGCCATGGCGAATGGGGGCGAAGAATTGGGGTGTGTAGTACGGAGGTGAGGGCTTTACTGTTGCTGTCGTCAAACTAGAAATCTGGATCATCACTCTAAAAGCTGGCGCCTAGAATGCTGCCTCGTATCCTCCTCGCCTGGCAGGAGGTGTCATTACCGTCGCTCCTCATCGCGAAGCTTACGGGCTTTACGCCGACCTTGGCTCGTGCGTTAGTTTCAAGGCTAAGAGACCCCCGACGCTGTACCGCCAACAGTCGGCTTAGGAGCGAAAACGATACGGACCCCTAGTCGTAGGCCGGTCCGCGATACGAGCGTTCTCGGCTGTATAGGTCGAAGTCTCTCATGCCCGGGTAAAGGGCGCAAAGAGGAAAAGACAGAATAGGCGATATAATAGATAGTTGATTGATGTAGTACCCGGGGCGTGAGATGGCAAAGTACTCTCATCAAACGATCCCAATTCGGCAAACAGAGGGCCATTGGTGGCGGCTACATGAGACGTGCTAGAATGGCGTTCAATTCGGCAGCGACCCTGGCCTCATGGGTATCTCCGATGCTACCGGCGCTTTGAGGGGACTGGCCAGCGAAAGGTACACTATCGGGTTCCTGCTTAAATTTATCGAGACGGTAGCTCCTGAGAGCCCGGTCATCAACGGGGTCTGAGGTGGGTGGGTTCTCCGTAAAACGGTGCTCCGGTTTAGGCGCGGTTATACTACGAGGCGGATAGACGACGGTTAGTAGGGCCGTTAGAAGCAGGGTGCTGCCGACTCATCGCTATCACGTACCCGTGGTAAGCTGCTTTGTTCGACATCACGAAGCCGTCGCGTATTGACCGAGACAATCTAATGTATCCAGGGAAGCGGAACGTTCGAGAAGAAAACAAATCCTCACTGAGTCATTCGCACTTGTTTTGAACGATACTAGAGGGGGGGGATGGAGGCCTCGAGAACGGTTTTGTATTCTGATAGGGTTCTAGTTTTCTGCATCCCGTCCTTCTTCCCACGCCGGCTTATGAAGCAACCGCAAGCACTCTCCCAGGGATCGCCTCTTCCAGGCAGGTAGCTGTCCGCGGACGCAACCTTGTTCGCGAACCAAAGGCTCAAGAGCTCCTCGCATATTTCACCCGAACAACAGACCCACTCGTGGCGGTTCTCCGCGTGCCCCGTGACGACGCATCCATGCGGGTGTAGAAAGACATGGGGTTGACTGGTTCCTCGTTAGTGCGGGGATGGCTACTAAGTTTGAACTGACCATAGGTAGGACCTTGGGCTGGCTGATGCTAGGCGGGGAGGTGATTTCTCACAGACTCGAGGCTGCTTGCCCATAATTACATGATCCATCACCAGGCATGGCAGTACATTCCACTCTAAACCCCGATACCCTTGGCAAGATTCGGAAGCGCAGTGTGAAAGGTAGCAAGGCCTGGAGCGGTTGGACGGGGCACACCGAAAAAAGTGGGCGCCATATTCGCTGAAGACCTCGAAGGCATCAGATGATATTCCACCTCGAGAACGCAATTGGTCGGGCACGACACCGAGAAATAGACGAATATAGCAGAGTTCCGCCAGATGACGGACTGTGACCACTCATGGCTTAGAAGCTCCTCGCAACTCCTGCTCCACGGCCCTCTGGGCGAGAGAAGGGCTGAGATATCTGGTCATCCATAAAGGCTGTCGTCGTCCGGCTTGGGCCGCTCCACAGCCCTGCATTGTTCGGTTGAGCTCGAGTGCTGCCGCACACGACGGGAAGTTCTCACGTATACCAGAAAATTTGACATGCCCGGTCGAATTGCTGAAAAGATGAGGTCAGCTAGGATGCAGGCCAGGTGGTTCGGCCGGCCGGTGTGGATGGACTGCCGCTACCAAGACGTACGAGTAGGTAGGTCGAGAAGGCCGGATGAGCCAGTTCAGTGCAAAGCGGCAGGCTCCGAAGGTGGCGCTGCTGCCTTGCAGAGCCCGAGAACAAAAAATGCCGCAGAACAAGGCAAACACGAAGGCGTTGACGCCCAAGGCAACCATGGTTGTCGCTTAGAGGGGGGAGAGAGGCATCCCGCCAAAACCGTTCAGACCGGGGGCAGAGATTATCGATAGCTCGGAGCGTCGAGGTCCTATTTTGAGTCGGGTGATCTGTGGGGGTGGGGTGTCGGAAGATGATGTTTTTCCGAATCCGTTCTCGGGGCTTTCCGCGGCGTCTCTGTTGTTGGCCCGTGCGCACATGGTGGTCATCACAGCCGCAGGCAAGGAAGAGCGCAAGAGCGCAAGGAAGAGAGACAAGGACAGAGGCAGTAATGAATAGAGTCAGAGTTGTAGAGGCGTAGATACACAGGAGGGGAGAAGGAGAGAAGGAGAGAAGGAGAGAAGGAGAGAAGGGGAGAAGGGGAGGGAGGGAGTAGCAATCCAGGAGAAATCCAGACCTCCTTTGTTTCCTGCAATCCAGGAGAAATCTGGTGCTTTTATATCCTGCAATCCCTTTGCTGCCGGAATACCCATGCGTCATGATTAACGAGTGCAACAAGGACAATTGACATTGCCCAATGTACTACCCCGCCTAGAGCCACTGCTGCCAAATGCACAAGAGTGGATCCCACGGGCAGCCACCTGTTTCTTTCGGGTGCGCTGCTAAGAAACCTGAGCACGCCACCTCCAAATTTCCTGTCAGCCAACCCCTCAGAAACACACTCTCCCCGCAGGAATCGGACAAGATATCCTGCATGTTGAGACCGTTTGTTACGTAGTTACCGACATCCACCAGCACGTCCATCTTTCCGACTTCGGCTTCTGAAAATGTCTCTTGCAGCTTGTCGCATGTGGCGAGCCTACGATTTGCCCGACGGTAGCCTAGGGAAATAATACCTGATAGGCAGATCGTGCTCAGTTGTCCTTTGGTCCCGTAGCCTATAGCCAGGCAGGTGATATTATTCGGTATCGCACTAGCATAAGAGGTATATCTCGAATCTTCTCCTTTGCTCATAGAGTGTGTCCCTTGGTCGTAAGCAGGACCGCATGAATCCTTCGTCGAAACTTATGCAGGGACTTCTTCTACCTAATGCTTCCTTCCCTGAGCGTTTTCCCACCGCGACGGGGTCCTAGAATCGCTACGCCGCGCTCGATTCCGCCTCCTCCACCTTTTGGTCGGCGAGGACACTTGTCTTACCCCAGAACTCCTGCGGAGCCAGCTCCTTACCGGATCACCCTCTACTCATGCATGTCAATACCGCCTGTTAGTTACCTACCTACGTCCAATTAGGACGTCCGTCGCCTGCATCTTTCCCACTTTAGTCCTCTGATATCGCTCTCTTGGAGCCCGTGGCACATGCTCCCTCCCTTTTGCCCACGCAGTGCACATGTGGCGAGCTTGCGACTTGTCCGACGGGAGCCTGGGAAAACAATATATGGCATGCCGTGCCCCGCCCTTTGGTCTCGTAGGTGATATTACGTGTATTCGGTATCTCACTTGCATAAGTACCTAGGTATATCTCGAATCTTCTTGTGGCCTGTTATAATCTGGACTGGACGGGAAACTGGGTGGTGAGGCCACGAACCCTTCACCCCGGTCGAAAAGTCGAGTCATCCGGCGTCGCGCCTAATACAACGTAGCACTGTTGCCAAGCCCCTGCCATTTAGAGCATTTTCCGAGTATAATACAGATCAGCCCAGCTGGTTCCCTGAACCGAGTATGCAGCCCAACTAGTCCCCTGTACCTCACCCCAACCTTTAACCGGATTAAGCGATCATGCCGAGCTTTTTCTCTATCACCCAAACTTTATCTGTATTTCGTATAAAGGTCATTAAATTCTCCTTTCTAACCACCGCACGAACGTGCACTTAATTGATTCTTTTTCGTAATTGAAAGTTACCCTAGAAACGTTAATTTAGGTAATTAAATAGGTGGTTATGGTTGTGGTTGTGGTTGTGGTGGCGGTAGTGGCGGCGGTACTTTATCTGAAGAACCTCACCCCAACCAGTTAGTGGAGTCTGGTTATTTTAGAAAGAGCCAATAGAATCTTCAAAATGCCGCGACCCGCTTTGGGGTGAGGTTCAGGGGACTAGTTGGGCTGATCTGTATACTCGGTTATAGGTATATATTACTCGTAAAGCTATGGCCCTCATAGATACCTAGTGAAAGTATACCACGTACCTACCTACTCTACCTAGGTACCTAATTAGGAGATAAGATGTGTCCAGCACCTCGGTTACCTATATAGACCGCAACGAAACGCCAGATACTAGGGCAATAGGTCTGGGAAGTATTCCTTTTCCCCCTTGTTCTCATGCCCAGAGGCACACACTCCCATTCGGCACGGAAATTGGTAAGAGGCCAGGAGGGCCAGGAGGGCCGGCTGCTTAGGAAGAGGCGGCATTGCTTGAATGCTATTAGCTTGAGGCTGCGTACGGCCTGCACCAAGCTGCTGTGGGTATCTCGATCGAGGCCGAGCCAAAGTTGATCTAGAGCACCTACGTTTTTGGTGAATCGGTCAAGAAACAGCGACCAGCCGAAGATGGGCTTTGGTGGCAGTCGCTTTCTCAAGCAGCCTTACCAAGAAGGACAACGGCCGACTCTCGCGAATAAGCTGAATACCGATGTCAGTCTTGGCACTGCCTCTCAAGCCTCCTTCGGTTTCTTTTGACTTTTTTTGATTTTTTTTATAGTACCTTTCTTATGGAATCCCACTTCAGCTCTTACAAATTTCTTCACGGCCCACTTGTTTCTGAGCCGCCTTCACACTTCCTTCTTGTAGTGGGTAGTAAGTACAACAATACACCAACAACACATCCCGGTCGAGAAAGAAAGAGTAAGGAAGCGATAAATAGACGTGGAGGAATTGTAGGCGCACGAGGAGACACATGTACAAAAGCTCCAGTGCCCCTCTCCTTACCGAGGCTTCACTCGAACTCCATAAAGTGCTGCTCCAGGTTCATGGCGTCGTCGTGATCCTCGTATTCCTCGGGGTTGTAATAATCTTGGTACCAGGAGTCGGCAAGCCCGTCGCCGTCGTCGCAGGGATCGCCCTTCTCATGGATGTAATCTATAGGCAATCCCTCCTCGTGCCCGTACGCGGGGGCGATGTTCTCCTGGTCGCTATCTGGCCCTTGGTCTTCACCCCCAAGTAAAAAGACTTCCTCCAACTCACCGATACCCCCCCCTTCGTAGTCCGCCCGGGCCGGGTCCTCCCAGGCCTGGGCCTCTTCAAGCTGCTCCGGAGGCAGCAACGGGTCGGGGGCGAACACGTCGAGGTATTTGAGATGCTGCGGCATCGCGGGCCGCTCTCGGGCCTGCCAGGTATCCGGATGGGCACTCGCGATGGCGACAGCGGCAGCGTACGTGCAGCGGCGCTGGTAACGGTCCGTGTATTGGATGATCTTTGAAAATAACGGTAGTATGTAGTTCCAATTAGCAGGCAGGCCGCTGTGAAACTCCCGTGTGCCCCGAACGACCTTAACCGTCCGCCCTGCCCCCTTACTGGTACCGCCAACGGCGGTAGAGCTAGTGGTCTCAGTCTCTTCCACCCTCATCGGGTCGTACACGACCATAGGGCAGCCGACGAGGGTCGATTGGGCAAATTTGAGACCGTCAATAATCGTGAAGTTATCCATATCGCTCTCGTATCTCTCCACGCGAATCGCGGCCAGCATGCCCTCGATCGTCTCCGCCTCCTTGATGCTAGCGCTCTCCGGGCTCGTGAGGGGGACACCGTGCAGTTCCTAGTCTTGCCGTCTGGCCACTTCCTTGCTGCCCTCGCGCAACGCCTCGTGGCCCTCCGGCGTGCTAGCCAACAACTCGGCCAGGAGCCATGCCCCCTCCGGTATAGAGGCTCCATCCACATGACTGCCGTCGCTGAAATTGCGGTGTAGGAAGGCGGGGAGCGCAAGCGGCTCGTCTAGCAACAGGGCGGCAATGGTACCCATATTGTGGCTAATCCACGAGTAGGGCGCATTGTACATGACCATCTCGTTCTTGACGCCGTAAATCTGGTCTTCCCGGGCGGTCTTCAGGCGCAGCCAGGGAAACGCCACGGTGCCGTTAAGGTACATGAAGTCGATCAGGCTATCAACCGGTGTCGAGTAGACGTCGATGGCGCGAAAGATGGGGATGAGCGCAGTGGGGCCGTTCTGGCTCGCGCGGAGAACTTCCGGGGGATGCTCGATCCGGTGAGTGAAACTGGGCCCTATTTTAGGGGAGAGAGGGTCAACGGAAGGCTACTACGGAAGGACAGCCCTATGCTAGTTTTCTCTACCGCATGGGGGCGGCTTCGGACCTTTGGAGGAAGGGCAGAGGCGAGGGGGGAACAACTTACACAAGTAGAAGCTTACGTTGCGATATATCTCCCAGAGGAAGATATTTAAGGGTACAGAGGCAGTTTCGTCGCAGCAACCTACGCGCCACAGAAAGATGGATTTAACGGCGGTAGAGAACTGGTTCCATCGGTCTTCTTCCCAAAGGCGAGCACGTAGGGCGCGAATACAGACGGGGAAGCCGTGGGGGCTATTATCGGCTGCCCGAGCATGAATAGACTCCATGCCGAGGTTGGGCAACGTCTCTTGTCATAGAGTCTATGCGGGATTCCGGGGTTCTGTGAGTTGGGGAGTCGGGGATTCCGGCCAAAGGGGACTGGCGAGAACGGGATATTGGGTGACTAGCCACCGGTTTGCCGAAGAGATGTGAAAGGTGAGAGGGTGAGAGGGTGAGGTGGGGGAGGAGAAAAAGAGAACGAAGAAGCAGTCAACGGCAACAACTGGAGCCGTGTGGTGAATATCTGGCCTTAGCTGCTGCCATGTCTCTTTGCCGCGTCTAGAGTCTGGACTCGAGGGTCTGTCTAGGTTGTCGCGGTTGGCCCGGTTGGCCCTTCAATCCGTATCACGAGAGGGAGGGGCGAGCTTTGGGCCGACTCGCGGGAACGGAGATGAGGGAGGAGCAGAGGATGCCGTCGTGTTGGTTTCTTCGCGATGGGGGGAGGGAGTAGAAAAGGGAAGCGGGAGAAGGAGATATCAGTGGGTAGTTAGCCACAATGCGGAGGGGACAGAGAAGACGGTGTCAACGGGTGCTTGCCCATGCTGGAAAGAAGAGGCAATTCACAACGTACCGATGCCGCCTTCCTCGTCTAAGCCACCAGCATCTTGGTTGGTACCACGCCACTGCCAGCCAGCTGGTAGGAGCCTCTTGTACTAATCGGCCTTCAAGTACCTACCTCTAGGTACCTTAAAGTTCTACCTAGGTAAGCAGGACGGGCAGCTATTAGGTAGGTACCTATGTATGTGCACTTACCTCTCTCTCTCCCTCTCTGCCTCCGGAGGCAAGGATAGCCAAAGAGCTCTGAGCTACGGCACCGTAATCGCCATCGTCTCTGCTGGCTTGTTGCCGGCACGATGGGTTGGTTGGCAGCACGGGCTCCAGGAGGAAGCGTTCTAAGGGACAGCTGGAAACGTCCACTTGGGCCAATCCGATGTTATACTGCGAGTGAGATAAGGAAAGACGCCCAACAAACCCTTTATAACTAGTACCTAGTTAGGCAAAGCAGAGACTACCAGGCTACCAGGCTACCAGACTCGATGTCTGTACCTGCCCACGTCATTCAAGCTATTCCCAAGGGAGATTCTACTCGAATATACATAGTAAGAGGTAGATACCTAGGTAACCCAGATGAGCTAAACAACGAAGACTACCAAGTAGCGCTGTTAGGAATCGAACCTCTCCTTCGTTAAGAGGTAACCTACTGATCTAATCCAATCTATTGACGTCAATTCAGCAGTTGGATTGCTGCAGGTTCCGAGGTACATACCTACGTGTATAGGGGTATATTCGTTACTTGCAAAGATAAGGGGTATATATGCATATATGCATATACATATGATTCACCGGGTTATCGATAACCACGATCGAGCTTAGGCCAACCTGCCGCTGACCAACTGACGTAGCTTGACTGGTCTAACACTAGCCTATTGTATTTGCCGTCTATCCACAGATATACGGAATAGCTCTCGCTCTCCTCCTCCTCTTCCTCCTCCTCGTCCACCACCCACCAACCCCTCCCCCGCCCCTCCCATTCTCTTCCCCAAGCCGGAACCCGTCGATACCGGCCGAGCGATCCGCCGCCGTCCAGCGCGAAAGAAACGCAGGGATACGCGCCGTTGTCTTCCGCCCCATCCCCCCCGGCGCGCCGATGCACCTCTCCCCTACGGCGCTGCGCATTGCGCGCGTCCACCGCGGCCCCTGCCCGCTCGCCCTGGCCTACAGCCGTGGCACGAACCTGGTCTGGCTATCCCTGGCGGGCCGCAGCGCGCCGACGCCCTGCCAGCTGCGGCGGCGGATCCACGTGGCCGGCGCTTGGCCCGGACCGCACCCGGGGTCGCGACGAGCCGCGTCGACGGCGGCAGCGGCGGCGGCGGCGGTGGCGGTGCCCTCGGCGTCCCTCAACCCGCCGGCCTCGACGCGGCCGCCGCCGCTCGAGCTGCCGGTGCGCGCCGACTCGGGGTCCATCTTCGCGCACCTGTACCGGCTGGGCAAGGCGTACACGGTCTTCTACAAGGCGGGCCTCCGCGCCATCTTCACGAACCGGAAGCTAGCCCGGTCGCTGCCCCGGTCGTCGTCGCCGTCGTCGCTCTCCCGCGCCGACATCCTCCTCCGCGAGCGCTCCCGCCACGACCTCTCGCGCCTGCCGCTCTTCGGCCTCCTCGTCCTCGTCTGCGGCGAGCTCACGCCGCTCGTCGTCCTGCTCTTCCCCCACCTCACCCCCTACACCTGCCGCATCCCGCGCCAGGTCGACGGCCTGCGCCGCACCGCCGAGGCCCGCCGCGCCGCCAGCTTCCGCAACCTCGCCCACCACCTCCAGTCCGCGTCCTCGCCCGACGCCGTGGCCCCCTCCCTCGCCAACCGCCACATCTGCCGCGCGCTGTGGCTCACCCTGCCGCTGTGGGACCGCGTCGGGCTGGCGGGGCCGTTTGCCGGCCCGCTCGCGCGCCGCGCCGTCTCGCGGCTCGCCACCGACGACGCCCTGCTGCGCGGCGGCGGCGGCCCCCGGACCGGCGTCGCGAGCCTCGTCGACGACGAGGTCGTGCTCGCCTGCGAGGACCGCGGTATCGACGTGCGCGGCCGCGACACCGCCGCCCTGCGCGCCGACCTCGAGGACTGGCTGCGGCGCACGGCCCCGACCCTGGCCGCGGGGAAGGGGGGGGAGGAGGCGTGGCGGACCGACGCCGAGCGCAGGATTAGGGCCGCGCTGCTCGGCCTGGATGGCGCTAGAAAATGAAACAAAAAAGGAAGGAAGGAAAAAGCAGGCGCGTACGGGAATGGAAAAGGAAAAGAAAACAAGGAAGGAAACGAGAACAAAACTTGAAACGAAGCGAGTATGTGAAAAAGGCCTCCATCTACTCGTTACATGTCTATTATATCTACCGGTCTAGGACTTTTGTCCGTATATACCCATCCCTACTCTCGGCGTGTTGGCGTACGGCGGCGCTTTTGGTTGGCGGCTAGGAGGTGGTTTCTTGGAGACCGCGTGTTCTCCATGCTGTTCCTAGGTTCGGCTTTCGCTTACTGTGCCTACCTTCCTCCCTTGAACAAGGTGATTTGTAGGATACTGTACGAGAGGAGAGTGCCGGACACGGGGAGGTGATGGGGGTGCGGAAGAGAAACTGCTTGTGGGAAAAGGGCAGGCAGGAAGGGGCCGCATCAGCCTCACTCTACCCAGACCAATTCACCTCACTCGTCACTACGATCGCCATTACTATCGCCGCACGTAGAGAGATGATATGCCCCGTGTGTAAAAAGCAGGTATACGATACCGAGGCAGACTATCTAAAATGGACCCGCCTCAACCCTGGTAACTTTTTCCTTGTCCGAAAAATGCAATCGATTTGCGATCGGGATATCTAGCAAAAACCTCTTGGTACCGAGTGTCTAGGCGCCTCGCCTTGCGATCCGGGTCAGTTAGAGAAGCAAAAGGCTCGAGGTCTCTGCTACGCCCGACCATCTGTCCAGCCATCCCGTCCGCCGGCCCATCTACCTACCTGCCCATCCACCCGTCCGTCCTGTTCTTACAAGTATACACACATATTCGGAGAGCGAGGGGTATGCAGCTCTCTCTAAATCCCGGGGGTGGGGCGGGTGGCAGAAAGGGGGACGAGACATCTACATCTAGTCGACACTGCCACCCCATTGGACCCACGAGTATCTAGTCCGTAAGGGACTGTTCCTCGAGTGTATCGTCCGGGCGTTTCTAACTTCCTACTGTCGGTATCTCGCTAGCTGGGCCATGATATTCTGCACGTGCTGTGCGGAATCGCCGGGTGGTCCCGGTGTGCCGTTGACAGACACGGTTGGGTAGTTTACGCCATGGTGCATGTTTGGACCCCCAGATCCCGTGGGGTTGTTTGCCCCATATCCAGCCAACCCATGTGGACCGCCTCCGGCAGGGTGTCCGGGAGGAGGTGGTCCTTGAGGACCACCCTGCTGACCGAGAGTTCCGAGGATTCTCTGGAGCGTAGCAGGATCTAAAGAGCTACCGGCAGGTCCACCAGGAGCGGCGCCACCGGCATAGTGTTGGTTGGGATAAGGAGCCGCTAGGTAGGGAGACGGTGCGGTCTGCGGGTACTGCTGCATGGGTGGGTATGGCACATTGTAAGGAGGCATTTGAGCCTGCGTCTTGGTGCGGGTGACGAGCTGCGCGGCGATGAGAGGATCCAGGTCTCGGTACTGGTCATAGCGCACGTTATCACGGCCGGCGGAACGGTCGAATACCTGCAAGGAAATTGTGCCGGACTGGCGTGCGTGGAAGTCGAGTTCGACCACTGCGTGTACGCCCTCCACGACCTGACGATGTATCACGGCATCTCGGGGGAAGTGAGGGTTCAGAAACATAACATGCACCTTCAAACCTTGGCTAACAAAGGCACCCTCAACCCAACTTACGAAGTCTCTCTCGACTTCTTGTAGCAAGAGGAACTGAACGTCGGGTATCTCGCCTCCGTATCGACGGGGGATATCTAGCTCTGCTCCGGAAGAGTGACGACGATAGGGGCTAGGGCTTCGTCGTCGGTAGTGGGCCGAGTCGCGTCTTCCATAACCAGGAGATCGCGAACGGCCACGACCCGAGTCCAAGCCATCACGGTAGCTGCGGCTATCGTCATAAGAGTTTTGCTGGCGGTGGGATCCCCTTCGAGGAGAAGACTGTCGGCCGGAACCCGGTCGGTAATCGTCGCGTCGAGCACGCCCGCCGTCGTGGCGATCGTTGTCTCTCTTGTTCCGGTTTCCGCGTTTCTCGCCCTCGTTGTCCTTTTTCTGGCTTCGGGAGAATTCGAGGTCTGTCGCGGTCAGAAATTTGGCGATTATCGATATCCTGCAAGGATCCCTACTCACGTATCTTTCGTCCTCTAACTTCGATACCCTGAAGTTTCTCCATCGCGGCTTCGCCCTCCGCTAGCAAGTGATACTGGACGAACCCATAGGCCTGCTTCAGAGATATCTGTGCCAGACGGCCATACTTGGAGAATATGTCGAAAACTTCCTTCTTAGAGACTCGGTCACTAGACAAATTTCCTAGTCCCGCGTCAGCAGGCAATCGAGCAGGGAGCTGGGGGCCAACATACCGATGAAGAGCCGGGACCCGTCTGGAAAGCGGTCCCATTTAGCCTCAGACACATATCGTCGTTCTTCCTGCAGGAAGGTTTCCCACTTCTGGGGTTGATCGGCAACTGGGGGCTGTGTGCTCGTGGCAGTGGCAGCAGCGTAGACATGGTCAAATTGCGGCACTGTTAACTGAGCAGCCAAGGCACTATGCGAAGGTGCCGGGGGAGGTGGAAGGTTGCTGCGAGCGTCCGGAGCAGTCCCGGGAGCGCCAGCAGGATAGGTACCTGGAGGTGGAGGAATGCTGGAGGGCGTCGTAACACCAGAATGGGAGAGCGCTTGTTGGTACATGAGAGCATCTTCAGGACGCACATATGGCGACTGGGCCGGCTGCTGAGGCATGGGGGGTCTAGGTGGCAAAGAGGATGCTTGGGAGGTAGCAGGAAGGGTGGCAGCAGAAGACTGTGGTACCGACGCTTGGCTGGCATCACTCGTAGGAGCATTTCCTATGATCTTATCGACTAGACTCTGTATATCAATCTCATTATTGGCAGCATTGGATGTGACATCACTCTGCTCAGCGGACGTGTCTGTGGTAGGTGGCTGAGACGGGCCGGGGTGGTTTGTCGATAAGGGAACTACAGCGTGCCCTGGCGGCTCTTGGAGCTCTCGGGGTCCCTGAGATTGCTGTGGGCTCGGGCTCGGAACGGACTGGTGCGCAGACTGAGTAGTACTGGTAGACGATACTTCATGTGCAGGAACGACGAGTTCAGAATGTTTTCTCAACGAGTGAGACGTATCAGAATTAAGTGTGGAATCGATCGTCTTGGATACATCTTGGTGGATCTCAGCAGCAGCAGCAGCAGAGGCAGCTCCCTGCTGACCGGGGTGCTGAGCTTTTTCTTCATCTATGGCTAAAGGTGCCCCTTCATCTTCATCTTCTGCTTCCTGATCCTCGGAGCTGCTGTCGTCGTCAAGGCCAATCTCATTAGAACTGGTTGTGCTGGTAGCATTGGTGCTATGGGTGTCATCCTGGATGTCGACAGCAAGAATGCCATTCGGGTCCTCGCCCGCCGGTTGACGAGAGGCTGCTGCGAAGCCGGCAATCGCCTGGCTGTCATTGGGGAGTGACATTGTGTATAGAGCGTCGGCTTGATCCTGCAGCACTATTACAGGGGAGGGTGGGTGGAGAGGCGCCGGGGATACTGGGGTCAAGTCGGCGGTTGCCAGGACCTGGGGGGGGTTGTCGGTCATTCAGAGAGCATAGAGCGGCAGGACAGTCTATCTAGAGCAGGTTGGCTGAGATTGCAACGGGGATTGCGGCGGCAGAGTCGGGTATGAGGAACGACCTGGGACCCGGGACTGCAGGCAGAGTGACGGGATTCCAAGGAATCGGAGATGCCGCAAACGATGCCTCGTATTCTCGATATTGGCGAAGTCGTCTCTGGGTTTGTTCGGTTTTGCACATGAGCGATCGATCGTCGCCTTTGGGGGGAATTACAATACGAAGCAGGATGGGGGAATGCACAGGTGGAGAGGGAGGGGTGCAGAGACGGAGACGGAGACAGTAAGATAGATGTCGAGAGTGGGAGGAGGAGAGAGGGAGACGGAGAGTACAGGACTAAGATGTTTGCACACAGGGGCTGCTGTAGCACTGATGCTGGAAGCGTGTACTGGCAACAGGAAGGAAGCCAGAACTCGGCAGGATCCCAGCAGAAAGTAGAAGAACACAGAGATGTTGTCTGTGTAGAGGTGCACGCCTACTCTGCTCAACCAGGTTGGTATGGCATGTGTCAGGGTACCAAGCAGACGATGACGGCCAGAGGAGTAGAGGGCGGACAAATATCAGTAGAGGGCTGTGCAAGCGGACAGACAGAACGCCAGTCAGAAGAGGGACCCGACTTGATAGGGGAGGAGAGAGGGAAGAAGAGACGGAGGAACAGAGCCTAAGGAGGGGCGATTGAGGCTTTGCCAGGCGGGCAAGGCTGGCGATGGAGGGAGGGGCGTTGCAAAGCGATGGGGAAAAGAAGAGTGGATGGGATTTTTCCAGAACGGAATTGTCCTGTAGCAGGCGTAGCTCAGAACAAGGAGGCCAAAGGGTAAGGGACAGGGACAGGAACAGGATGGGAGGGGGGGTTTGAAGGCTGGGCTCGTCAGGTGTTGTTGGATGGATGGATGCAATTTGAGAGAGGGAGGGAGGAGAGGGACGGGACGGATTGGGGTTGGGTTCCCATCCCCTTCCAGTCATTTGCGGGTTCCCTCGATAACCGATAAGAGCAGAAAACCCGGCTGTGTTCCGCCAGGCTGGGTGCAGCAGCCTGTTGGTAGCGTAGCAGGCCGCCGCTTGATGTTCGGATTAACTTGGGCCGAAGCCGGCCTCCACACCATCTAACGGCTCAACGGGATGTGCCTGAAAGAGCGAAGAAGAAAAGCAAAATATACCTACGAGAAAGAGAAGAAGAGGAATAATTATTTGTACAGATAATACGGACGGTGATTAGCTACCTCAGTACCTATCCAAAGACACCCGCTGAAACATACTTAAGCAACGTACACTACTTTCGCCTCCTACCAGTAAACTGGAAAAACAAAATGCAAAGGTACAAAGAAAAGTATGGTAGGTACTAGAAATTAAACAGGTGCGAAAACATTAGGTATCTAGGTACTTAACCCAACGCTACAACGTACCTACAGGTAGGTATCTAGGTACATGTGCATTAGGTTAGGTACTTCCTCCTTTGAAGTTGGAACCTCAACAACAGGCAGGTACCTTAGGGTTAGGCGCAAGTACCTAGGCACCTAACCTGGGGTCAGGTGCGAATATGGGCGCCTTACCTGATGATACCTATTCCTAGGGTACCTAAGGTACCTAGGTAGGTACTCATTTATTCTGGTGAACTTTTTCTTTCTTTACCAGTAGTAAAGAATCACCATGGGCATTCTATTACCATGTTGTGCTAGAAGCCCCTGGCCAGGAACCAAGACAACTTCCTGTTATTGAAGCTTAGCACATCATACACAGCTAAACCTAATTGGAGCCAAACCCAACGATGCGATGATTGCAAAACACGTCCTCAACTCTACATAAGGGCCAGAAGAACCGAAAGCCAGGGCAGGCCAATTATTCTCAGAGACGATGCTACGGACTATATCATCTCGCTCGGCGGGCACCAACCCATTTTTAGCGTCGAGGTGTCTTCGTGGCAACCTGCTCTGGGCTATACGACTGATCCGGCACCAGGCGTTCGATGCGGCCCTCGACCAAGAGGACCTGGCCGAAGCGAGGAAATGGCACGCATCGTTTGACGCGGCCAGGCTACCGCAGGGGCAGACGACCTATTCCCGGTCAAGCGGGCCCGGGGGGCAACATGTTAACAAGTGAGTGGTTTGGGCGACGAACTCCGCCGCATATTCCGAGAGGGCGCGCAGTCTTAACTCTACGCAGAACGGAGAGCAAGGCCACGACGGTGTGGTCTGTCGAGGAACTCTCCCGAAACCTGCCCAAAATAATGCGCTCGGCGTTGCGCGGCTCGAGGTATTACTCGAGAAGAAATGACTCCATCACCATCCAGGCGCAGACGCAACGGAGCCGATCCGCCAACACGGACGAGAATTACGTCAAGTTGGGCGAAGAAATAGAGAGAATCTACAAGGAGCACGTCCCCGGCGCAACCAGCGCCGAGAAGGTCAAGAAACACGAAGCCTTGTGAGCACACTTCCTAGCCCACGTTTGCTCGTCGCTTCACACCGCTGCCTGTTCGCAGCAGTGACTGCTCGGCGGTGTGCCTGGTTGACTGACGCGTATGGGGTCGCAGAGAGAAATCGTTCCACGAGGGTAGGCTGAGAGCGAAGAAACAGCAGAGTCTCAAGAAGATGTTCCGGAAAGGCAGAGGCCACGATGAATAATGGAGCCCAGTGACGGCCACCCGTAGGCATTGGCTCGCCAGCGACGGTTTCGCCTCCCTAGTCGTCATGCACGCCTACGGTCCGCCACGGCCCCGCTATCCTTAGGTTCCTCCCGTCGAACTGAAAGTGAAGTGGTCTAACACAATAAGACTCCGCCCCGGAATTCGTATGTAGGCATATTGGCATCCGGGGATTCTCGGCCACATGTGAGCATACCTCCACCAGGTGCCTACAACCCTGTCCTATACCTACCTAGATGCGTACCCAGGCACATACACGACACATGCCTATAGGTATATACGTGGTTGCGATCCGAGGCGGCCTGCCTAGCTTTTAGGTATATCAAGGCACATCGCCTTGGGCGAGTTGGGGGCGGGGGACGAACCACATGGTCAGATCCACATATAGGCAGACCCTGAAGCCAGGCATGCCGATGATGTCCTCAGGAATGCCAGCAGCGCAATTTATTGAATAGAACAAACAATGGGTGGAGACGAACAGAACAGATGGACCCTGCACGTTATGCCTCCTAGACATATACGCCAACAGTGGCATCACGTCAGCGGTACAGAAGCAATTTATTCATAGAACCCCCCACTCCACGAATGATCATCGCGGGGGGCCTCGCGTCTGTGTTAAGGTGCCTACACGCACACCCAGGTTGTGACCTCGACGCGTACCGCAGCCCGAGGCACCTGGACACTCTGTACGCTCGTGATCCGTTCGGTACTCTCCAGAGCCTTCCCGGTGCTTGCTGAGGTATCGCATTAGACACCAGCTCTGCCTACCAGCAAGCATATAATAGGTAGGAGTAGGTATCGTCTCGAGCATACGCCTACGAGGCACCTAACACGTAGGGACTTCGGGGTAGGGTGAGGCACCTAGTGCAATACTGACCATAGTGCTTAAGGTACCTCCAACGAAGACTCTACCTACCTACCTAGGTACCTTAGGTAGTATCTTACCTCCTACCTACACACGCTGGAGGTGGGGCTGCCCCACGCTCTTCCTAACCTCCTACGTCGTAACGCCGTCCCTCCTTTCGGCTGGGCTCGTCTCAGGGCCCGTCGAATTGGAGAGTCGCCTTGTCACCCACAGACTTCGAGCTCCCCTTCTTCTCACTCTTCTTCTCCTCTTCGCGAGCCATCCCAGAACAGCCTGCGACCGAATCGGCATCCCACTGACTTCTTGTCCACCAGTAGCGGTGGCCGCACTCCGACAAACCCGCCTCTGCGTCGCCCTCGAACCGATCTGCAACGGTGAGCCTCCGAGGCTGACCTGACTGCCGTGCGCCTCCGTGCCGCCTATCTCCGGCCTGGTCTCTATTGCATGCATAGCCTATCTCCCTGATCCCCTTCCTGGTTCCCCAATCGCTGTCCCGCTCGCTTTTTGTCGGGCACCAGTCCCTCTATAAACAGCGTTGCTGGCTCGTCCTTCCCTAAATATCTCCATCCTGCGCGGACGCGTATGGCATGATCTGCGCTTCGACCGGTACCATCAAATCCCTCGGGTCTGCTTACGGAGCTGGACCAAGCCTGACTAAGAGGGGAACGAATCATCAGAATCGCGCAATCTTCTACCTCGTCCGGTTTTATCCTGATAGAATAGCAACTCTATCACTTCGTTACCCTCTCTGTCACTTCTGATTCTCAATCCTGGCCCGACCATCATGGCTGCGACCGCCAACAGCGTTAACAATGGCTCTCCGCGCCCAAATCCTCAGATACAGCCGTGTCGATACAAGGTGGGAAAGACGCTGGGCGCGGGCTCATATTCTGTCGTGAAGGAGTGTGTACACATCGACACGGGGCGTTATTACGCTGCTAAGGTGATCAACAAGAGGCTTATGGCTGGCCGCGAACACATGGTTCGTTGCTCCCTTCCCTCCCTCTTTCTTTCTCTCTCTCTCCTCCCGACCTGTCTCTTACCTCTGGTCGTGGGACGGCGCGACGTGGCTAACTTGGTGTGAATTGCAACGAAACAGGTTCGGAATGAGATCGCAGTACTTAAGAAGGTGTCCATGGGCCATCAAAACATCCTCACGCTCGTCGACTACTTCGAAACCATGAACAATCTCTACCTCGTAACCGACCTAGCTTTGGGAGGCGAGCTCTTCGATCGGATCTGTCGCAAAGGGTCATACTACGAGTCCGACGCCGCCGACCTGATCCGCGCGACCCTCTCGGCGGTCGCGTACCTCCACGACCACGGCATCGTGCATCGAGACCTCAAGCCGGAGAACCTGCTCTTCCGCACCCCCGAAGACAATGCCGACCTGCTCATCGCTGACTTCGGGCTCTCACGCATCATGGACGAGGAGCAATTTCACGTTTTGACGACAACCTGCGGTACCCCCGGATACATGGCGCCCGAGATCTTCAAGAAGACGGGCCACGGCAAACCGGTCGACATATGGGCCATGGGCGTGATTACGTACTTCCTACTGTGCGGGTACACGCCGTTCGACCGCGACACGGATTTCGACGAGATGCAAGCGATCCTCAACGCCGACTATGCCTTCCAGCCGGCCGAGTACTGGCGCGGCGTCAGCGACCACGCCAAGGACTTCATCGGCCGGTGCCTCACGGTCGACCCCAACAAGCGCATGACGGCGCACGAGGCGCTGTCGCACCCCTTCGTCGCCGGTTACAGCCTCGGCCCGGACGGCAAGGGCCCGAACCTGCTGCCGGCGGTGAAGAAGAACTTCAACGCGCGGAAGACGCTACACGCGGCGATCGACACGGTGCGGGCGATCAACAAGCTGCGGGAGGGCCAGGCACACGCGCACCTCATGGACGGGTTGCGGTCGGCCGAGCCCGGACGAGGCGCGCCGCCCCTCGGCGGCGGCATCAATAACAGTAACGGCGATTCGGGGTACGCCAGCGGGCAGAGCACCGACGTCGACATGGGGGGAGTCGCGCCGGCCTCGGGGGTGCCGGCGAGCCTGCGACCGGGGGCGGTAGCGAACCGCGTCGTCGAGACGTCGAAGGGCCTGTGGAGCGCTAGCCAGCCGAGGCGGTAAGGGAGGATCCTGCGGGGGGGGCAGGTATACAGATAGGTGTACGACGGGATTACCGTGGGAGTGGGAGGCGATCTACGTAGCCGCGGCGGGCGGCGACAAGGATATGTATTGAGACGACTTTTTCTTGTTCATGCCGAGAACGAACGCGTCTTATGAGCAGGCGCGCGCGGGGGCAAAACCAGCAAGCGAGCAAGCGAGCGAGTGAACGATTCAACGGCCAGATGGGCGAACGGGAGAGTTGGCATTAGAGTAGGCGATGTTGCGACTAGCCTCGAGGCGAGAGAGAGGAGGGCGTGATGGAACTCGGGTTATCTTGTTTGCTTTCCTGTTGGATTCGTAATGGGCTGGGACGAGACTGGACGGGAGAGGGCCGGGCGAAGCAAAGGCGGTCGTTCGCACATGCACAAGTGAGATCACGTCGAGAGACCGCCGGCCGCACCCGGTGAGGTTGGCACGGCGAGAGGTGGGAGGGAGGGGGAGGAACAGCAGCAAATTCAGCATCGCGTAATATCTTCTTCATGTATATCTATCTAGGCCGGGCGGACCGGCGCGGCTTTAAATAGGTTCTCCCCGGCCCCTTTCCCGCCCCTCCCCCGCCCCTCATAGTTGCGTCGTCAACTCGCCCAGGACCCGTGTCCTGTACGCGCCCCCTTCCTCGGCAGTCCTCTCCTAGATATAGCGTCGAGCGCCGACGGACCGTGTGGAGGAACGGGCTCGGTGAGATAGGGGGGCCGAGGGCTCGCCAAAGAGACGAGTGGCGGCGGAGACGACGCAGAAGTACACCGTAGTACTGTCCTCTCGGCGGCCTTCCTCTTTTTCGTTCTCCTGTCCCGTGATGCTCTTCTATCCCGCCGATCTTGGCTTCCGAAGCCGACACTTTCTACCCCCTCCTCCCCCTCTCTCCTTTCTCTCTCCCTAGGGGCAGGCGTAGACGCAGCTCACGCGGGCGCGCCACGAGACACGCGGGCAAGCAGGCGCCGGCGCCGAATACGGGTCTCAGGGGACAAGGGCTGCGCGACGACTGCCTGCGTACGGGACTTTTTTCTTTCCCCCCTTACTCGTAAGCTCAAGGGCCGGGATGGCGCGGCGTTAGTTCGTGGTGGAGGCCACGTTGACACTAGACAGGGCGGCGACGACGAAGAATAAGACGGCGGGGAGGAGGAAGAGGACGCGGGAGCGGATACGGTTAAGAAATACAGTGACGCGGGCCTGACTTGACCTTGCGGAGCATGGCAGCCGAGGACCGGCGGCGTGGCATAGCGGTGGACACTGTCGACAAGCCAGCGGGCGGGCGGTCGCAGAGAGGAGAAGACAAAGTCGGCGGCCAACTCTAGTGTGTCCGTCTCCCTACCTAGGTACCTACCTGACTCTGCCTCTCTGCCCCCTCTACCTACCCAGCCTCCTGCGCGGTTATATCCCAGCGCACCGTATCTACCAGCAACGGACCCGCGGAACGATTCGCTACCTTACTGGATTACGATGCCTGGCCTGCCTCGCTGCCTCGGCGTTGCCTAACCTTACCCCCTTTTCCCGGGGCACTCGCAGGGACCGAGACCGAGACCGAGTTGCGCTCTTGGGTTCGGATTCGCGTCCAGGGCGTGCCGCGCGATGCCCACCTCCCCCTTCTCGTCCAAAGGGGGGGGGGGGGGATAAACGTCAAGGGGTACCTAGTAGGTACTTCGTCGTCGCACCTACACGACCTGGCTGCAGGGGATTAGACGTCCTGGGGGCTTTCGAAGGCGCGCGCGTGTACGGGCGCCGTCCCGAGACGAACCGCAAAGCGTAGCAAGCATGTACCTACCTATGCTCATCACGTAGACACAAATACCCACACTACGCTTCCCGGACAGTTCAGCTGCGTAATAGTCAAAGCGCCACCTATCTAGGTACGTGCGTGCGCAGGCGTGTGTGCTGGCCGCCCGCTCTGAGGGTCGCGGCGTTGGCGCGGCGATGCGGATGCGCCGGAAGCAGGCGGGACGAGACGAGACGAGGACGTGGGCGGAGGGAAAAGGGGGGGAGCTGAGAAAGAGAAAAGCGCATACGTAGGTAGACAACACGGGCAACACAGATGTGTGTGCTAATATTGCCTGCGCTAGCTAGCTCAGGTGCCCGAGGAAGACGTACGTCGTCGAGACCCGACGCGGTCCCTCTGCTTAGGGGCAATATACCACCTACTTAGCGCCACCAAGGTCGGTAGATAACCTACCTAGGTACTTACCTACCTACCTACCTATAGACATTGGGTAGGTAACCAACACCTAGGCTAGCCCCCCTTACTCGACAGCTCATCCCGGGGAGATCTACACCAGCTACATGCCTCGCTGCTTCTCACGCGCCAGTTAGGTACCTACCTACCTACCTACCTACCTACCTACCTACCGACCTGCGCACGCACCGCAGGCCACTCGGGCCCAACTCAGCCAGCCCACGCGAAGAAACCCCCCCTCCCTCTCTCCCCAGACGAATCGCGCGAGCGAGAGAGGCAGACGACGCCACCGCCGCGCCGCTCTGAGCGTCCGAATACCTGCGTACCTACCTTGTCTATCCTGTCCGCGCGGGCGGGCTATAACTAGGTAGGTACTACCTACCTACCTACCTACCACCAGCGCGAGCCGCGATATGCCCTCCCACAAGAAGAAAAAGGGGGGAGATCTCCCGCGCCACGCGCTCCGGCCGCGCGCTTCCTCTCCCTCCCTCCCTGCGCCGGGCGCCCGCGCAACGAACTTGTCTCTGCCTCCCCTCCCCGCGGCCGAGCACGGCAGGGCGCCGCAGCCGGCGTCCGCAGCTTGCGGGTGCGAGTGCGGGTGCGTCTGCTGGGGGGAAGACACGCCCGTCCGATTCCGATCGGCGCGGGTAACGCGGATGCCTGGCACGCCCGCCGAAAGCAACCCGCCCTCTCGCTGCCGCCGATGCCGGGCGCCCGTCCGGCGGGCGGCTGGGCGGGCTGGGGGATATCTGCCCGATGCGGGCTAGCCGGGCTGCGTGCGTAGGTGCGTGTGCGTCGGGGCGGTCAAGGGCGAGCTGGGCGCCCCAAAAGGGATGGGTGGGTTAGGAAGTTGGCAGCGGCGTGAGAGGGGCTGGGCGGGTTGGATAGCGGGGAAGTCGTGTGCTCGCTCGCTCGCTCACACGCGAGCGACTCTCTCTTCCTCTCCCCCCCCCTCTCTCTCTCTCACCCTCCGGCTGCCTGGCTGCCTGGCTCGGGCGGTGGAGGCGACTGGAGTCATATGACGCCTCGAAGGTGCCCTTCGGGGATGGGGGGACGGACGGAGCGGGACTAGAGGCGGCGTGTACCAAGGCTGGGCGGGATGGCGAAGGGAGGGGCCGTCTGACGGCATGCCGTGGCAGCAGCAGCAGCACCTGGGACGTAGGTAGGTATGGGCTAGCGCACGCGTGTGGTTATCTGCGCATACATACGTGCCCGGTAACATGCGACAGCACATGCATACGAGAGTATACACACATGGTCGGTAGGTAGGTAGGTAAGTAGGGCGGCACCTGCGGCAGGCCTGTATGCGGGCGCGTCTGTCTGGGAGTTGTGTGGTTATGGGCGCAGCGCCGGGGGTCAGATTGGTTCGCGAAGGGCAGGCTGCGGCAAGTCGAGGACGTGGTGTGACTCGCTCTGCGGGCGGGTTGCGGAGAGGTAGGTAGCTACCTAGGTAGGTAGGTTATACCTAGGTTAGGACATGTATACACGTCCGCATCGCAGCCGTCGTCCAGATGCGCAAGAGAGATTCGCCGGCTTCCCTCTGCGCCTATATAGGCGACTCGCATCTTGCCACCCTCACGCACCGCGCGCGTGCACGCACGCTAGTCGACGTTGCCACCGCATGTGTATACTCGTACGCGCACAGTGGGCGGAGTGGGACGGCCTCGGATCGAATCGAGCTAGGATGAGGGGATCGCCGGTCGGAGCGATCAGAGATCTCTCGTCCCAGATAAGGTGTGGTCGTAGGATCGGATCGCCTGTCCCTCTCCGTGTAGCTGGCTGTCCGACCCGTAGACGGAAGTATACCTACACAAAATACCTACGTACGGACACTTGTTTATCTGCATGCGTCTGAGTGCCTCGCATCTCGAGCCTGCCTGTCTTACTTGCGCCGGCGTGGGGCCCAATCCCGCCTTTCTCGCCGTGAGACGCCCCACGCTCTTTTTCCTCCTCTCTTTTTCTAACCCTGTCTCAAAATACCCTCCCCTCTCATCCCTTACCCCGGCGTTTTCTCCTTGTCTTATCTTGTCTCGTCGCTCCGTCGCTCCCTGGGCTTCTGTCTGGGACGAAGGGGAAGAATCATCGTAAGATTGGTAATCGGTGGGATAAGTAAGCTTGCTGGCACTGCTGCCGCCGGCCTCCTAATCCCTGCTCTATCTCTCTCTCGCTTTTTTTTTTTATCCCAAGAGAAATTCTTCCGCTGGATCCGTCCGCTGTCGTCTGGGATTTATTCCTGGTTCTGTGCCCGCGACAAGGCGCTACACGATTAGTGCCGTGCCGTGTCTGCCTAGGTACCCTGCCTCTTGTGCGACTTTGCCCTCCTCGCTCACGAAGCGCAAAAAGGGGCCCCGGGGGGGTCGGATGGTCTGTATTGGCGCGTCGTGACAAATTTGCGACGATGGGGGTCGATTAGGTACGACGTGCTTGTGCTCTGCCCGAAGTACCTATTGCCTACCGAATCTACATATATTATTGATCGGAGTTGGTGAGATCTCCTAACCAACAACACGCTTACATACTAGGACGTAGGTATGTCTCACCGAGTCTGCTGTACATCCGGTAGTACGGTGATTGTAGGCATATATACCTTCTATTCTTTCTATATTGATTTGTATATATATACGAATATTTAAATACATATATATATAGAGAGAGAGAGAGAGAGGCGTGCATGCATGATCTTAGTATATGCCCGTAGCGTCCATGTGCCTCCTACCTCCTCCTCGTAGACATGCTTACTACCTCATGTGCCTCATCTCCGTGCTATGCTACGTAGTGAGCGGGAGTGACCGCCACACGCTCACCCTTTTTTATTTATTAATGATTATTTCGGCTGTAGCTACGACTAACCAGGATGGACCCGACGCCTGGTGGCAGCTCGGAAGGGGTCGGACCAACCGATGCTCCCGAATTCCACTCCTCGGGTCACTGGGGAGGGCGACGGCGTTCTAGTTCTAGCTTTGTTCTTTCTGGCATCCTGTCGCCCCCCCTCCTTGTTTTTTAAATCCATCACAGATTTTCTAGTGCGAGTCTGCCTCTCCCTCCCCCCTCAGGAGCCAGCGCCGCCATGGCAATTTGCCTGTCGCGTGATGGGCGAAGTTGCGGCCATAAGCCTGTCCCCCGCAGGGTAACGTGAGGTTCGGAAACGAGCTGGCCGATGCCTCGACCTGATACTGTGCCAATTCCCGCTGAGACTCACCCCGGCTCTGCTTCTGCTACTCTCTCTCTCTCTCTCCGTTGTCGTCGTCATCTACTCTTCGGGCGGAGAGGGGGCCAGGGGGGGGGAGGGTGGATGGTCCGGCAGTGAGTGTTTGGTTCACGCCGCATGCCCCGAGCTTTCTCTTCCTGGGCAGATCTTCGCATGGCACCACCCGTGGCCACTCCGGGTTGTCGCTCGATTCGATTCGCGCTTTGGCTGGTCGGTGCTAGTGGTGAATGCATGTGCATATAACAACCATTCGGTTGCATTATCCCACCTCCGCCGCTACCTACCGTCGGTGCCCATGTAACGTCCAGTGCTGATAACCTTAGGTACCCACCCGTGCAGAAGGGATACTCAGTAGAGTCGGGGATGAATTGTCGTCTCGACACAATCAAACGGGATCAAGCCGGCGTTGGTCAGTAAGGCATGTGCCTCGGATAGGCCCTGGGCGGCCAGACCGGAGTTTGCGCTAGCGTCAAATCCCAGCCCGCGGTGGGTTTCGTGCGACGTCATTTTCGATAATCTGTCGGTCTCTGGCGGACCCCGATCTCCGATCGCATTTGTGAGACAATTTCTTCTCCCTATCTCCGGTGCCCTACTCGGTGCTCCCTATGAGTATTCGCTGAGTAGAGACCTACCTTCTACCTAAGGTAGAGATGTGAGTATATATACAAGCCCTGTAAGATAGCCTGTACTATAGGTACTTTCGGTAGGGAGGTGGATAGGAGAGTAGCTCATAGCGGAGGCTAGCAGCAAGGTGATAACCACGTAGGTGTCGGTGAGTCGGGCTCATAGCGGATACCGGTGCCCCCTCCTGGTGTGGGTTCGGGTTACTCAGCTGCGGTTGGATTCCTCTTTTTGTCTCCTCTCTAGGTACAAACCTCGGGCCACGCGGCATGTACCTGTCTCCATCCCTGTAATTTGCGTGTTTTTTTTTTCATTAAAAATTTACACCCATTTCTCTTCAATTTTCCCTTCCACCCCCGCCTTCTCTCCCCTTAATTAATTCCCTCTCTCGGTTTGGCGCGCACGATCCTGTCTCATAAACCAGCTGGTAAGAGGTAGCTCTCCGGCCAGCATCGAAATGGTGGTGATATTTTTTTCTCTCTCTCCCCCAATGCGCGTAAGGCACAGACATACCGGTAATACCACATTGCCAGTGTCCACACCTGGTAGCCTCCCATCCCACTAATTTCCGATCGCAGTGATGTATGTATATATGCACATGGTAAGTAGCTGCCAAGTCCCCTGCCACCGACGTTGTTGTTCGCTTAGCGCCGTCGTAGACGCATCTCGATCCATCCCGCCGTCCTTCCCCTCTGTTCTTATCTTAGCGTGGCTTGTCTGCGTGTGTGCTCATAGGGAGACACCTATGCATACCTAGGTAGGTATCTGTTGTATGAGTATGTACGCATGTGCGCATGCTGTATGAGTATGTACGCTTGTATGCGCTTCCTGTCGAATCGAGGGAACCGGCGGCGACGCATCGCTCGTTAGGTGCTGCCGACCTCAAACCGAGAAGAGGTTCGACGAGGAGACGACACGACGCTGCGCTGGGGCCCGTGCGTCGCGTGCCCGTTGTCCTCAGGCGACCCTCACGTGTCCGTTCTCCCGTCTGGATATGGCGAATCTTGGTACCGATGACATATACGCCGTAGAAAACGACGGCGACAAGGCGGCTCTGTAACCTCGAGCCAGGGTCAAGTGGGGGCCTGTCGGTGGTCCAACGACCCGATGCCAAGGCCCGGGTGCGTCGCATTCGCTCTTATGCACATACACATGCTCTGTAGACTGTTACCTCGCTGTTCTGCTCGCTGTTCTGCTCGCTGTTGCATGCAGGCAGTCCGGGCGTCCTATTCGATTGAGGTCAAGGTGCCAAGTATGGTGATGTTCACATCTTTGTATGCGTCGATGTATTATCCCTTACTTGCTGAAAGTTATGCAGCCTAGTTAAGGGGTAACGTTGTGCTGTGATCGCCAGGGCTATACGAGACGCCGTGGGATAACAGGTACGGAGTGCGAGAAGTACGACCTCGTCTGTCTGCCGGGCGGCACGCGCGAGAATAACATACGCGCCTAACCCGTTGGCAAGGCCTTCTGAACGTGTCCGTCCATGCTACGTACAGTAGTAAGTCGCCAATGACTCTCTATAGGTACCAACTCGCATCCAACCTCGTCTTGCTGACTGTGCCGGCGGTGGCGCCCAATTAGCGACGAATCCTGCCGGCCGCGACCGGAGCACGTAGCAGCGACTGGGCGAGCGAGGCCCCGAGAGGATCCTCCTGCCATCGATTCGTTACGGGGTTGGGTGGGTTGGTTCGATGGGTAGATAGGTGGCTACATGCACATTGCACGTATGGAACCACGCGCATGTGTGTGTATGTGCTTGTACAGAGCTAACGTGGACGCTATGTGGACACGATGGGGGTTCCCTGGAGATGGAGAGTAGGATTCCGAGATAAGCTTACTCCATACCTATCGTATACCCATATCAATACACGCAGCAGATTCTGTGTGTACCTAGGTATGGTAGGTATGTGTGTACAAGGTAGTGCGAAGGGAAGAGGCGATTGCTGGATCAGATCATGTAGGGCTATTGGTGTCGCGGTGCGACGGAGGCGAGCCTGGAAACCACTATGAGTAGACTAGAGAGAAGGATGGTGAATAGGGACCCGATTAGGTGGTCGCGAGGAAGGGGGCGGTTGGGTACAGATACGATACGTTGCTGAGGCAGAGAGCAACAGGATTATTCGGCATCCGAGGGCCACGTCGGTATGTAGGCCTGCCTACATGTGTAAAAATCTAGGTTGGCCGTGAGGTTCTGTAAGGGGTAATTAGGTAGTTAGTGGATGGGATGCCGTGTCTGCCTTTTGATATATTACAGAGATATATGAATATGGACTCTATGCCTACACCACGGCTGACTCACTCCTGTGCGTGCATTCCTCGCCTCGAAGCTAGGCTTACACTGGGCCGTCGAGACGGCACGCGGACGGTGGAAAGGAGCGCGCCTCGACAGGGCAAATCGCTGCGAGACCTCGTGGCAATCTTGGTAATCTTGCCGTGCCAGTGGTAAGGAAGAGGGATGGTGCGCAGCTGTCCCGAAGCAATCTCGCGCATGCCTCTGCGGAGAGGATTGGACGGCGCTGTCAGTAACCGACCAGCGGACACACCACTTCTCGCGTGCTTCGCCGGCACTTCGCAGCCCACCAGACGAATAGTTATAATAAGGCTTCCGTTGGGAACGGGATCGAGGGTAGGTTGGATGCTAGGAGGGGCGGGGGAGGCAATGGATCTGGCATCAAGAGGCGGTCATTGCCGATGCATAAAATTGTACAGAGGCCGATTCGGCGGATGTCGATATATGAGCATCCGTGGATTGGCGTCATGGGTGCCCGGTCGCACTTCATATGCCCAGACGCCTACGCGCAGACGCGCACACACTATTTGAGTATCTACGTTGTGTTGCTGTGCTAGAGGAAGAAGCCGAGCTAGCCGAGCGAGCAGAGGATTGGTCGCTATTCAATCCGCCGTACTCTAGAGAATCCGAAAGCGACTCAACGCAAAGATCCCGCCCCGTTACTATCCCCCAATCTGCCGTCGACTCTTTTCCCCAACCTACCTATTTCTGCCCGCCTGCACAGGCTAGGTAGGTACATATGCGCATATCCACCAGGGAGGTGCCCAGGGAGGCATCGCGTGCGCAACAGGATGGGCGGTGGACACGAACCTCCTCCGGGGGTTTCCGCTATGCGACGTGCGTACAGCACATTCCTCATACCATATGTAATACCATATGTAGTATTACAGGTAGTATTACAGGTAGGTATCGAGGCCTATTCCTACACGGCGATGTCACATGCATACACTGTGCACACACGCATAGGTACATACCTACCTACCTCCTATATACCTACATGACCTGCGTAAGGTAGAGGTAGGTAGGTAGGTAGGTAGGTACCTGAGGGCGAGGATAGAAGCCACTTTAGATTGGGAAATCATATGAATTTCCAGGACCGTGAGAGTCGCAGACGGCGCGGTCCCAACGGACGGCCCAACGGTGCAGGGACGTAACAACAACATCCATATATACCTACCTGGTATACATACCTATCTTAGGTACCTAGGAGGTGGGTACCAACGGCACTCGAGGTAGGACGTAGGTATAAAAATGGAGGTGGAGAGCGCGTTGCCGGCGCTTACCTCTCGCCCGCCATGTGCAGACCTGTCTGACGTCGGCAATGCCCTGTATGTGTATATGAGTAGATGCATACCCACTTACCTGGGTACCTACATAATTTACCCTCTCCGTCGCAATCGCAGCCACATTCGACGTCCCTCATCCATGCTCGAATTTAGAGCTGTGGTACGGCTGTTGCATCCTATCGAAAGGAGTGGGTATACACATACCAACCTAGGTAGGTATGTACTCAAGAAGGGAAACTGGTGTTCTCGACGTAGCCGATAACTCGATATCCTGTCGATTCCTGCTGGCATTCCTGGTCGCTCTTAGGGGCACTTGGGGCCACTTGGGGCCACTTAGGGCTACTTGGGGGGGCTCTTGGTTATGCGGGGAGGCCCCTGTCGCAGGCTGTCCCTCTTGTACTGGGTACCTCCCAGCGACAACTTCGACCGACCCTCGTGCTCAGGCAAAGCCCACCAACGAGGCGTTGCCCTGGACGTAAGGGTCCGCCCTTCTGGCGGATGCGCTATGTACATATAATACATACCTACCTCCTACATACCTACGTGCCGCGTAGCAGCGGCCCACTTGCGACGTGCTAAAACTACAAGGGCCTGCGTGGAGGGGTACTGCTACGTAGACGTACCCAGCTACCTCTAGGTACCTCCTAACATACCTCCTACACGTCGATTTCATTAGCACACCACCTCTCCTTCAATGCAGCGGTGCAGGGCAGCTTGATGCATCTAAGTAGGTGATTTGATGAGCCGCCGGGATCTTCAAACCTGGTAACATGCCTGCCGGCCTGCCTGCCTGCCTGCCTCCGAGGTGGGAAGATACATGCTTCCCTGGAACGATAAGAAGGTACCTCCTACGTACATTAATAAGAAGGTACCTACCTAAGGTATTCATACATGCCTGCGACGTTAGGCACCTCAAGCACCTCGCTTCAGGTAGCTACCGCAGGCAAGTAGGGGTAGGGGTAGGTACCTTATCGGTGCATACCTACATGTATGCCGATGTACCAGTAGATGGGTACCTAAATACCTAGGTGGCCATAAGTTAGGTGGCCAAGCGAGGAATGCCCCTTCGGGTGAAGCCTCTCTGCGCTTGGTAAGTTATCGAGAAGGGCGAGAAGCGCGAGAAGGGCGAGAGACGTAGCGAGGCCATTCCGGATCCATTACTCATAAACCCACTCGTGGGAGGGCATCCATGACAGCAGACACCGCCGCTACCAATCAGCTAGGTCTCGTTCGGTCTTGTCGGGTCTTGTCTCTTTGTGACCCTGCCAGATCCCTGTCCCCGTTGGATCCGGAGACTCTGGAGGTTATTATGAATCGGTACCTCCATTGTGCAGGTACTTGCAGACAACTCAGACAACCCAGACAACCCACACCCACCCTCTCTCGCTCGCTCGCTCGACCGTCTCCTACGTAGGTACCTAGCAACCGGCAGCCAGAGAGCAACTGATTACAAGTCGTAGGGAATAAGGGTGTGTCAGATAGGCAAGATCGGCCGTCGCCTTGCCTGAAGCCAAGCTTCTCTCAGGTTGTAGCCGTAGTGGCGGCGTCTTAAATATCGTGTACTCCCGCGTCTCCTTCATGTTCGCCTCCCTCCGTCTGTCTCCCTTCCTTTGTGTGTTCCCTCCCTACCTCGTCCCGTGTCTCCCGCATCCATTCCGGTCGCACGATTTGGGAATTGCATGTCCCATGTAATTCGCCCCCAAGACAAGTTCAACGACCCGGACCTACTACCGTTGGGACCTCGCTCCCGCTCCCGCTCCCTCTTCGCCTCGATTCTTCCGCCGTCCACAGCTTGGTAGCAACCCCCTCGGGCAAGCCAACTCCTAGGAACAAACACGCCGCAGCTCTCCAGCTCGGCGGTGCGATCGTGTCCGCACACGCGGTGGACTCAAGTCGGAGCCACCCGTCATAGACAGGTAGACTGGTATTTGCTACAAGAGAAGGTTAATACTGGCAGCGGGACGGTCCGGAGGAAAAAGAAGAAGTGGCCGCAGAAGGAGAGAAGGCGGTGCGTGCCGGAAAGGCGAAGACGGAGAGACGAACTGCCAGGTGTGGTACGGGAAGGAAGAGGAGGGTCCGATCTGATGCAGCAGACACAGACCGTCACCGAGACGGGAAACCGACTCCTACCGGAATGGCGAGAGAGGTTGAGCCCGTCCAAGCTCAGTGCGATACCCGGCCGCTATAAGCTGCGTCGTCTCTACACCCGCTCCCACTCGAAACCTCCGATGCGAGAACCTGGCCCGCCGGGGGGCATTGCTGCGCTGCAACGGTCTTTTTCCGTCTTCGAATCTTTCCGGCAGCTCCGGGAGAGGCGATGGAGCGTGTTCGACATCCAATACCCCGTCCTCGCCGCCTTCACCCTCGCCTCGATATGGATCGTCGAACCCGCCGCTCCCTTCATCAAGACCCTCGCCGCCCTCGGTTACTTCTCGCTCCTGCTCATGCCCGTCACCCGACAGTTCTTCCTCCCTTCTTGGCCCATATGGACCTACCTGCTCTACTTCTTCTCCAGCCGGTACGTGCTCCTCCTACCGGGGTCGTCATGGGGATGATCGCGGGACATGTAGCGATCCGGCCGAGGAATCCCGTTGCTGACTGTGCTACCTCGCAGCTTTATCCCGTTTGACATCCGCCCGGAAATATTCGTGCAGGTGCTTCCCGCCCTCGAAGACATCCTGTACGGCACCAACTTCTCCAACGTCTTCTCCTCCTGGACGCACGCCGTCCTAGACATCTTGGCCTGGTTTCCATGTAAGACAACCCCTTCCCATGAACCCCTCGCCCCTGTTTCCGCGTGAGCGCGTCGCGGGCTTTTCATTTCGCATCGTGCCTCCCGTACGTCGCTGTGAGATTATCTGGATTTATCTACGTTAGTGCCGGGGAAAACGAAACGGGGAAATATATATTTTTTTGAGATACACGAGAAGGCCCTGTGTGAAACTCCGGAGGGTCATGTGCTAACGGCAACCTCGTGTAATGCAGACGGACTCGGGCACTTCGGCTTGCCGGCCATCTGCTCGGCCATCATCTTCGTGTTCGCAGCGCCGGGCACGCTGCCCATGTTCGCGAAGAGCTTCGGGTGGCTGAGCATCCTCGGCGTGACGATACAGCTGCTGTTCCCGTGCACGCCGCCGTGGTACGAGCGACTGCACGGGCTCGAGCCGGCCCAGTACGGGATGCAGGGGTCGCCCGCGGGGCTCGCCCGCATCGACGCCCTGTTCGGCGTTGACATGTACACGACGAGCTTCACCACCGCGCCGGTACCGTTCGGCGCCTTCCCCAGCCTGCACGCGGCTGACGCCATCCTCGAGGCGCTCTTCATCAGTTTCTGCTTCCCGCGGCTGCGCGCTCTCTGCGTCTTCTACGTCGTGTGGATCTGCTGGGCCACCATGTACCTCAACCACCACTACGCTGTCGACCTGCTCGGCGGCGGGCTCATCGCGTACGCTATCTTCGTCGTCGTGCGGCGCTTCTGGCTACCGCGTCCGCAGCCCGGCAAGAAGTACCGCTGGGAGTACGAGTACATCGAGGTTGGCGCGATGCGCAAGAACCCCGCGCTCGACGAGGAGCTCGGGTACCGCCCGGTCGAGGGCGGCGAGGGGGGCCAGCCGAAGCACAGCGCCGAGTGGGCCGAAGAGTTCACAGTACTCGACAGCTTCATGCACTCGGCGTCGAGCAGCGGGAGCGCGAGCCCGACGGCGTCGCTGCTCTCGTCGTCGTCATCGTCGTCGTCGTCACCGCGGAGCGATCGGAGCGGTAGGAGGAACGATTAGACGAGACGCAACGGGCTCCGTGGGGTCTGCTTGGTTGTCTGGTTGGTTTAGACGAGGCGGCGAGCGCGATTTCTATAGGATATTTGTTTTGTGTTATGATACCACGATATACCTATACGTACACTTGTATATATATACTCTTAATGCCGGATGAGGGGGAGGGGGGAGAGGTGAAGCTGGGAATACGCCCTGTGAGATGAGATAAGAGGAGGAGAGGATAATTGGCGTCGCCAAGGCGCGCAGAGGCAGAGCAGAATCGGATAGAGAAAGAAAGCTCTTCAGCGGTCGAACATGTCTCTACTTCGACGTCTGTCGCTATCTCCGCAACCCAACCTAACCACCGACCTGCCCACCGAACGCGACACGGGCAGGTTAGGCTTTGTAGAGTTAGCAGCATCTGGGGGTTCCTGGGGTCATCGATGCGCCGCCCACTGTGGGTTGCCCCCAAATTTTTTTATCTCGTCCACCTGTGCCCTATGCTAGCTCCTCCCCTAGCATAGCTTGCGGTCCAGGGAGGTAGTGCCCGGCGTTGCGTGCGCAGACGATAGGGGAGGATGTCTGGGCCTAGAAGCCTGTCGCGATGGGGGGACGTCGAGAGATCCCCACCCCGGGGCGTGGCTGGGAACTCGGGACATACGCAATCTTGGCTGCAGCGGCGGGCGTGGGTGAGGGGTGGTAGGGTTGATGCCGCCTTACACGTGCCGAGGTGTCGGAGGCGTCTGCCTATGTGTATTTACCCGCATATGTGTATGTGTATGCTTACGGGCTTGTCCGTCGTCCCAGCGGTCGGTTCTCTGGTCCTTTGGCGCGATACCGAGCTTTGTGGTTAGCATCTACCGGCAGAACTGGTACCGGATTTGGATGCCAGCCATGTCCGTCTACCGTTAAGAAGCGCTGCAGCATATTGCTCCATTGATGGCGACATGCACCCGTTCAAGGAAATATTCTCTATCGCGGTATAAGTGCCTACAGGTATATGACCGCCTAACGGCAAATGCAGCCCCTGTGAATCCCATATGCGCCCGCCCCGGCCCATTCTCCTCTCCTCCCCCGTCTCACGCGCCCGGTTTCTTCGGCGCCCAATCGAGGCCCTTCTGCTCGGCGACCAGCGTCAGCATGCGGCCGTGGTCGATGGCGGCCTCGAGGTTCTGGATGACGAGCAGCTCCATGTCGCGCTGGGTTTCGTAAGTGGACGTGCCGATGTGCGGCAGCAGGAAGGCGCGGTCGCTGGCGACGAGACCCGGGTGGATGGCAGGCTCGTTCTCGAACACGTCGAGCCCAACAGCGGAGACGTGGCCCGAGGCGAGGGCAGCGACGAGGTCGGCCTCGTTGAGGAGCGCGCCGCGCGCCGTGTTCACGATCACGACGCCCGGCTTCGTCTGCGCCAACTCCGGCGCCGAAATGATGTGCCGCGTCGACTCGTTGAGCGCCAGGTTCAGCGACAGCACGTCGGCGCGCGCGAGAAGCTCGGCGAACGAGACGTAGCGCGCACCCTGCTCGAGCGCCGGGTCGAGCCGGCGGCGATTGTGGTAGATGATGTCCATGCCGAAGCTACGCGCGCGGTGCGCTACGGCGCGGCCGATGCCGCCCATGCCGAGAATACCGAGAACCTTGCCGCGCGGGTCGTGACCGAGGCGCTGGCGGCCCTTCCAACGGCCCTCGCGCAGGGCGACGAGCGGCTCGTGGGCCTGGCGCAGGGCGCCGAGCAGAAGGAGGATGGTGGTGTCGGCGGTGGCATCGTCGACGGCGCCGGGGGTGGACGAGACGGCGATGCGGCGCGCGCTGCAGGCCTCGACGTCTATGTTGTCGTACCCGGCGCCGTTGTGGGCGATGAACTTCCACGACGCCGGGAGGGCGGCGACGAGCTCCTGGTCGAACGGCCCCGTGAACGCGGTCGACTGATTCGACCGGTAGCACCCGCGCACGGCATCGTACACGCCAGCGCGCAGGTTTGCGAGGAACTGCTGGCGCGTGCCGCGGCGGAACTCGAGGAGCTTGTACTTGCTCTTGAGCGACTCCCACTTATCGTTGCTGTGGGTGATTTCGCCGATGAGCAGGACGGTGGGGAGTTCTGGCGACGACGGCGACATGGTTCCTTGCCCTACGTGTTACCTATTATCAGCGACGGTTGGGGTTGGTTGAGCTGTCCGCTATCATTCTCTTTTCCCCATGCGCAGTCGCGTGGGATATGCTGGGACGGCAGCTTAACGAGTGTCACGAATCATAGGTACCTAAATGGACGGCAGAGGAGCAGGCCGAATTTCGGAGGAGGGCCGAAAACCGCAATCCCGGTCTCGTCACTCCAGCGAGCTAGCTATGCCTGGACGATAGCAGTAAGACCTCGTCGAAAAGCGGATATTTCCAATCCTGTGAGTACTATTTCGAAAAGCGGATATTTCCATTTCGACAGTTGGAGGCAGTGAAGGCCTAGCTTCGCTCTCCCCTCCCCCTAGCTCCGTTCGTGATATATCGTACCGACGCGATGGACGATCGCCCTCGCTACGGTGGGATAGCGTGACCCGGGGCAGAGGCGGGAACGAATAGCAGCCTGAGCTCGCAGTCCTCGCTTGACAAGAATACCTGTTAATCCTATCCGGAGGATAGTTATACTTACCTACTTGACCTGCCTCGCGCTCGGGATAATGAGCTCCCGGCCGCCCCCCTTAGCTAGCACTAGGTATGTAGACGGGTGCTTTGCTACGGCAGGCTGTCTAGCTGGCGCACCGCTGATCTGTTTGGTGCCCCACGTTACTTTACCTACGTGCTGCTGTCGTGCTGCTGTCGTTGCTAGTAGGCCAGCCAGACACAGAGTACTCGCCGAAGAAGAAGTCGGTGCTATTCCTGATCTCCCCTCTGCACACCGCAGCGTCGAATCAATCTGCTCCCCGGGTATTTCCTTGGACTGGGCCTAGCGGAGCTTACCATCTGCGACGGGTATTGATAGTATAAGGGCCAGTAGCGGCGGGAGCGTCGCCAGAAGGCTGCCACCTGTCGACCGTCCTCCTTGCCTTAGTACCGCAGTCGGAATTGCCATTGCCTCTTAACTACAGCCAGTCGCGACTGCTGCTTGCCCGGCAGGACCTCGCCCTCGTCCCCGTGCCCCACCTTCCGCCTGGGGGAGACGAGAAGGATGGCAGGAACCTCGCAAACTTCGAAAATGGGCTGGCGCTCAGGTCGCACCCACCCTCCAACGCCCCCCCATTACGACGCCCTGCGGGGTGTCCTCTTCTCATCGGCACCTTCCCTCCTCCCTTGAGTTACGTAGTTACCCCTACGGACCTCCTCCTTCCTGTCTTCATAAAGGTAGGTACATCTCGTAACCCCAACGCGCCTACCTCGGAGCAGCGCTGTAGGTACCTCGACGGGAAGTGAGGAGCGCATGCTCCTTGCTCACCTGATGGACATGCGGCTGGGTATTAATCGAATATTTTTCCTACCCGAGCTGCTCACCGGCAATCCTCCTCGTCTCTCTCTCTTACCAACATCCAATCCTGCTTCTTGGGTCAGTCTACCACCGTTCTTTTCTTGCCCACATCTCGCCTCTCCTACAGAGCGATCAGCGCCGGTCTGAAATGGCCTGCTTCCGTGAATCATAATTGCACGGAACCCGGGCAAGGGTTTGTCCAAGTCCACAGGAGCAACGCCGCGTTGCTGGAAGCACTGAGAATATTCCTCTCCGCCCCGGCCGCGACTATATTAATTCCCGCCACCGATCGACTACGTACCTCAGTAGCATCGAAGAGCGATTGATATTATACCGTAACGTCTAGCCCCTAGTTCAGGGACATGTAGTGCCGCTGAGTCCGGTCCTTATATATTCCAGCACCCTCCGCATAGCTCTCGAGACAGCAATAAGCATACCGAAGCTTAGTACGCGTTAGCACAAGCCAACCGCCATATCCAACCCCGAGGCTCTGGTTTTAACCAAAGCTAGCGATTCCCGCTATCCGTTGCTCCCGCCGTACCCGTCGGGAGAGTGTGCAGAGCCTCTCAAGGTGAGCCGACTTCTCGGCGAGGAAAGGAGAGAACAAACACCGTCACGTGAAAACGTAGACGCATACATCCCCCTCGTCGGCTACGCAGGCTTATATGGTGGGATTCCGTATGTGAGGAGTGGTCCAAAGGCCGCGAGCTTCCATACGGCGTGGATCCGTCCTGTCCATAAAATTTGGTGCCCTGGCTACTCCTTCCCGGAGTTGGCAGACGACAACACCCCCGGCAGAACCCTGAAGTCTGCCACATCATCCCATTCAACTTCATGAAACGCCGAACCTACGTCAAACCAGCGCTCGATGTCGTTCTCGAGTGTTTCTAGGATGATTAGACATATTGTCGGTGTTTACAAGCCTTGTTTGCAGATCACGGATCTATCATCCGGACACCCTCTACAAGGCGGCACCATTTTCAGCCCCACCCCCGATGAGGTTGAAACCCAAGTCTCTTATCCTCTTATGACTTACTCAAGCTGCAACGGGGCCTGCTGCAATTGGCAGCACTGTCTGGGGTGGTCGAAGTGGTTGAAGACTCTCGATGAGGATGTGGCGGCAATAGACGAGGGAAATGGTACCGAGCCGTGAGAGGAATCTATAGACCAGAGATAAAGCTAGAGACTTCTCTGAGATTCAACAGGTTCGGAAGCCTTAAGAAAGGACACCTAACCGGAGGTCGTCGAGTAGAACGCTGATGCGGAACTTCGACGAAACAAACCGTACTCGAGATACGCCAATACCCCTTAAAGTCATAGACGGGCGAGGTAGAATAGCAATAATCCAATTATAAGGACAGTGTCACGTAAGGAATCTTAAAGTTTCTGTCACGTAGGAAATGACCCTCAGATGGCCCCTTAACCGAACCAGGCCTGTGCACAGGGAGCCGGTCGGCTACCTACGCAACCCCTATATGTATATGATAGGAGCTGGGGCATCACTCACTTTTTACGTCTTAGTTCACGATCGAGTTAGGGTACAGAACAAGAAGCTGTCTCGAAATCCGACTCTTCTGCGGGGTACTGAATTTTCGATGTTGCGAGACCCAGCGCTCCTCCCGAAACACAAGGTCGCCTCATAAAAAAGGTGACAGAAGTGTCTACGGGCATAGCAATACGGTAGTGAGAACTGGCAGGCGGCTGAGTAAAGAGTGAGTGAGTGTATAAACTAAGCCGGGGCAGTTACTATGTCGAAAGGAATGTAATACGGATGTTCCTAAGAACCTTCTTGCCCCTGAATTTCCACAACTGATACGGTCCTAACTCTTCGTCTTCCTCGCGCTCTGTCTTCGTGCCCCCCCCCTAGGCGAGACCCATATTCACGGACCCCGGGAGTGGCATATATCTTGTGGTTGAGGGCAACCAACGTCTTTAGTGGCACATCGTCTTGCAGTCCGACCCGGCAGGGACGCAGATCGAGCCGCAGTGGTCGCCGCACCAGGTGCAGTAGCCGTCCTTGCAGTTCCCCTCGCCCATGGCGCACTTCTCGCCGTCGTCCTTGCAGGCCTTGCACCGCTTTTCCACCTGGAGATGCTCGTGCGGCTGCGTTTCGTATAGACGGTACAGGTTAGTATCTTGGGCAATTCTAAGCCTTCACACACATATAAAAACACCTATACTTGGCATATAAGGCGGGGGGGAGGGTGTGAAGAGGGGAAAGAAAAGGGATGGTGGATGATTCGTATATACGTCTGAAGTAGATAGAGACTGGCAGGAGAAGGGGGAGGGGGCGGGGACGCACAACTTCGCGGACCAAGGTCCTGTCGTCTCGTTCGACGACCTCGACGCCCAGCGGAAGGGGGGAAGGGCTGGCAAGGACGCCTCCGATGGACGCGTATACGGAGAGGACGAGCGGGAAGAAGGCGGCCTTCATTTTGGGCGGCTTTTTCGTGTGTGGCTGGCGGGCTTGCTTGGAGAAGACTAGAGACAGGTAGAGGTGGTTCAACTCTGGGTAAGGATGGCGATGAGATCCCAACGTCCCTCCAGACCTGGGGCAGCATCCCCGTCTTATACTTCTTTTTTTCTGCTTCGCCGAGTACGCAGCCGAGGTCTCCGCGGACTCTGGCGCCTAGGACTGCGAAGCCCGGATCGCTGCTCGTGGTTGTCGGTCTACGGCAATGTGACCCTCGTTGGGGATGGGTTTCACGACCTCACGAGCATCGTCGGATAGCGGCGCAATGATCAGCAGCGCAGACTAGTTGTGGAGAAGCTCTCGCTGCGAGTTTCAAGTCTATCATGTAATAGGAATGCGGAGTGCCAGAGAGTGCCCGGCTCGAGCGAGAGATGCTCGGGACGAAGGATGGCGGATCGGCGGAGTAGGGGGCGTGATGTGAGGAACCTAGAGAGGTGATGCTACAACTGACTACATGTAACTTACTTGCCGTCGAAGTGCTTAGCAGGCTTAGCACGGATATGTGTCTAGCTGGCTGCATTGCTCTTGATCTGGTTCCTTAAGCCGTTGTTATGCAGTTCTGATCTGTTCTGTGTAATATTCTCAAGTTTGGATTAGTCCGGGCCGCATTAAGTTGTACTGTAATAGACTACGAACAGAGCACATAATATCCTTCAAGTTTATTAGCATTTCCACGTACATAGAACTAAACGGAATCGAGGCTTCATCCTCAGATTCTGTAGTCTGTTATGTCTTCGGCTCACGGCCAACTCTCAGACCGTGGATATGAGGCACGATACCATACGCTTAGAACTACTCTGAGCGCACTGTCTCTGTTCCTATCTCATGTCCTAGTCAACCCGGCTGCGCTCGCTCTATTATTCCCGGGCTTATGGGGGCCGCATATTCTTGTCACGAGTCGTATTATGGCTTGAGCCACAGTATAACCGATTGGGAAGTGTGACGTGCTCGCGGTTGGGAATGTTGTCACGTCCGCCTCTGTGGGTGAGCCGGAATACTGCTCCAAGTTACACACCCCCTCAATGGCAATAATACATTATTAGTATCAACGTAACGGGATCTGGGAATACCGCCGCAATCTCGTGGCGTCGCTCTAGACAGCCGACAGTGGGAAATTACCCCGAAAACAGGCGTTGGATCAAGCGCGGCCGTGCTGACGGGCACTCTCCATCTATTGGGTGGAAATATTTAGTTGTAGGTAATAGGTTCATCGGCTCCAGGGAATTGTTCTTACAGCAAGGGATTTGCTGGACTACAGGCAGAACATAATTACATAGACGGCCTTTCGACCTCTTGCCGTTGTGATGGCTCCTTTTCGCCTCTGTACGGTTCGTGTCACAAACCAGTTCTTGTTACCTAAGAGTACTGCGGCGTTCAGAAGGCAGGACGTTCCGATTTGAAGGATGTCGTCTTGTCCGTATACGGGCATAATTTTCTAGAGTTATCTGATCTGCCATCGGTCCCGTGGTAATGGAGACTTGGAGACTTTCCTACGCATAGGCTCGGAAGTGGCCGCCGTCAGTAAGCGTGTCGACGCGAGCACCCTCATTCGGCATCCGCTGGCCGGTTGTGTATCATCGGGCTGCTCGGCCTTCCGATCATTCTATCTTGATCACGACCTTTCCGAAGTGCTTCATGCCCCCCTGTCGAAACTCTAGGTTAGCAGCTGACATCGATCGGATCGGGTAACTTCGCCTGGCGGTGGCGGCCAACGTACCATGTACTCGTAGGCCTCCCTCGCATCTTCGAAGCTAAAGACCCTCGGGTCGACGACCGGGTGGATGTCGTTGGCTTCGATGGCGGCCAGCATGTCCTCCATGAGTGCCCTCGACCCAACATACACTCCGCGGGCAATACAACAATGGTTAAGGCACTCTATCAGACTTGCCTTGACCTCTAGACCGGCGACGAAGCCGATGATGCTGATGACGCCTTCGAGCTTGATGGCTTTGAGGCTTTGCTCGAGGGTGCCGGCACCGCCGATTTCGATGATATGGTCCACACCCACACCGTTCCTCGTAAGCTTCTTGGCCGTCTCGCCCCAATTGGGGTCCTCCTTGTAGTTGATAACGTGGTCGGCGCCGAGCTTCTTCAACACGGCTGCCTTCTCGTTGGTGGAGGTGGTGGCAATAACGGTAGCCCCCGCGGCTTTCGCAAACTACGGGATATGGTGAGTTATGACTGCCAGCCAGCTCCCCATGCGGACATTACCCGATGCTGGCTTACCTGAAGCCCGAACACGCTAACACCGCCGGTACCCTGCACCAGAACCGTCCCTCCCGGCTTCAACGGCTTCAGCCCGTAAAGTGCATTCCAGCTCGTCAGGGCGGCGCAAGACAGGGTGCTCGCCTCCACCAGGCTGAGGTTCTTGGGGGCGCGAACCAGCCCCGACTCGTTGAAGACTCCGTACTGGCGCAGCGCGCCGTCGAGCATGCCGCCGAGGCCGGTCATGGTAGCTACGCTGTCGACATCGCCGAACTGGTGGCCCTGGCTGAACAGCGTGACTACCTTGTCGCCCTTCTTCCACCTGGAGACTCTGGACCCCACCTCGACAACCTCGCCGGCACCGTCGGATCCGACGACGACGGGCGTCTTGGTCGGGAGGGGATAGAGGCCTGTCGCTATGGCGAGGTCTCGGAAATTCAACGACGCGGCGTGCAGCTTTACCAGGACCTCGTTCTCTCCCACCTTTGGGACCGGGGCGTCGATAAACGCCAGGCTGTCGAAGCCTGTCCCCTTCCCCGGCAGATACCACTGCTTCGTGTTCGAGGGTGGCATTGTGCGACCGGCTTGCTAGCTGGGGGACGAGCAAGTGTGTTAGAGCTGCTCGCAGGCTGGCCTTGGAATCTAGACTACGATTTCAGGTCGGCGCGGGACGGAGAATCGAAGGAGGTCGGCGAGGCCCCGAGTGCTCTACCGTACGTATTAAGTAGGATGACAAAGTGTTGACCGAGGTATGATGCACACTGACGTAGCTGACGAGGCCGAGATTTCCGAACGGTCCGAGGGGCAACCGGGTTCTGTCCGACGTCATCGACTACGAGCCGCTATTGCTGTGGGTGATAATATAGGTATACTATTGGCCCCAGTTGTGCAGCTCTAACACTACGCCAGGGGCTCGGGGGAATCGTTCGCCGGTACGTGCTGCGAGGACGCCGAGATCACACAACGTAAAGGAGGTGAAACAGTCGATAAGCTGCGCTTTGTTGGGATGGTTTCACCACTATCGCCGGTTGCATGTCCAGACCGGGACAAGGCCTTTAGAGGAGGCGCTTTTTGCTACAGGAAGTCGATAGGTATACCTATACTGTGGGTAGACCTGCCAAGGCGCCACGACAGAAGTTTTTTCTCTTGTGCCTCGGCCCGCCTGGTAGTCGGCCGATAGATGATTAGAAACTAGAATAGGTCCCGGTAGATCGCTTTACTACTGGGTACCATGTGGGATGCAGCTTGAGCCCATTCCTGATGCTACCTAGAGGGGGTTTGCACGATTTGTCAGGAGAGGATATGAACAGGACGGCGTTCTGTTGCGCGACACTCGGCTTACTCGGGACTTACCGGCGCGTTTCTCGTAAAGAATACAGACGTAGGCCTAGTGCTCTAAGACCATGACTCCATGACTAGTCTAGACTCGGCACTGTCAACTCCTAGCTGCTTCCGTCGGCCGGTCCCACGTTGGAGGTCGGGTGGTGGGGTGAGAGGGGATCTTCAACGAGAGCAAGGGAGCTCCGATGACGATAGTGAAGTCGACGAGTTCTGCCCTTTTTTAACCACTGTCCGACCGGGTTTCCTCGGTGGATTCTTCGGTTGGCCGAATCGGGAATTGCGGCTAAAATGGGTCGAGTCGAATGACATCGCGTCCGGCTCTTCGGCTCCCTCTCCTCCTTCGTCACAGATTTAGCTGCTCTCACCCCGTGCTATGCTTCCGGTTCGTCAACTGAGGCCTATTAGCGAGTATAATAGCATTCTCATATCCTCCATTAGCAACCAGAAACTTGAGCGAGCCAGTTTGCGAGGTTCGAGCCCACCAGCACCTGCCATCCCGATTTGCGTTGCTAGGAGAATTTCAGATTAGCGTAGCCCTAACGGTCGAGTTGAAGGACGGGTTATACTGTGCATTGGGTTAAGCAACGTCGGTATTTTAGGATACGACGAGACTTGATCTCGTAGTGCTCTCAGGTCAAGGTCCGCCGCGCAGGCACCGAAGCCTGTCGGCTGGGAAGCTTGGCGATGCCCGGCTCTGGAGACGTCCTCTGCATCGAGATATATATATGGTACATTAGACATTGGCAGATACAGGTATTGAAGCTCGTAACTCGCTTTCTCGCGAGACTACATGCCTAATAACAATATAATTATCAGTAAAGACCCCTGCATCTCGCATGGGCGGCTGTCCCTAGATCCCCATGTCAGCAAAGCAGACGTGAGGCTCAACACCGGCCGATGATGTTCGAAACGGCCCCCGATCTAAAGGACCGTTCCGCTGACGTTGCGATGCCGGATCTAGAATCGGACGGCCACCCTGGAGAAGCCGGTATGGAGAATCAACGATCTACACAGCCTAGGGCACCTACGATTTACGTATCCGTTCTGGGACTGGAAAAATAACTTAACACACGTACAAGCCTTGTTTTATGGTTAGTGAAGACGTAAGCGGCAAACGCGTGGTATTGCCGATGCGGAAACCCCTTTAATGCGGGCTGAGCCGACACTCCTCGGCCCGGCTTACGATAGAATTGGGATCACTCGATCACTCGCCGTGCACTTGTCCGTATGCTGTCGGGAGTAAGCTGTCCGTTCGAAACCAACAATATTCTGTTCCCACGAGTCGGCTTGTGCGTCGTGGATCTGTTTTTGTTTGCAACCGTGTTCTGAGCGGATGCAGTAGTCTAACCGCTCTAACGTAAGAGTTCCGACTACCCTACAGAATCGGGCTAGTTCCGTTCCGTCGTTCTACGGGACTTTCTCTGATACCGAACGAAATTCCGCGTGAAAGGCACGGCTTAAATAAAGCACTATTATGGCCACCCTACTTGTCGCGTGCGGTTTGTAGGGGTTGGCCTTGTGTATCGAACAGAAACTCCTGATTTCCGCTAGCCAAATGTTGAATTAGGGGTCGTGTCACCCCTCTTCAACAGGAAAAAGGGGGGGGGGGGGGGGTTGTTGAGAAAGACAGTGAACGTAATGAAATCTATTTTGGTATGCCCGATAAGTAGTGTGAAGAGGTCCTTTTAAACAAGTTCATCTATCGGCTGAATATGGACCTGCGGCTAAATGTACTGCACGTAAAGCCAAGCGCCCGTAGCATGATCTGACCTGTACAATGTATGAACTGCCGTTGATCTTCGCCCTGCAATCGTATATCGGAAATGCCTATGTCACGTCGAGCTGCCGATATGACGATAACCGTTGATTTTTGCCCGCGCCATTAGCCTCTTGCAGAGGGATAACAGCAACTCGCGTCGGGAGGAGAGAAAGGGGGGAAAGGGAGGTGTGGTAATTATAGAAATACTAGATTAGTATATAGACGGAGCCCATATTCTAGCCCGAAAGTAGAACCTAACTAGAGCCTCGGCGGTATGCTCGCTCTCGATGTGGGCGTAATAGCAGCTATGTTCGGGCACACATTAATACCGCTTCTGACTCTAGCGTTAGGGGTGAACTATGCGGCGAGTCAAGGGTCGTTCGAGTACGTGGTAGTCGGCTCCGGGCCGGGCGGCGGCCCATTAGCCGTCGAACTCGCGAAAGCTGGGCATTCGGTGCTCCTACTGGAGGCTGGGTCCGACCTCTCCGATGATCCCCTATACCAGGACATCAACAATTTCGCCGCGGCGAGCAACGATCCGAGGAGTCGGTGGGACTTCTTCGTGAAGCACTCTGACGATCCGGAGCGGGAGTTAAAGTATGAGCGCATGACCTGGCGCACCACGAATGGCTCGTTCTACGTCGGGCGCGACCCCCCCGAGGGCGCCGAGCAGCTCGGCATCTACTACCCACGGGCGGCGACGCTGGGCGGATGCGGGAGCCACAACGCCGCAGTGTATAGCCTGCCGAGTGACGATAACTGGGACTACATAGCCAATATCACGGGCGACCCGTCGTGGGGGGCCTCGGAGATGCGCAAGATCTACGAGGAGATCGAGAACTGCCACTATCTTAAGAACGGCACCGCCGGCCACGGCTTCACCGGATGGCTAGACAGCAATCAGGACGACGGGTCCTGGCTGACCAACGCAACCGACGGGAACGCGCTATTGCGGGTGCTGGCGGACGCCTCCGGCTCGCTAAACAACACAAACAGCTCGACGGTGACAAATGACGAGCTCAGGGCGCTCGTCGAGCGCGATATCAACGGGCCCGAGGCCGATCGCGACCAGCTCACGGGCATCTTCGGGCTCGCGACGCACACGGACGCAACGGGGCAGCGCTTCAGCTCGGCGAACTACATCAAGGCGGCGCTGCGGGAGGACCCGGGGCTGCCGCTGACGGTGCTCCTCGACGCGTTCCTGACGCGCATCGAGTTCGACCAGCTGCAGGAGTCGGAGCCGCCGGCGGTCATGGCGATCCGCTATGTGACGGGCGCGAGCGCGTACCGGGCGGACCCGCGCTGGACCGCCGGGCGCAATCTCACCGAGGGCTTCCACTGGGTCGCGCGGGAGCTCATCGTCGCCGGCGGCGCCTTCAACACGCCGCAGATCCTCAAGGTCAGCGGCGTCGGCCCCGCCGACGAGCTGCGCCGCCACAACATCTCCGTCGTCGCCGACCTGCCCGGCGTCGGCGCTAACCTCGGCGACAACTACGAAGGCAGCGTCGTCTCCCTCGCCGCGAAGCCGCTTCGCGGCTTCGGCAAGCGCTACGTCGTCCAGCTCAAGACGTCCGCGTCGCGGGGGAACCGGGATATCTTCCTCTGGTACGTGCCTACCCAGCCCACGCCGTCGTCGTCGTCGAGACTCTCCGCACCCCGTTTCCCCCGTCGCTGACTCGGCGCGTGCCTGCGTACGCATCCAGGCCGCTCAACGCCGCGTTCGAGGGCTTCTGGCCAGGGTACCCGGAGGAATACGGCCCGCAGACGCTCGGGTTCGCGTTCGTGCACATGGACCCGGGGAGCGGGTCGCGCGGGACGGTGACGCTGCGGTCGGCGGACCCGTTCGAGCCGCCCGAGATCAACTTCCGGTTCTTCGGCGGGGATGAGGACGCGGCGGCGGCGGCGGCGGATCTGCGGGCAATGGTGGAGGCCGCGCGGTTCACGCAGCGCGCGCGCGACGCGCTGCCGCCGGGCGCCGGCCTCGCGCCCTTCGCCGAGATGCACCCTTGCGCGGGCGCGCCCTGCACGGACGAGGCCGTCGCCGAGTACCTCCGCCTGCAGGTCTACTCGCACCACGCGTCGGGGACGTGCGCGATCGGCGCCGACGACGACCCCGCGGCGGTGCTGGACTCCCGGTTCCGCGTGCGCGGGGTGAGACGGCTACGCGTCGTCGACGCCTCTGCGTTCCCGCGGCCGCCCGGCGCGTTCCCGGTCCTGCCGACGTTCATGATCTCCAAGAAGGCCGCGATGGCGATCTTGGAGGACAGGGCTTGAAGGAGGGAAGTCGGGGTCCAGCGGTGTTGTAGGGAACCTGAGCACTGGTTCCGGGCAGGAGTAGGGTAGACAGAGGCAGGCTCGGAATCTCATCGTGTAGGTGCAAGGGGGCATTTTTTGACGCGGCTTCGACGACGGTATGATGGCGGTGTCCGAATATATAGGTGTCTACCCTAGTCGTGGACGTCGCGCAGAGTGCAACAGTTCATCAGGTTTCTACCGAAGGGGCGCTCGGGATGTTCGTGGCCGAGGAGACAAGAAGCTACGGCGGTGTTGACTTAATACAGGAGAAACTGCTCTGTTCGGTAACAGCAGGCAAGCTCGACCGTAGAACTGAAGGTGAGTAAAACCAAGGGCAATCCCATCTTTGCCCTCGCAGATCCATCATCATTTTGACAGAGGAAACATTTTGCTTCGCGTTGGCTCTACGTATAATTCGATTGCATCGAAGGACCATCTATCTCTCTCCGTACCATATCGAATTAGCACGCGGATACCCGAGTCGGCAGATCGATGAAGAGACATCACATTGCACTCTGTTACGGAAACGCAACCTCTCGTTAAGATGGCCGACCAGCTTTGCGATGAATTTGACGACTGCCAAATTGGCCTCCCGAGAGACACCGCCCGCGAATGCACCACAGGCTTCCTCATCATCTTCATCATCGTAGCGTACCGTGCTATGATGAGATATAGGCTGAACAGAAGAGGTGGGCCAGATTAAGGCACGCCTCCAGGATGAAATTACCGCTGTTTCCCGAGGATGGGGGAACAGGGCACCGAAATCTACGTTCACCGAATCACCCAATGTGACAACGTCGCGGCTATAGCGAATATAAAGTGTGTGCGAGCGTCAGGTGGAGGGTGAGACGGAGAGCAGTATTAGAGGGGGAGACGTATGGTGATTCCCACAACCGTGCTTGTTAACTCCATAGCGGGGGATGATGGAAGGCTATCGAGGAGGGAGGAGGGTAGATGGTGTATGGACAGTAAACCAATCGGACGGGCATGCCATCGACGAGACGTAGGCATAGGCTCCGTGGTCACACGCGCATACTTAACACCAAAGCGTTGGCATCTCTTTCCAAGGCACCGACGTCGCATTTCACATTTGCCGGGCTAGATAGCCTCATGCATACAACATGATGCGTATGAAACCGAGTAGAACTTACTAGACATCGACACACCCAGTAAACCCCTCAATTGGTGTCGTCTGGGGATAGAACGAAAGGTATTCTCGTATAGACTTTGATAGGTCTGATCATTTTTCGGGCCACGGCTTGACAAAACCTTGAACTACGACACCGTCTGATCGGAGCCTACAAGACGGGGGACATGGGTAGGAGGGTAGGCGATGACATCTGAAAGTGATCGAGAAAGCTCAAAGGCTACCAGGCCGTGACGACGCTGTCGCAGTGGCCCCACGAACACCCCAAATAAAAGCTGGCGAAGGCGGCCCCCTCATAGAAAGGGAGCACAAATCGCGGCGATGATCCCTCCCACGAACTTAGGTGTGCTGGCGTAGAGTGGATGCCCAGATCGGACAGGGCCGCAAACGCTATCACGGAAAAGGTTCGGGTTGATAACGCAGGGCGGGCGGGAGGTGATCATCTCTCCCGACGTAAAAGAGGCACGCTGCTCTAAAACATAAAAGAGAGGTCAAACGTCTGTCCAGTTACGTATACAGTTCCAGAAGTGCCGATACTAAGTGTCGTGTGCGGCCTAGGACGCGCGTTGCGACAGTTCCGGAGGGTTAACAGACGCAGGCGAAATGGCAGGAAGAGTGAGTCTGGCGACGGTAGATGATATCTCGGATCTGGTGGAGATATTCTGGGAAGCGTTCAGCGGGGCCGGGGAGCTCGTGTTTCCGCATACGGACGACGGGCGAAAGTGGCTGGAACGGAGCTTCGACAACTTCCTCCGACTGAAGTCCTACTACAAGCCGGAGTCGAAGATTGCAGTTGTCAGGGGCCTGCCCGGTCGGAACAATGCCCCCCCTGCTCTCTACCAGCTCGGGTGGAGGGACACCCCTTCTAGAATCCCGTTCTAACGTGGTGAGCAGATCGGCCGGTGGCGCTCGCGATCGTGCACGTAGTGCGGCCGGGGCAGATCACGACGCCGGAGTCGTAGAAGACGCGGTGGGCGCGGTGCGACAACACGCCCGGCGTAGACGAGGACAAGCTCGCGGGGTTCTTCGGACCGCTGTCCAAGGCGCATTGTCTTGTGGTGGGAAAAGAGGGCCATGTATGTAGGTGCCCCACTCAGCACCCCCCTTTTTCTCTGTCGATCGACGACGGCGGCGGCTAACTCGAGACGGCGCGCACAGTTATCGAGCTGGCGATGGCCAAGTCGACGAGCCGCGGCGAGGAATACGCGTCGGCGCTGGTGCGCTGGGCGACGGGGCTCGCGGACGAGCTCGACATCCCGTGCTATCTAGACGCGGGCGTGCGAGGAACGGGGATCTGCGACCAGTGCGGTTTCAAGGCGCAGGACGTCGAGTCGCGGTACGGCGGACCGCCGCCGTGCACGCCCATGCTGCGACCGCGGAGGCGATGAGAGGCGCACAAGTTATTGCGAGAGTCGTACGTGGGTGGAGGACAACGGGATGGGGTGATGGTTCGTGTAGTGGGATAGGCGTGTATAGGGGCATACGGGGCTGGATGGACGAGTTTACGCGCTTAATACCTAATGGGTAGCGAATGGTGAGATAAGCTAGAGAATCACGAGTCAGTCAGTTTGCCTACGCTATGGGGAGCGCAGTTAGGTACCTACAGGTACCTATAGGCTGTAGGTACATATGTATCCATGTACTCTGCCATGCCGCCTCCGTCCGTTGGGGCAATCAAGGGGGCAATCAGGCGATACCGGATTCCATGCACCCCGCAAAGATCGCCCGTTGCCTCCAGCGATAGGCTGTCGACGATGCGAAGATAGGTACCGTAGGACCTATATACGTATATCCTTAGGCACCCGTCACCTGAACTGCGAGGTAAGGATCTGGCTCTGGGCATGTACTACGTGGGACTAGGGAGCAGGGCGGGTTCCTTAAGCGAGCCGCTCGTGCCGGCCGTATGGATGGTGCCAGCCGCTTAAGGTGGAAACAAGAACGGGACGATTGGCACCGAAACTACCTATGCTTACTTGTATCTCTTCTCCTTGTATGCCCCTTATACTGTACCGTACATGGCTGTAGTACCCTGCGAGGCAGGATTTAGGTACATACCTACCTCGGGTGTGCGGGCGTGTCTACAGGATTACTTGCGGGAGGATATTGAGGTACTTAGGTTAGGTGGGTACCTACCTAAGGCAGGTGCTGCGTACACGCCTTTTGTATTGGGGGAGCAAAGAATAGAGAGAGATGAACTGCTGGCAGACACTGAACTGCTTGTTCGTCGCCTATGAGTACGGGGCACCCCACCTGGTGCATACACCCTACCCACAGGTACCTACTTAGGCAACTGGCCTTAGGGCAGGCCCTAGATCAGTAGGTTACTTAACGAAGGATAGGTCCGATTCCTAACAGCACTACTTGGTAGTCCTCGCTATTTAGCTCATCTGCCCCAAGTCATGCTCTTCGACTGACTGCAATAGATGCCCGTTACCTGAGGTTAGATAGGTTTAGGTACTTAACTAATTGCCCCTTACCGTACCTTCCTACCTGGGGAAGGAACGCGACGTAAGGGGTGGGATGCCTGCCTTAGGTACCCTAGGCATGTGTCTACCACGGGTAGATACCTACCTTGGACAGGCATGTCTCTACGGTCAGGAGGGAATGATGTAGGTAGGTACATTTAGTCCGCTCGAAGGAGGTACCTGGGCTGCCGATTGCCGTATGAATGGAATTCTCACTTTTGGCGTCGGCGTCGTCTCCCCCGGCTGCCGTTTCTAGGCTAAGGTAGATGGCAATAGCTATTCTTGTCGTCGTCGTTGTCGTCCTCCTCCCAGTGCTTCTCACCAGGGCCACACACACACACATCCGCATACCTCACACACATGCTGCGCTTACCTAGGTACCGCTTTACTTATCGTCTTGGCTGTGACGATTGCCCCCCATATTTATCCATCAGGCTCCCTCCCCTGTGTCTGACCTCGTCCCTCTTCGTGCTGCTACACGGCTGCCAAGGCTACGCCGCCGATGCCATGGTGGCTGCCCTGCACCGTTGGACACATCCAATAGACGAGAGATGCCAAGAGTCCTCCGACCTCATGCCCCGAGCACTCTTCTGTGTTCTTTTCTAAATTTCCGCTCTCCCACACGCCTCGTGGATCCCTGCAACACCCAATTCACCTTTTCCACCTTTTCCACCAATTCATCCGCCCGTCTTGCCGTCCACGGCCATCGACATTATTGGTCCATCTGCCCTTCGTATACGCCTACTCATACACACACCCTGTCCTCCCCCAGCTCCTACGCTGGTGTTCCCGCTAGAGGTAGCGTACCTAGGCGAGGCACACACCCTCGATCCGCTCATTCAGCCGTGCCTATATCCATCTGCCTCGCTCTTCCCGTTCTCCGCTCCCATCGATATTCTTGGGAATCGTCGGTGACTTCGATTGCTTCCGCCTGGATGTGTTAATTCTGGTCTCATCGTGAGGACGTCCAGTGTTTCTGCGAGGTTCGCCTGCTTCGCCACATCCTATTCTCGAACTCGGACTCGCCCCTGTTCGCTCTCCCCTCCACCACAACCTTCCGCATAAAGATGGTGGAACTGGGTCTCGGTTGAAATTCGATTTTCCTCTTCTCGGTTTTCTTTCCGCAATTCTTTCCGCCTCTTCATCTCGGCCGGCGACGAGATCGAGACGTAGACGTGAGAACGCCCCCCTTCCCCCTTGCCTCGGCCCCACCATTCAGAAGCTACCTGAGGCCCTGGTCAGCAGCTCGTTTTGGGCACTGTCGCGACCATGTTCCGCTTACGGAGATACCGCTACTATGTCTTCTTTGCCGCCATCATCGTATTTCTCCTGTATCGTGCCAGCACGAATAGCGAGGAATGGAAATCCGTCTCCGCCTCTATCCCACTGCGCAAAGCCCCGCCCAAGTCACCTCCGCCGCGAGGCAGCGAGAAGCCACCTGCTGCTGGTAATGACGGCACTAGGTTCACGCACCAGGACGACGATCTGTCCCAGAAATTTTTGAAAGGTGCACCCAAGGAAGCTGACGTCAAGATTCCTAACTTGAAGCCCACCGTTGCCGAAGAGGGCGTCGACAAGCACGGCCGCCTGCCTACGGTTACGAAGGGTTCGAACGAGGGGTCCAAGGTCGTTGTCTATGACAAGGAAGGTGCCGCAAAGACGACTACTGCCCCGTTGATCGACATACCGGATAAGAATGTCGGCCAGGGCGCCAAGGGCGCTGGAAAAGGCGAGAACCCGGATCCCAAGAAGGTCAAACCGAACGCCGCAACCACGGCGATCCATTGGACCAAGGTGCCCGAACATTTCCCCATCCCCAAAGGCGAAATAATCCCCCTGCCGACGGGGAAGCCCGAGGCGATACCGCCGGTCCAGCACGTGTTTGAGAAAGAGTCGGCGTCGGCTCGGGAGGAACGCCGGGTCCGTCTCGCTAAAGTGAAGGCCGAGATGGTGCGTGGCTGGGGCGGCTATATAACCTATGCCAAAGGACACGACGAGCTGAGCCCTATCTCCAAGAAGTTCCGCGATCCATTCTGCGGCTGGGCTGCCACCCTGGTTGACGCGCTGGACACGTTGTGGATTATGGGCATGAAAGACGAATTCGAAGAGGCAGTTCTTGAAGTGGAGAAGATCGACTTTACCACATCCAGCTATCGTAGCGAAATTCCCGTCTTCGAAACCACGATCCGCTATCTCGGCGGTCTAGTGGCTGCGTACGATGTTAGCGGCGGCAAGGCCGGGGGGTATAACATCCTACTGGAAAAGGCTGTCGAACTTGCTGAAATCCTAATGGGCGTTTTTGATACGCCGAACCGGATGCCTGTTTTGTATTACAACTGGAAGCCTGCCTTTGCGTCGCGGCCCAAGAGAGCTCAAGGTAGCGTGAGTGTTGCGGAACTGGGCTCTCTAGCCATGGAGTTCACCCGGCTTGCCCAACTCACCAAGCAAGATAAATACTACGACGCCGTAGCACGTATCACGGACGCCTTCTACGAATGGCAAGAGCGGGGGACCACGATTCCCGGCATCTTTCCCGAACATGTCGACGCGAGCGGGTGCAATAGGACCGCCGAAGCCGAGATAGCCGCCAAGGAAGCGGAATACAATAAGGTTGATGAGGCCGTGTCGGGCTCCTCGAAGAGAGATGATCTAGGTGGGGAGGCGGTTAGCGGCCCAGGAGAGTCCCCCGGGGGCGGATTCTCAGACAACGCGGTTTCTCGACGGAGCGTGAACAAAGTCAGCCGTTTTACCAACCTCGCCAGTGGTGACAAAGACAAGTGCGTTCCGCAAGGACTCGCGCCGGGTGGGTGGTCCACGGCGGAGCAATATAGCATGGGCGGAAGTCAGGACAGCACGTACGAGTATTTCCCAAAGCAATGGCTCCTCCTCGGCGGTCTCGAGCCTAAATATAAAACTTTACACACCAGGGTTGCTGCCGCTGTCAAGAAGTGGTTGCTGTACCGGCCCATGGTTCCCGACGACCGCGATATTTTGTTCTCCGCTAAGATCAACACGAATGGAAACCCAGAAGTGGACGCCTCGACCGAATGGGAGGTTACCCATCTTACTTGCTTCATCGGCGGTATGTTCGGCATGGGTGGCAAGATCTTCAACATCCCAGAGGATGTGGAGATCGGGAAAAGGCTCGCCGACGGCTGCGTATGGGCTTACGAAAGCACACCGAGCGGCATAATGCCCGAGGGCGCGACGGTCGTCCCTTGCGCCGAGGCAAACAACTGCCACTGGAACGAGACTCTGTACTGGCAATATCTAGACCCGCTGTACGCCACTCGCAACCAGCAGATAGACGAATACCAGACGAAGCTGAAGGAACTGAAGGCTGAGAAGGCGCAAAAGAAGGAGCACACGAGCGATGGGGTCCAAAAGAGAGCGCCTCCACCTGTGAAGATGACCACTCCGAATAAAGATACGTTGACTCAGGTAGCTCGGCTGGAAGATGCACTGGACATCAATGCAGGCAGCCGCGCTGCTGCGGCGGCGGCCGAGGGCAAAGCCGATCAGGCGCCCCTTAGCGAGGCGAACGACGAGGCCGAATTTCCGGAACTGCAACGCCCTATCTCCCACGAGGAGTACGTCAAGAAGAAGATTGATATGGATCGGCTCCCGCCTGGCTTCGTCAGTGCCAGCTCCAAACATTACATCCTCCGGTAAGTACATACCTGGGCAAAAGTGAAGTCCTCTAGAGAGCGCCGCCGGATCCGCGCCCCGCTGGCCGGAAATTGACCAAGCCCCAAACTAACGCATTCCCGTCAGACCGGAGGCGATCGAGTCCGTCTGGTATATGTATCGTATCACAGGCGACACCACTTGGCAGGACAAGGGTTGGAAGATGTTCAACGCCATCGTTACCCACACTCAGACAACGGTTGGCAACAGTGCCATCAACGACGTGCTGTCGCCAACGCCGGATAAGAGCGATGAGATGGAGAGCTTTTGGCTTGCTGAAACACTCAAATATTTCTACCTGCTGTGAGTGACGACGGGTTTGGGATTGGTAGAGTAATCATGAGGAAATTTGCTGATGAAGTGCGCAGTTACTCGGATCCGAATGTCCTCAGCTTAGATGAGTGGGTATTCAACACGGAGGCGCACCCATTCAAGAGACCCGTCTGAGTGCCCGGCGTGCCTTTGACGGACAGCAATAGATGCGGGGGCCGATCCTGACGGCTTTGTATAGCGAAGGCGAATAAAGCCAATATGTGGCCATCAAGGCTCGCGGGGGAGTTTGTAGTTCATCCAGTTTCTTCACGCGATGGATGGGGCAGCCATCGTCGAAGATGCGGAATTCGTGGGCTAAGCTGGCTACTTGTAAGAACGCCGACGCAATCGACAGGGGAGAGGCGTCGTCATCACTTCTCCACTACCGGAGCCCTAAAACACGACGTTTGCATTGGGCTATCACGCCGCATCGGATGAATTGTTACGTTACGACCGACCACAGTAGATGAATTGCTGGGAAAAAGAACCCCCTAAAAAAGAAGAAAAAAGACGAAGTCTAGGAATTATACGGATATACCTATACTTTCCTGTTGATCCCAAGGCGTCCTAGACGTACGTGACGATATACGTGACGATAGGATGGGCACATTCTAATTGAGATACCTGGGTACGAGTAAGAGGACGCGCATGCGTAGATACCATACATCGGCGTATCCTACACGTATACCGACGGCAGCGTAGATAGGACCGGAGCGAACTCAAGCCATCGATCCGCTAGTCTCATCCTTCTCTCTTGAGTCCCCAGAGAGGCTAAGACAGGCACTGGCAGTTTATGAGTAGTAGTTCCTGCGTAGAGCGGCGGAAGCACCCGTTGCCCAGGGTGATAGACCCGGCGACGAAGAGAGGGACGAGGCGTTACCATTCCCATCGATTCTTGCTCATACAAACGCACGGCTGTCGGCTTAGGGCGCCGTGGCGTTGGGGGAGACAATCTGTAATACAGTGGATAGCTAGCTAGTCGGGTGGTGAGATTCCCTATCCACTATGCTACATTGCACGTATAACATGATGGTACACACGGGTAGACAAACTACCTAGGTATGTTAGTAGGTAGGTAGACACCTGTTTTCCCTCTCTTTTTCTTAGTCAAGGAAACCCGCTGGCCAGGATCATATCTTTGGGTTGATAGGGTCCATCGTACAACAAGGGCATCCTGAACTGGGTTCTCCGCGGCCTGGCCACCTCTCGAAGGAGCCAAATTCGACCTGGACCCTCTCTGATTTAGGAAGGCCGACAGGGTACGATCCACCACGCCCCGGTTCGGTTCGCTGAGCGGGAGGGAATCGGTGTAACTCCGCCTAATGCTACGGTTTGATAGGATTTGGGGATGGGGATAAAGAACCGGGAGGGCAAACAGGGCGTCCCTGGCGATAAGGCTTGTAGAACAATGCGGATTGATATCGTATGCTACGAGTACATCTCGAGTTAGGCTAGGCATACCTATGCATGTAGGTATTTCCTCTTTTTTTAAAGAGTCGTCTACCGCAACCCCAACCTTTTCTCGCACTCCCCTTGCTTCACCTTGGGATTTTCCCTTTTTTACGCACCGATCCTCCAATCTATCCCTTCACCGAACCCAGAAACGAGAACGAGCAGAAAGGCGAGCACTCGCAGTCTGCGAAACACCCCCGACTACCTAGGGACCTACCACGCCGGGTGGTATGACGCACGCGGCTCGACTCGCACGATACTCATACGTGGAAAGCGAGGCGCGATGACGGGACACGCGAGCGGGGAAGGGGGGGTAGCCTACGCGACCGACGAGGCGGCTCGGGGCGACGTCGAGGTGAAGAATCTCGAACGTCCCAAGTCGAGTCGCGTCGGCGAGATGAACCTCGAGAGCACTCATCAGCTCAAGCGAGGACTGAAAAGTCGGCACATTCAATTCCTCGCCCTCGGCGGCGCGTGAGTCTCACCTCTTATGCCTACTTACCTTCTTCTTACCTTGCCTCCAATTATCCCCTCTCTTCTTACCCTCTCTCTCTTCTCCCGACGATAGCCGAGGACAGCAGTGCTGACCGCGTACCTGCCGCAACTCCAGGATCGGCACCGGCCTATTCATCGGTTCGGGCCAGATCCTGGCGAGCACGGGGCCGGCCCCGCTGTTCATGGCGTACTTGTCGATGATGCTCGTCGTGTGGGTGGTTATGAACGACCTCGCCGAGATGGTGACATACCTGCCGATGAAGGGCATCTCGATCCCCTACTTTGTCGGCCGCTTCCTCGACCCCAGCATAGCGTTCGCCTCCGGCTGGAACTACTGGTACGCCTACGCGATCCTCGTCGCCGCCGAGTGCACCGCCGGCGGCCTCATCCTGCAGTACTGGACGCGGTCTGTCCACGTCGCCGTCTGGATCGCCATCCAGCTCGTCGTCATCCTGCTGCTCAACGTCATCGCCGTCTCCTTCTTCGGCGAGGCCGAGTTCTGGTTCGCCAGCATCAAGCTCATCACCATCCTCGGCCTCATCATCCTCGGCATCGTCCTCTTCTTCGGCGGCGGCCCCAACCACGACCCCCTCTACTTCCGCTACTGGCAGGATCCCCCCGGCGCTTTCCGCTCCTACCCCGAAGGCGTCTTCGCGTCCGACCACGACAGCACCGGCCGCTTCCTCGCCTACTGGTCCGCCTTCATCCGCGCCGGCTTCTCGTTCATCACGTCGCCCGAGCTGATCGCGCTGTCGGCGGGCGAGACGGTGGCGCCGCGGCGCAACATCCCGAAGGCGGCGCGGCGCTTCGTGTGGCGCCTCGCCGTGTTCTACGGCCTGGGGTCGCTCGTGATCGGCGTCGTGGTGCCGTGGAACGACGAGCGGCTCGTCGGCGAGGGCGCCGGCCAGGACGCGTCGACGAGCCCGTACGTGATCGGCATCGCCCGCGCGGGCATCCGCGGGCTCGACCACGTCATCAACGCGGCCGTGCTGACGTCGGCCTGGTCGGCCGGCAACGCCTTCTGCTACTCGGGCTCGCGCGTGCTGTACTCGATGGCGGCGACGGGCCAGGCGCCGCGGTGCTTCGCGCGGACGACGCGGCGCGGCGTGCCGTGGGTCGCCGTGCTGGCGACGCTGCTGGTCGGGTGCCTCGCGTTCCTGAACGCGTCGAGCCCGGGCGCGCAGGTGTTCCGCTGGTTCACGAACCTGTCGACCATCTCGGGGTTCATCGCGTGGCTGGCCATCATGGCGACATACCTGCGGTTCCGCCGGGCGCTGGGGCGGCACGGGCTGCTGCAGGGGCTCGCGTTCCGGGGCGCGGCCCAGCCGTGGGCGACGGTCGTGGCGCTGACGGTCGTGGCGGTGCTGACGGTGACGAACGGCTTCGACGTCTTCTTCCCCACACGCTGGTCGGCCGCCAACTTCCTCGCCGCCTACATCACCATCCCCATCTTCCTCGCGCTCTACGCGACCCACAAGCTGCTGGTCGGCCGCCGCGCCGGCTGGCGCCTGGCCATCCCCATCGAGGACGTCGACGTCTGGACCGGCAAGCGCGAGATGGACGAGCTGTGCGCGCTCGACCGCGAGCCCGTCCCGCGGAACTGGGTCGAGAAGGCGTGGTACTGGCTCGCCTAGGCGAGGAGAAGAGGAGGAGAGAGGGGGGAGGGAGGCGATTCTTATCTGGTTTGCATACCACGTGAGGTGTCTAGGCGGTGGAGGTGATTGTCGCTTGGATTGATACCCGTTTGCATAAGAGAGATGTTTAAAAACAAAAGAGTATAGAACACCAGTTCTTGTGGTGACTACTACCTATATTATATACCTCGTATCTCTCTCCTCATCTTTGAGCTGCCCCATCCCTGCCCTCCCTTCCAGTCGATTCTGAATAGTTAGGCACTACGCGACTAGACGACAGCGGCTTACCGACTAGGGCGAAATACGTCTAGTACCACGGGCCCAAGCCGAGATCTCCCACTGCCCTGTATTCCTTCAACCGGTGCTGACTTCGTCGCTAGTAGCGAAGCAGTTGGACCAGGGCAGGGGGCACCTATAGCGTCTTCGTCGGCGTATTCTACGCGATGAGTGACCGGCGTAGCCTACCTAGTATACGTTTCCACCTACAGGGGAATGCATGCAAATACATGTGGGTGTGGGTGTAGGATTTCTCAGTCCTAATATATACATGCATTAAAATGATTACCAAGTGCCTACAGTAAAGACCTCCTATTCTCCAAGCGACAACGCATCCTACCATCCGTCTCGTGTCTCATATCCATTGATTCCTATCCGCCTCCCGCCTCACGAAACGGTGGGAGCTCTTTAGCCCAGAAGCAGACGGGGGTGCCGTCGGCGCCCCAGATCGGGGCGGCGCCCCAGCCCCAGACGTCGGGGGCGGCCGTCGGGCGCGGGCGCGGGGCCGACGGCCCGGGTCTGGACGCCGCGCGGCGCGCAGCACGCCAGCTCGTCGAGCGCGACGGCCGCGCGCGGCGCCGGCAGCGCGTCCCCCGCGTACAGGTCGCGCTCCCGAGACACGATCACGCCCGCGCAGCACACCGACTGGAAGTCCGCCGCGGCGGCCGACGCGTTGCGCGCGCCCCCCAGCTGCGCGCACGGCGAGAACAGCGCCGCGCGCCGGCCCCACGGCCCCACGGCCCCACGACCCCGCTGGCACCGGCCCCGCCGGCACCGACGTAGCGAGCGAGGCGGCTGCTGGCGGCGAGGACATTGGCGGGCCGCGGCGAGGAGGAAGAGCGGAGGGAGGGAAGCAAGGAGGCGTATACGCGTAGCTGAGACGGGGCGCCGGATGCGGAAGACGGGCAGAGCGAGAGGTGCGAGATGGCGATGACGGGGGGGAGCCTCCTTTCGGCTTGCGCTGTGCACGCGTGTAGGTAGGTAGGTACTTATACCTACACTTGGGTACAGGTGCTTGAGCGCGCGGGATCGCGGGCGAAGGTCGTATCGAGCGGCCTGACTACGAATTTCCAGCCTAGATCTTGGTCCCCTTTACGCGCCGGGGGAAGGGGGAGGGGTTGTGGCCATGGCAACGTGGTAGCGGTAGGCATGGGAGAATCCCCTGGCCTGGTAAGATGGGTGTGAGCTCTGAAGGATCTGGTAGATATTGGGTACTTGGGGAAAGGGGAAATTGCGGCTTATCACGTATTGATGTACAGATATATAGACAACTGCGATTCTTCTACTCAGCACCATATGAGGCCGCTAGATGCCCAGTGGGAAGTCATAGAAGCCGATGCAATTCGCTGTGGCAGGGGGTTTATTTTCTTTTATAATTCCCAATCATACTAGATCTATGAGTCGCAGCAGAAAGTAATATCATTGTCGACAACAGACTGCTCGGATAGCGAAAATAACATTGATTTTCCTATACACAGCTTCGTAAAGCTTCCAATCCGCGTGCACGGCAGCAGCAGCAGCAGCAGCAGCAGCAGCAGGTGTCAACCGTTTGTCCCGCCAACTCGTCAGCACAGCCATGACCCCATCGTCCCTGGAATACATCCCAGTTCCTCATCTGTGCTATTGTCCGTTCATCCCATCATTATCGACTCTCGTATACATAAAGCGGCGTGCATCAAGGCGCTACCCTCCCGCGGTGCGTCCTGGGCCGGAGACTTCGTCTCGTCTCGATGTATTTACTCATCTGGTCATGCGCCTGAGCTCTCCGATTCTGCCCCCTTATCGGCCTCGTAACCCCAGATGGCAAAATATTCCTGTGTGTTTTTGTTGGAACGGTGAGAGGAGAGAGGAGGGTTGGTGAAAAGACGAGCGCGATATGGCAACTCGTGCGGGAAGCGGATTCCCGCAGAGAATGAAAAGAAAAGGAAATGAATATCATCATTATTTCGCCGCGGTATCCGCCCTCTCTTGATGAACTCCAGTTCCCAGATGCTGAATGGACAAGAAATATATGGGGTCGTAGCGTGTTGCTGCTATGCGGCCCAAGTTGCCTCCTCATATACACATTTCGTTCCGTTCCCACCCGTATAATAAATCTTTTTTATGATTTTGTTCTTCTTTCTCTCTCTCGTTGCTCTCTCGTCATCGCCGGTCGTCGCAACCGCCGGTCGTCTCGTCGTCATTCGCCCGCGACATTCGCGCGCGCGCGTAGCGTTCGGCGCCGTAGCGGCTGTTAGTCGGCCAGCTGCGTCAGCACGCGGATGCTCAGTATCATGACGAGCAGGCCGATGGTGACGATGATGAGCAGGGTGAAGCTGAACCAGCCGAGGACCATGGCGCTGCTCCCGATGCCGGACCGGACGCTGCCGTTGCCGAAGTCCTCGGCGATGACGGAGGCGGCGACGGAGGCGGTGTGCTGCCACAGCACCGACACGAGCACGAAGATGGAGGCGATGAAGATGATGGCCAGCGCGACCTGCGACACGGGCCGGCTCGGGAAGGGCTTGATCTCGCGGTCGGAGCCCTCGCTGTCCTCCTCCTCGTGCCAGCCGGGGAAGGTGGCGAGGAGGAGGAAGCAGACGAAGGCGAAGATGATGGCGATGATGATGAGGTAGGGGAAGACGATCATGTCCTTGAACTGGCTGGCGAGCCAGATGAGGTTGAGCGGGTCCTGGTCGACGGCGACCTCCTTGGCGAGGGCGGTGGCGTTGTTGCTGCAGAGCCAGGCGCCGCCGTCGGGGTTGATGCAGATGCCGAAGTAGCCGACGCGGGCCTGCAGGTGCGCGGACCCGACGATGTTGCCGATCGCCTGGTTGACGTTGTAGTCGACCTGCGCCGTGTCGGGCACCGCCGTGTACCGCTCGTAGTAGATCGACAGCAGGAAGATGTCCGGGATCAGCGGTGACGACGACGAGCAGCCGGCCAGCAGGAGCGCTGTTCGCCCGCGATTGCGCGTTAGCCGGCGTGTTCACATGCCTTCGGCCGGGGCATGCGGAGGGAATGGAGGAGGAGGAGTGGAACAGAGCAGGAATGCGCGCCGCGACGTACAGAGTAATATTATGGAGATGGCGATCAGGATCATCAAGACATGGTGGTAGCCTAGAAACGGTATGAACCCTAGGAGCGAAACGTATTTGTTAGCATGCATTCCTTCTCGTTACCGGAGGCAGGTTAGGACAGCGACTTACGGTACCAGCCGACCTCGAACCTATCTGCCATTCTTTCTGTACGATAGTTGTTCCCAGATTCCCGAGGCTATATATTGTGTTTCCTCTCTCCACTCCCGTCCTCCCGTGGAGCGACGGCGTGATTTGCTCGGCCTCTCGCGCAGCAGAAGCAGCAGCGGCGGCAGTAGCGGCGGCGACGTCGGCGCTGGAATGCGACGGCGGGGCTCGGGGGGGGCGCGACGGTTGAGATGGAATGCTGAGGCACCGTCGATCTCGAAGCTGGAATGCAGCTCGCGGACTACTTCCCCGTGAGGCGCGCAGTCGTCGTGCAGCAGATAAAAAGACCGCCTGGTCGCGCTCGTCGGTACTAGATATTGTGAGCGTCCTGTTCTTCACTTGCCAGACGGCGGATGCAGACTGGTGCACACGGTAAGGAGGGACGAGGCAGGTTCCGTGGATGCGGTATGAGGTGGAAGGGAGGGTGTGGATTGAAGTGAGCGGAGGAGAGTAGGCGACAGTGGTATGTATGGTATGGTAAGGCAAAGGTATGGTATGGTATTGCAACTTAGAAGTTCAATTTCCCTTTCTCTAGGGGGATTAACTGCCCTGTGTGTGCCCTGCCGCGGAGAGTTGTCGATCGGGGAAGAAAGGAGGAAGGGAATCGTATCTCTCTTTCTCTCTCTTGGGTGGGATAAGAGAGACTCGTTTCGCTAGCGGGCTTCCCAGGTTTCTCGCTGTCCCGGTTCTTCTGGTCTCCGGTGCTACGATGGCGCGCAGAATAGAGGGGGTTGGGAAGTTGAGGTGCAAGCCAGACGATCTGGCGAGTTGCGGTGCGTAAGTGAAGATGCAGCAGAGAGAGGCGTGTAATTGGCCCTGCCACCTGGATTTTGGGTTGGATGGCTGCCAGTTGTAAGGCCGGGTTTTCGGGCCCTTGGCGAGCCCAAAGTAAATAGAAAAGATGTGGCTGGTCGTTGCTGGAGCGATGGCGCCCAGCTGGAGGCCCCGGTCGGTTCTTGGCGCCCCTGTCGCGCAAGGCCCAAGGTGGGGCCCCGATCCCGCCAAGCAGCCCCCCTTTGCTGCTTAAACGGGTAAAGTGGGAGGCGCAACGGGGCGCTGATTGGCTCCAGGGGAAAAGGTCGTAGGCAGATAATGCGGTTATGCATCTAATACGATCGAGATATACATCTGCACATGTGCATAGGTGTCTGTTCCTGCATAAGCGGTGGCCTGTGGCGGCTGCCGTGGCTGCCGCTGTGGCGTCAGCCGTACTTCTCCACTCCCAGCCACACGCATAGGCCAATCAAGTGCTTATCCTCCCTCCCAGCCAACGGGAAATGTATAAATGACGTGGCCTCCCCCCGGCAGACCCCACCAATTTCGACATTGAAATGTGCGATAGTCCGCACGTGCCTCCCGTCCCGACGCGAATCTCGGCCGTTTTATTTTCCCACGTTCCTCCGACTTTTATTTCCTGCCTTCTTTCTTCCCCCTCTAACCCCGTCCCATCCGTGCCTGTGCCTACTTGATGTCTATGTTCGCGGTGAACGCCTTTTACCATATTCATACCTGCCGGCGCAACTACGAAGTGATTTGTTATTTGCTTCGCCTCAACCGTGTAGGCGATTTGGCGACTAGCTACTTAAGTGAGCCCAACCATCCCTACCCCTGCCCGACGTCGACGAGTGTACGCCAAGCCCTGCGCGCGCATCGATTCCCAGCCATACGGATTGCTACGAGTGTTCTTGTTATGTCCACATCTCCGGCTGCTTGGCATTGTCCCGCGAACACCCAGGCGTCTCGTATCCCCCCCAAGGTTGCCGATATCCGGGAATCACCGCCTGTCCCTAGCGGTCCCTGGATCCTTCGCCGTTGCTAGGTAACCGTCTTGTTCGGCGATGCAGTCCCCCGTTGTATTCACTAAAAATGCCGATTTTATGTATGCCAAGAAGGAGAGGTCAATTGCAGGACTCGACACGTAGACGGCTTCCGCATTTCGTCCTACCTCGGTGCGGTGCGGCGCGTGCGATGAGGATCTAAATGCGGCTATATCTTGTCTGTGTCTAATCCATTAGGCCGCTCTCTGTGACGTGCTGTGAATATAGGTCGAGTCTACTACGCCCAAGCTCGGAACCACCGGATCGCTTGGAAGAAAGCTTCTTCCTTCCCGAATTTCTCCTGCGGATTCGAAACATTTGCTCGCACGCCGAACCCGTGCCTCGTCCCGCCGTACAACGCGACCGAGTAGGGGAGACCAGTCTGCAGAAGCTCGGCCTCGATCTGCAACCGCCTTTCGGGGGGTAGGAGGTCGTCTCCGTCTGGGCGAGCGAGTCAGGACGCCGATAAAATCTGCAGGGAAAAAGGGACGTGGGGGCACTAACCTGCGGCCGCGACACTGATTGGACCTGTGATGGCGGATATTTCGGCATCCTCGAGCAGGCTCGGGTGGGCGGTAAATCCTACATCGGCCCCCTTGCCCTCGGCGAGCACGCGGAACGCATAACGGCCGCCAAAGCAGTATCCTGTAACGGCTACCTTCTCGACGCCGAGCTCGGCGCGCAGGAAGTCGATGGCCGTCGCAATAATCGGGTCCGTGATCTCGGGCCGATGATCGGCGAGAAATTTGGTCAGATTGAAGCTCGGCTGCCCATTGATATCCCCCGGCGCCGGCGTGCCGTTGAATAAGTCCGGCGCGACTGTGATGTAGCCCGCCCGACCGAAGCTGTCCGCCAATCTTGGACCTACTGTTAGATGGGGTCGGCGAGAGGGGTTGTGCCGTCACGAACAGTTTATTCTGGGGCAGCTGGATGCCGAATACGTCTGTCAAGTACAGCACGCCTACGTCCGATGCTTCGCCTGTGACGTACTGGTTGGCTACTTCGATGTCAGCGGGCACATCTCGGGCCGCCATATTGGTGAATGCGCGCACTCCCGTTATAAACCTGTTCCTTTCCCACCGGCTCGCCGGTATGGGCGATGACTGGAACCCCCGTGACAGGACAGTCTTCCTGCCCCGGTGCGGTGGCGGCCCAGGATCCGAGGCTCCAGAGGGCAAGTAGCGACGATAAGTTTAACATATTCGACTGTGGCAGTGCCGATAAGGATTGAAAGGTAGTGAAATCATCGGCAGAGATACGAGTCATGGAAGCGAGGGTGACTTATACTATCACCGCGCACGTCTCGACTCAGCGCGGTCGAGACCGGTCGGTGTGGGTTTCGGGAGATCGACCAATCATCGCGTTTTACGACATTCCGGATGATTTGCAAAACCGGAACTGCTGGTGCTCGTGAGGATATCCCGCACAAGGAGATTACTGTCGAAGCCCAACCTCCACCCCCTTATGACCTTGACCTAATCAACACCCACCCCCGTAAAGCGAGCCAAGAGCGGCCAGTGAGGGGAACCCTCTCTCAGACCAAGCTGGTCTCCCCACCGGCATGCTCGGATCTTCACTCGATGGTAAGTACGGGCGGCGTATCTCGGCTAATTCTGATCTTGCCGGTGTTGATATGATAACCGGAGGTCCTTAGATCTCCTAATAAGAAGGATAGTTTACACGGCCACCCACGCCATCACCAACACGGGTAGCTGAGGGCCGATGCACCCTGTGACTGGGCGCCGGTAATATCACCTCACTATGATGGCAGATAATGCTAGGTTCGGGTGACGAGCCAAATCGGCCCGTATCCAGATTGCCTATGCGTGTCTGACTCGGCCATCTCGATTGTAACTATGCGGACCTCATAGCCAGGCACGTCATCTCTTTGCATATTCTCGTCGTTTCTGGCTCTTCTAGGGCCTCAGAAAAACTTCCGACCCGGCCGCCAGGGCCGCGATCTCGGGTCCGCTCTACTCCGGAGTGAGTAGAAGCACTAGTGGTGACGAGGCCTCGTGCTCGCGGCAGTGGTATGCAACCCTGACAAATACGGGAATATGCATCACGTCAATCTATCCGGCATCGAAATGTGGGGAGAGGCTCGCATATGGCACGTAGAATCTTCCGTGAATCGGACAGTCCCCCTGTTGTGCCTCCTTTCTCTCGTAGAGCCTCGGCAGTCCGATACCTACGTCCTTCTAACAATGCGCGAGCGACTGGAGTCGGTTCTCGCTGTGCTGTCGATCTTGAGCGGTCTACTCTGTTGAATTACTAGCGTATTCCCTGCAGGCACAGCGCAAGTAGACAGACAGGCCAGCAACACCGATGCGCGTTTCTACAATACGCCGAGGCTGCGTAGATGTCTCTATCTTCGCCCAACACGGCGTTTTTTTTTTTTAGCAGTGTCGTTAGTATTCCACGCCAAATGCCACGCAGCCACCTATCGGTGTCACCAGCCCCTAGGCAGAGCGGGTAGAAGAACGCCAGCCAAGCCCCATCATCACCACATGGCAAGTGCTGACCTACATGTACGTACAAACCATCTTCAAGGTGGTGGAACTCTGGCCTTCAGACATCTAGTGTAATCCGCGAAGGGGAGACGCCCTTAATCTACTCATAAGCGAGGACCCGGTCGTTGTGGCTTTTCTACGGATTTACCCAGGGGAGGCGAAATGGCCATCTCAATCGGCCTCGCGTGCCCTCCCAGAGAAAGAGACAGCTTCTAGGTGTTAGGCATACCTATCTCCTAGTAAAAATGACAGGGGGGTGGTTAGTAACCGATAGCAATCCTGTCTTCTTAGACAGAGAGGTCTTGCTCACGCATGTGCATCTGAGGGACATGAGGTCGCCTCGGTCTTTTATGAGTAAGCACAGTGATATATGCACATGTATTCCGTGTCTCCGATACCTACCTACCTGCCTACCTATATTTTCGTCCGTGGATCAGATACACTGCGTGGTAACAGCAAAATCCCGTGCTCGTACATATGTTGGCGTGGTCCTGCGAAGTAAGAAGCGCTCTACCGTACACATACCTACATGGGGCCAGCGAAGGATAAGGAGGCAAACTACGACCCGGTTGGGTGGCTCGGAGAATGCCAAGGAAGCGTATGTGTGCTGATCTCCAGACCCGATGCGATGGTCACTAGGTATAGAAGAAACAGATGGTTATGGCTTCGTGTCGCGAAATACCAAGATGAAGAGCTGGTGTATATGGGTGGTGTCGGGAGAATGCGTGTTCAACGATGGAGGTATGAGACACCTATTTTCCCCGTGTGGCCCCTGGAAAACACGCTGGGGGCCAAACACAATGGCCATTTGAGCCTGCAAATAGCATCCTCGAATTTGTGATGATGGGAGGGACGGACCATGGTTAAGCAGATTGGCGGTGGTCGCAGTTAATCCGTTGAGCAACTCCCGTAGATAATACCTACGTGGATACGTAACTAAGACAGGCGTTGGAGTGAGCCGTACAGGACTCGACAGGGCGTCCAGAGGGGTTGTAGACAGGGAGTATCACCGCCTCCTCTTCCACCTGAAATGCGTTCTAGAGCGAGGTCGTCGCTTTTTTAAAACACGGCGACAACCGGTAAGCAGTCAAACATCATACGCCCAAAATAGACGGCACACGAAAATAGGAACTTTCGAATAAAGATGCGGTAGGTTACGGGACAACCAATATGGGCAGTTGTCTTAACCGCAAAGGTGGGCGGATCCACGATGGTAGGCAGCGGGCCAGGTAGGTAGATAGGTAGGTAGACATAGATTAGATAAATCACGGTGAGGAGGCGGACAAATCCCGTCTGACCTGCCAATCGACCAGTCGCTGAAACGCGTCGCCGGAATGGCTCCCAAGACAATTATAGATGTGCGCTAATACCTTTCCAACTGCCCATCGCGTCACTGCCCGACTGGCCGTATAGCTGTCGAATCTACCTACTTACCAGAAATAGGTTTCAGGTGCTGCTGTCTCTTCTTGTCTCGGCTACGGAAACGAAAGAGTCATCAACTCTCGCCAAAGCGGCGTCATGTCATGATAGTTCTACGATACCGCGTGTTTTGCGAGATGAAATTAGCAACATGACGTCGAAGTCGTGGAGGCCGCGGTCGGCCACTCTGGCGCCGGGGCCGAGGAGGAGCCCAGCACGCCAGGAGTGCCCCTGAGAATCCTCACAATTTGCTGACCTATCATGACACGTTGGTGCGGCCCTCGCAGCGTCGACGATAGAGTGTCGGCAAGTTGATACCAAGCTTCCTCCCGGCGATGTACCTACTGGTTTTGGTCAGTCGGCGCGTTTTGTTGTTACCCAAAGGGGCCTCGGACGATTTCCATGCTATACACGACGCCGCAACTCGACTAATTACGTCTTTACCTGAGAACCTGGCTTGCGGGGCGTCAACGGTTTTTTTCTAACAGCTATATTCGGTGACCATACGTGAGGCCCGTCACGATGTGTGGGAACTCGGCGAGTATATATCGTGCTGACGGGACGATCTTCTCCCGTGATGGGTTGTGGCCTCCTCGACCGTCCTCTCGACAAGCCCGCTCACCATGAAGTCGACAAGTACCTACCTGCTCGCCGCACTGGCTGCTGGCGCAGCCGCCAAGGATTTCGAGACGTTCGCTGTCCTGCGATTCAACAACGAACCCGGGAGGTTCGCCGCGGAGGGGAGGATGGACCCGATCGTCAACCCAGGTGTGGTCGCAACCCACTCCCATTCGATCATGGGAGGCAGCAACTTTGCTACTACTATCGAGGGCGATCAACTCCTGGGGGCCCAATGCACCAGTGCCAAGATCGCCAACGACCATAGCAACTACTGGGTCCCCAACCTGTGGTTCCAATCACCGGTGAATGGAACCTTCAAGAAAGTACCCTTGTTCTACATGAACGTATACTACAAGTAAGGAACCCGGTTTGCGTCTTCATTGGCTTATGCCTAACTGTATATGCACTAGGTTCGATGCTACTCACGACGAGATCAAGGCCTTCCCGCCAGGACTTAAGATCATGAGTGGTGACGTCGATAAGAGGACTCCTCCCGCTACGGGCAGCTACCAACTGGATCCCAACCAGGGTGAGATCCAGCCGGTGCAGTGGTCCTGCCCTAAGCAGAACCCGGCTGCAGACCGGTACCCCCCCGGATCTGATGGCAAGACGGCGGGGTTGGCGGATCCGTTGAACAAGGAAGCCGGTGCCGGGTTCCCCGTCACCAACTGCGACGGCTACAGCTCTCCGCTGCGGCAGGACATCCACATGCCGTCTTGCTACAACCCGGAAGCCGGCCTAGACGACTACAAGAACAACATGGCTTTCCCGTCCATGACCCCCGACTGGAAATGGGACTGCCCCTCGGGCTGGATACACGTACCGCACCTGTTCTACGAGGTGTACTACGACACGCCCCAGTTCCAGAACGACTGGGACGAGGACGGCCAGAACCAGCCCTTCGTGCTGTCCAACGGCGACAGGACCGGGTATAGCTCGCACGCCGACTTCGTGTCCGGGTGGGACCCGGACACCCTCCAGAGAATCATCGACACCTGTAATGCCGGCACCCTGGGCATGGACACCTGCCCAGACATCCCGGGCGGCCTCAACTTCGACACCTGCCAGATCCCTGCCGAGTTCCCCGACCCTACTGAGGAATGGATCAGCGCGCTTCCAGGCGAGATCTCCTTGACTGGCTGGGGGCTATAGTTGCGTGATGCGTTCTTCGTTTCGTCCCTGTCTCGGCTCGTGAGGCCCTCGCGGGCGAGGCTTCATGTCACACTTTGTCTCATGGGTGTCATATCTTACGGTGTATTATTATTACGACGAAAAAAAGGACGGTGGGCAGGCGTTATCTAGGGCGGGCTGTTTCTCTCTCTCTCTCTCTTCCCCTTCCTCTTCGCGGAAGCCATCCTTGACCTCTGTATATACGTACCCAAACACCCCGGTTTCCCCTTCCCCTGTGAAAGTTTCATGACATTCACGATCTCGCCTGTGTATAAGTAGATAGATAACGTATGAATGAATGAATGGCATATTCGTGGAGACCTCCGTGTTGCCCCAGCCTCTCTAGCCTGCCGAGTTATCAATCCACGTAAACTTGACTAATAAACTCCTCTTAATTAAGGACAAAGGCATTCAGACAGGTAGTGATAGGTCGAATGTTCCCCTTTATTGGAGATATCCATATACTTCACGTGCCCTAGCAACGAGTATCACAAGGAATTGTTACAAGGCGAAAATTCCCTACGAGTACCAGGTTTACTCACATCTTCATTGGGGTGTCATGTCCTGTGTACATAACATTACACCCGGCGTATAATTGCTTATTGTAATCCCGCTACCATGTCCCTTTCGAGGTCTTTGTTTGATCTTTTGGGGGGTCGAAGCCATAACACGATTTGGGAGTCTGCTGTTGTCTTTATGAGCATAACAGGATCTTTGAGGGCGGGAAACAATAGGTTTGTCCCTTTTAACAGCCTCAAATACGATTGGGATTGAAAAGTCCGCTCCGTACGAGGGCCACTGGTTGAGAACGCTTGACCAGAGCGTCCTTCGAATCGGCATCAGACCTTGTGCAAATATTAAGTTGACTGGGCAATAACTTTCCCCAGTAAGATAATATCCTCGCACAACCGATATGGGAGGCATTCGGGGCCGCGTATCTTTTGGCAAACGAAAGGTTGGTGAAATCGCCACAGACGAGACTCGGGAAGACATGGCATCCCCTACCACGGAAGAGCCACAACCTAAGAGAGCCAAGACGGAAACTGCGTCTGAAGAGGAGAATGGGGATGGCCCTAAGCGCTGGTACCCCGGCATGCAGGTTCCCGAAGGCCGACCACGGCCCAAGTTCGTAGGCGAGGACGACGAGGCGCGCATCTCAGGCAGCGGGACGGTCGAAGACCCGGCGATCATGTGGCTGGGGAAGATGCCGTCGCGCGACGCAGGGGGCGCGATCCGGGCGGCAAACGAGGAGGTAGCGCGGCAGGCGGCGCAGCGGCTAGGGTGCGGGATCACGCACGTGTACATCCGGTGCGCGGCGCAGGCGAGCAAGTTCGTGGACCGGGACGGGGCGCGGATCCCGGTGTGGAACCCGGACCGGATCTGGTTCGCGCACGGGGCGGCGGCGGCGGCGCCGCACCTGGCGCTGGCGTTCGGCACGGCGGCGGACAACCTGGTGCTGCACGGGTACGTGGGCGTGGCGGTGGACGGGGCGGGGCGGCCGACGGGGCTGGCGGCGAGCGCGGGAGGCGACGTCGAGGACGGCGAGGACGCCGACGGCGCGCTCGACCTCGCGCCCTACGCCGAGACGCCGCGCGACTGCGCCGCCTACTGCCCCCTCCACGCCGCCGGCCAGGCGCCCGTCGACGCCTGCGCGCTGGCCCGCGCCCGCGCCTGCCCCGTCCACGGCGACGTCTCCGCCGCCCTCGACCACTGGTGCCCCCGCGCCCGCTGGCGCACCGAGCCCCTCGGCGACCACTACTGCCCCTGCCCCCACGACGTCGCCGGGCTCGCCGACCACTACTGCCCCTGCCCCCACGAGGGCGCCGCGGCGGCCAGGCGCCACTGCCGCCACAAGGTCTCCAAGCAGGCTAGGGCCCAGCACCTCCATTACTGCCCGGCCTATCCGTTTTAAGGGGTAAAGGGGGCAAGGCGGTAGGGGTCAGGAGGGTAAGGGGAGGACTCGCCGACCGTGAGATGTTATCAACGTGGCTCATTGAATAGCAGCCATCGGGAGGATGACCAAGGCTACGTACATAAGGTGTTAAAGGGTGGCGGTTTGAGGTTTGTACGTATCATTTCGTCGAGGGGGAGGTGAATTGCGGTGTAGAGAGTGCTTATTCGCCACCGTCGTTCTGCTAATCTTCACTGCTGACCCCCTTTTCCACGTAGGAACAATGGCATTGCACATGGCCGTAGATAAGTTTGGTGGGCCCAACTAAGCTATTAAATATTATTATTTACTTTGTTTCACACGTCCGAGTCTGATATGTGAGGCGTCTTGGGCTAGAGGTGTAGACACGTCCCTTCTTCCCCCCTTTTCCCTTAAAGACGCCGTATCTGAGGTCAACACTCGACTAAGTGTAAATAGCTAGGGGGATCTTGGAAAAGGGGTATATTTGCCATCCTGCTTTAATAATACTAGACGAGGCTCTAGTACGGAGTAGGGGGAGCTGTTTCTCAACCTCCCACTTTATCAGGCTCCTGTAGATATGGTGTGGCTCTCCATTGGGGGAAGGGCATCCCTGCCCTCCACGCCTTGCTTAGGAGCCGGTCATCGAACTTCTAGAAAGATTACTTGTCTAGCCCAGTTGGTTTGGTGCCTGCGTGCCTTGTAACTGGTGAGAATCATAAGTCCGAGGCAGCAATGGGACTCCATTTGTGGATGCCTCTTTACTGGCTGCCTAGCATCCTAGACATCACTCTAACTTAAGTGGTGAATTGTAGTGATCTATTGTATCTCTGAGAGCAACTTATCTCTAAGGCAACTACAGCCACTTGCCCTTCTATCAAATGGTACACTTCACTAGGAGAGAAGTATGCGCCGCCCACCAGTCTCTGCCTTCACCTATATATAAATACTTCGAGTTGGCGATCTTCAAGCACACATATATTGCCGCGTTATTGTTTATTACCTCAGCCCAGTGCTTCAGCCTTTCCCCATCTGCGAAATCTCTTACTCTGCCATTAGCTGTCAGCAGCATGTGTGAACAGTTGTGTCAGGTATCATCCCTGGAATTCGGAAGCGTGGCTTTTGACTAACCATGGCTTTTGGCTAACCATGGCTTTTGGCTAACCATGGTTTTGACCAAGCGTAACTTTTGACTAACTAACGCTTGATTCATACAGGCCTTCTGCCAAAACCGCCCTTGTGGCGAGACCCGGATCAATTTTGGGCATCTTTGCCAGAAGCACACCCTCCAGGAGAGAGCTCTCTACCAGTTTTACAAAGCCAATGGGTCCGAATACGAAAATGCCAGAGACATATGGAAGAACGAAAAGGCCATTGAGAAAGCTCACCAGCATGTATCCTGGGCAATCGTAGGCCGGAGGCTTCACGCGGCCTTGTTTTATAGGCACCACGATTGCGAGGCGCATCGTCAAAGAGTCAGGACACTCATAGGGGACAGGTATGTCTTCGAGAGTCGGATTCCCGTTATGGATTTGGCCTTCGAACATATCTCTCGGGATGACGAAATGCGGAAATCCCTGGAAGAGGCTGTGTACAAGATTCAAACAGACGCAGATGGTGAGTGATGAACGTACCTATGTGGCCTTGGACAAGAGAATCTAAGCTAACATGCAATTTAGGGCCACAGATGTACCAGGATTTTGAATCTTTTCAGACAATCCGTGTATTCACGTGCGAGTCCCTCACAGAAGAGCTGAAAGTCAAGTACGGGGTCCCAGAAGAGAGCTGGTAGAGAGCTGCCTGAGAAGTGCCTTACTCCGCCAGATCAGGCCCTAGTCCCCATCACACACCAACCTCACAGGACCTTTAACGAGGTGAGGTAGCTTCTCCTTGAGGTAATTATTTCTTCGCTTTGACAACTCTACTCCTTGCACATTGATTAGTTGTCCACTAACAGCTCTGTTGGTCAGGTGCCTAACAGTACTTTGCTGTTCTATGACACAATTAAATGCAGCTATCGTCAGAAGACCAAGGATATAAATTGAGAACTTACCTTTCATGGGCGACAAGGATAGGATGATTCTCGAGATGACACTCTTGTCAGATAGGCGGGATATAATAAGGGGATTTAGGGACGGCACGGCATTTCTACCACACAGGAGGGAGATTACTATGGCCACGTTCTAGTCTTCTTCTGTTGTCCATATAGCCATCCAGTAGTAGATAATGTCTGGATATATTCACGAATGTCAAGGAGAAACTTCTGTTATTAGGTTATCCTGTAGCCTGCAAACCACTAGACCTTATTCCCTGCCGAAATTAAGGACTTCTTTCAGTGGATTCTTTGTTGCGAACGGACCAAACCTGCCTCACCACAATCCCCTTGGTATCTGTGGGCAGCGGAGAACGTATGCTATCGTGGTCCCCGGAACTTATGATGGTCTGTATCCCTGTTTTAAGGCCTAACCGAAGGTCGGGCATCGGCCCTGGGTACTCGCTACTGGTAGACTGCTCCAACCCCGATGATTTTGTACTTCCATCATCGTGCATCTCATCCTTCCGCGATAATTGCTGATCCGGGTCTATTCGGTTGAGTTCGGTCTCGCTCCCGTCGAATTGCTTCTTAGAACTCGAATTAGCTCTCAGCAAACTCTTATCTCTGTCCAGAGTGTGCCGCGAAAAGGCGCCCGTGCCCGCGAACGGATAACCGGGGGTGGCCGACGCCTTGTCTACTGATCGGAAGCGATGGGAAAATCGGCGTATCAAGGGGCCCATCGCGATGAGCGACGAGCAGATGAGACCAGAGGATGCCTCGGCCTCGCCCCAGGCGGCAACGTCGACGAGGTCGTAGGTGAAGTCCGCGCTGAGCTTCGCGAAGAAGACGAGGCGGCATATCGACACGACGCAAGTACTATTAATGGTGTCAGTATCGGTCTGACATCCTCGTCCGACGTAGGACACCGGGGTTGCTTACAAGAATCCGAGGGCGAAGATTCCTAATACTGCCCACCTCCTCCCCCGCTTCAAGTTCAACCTCCACACAACAGGAATAGGAAGCACGAGTATGATCAGGTCGGTAACGATATTCCCAACCCCATTCATCCATCCGATGAGATTGCCGTCCATGCATGTGCCTGGGAGGTCCGAGTTCCAAAACTTCGGGATGGGTGTGCACGTAAATATGAGGATGAACTCTTGCGCAATGACCCAGCCACTGACCACGGCCATTGCGGTAATGTAGAAGACACGGTAATGCGGGACGTCTTGGATCAGCCGATAGTATTGGAAGAAGAAGCTGAATTTAATAAACATAAGCGTGGTGCTGTAGGTGATAGTTTGCGTGTAAAAGAGCTGTGGCAGGTCGGTTTGGATTAGCAATTCGCGTCTACGCGGATAGCGAACGCCGGGGTCCTCACTTTCCAGAAAGTCATTGCTCGCTCGTCGTCTCCCAAGTCCCAAATGTGGTCGCCGAGCCCGTATCCTGTTTGGACGCATTGTACTATGCCGTTCACGATCATTCCGATCTAGTAGGGCCGTGGTCAGACATCTTCTATCCTCGGATTCCCCCAGAAGAGGTGGGTTGCGGCCTATTCCTGAGTGGGAGGACCTACCATACCGGCTATCGCCAGATAATCGTCCACCCATAGCTGTCTGAGGATAAACTGTCTTGCGTAGAGTCGCAAACACACAGCCACTGTAGCAAAGGACATGCATAGCGACACGGCTACTATCGTCTCACAGCCGCGCCTGTCATGAGGGAGGCCATCGTCGACATCCATACCGGGCTAGGCAGCCACCTATCGTCCCCAGTCGGTGAGTCCTGTCCTCCCTCTCCTGTGCCCGTTCAGTAACTAGGTTTGAAGTCGGGGTGCTTCGTTAGACGATTATCCATAGCAGGAGATCGCGCGTCGAGCTTCTTTCGGATTTGAGTGTGTCCGTCGATGGAATTCAGGCGTTGGGAGGCTTGAAGGGGAAATCGCAGAAGACGTATGGGGCACGTTTCGCCGGTGGAGCTGGCCGCTATATGTTAAAAGGCCCAAAGCCGCTCTCGTCGGCCCATAGCGTCGCCCTATCGCCCTAAGCCGATCTCTTTAAGTAGGCTAATCAGATCGGCGGTTGGAGGGAGAGAAGGGGGGTGAATACTACATATAGAGATGGCAGGTATAATGAGGATTCTTTAACTCCCGAGAATTTCGAATCCGGGAGTCCCTAGGAGATGGGGCGGAGCTAGTTGCCGCAACGGGAACGACGCTGCTACGATGGCATGGTCAACATAAGACTTAGCGAGAAGCCAAACCGAACGGATCATACTACGAGGACTAGAGCCGTCAATGGGAAACGAGCCTTGCCCTTTATAGGGCTGCCTTGAACCCCCAGGACGCCATGCTGAACACTATCCGCAATGCAGTCTAGGGGTATCCATAGCAGTTTCGAACCGTGGACCCGGTTCCTGACTCGCTTCCGCGCACCTATCACGGCATCATCTGGGGAGCTTGTCCCATCAACAGGACAGGGCCGGCAGAAAATTTTAGCGAGCCCTGCTTCTCAGTGCGCCATTTCCGGAGCGAAATCCGTACGTACATACAGACGACGCACTTGCATAATAACGCTTGCAGATGTGGTGGTATCTGTGTCGCTCTGGGGTTCCAGTCGATGCTGCATGGGAGAGACAACGCGGGCGAAAAATACGTGCCGGTTAATGTCACGAAACTGGAATTGTCACACGATATAATATGATCTGCTGCGTAATTGCCCATCGACTACTGGGGAGGCATCGGGGGATGCGAGCCGTTCTAGAAGCGGAGGAGCGGACTGGGGTAAAGTGTTGGGTCTCCCAAAAGGAGAGGAACCATTTCCCTGGGCCTCCTGAAGCCGGGGCGCCCTGTGGAAAGGCCTGGGGGATTTTTGCATAAAGAAGTATGGGAATCACGTGTCGAGAGCCGGCATATTCCTACTGTAACGTCTCTTATTCACCCATCTTACCCATGTGGCCAAGTTCTGGCTTCGGACCGTGGATGGAGGCTAGGTGGTTGTGGGGAAGGTTTCACGCGTCCTATGTGAGGTATGCTGTGGTGATGGTGGGCATAAAGTGCTCATCAGCTCGCCTTGGCCAAACCATTCACAGGCTTTCCCCTGCTAGACCAAGCAGTAGCTAACCCGAATTCAAGCAACGATGGTAAGATCTCTAATATAGCCTCCTTCGTAGTCGATTGGCGGATCTAATATCATAATTATGTACCAAGATGTCAAGAAGTGACCTCTACTTATTCAGCTAGTATGCCGAAGTTATCGTGTCGGCCGGGCAATAACGACGAGGCCCGTGTGTCGACGCCACGAAACTTGGTCTTGATCGGCAGCCTTGGTTCCTAATTTGTGCACCATCGTTTTGTTTACTGCCATGTTAGATAGCAACGATCTGCTAATGTATACCTAGACCCCCCCGGAAAAGACCGACTGGGCTGTTGACTTTGGTAGATCCACCGAGCTATACACAAGTAGGGCATTTCAGCTGATCTCGCACGAAAGTCTGTGCATGTTCTTGGTTAGATATATCGAGGTAGAAAGACGGGCTCCGCATCGTATCAAGCCTGTCAGCGGTGACCTCGGTGAACATGTGTGCCGGTAACGTAGATGACAGTATTCGTGGTGCCAAGCATCAGTGTTAGCAGCGTCTCAGCGAAAGCACCCTGGGCTATGGTTTACCAGCATTGACCTAGAGGCCGATGCCCCTGGGCTGCGGCACAGAAACCAATCCACTATTGCCACTTCATCGTCTTCAGCCCTTCCCATAAGCGATTGTTGATCTAATTCCACAAGCTAGTGCTAAGCTCCGAGACACCTGCGTATTCGAGGCGTCTAATACGGCGCTGCCGCCTCGCGAACGCTTTTTGATCCTATCTTGGATTTGCTTTTCTTCGAGTGCGCCCAGATCGCCGTCGATTTCTGCGGGTTGCCTGTCCATCGCCTGAGCCAAGAGCAGGAGGGCCTCCCACCCCTTGGACACTTCTGGGCTCCCCTGATCAAGACGTGTCGGGATCCACACGATGAGAATCCCGATGGTCCACAAAAATAACCACATCATCATGACGAATACATGAACGAATGAGAACCCCCATTTGTATTCCTGGCAGAAACGGTCTTAGTTGACATATTTCCTTCGAACAAGATTCGTGATGGCAGGGCTTTTCGTACACCCCTGACTAGTTGGCACAGCCCACGGCCCTCCATGTAACTCGGGGGATAGATCTGATTTGATAGGAGCCGGCTTGTCTTGGCGACGTCGTTGAAGGGCATCCGGCGAGTGTGGGGGTCAGTTCAGCTATAGCCGAAAAGACCTCCTGGCGGGATGTAAGACGCCAAGATATTCAGCGCCGGCGCCGGGAGGGTTGGTGTTCTCCCATGTCGATTCCACGTTGTTAGTACTATAAAATCCATGAGAAGACACATCTAGATAGATGACAAAAGGTCAACATCGATAGACAGGATCGTATAAAAGGCCCAAGGTTTAGAAAAGGGGCTACTGACACTCAGATGTGGCTCTTAACAGGCCACAATTCTGCCAGCTACACCAATAGGTTACGTACGTATCCGCAGTCATGTTGATTCTGAATCCATCGTGTATGGTATATGCGAGGATCTCGACATTTGAAAATAGAGTGAGGGTGGCATTGCTGTCCTTGATAAAAGCCTTGATAACTGGAGTGTAACCGTCATAGCGCTCGCAAAAGTTGGTGATATCAGGATAAATATCATGCTCTAAATCATGAAGACCGTCGTCAATATCGAGTTTAGTCTGTGGTGAGAGACATCGGCCTTTCACGTCTTTAGGGGTGAGATAGGGACCCATGAGGAGGGTGTCAAGTGATGACGGCGATAACGACTCTGGGTAAACGTTTTCTATGCTGTTAGAACTAGTAGGCTATTATATCGCAATCGCCCTTCGTTGCCGCCCTAGCAAAGTCTCGAGCGTAACAGCTTAGCTGATACGCGGGAACAGGTTAATATGTACGTAGACGAAGCCAGCTGACAAGGGATATATCTCACCAGAGTCCAGTAATAAGTGCATAAGCCACCACCAAATCCGCAGGGCGGACGCAGTAAAACCAAGCCATGAAGCAGAAACCGAAATTTAGAGGCAAGGGGAGTGTCGATTATGTAGTTGAGGGTGGAATGCGGCGCGGTTATCTCATAGGAGAGCGAGTGTGGAAGCTACCCTCACGTTTACAGCTCGGGGCGCTGGTGAGGAACAAGATAAGCGAATTGACACATCGCCTGCATCGCAAGGCTAGGATCTCCGGCTGGCCCCCAACTCTATTATATTGTATTGAAGGGGCTAGCATGATGGCTGGCGGTCTAGGGCGAAAATATGAGGACATCGTGGTCCCGAACGCCTTCACAGCATCATGGAATTTCTGATTCGTGGGCATACTTCTAACATTAGCGATCGATACATAATGAAGCGCCTTTACGGCGCCTCCACGAGGTACCTAAGCATGTTGGTGTGTACGCGAGCTCATAAAGGGGCTCATCCAGTCAAACCCCAAGTCATGCGTATGTCGTCTCTTTGGATGGGTAGGTCGAACATACTAGCAAGTAAGCACTGAGTTGAATCAACGAACAGTGTCCCGCCGGGATCCAGATCACACAGGACGGAAGGAAAGCTGGCGGTGTTTCCATGGGTTCTACTCCCAGCTCAGGCCTCATGATCTTATTTACAGGGTGTATCAAAAGGGCTAGGCTCTGCCTAGACACAATCCTCCTTGCCTATATCTACCCTGCAACCATCCGCAGGCTTCAGAGCTATCGTGACCGTCTGCTTCTCCTGGCCAGTAGCTTGCAGCTGCTCGCCCGCCGGGAGTTTGATGGAGGGAAAGCGCTGGAGCATGCGCACGATCGTGTACGCGCCTTCGGTGAGCGAGAAGTCCACTGCCGGGATGAGACGAATCAGCACGGTCAGATCTCAACAGATAATAGGGGCCTATGTCAACGTACTCCCGAGACAGGTCCGAGAGCCGCCGCCGAACGGCAAGAAGATCCATCCACGATGTGTCGCATCCCGAGACCGGAGAGGCTCCTCGTCCCACCTCTCGGGGCGGAATACCTCGGCGTCCATCCCGTAGATGTCGGGACGCCGCTGGATGCAGTAGGCGCTGTACAGCACGCTCGTCCCCTTGGGAACCAGGATGTGCGACTGTCCGTCTGGTCCGCCACCCACGGGGAGCACCGTGTCCCTCAGCGCAGTGCGAGATATGAGGGGCACCGGGGGATGGAGGCGTAAGACTATTTCGATACGTATCAGCGAAAGTTGAACGAAAGCATGTGATGATTGAAGTTAATAGAAATATCAATCATATCGCGTACCCTCTCTGGTTACATTCTGTAGGTACGTCATCCGAACGAGGCCTGCCCGCGTTAAGGGGGTGACCGTCTCGTCGACCTGGGAAACCTCCTCTCGGAGCTTCTCCATGATCTCAGGATGTCTCACTAGATGGAAGCTGTAGACTGCTTGTGAGAACGGTCTCATTATATCGAAGTCGACAATCCAAGGTGGGTGACGCTTACAAGGCCCATGACAAAAACGTTGCGGTAGAATCCCGCCCCGCAGTGAGGATATTAATCGCCTGACCCCTGAGAACGTCTCGCTCGGGGTAGTGCTGCGCTACCGTTCGCAGGAACGGCGTATTCGACCGGTTCCCCTCGTCGTCGCTGCTCGTCAGCGTCCTGTCAATGACGTGGTCGGCGAATCGGTGGATCGTGTCGCATGCCCTCCGCAGCCGCTTGCCGTCGACGAGCCAGTATAGCTTCTGGAATTTGAGCCGCTTGGACGAGATGCCCTGGGCTAGATCAAAGGCCCTCTCGAAGCCGTGGTCCACCTCGCTCGAGCTCGGCCGCTGGCTCCATACGGACTCGCCGAAGAGAAACTCGGTGGTCACGTCGAGCGTGAGGCGGAAGAAGAGCGGTTCGAGGTTAAGGACGCGTGTCGCTTCGCCGGCGATCGCATCCAGCAAGTTCTCCACGTGCGGTCTGTATATGTCTAGGTTCTCGTAGTGGCGATGGTAGAAGTGCGGCCTTAAGATGTCGCGGGACTGCTTCCACGCATCGCCCTCCTGGAGGAAGATGCCGTCGCCGAGGAGCGGAAAGAATATGGTGCGTCGCAGGCCCAACCCCCAATCTGAACGACGCCAGCCCAGTCAGCATGGTTGAATACGTTGTTTTAGTCGTTGGTTTCACCGCCCACCCTTGAAATTCGAGAGCAACATCGCCTCGATGTTGGCCGGTTCGATAGTGAGGATGGACGTGTTCCACCCGATAACCTGTCGGTAGGTGTTCCCGAATCGACGGAAATTGTCGAGGAAGAACTCCATCAGACGCAGTTCATCGGACGCCTTCAGTGTCGACGCCAGCAGGTCGAGGCCCAGTGGCCATCTGCTGGCCGATGGGAGCGAGTCGTGCGCGTACGCATCCTGCTTCTCCGAACATGGCACCGACTGTACACCACCAATTAATAACTGCCATGACATCCCTTGATGCCAGCAGAAGACTTGCCTTTCGATCGAAATATGTGTATCCCGCGCGGTAGACGAGGTAGAGAACTACTGCTACTAGAGCGGGACCCAGCAACGTGTACGTCATAGCGAACACTAGGAGGTATTCAAGCCCGCCAGTGTTGGCGACAAATGACAACGGGTTCTCAGTAAGTGGCGAGAGGAGGCTTGAACTTCAGAGGGTTCTGGAAAGATAATAATGCGAACCCGGCTATGGCTAGGGAGCTCGAAGGTGATACAAGGAGAAGCAGGTTCTGGATAGCATGACACCGAGAGTTGGGGTAGCCCTAGCTTGATAGGACGAAGAGGAGGAGGGTAGCAAAGGCGGTAAAAGGAGGCGTCGGGATGTATTATCGCTGGAGTGAGAAACATTCTCGTGCTCTCTTCGACCGGCATGGTATGTGTTCTTGATAATATGAGACCTTCTATAGTGTCTAGACCCGAGCCTCTGCGGCATTGAGTCCGCTTTATGGACACGAAGAAAACCAATGGGCAAAGGTATTCTCTATGCCAAGTACATTTCCTATAATACACATAGGCGTGCTGAAACAGGGCCGTGTAAATCATGACTAGGACACGGCCTCCCTTTCCGGAACATCGGGATAGATAGGCACCTTCGGGTCTGTCAGTCCTCGTTCTTTATTCGGCATTTGTGGCCTTCTACTTACCTAGAGATAGCCATTGCAGGCTCGTTGGAACTGTTACCTCGCAGCGTCCCATGAAAGTTGGGGTTGAAATCGATCAGCAGCGCCATACGCCGCAAAAAAGACCAAGTGTTCGATCGGTATCCTCGGGACACAGTAATTATGTTGTGCGTCACTCTCCACCAGATCACCGTGCCAGCCCACCAAACATTTCCCTTCAGAGGCGTTTCATGGCGCGTCTCGGCGACGCCACCGTCCCCAGCCCATCCATATCCGCGCCGAGTCCACATGCATACCTAGCATGATATGCATACGAATATGTGTCACTACGATAGCCGTCGATATCCACGGCGCCGCTGGACATAACTAGGAACAAGGTTATCGAAACGGGACAGCGTACAGAGTTGTCTCGACGATCACTACCACGATCGGCAATTGGGGCTGTCAGGGCGTACTTATTGGACCGTCTTGGGTATGAGCCCTGTCTGATGGATTCTCGTCTCACTTAATAAGGCGTAGTTCGGCATATTTATTGGTATTGTTGGATTTGTCTGCGAGGCTCCTGGCTATCCAATACACGAATAGTAGCCGATCTATACGGTGATAACTTGGAGTCTAGGGCAATACCACAAGGCCTCCAGCGATGACATGCCCACCACTAACCCGAGTCGGCAGAGGCAGGCTTCGTCTTCCAGGCGCCAACAAGGAAGCGCGTGCAGGCGGCCCTACATATTCAAGCCACCTAGTCTCGCCTAGCGGTACCAAGGATCGCCAGTTGCGGTCTGCAAATTAAATCGTCTCCTCCTCACTAGCCAGGCTTGCCGTAGGCCGACGCAGAATTTGTTGTTTTGAAGGGGAGACATAGCAGCAAACCGGGGCGGACGACAGGCCGCGTTGTCAGCCGATTCGTCATTATTTCTTCTCAGGTGGTGCGACGCCGTCCCCCTGCGAGTTCTCACCGCTCTCCTTGGTCATCTCCCAGCCGCGGTTCCTGTACTGCTTGGGCCAGATGCCGCAGCGGCCGGGGGCCATGATGCCGTTGGGGTCGAGCGCGTCCTTGAGCTTCTCGTGGAACTTGATGAGCGCGCCGTCGTTCCAGTTGTACGTGCCGGCGACCTGGTCCATGAGCACGAGGTGGGTGCGGTACTCGCCGTAGCCGCAGGCGGCGGCGTCGTCGATGAGGCAGCGCAGGCAGTCCATGACGGCCTTGCGCTGCGCCGCGTTCGCGCGGTCGAACACGAGCTCGACAATGAGGTGCATCTCGCGCAGCCCGACGCAGAAGGCCGGGAACAGGTCGATGCCGAACTCGTCGTGCCGCCGCCGCGCCAGCTCGAACAGCTTCGTCGCGTCCGCGCCCCGGATCGGGCTCACGGGCGAGAACGCGATGTGCGCCCCGTTCGGCATCCAGTTGACCCACCGCAGCTCGTCGATCTCGGGGATGCCCGCCGCGACCCGGTCCCGCGACCAGAAGTACTCGTCCGCCGGCAGCGTCGCCGGGTCGACGCGCCGCGCCCCCGGCACGCGCTTGAACTCGGCGTCGATGATGGCCAGCTTGTGCTGCCGGATGTGCGCCGGGCCGTACGACATGCCGTAGTACGCCCACGAGTGGTCGCCGACGGGGAACTCGGCCGCCGCCTTGTGGACCACGTCTTTCGGGATGACGCCCTCGCCCTTGTAGAAATCCGTCCGCGGCCGCCCGCGCGCTGCGATGGACTGCGTGACGTGGCGCAGCTGCGCGACGTTCTCAAGGATGTTGCTGATCCGGAGGGGCCGGATGATCTCGATCTACACGATTCCCACCCGTCCCCCTTTTAGTGGCCATACTCTTTATTAAAATAGAACAGGTAGGAGCTCATGATTACGCACCAGCTGATGGAGATCTTCTTCTTTCTGGAAGGTATACATCTGCGAGATGTGATGTTAGCTCTCGACACTGTGTAAGGCAGCGGACGTGGGCCCAGTCATCTCTTACGAAGCTCTCGAACCCGCCCGGATTCGGCATCAACGTCAGGCCCATCTTCGTGACGATTCCAAAGTTGGACTGAGAGAATATTCCACTACACCCCCGATATAGTCAGTGGAGGCGTCGCTACGTGTGTCCGCAATGCTGAATAGGGGCGACGAACTCAGAGTAAGGGCCAAATCCGTAGGGGAACGTCTGCCAGGTATTATTACCCGGGAGGGCACCCATGCCGGTCCGGATGACCTCTCCGGTCGGGAGAACAACTTCCAAACCGGCATGGCACGCCCAATGGTCGCCGTACGGGGTGTAGCCAACACCTCGGTCTACCGTGTTCCCTATGATAGAGCCGCCTCCGACATCTGGCACGTCGACCCAGAGGTGGTCATATCCCTTCGCCTTGATCTCTTCGTACAGGGCGAAGAACGAGACGCCGGGCTCGATGAGGCACGTGTAGTCCTCCGGGCTTATGTCGAGGATCTTGTTCATACGCCTGCCAAGATCTATGAGGACGGATCCCCGCACTCTCGGCGCCGCGCCGCCATATCCAACTACTACTATTAGCGTCCACGTTCGTCTCGTTCCGTTCGCGATGGTGCATTTGCCTACAGTTTCGGCCCATCGAAATGGGGGAGATAGGTATCAGGTATTTGTTCGCCCACCGGACAATTGTCTGGACCTCTTCGGTGCTGCTGGGGTAGACGATTGCGGACGGCACGAGCTCTTCCTCGTCCAGGACAGTCATTAGATCATGGGTATTCGGATCTACTCATATCAGTGAAAGCCACCCCCTCTCGCTGGGGGGACGAAGCGTACGATCCATATACCTGTGTAATCACATCAGTGTTAGACTGCGCGCCGACGGCTACGTTGAATTGTTGGCGGGGTGTCTGCGAACACTCACCATCCGTCCCTCAGCGGCTTGTCGTTCTTCTCGACGTTATCGGCACCCAGCTCCTTGCTAAGCTCGTCGATGGCGTCGTTGAAGATCTTCTCTTCAACGCCAGGGGGGAGAGCAGGGAGACGACTCCTTGCTGTCTTCTGCTTGGTCCTCGTCTCGAAGATTCCCGCCTTGGCCGCGCGGGCCTTCTCAAGGAGGAAATCCGGGATGCCGGAGTGCTTCTCCGAGAGGCGCGGCACGTCGCACTGAGCTTCGTCTTGGAAAGACATGGCGTAGGTCGTAGTCGATGCGAGAGATCTGTCTGTCTGTTGTAGCAGCCAATAACTAGATAACTCGACAGCCGATGGCATTCCATCCTGTTCATATAGCTGTCGTTCACATGCGTCTAGCCAAGGCTCTCCAAGGCTCTCCAGCTGAACGAACCACTATTACCCCGCAGGGATCTGACCTCGCGAACCCATCTGCCGAACCAGGATGCTGCATTGTGCCGATTCCTGGCGTAGAGAGGAGCTATCTGCTATCGTCTATTCCGGGCACCTGTGCGGTCCAGCAGCGGCAGAGGGCCTCGACGCTCGCCATCTCCAAACCCACCCCCGCATACACCCTCGAGGCCCGCGTCGGTCCACGTTGCCGTAAACGCGGGATCGACCCAGCAGATGCTCGTCTTTAGCATGCGACTAACGCCGCATCGCGCCAGTTTATCACGGCTTATTAACGCTTACTCGGAATTCCTACCGAGGTGTTCGAAGAGGAGAGACACTCGGGCTCGGCGGCAGATTGTTGCGGGTGCAAGTTGCTCGGGTCTGCGCCTCCATATCCCGCAAGTATTCCGAGCGGACACCTCAAGATGACAGGAGATTCTCAGCAGAGCGATTCCACGTGGGCATATGTCGCGATGGCACTTTCATTGTACCCTATCCCTGAGAACATAGGGACAGCCGATCTCTGCGCTCAACATCTGCCAGACGGTTGCATCTACGGCAGAGAGATGCCTTGTCTAGACGGCACGGCAGATCTGAAGGGGATCGGATCGGACATAAATGTTGGGCGACGCTAGAATGTCCTAGTTTATATCTATGGGGAGACGGCCAAGACTAGGCATCCTTGCGTCGTTTAAGGAGCGTCTGGGGTAGGCCAAAAAGGGGAAGCTGACGAGTGGGTCCTCTTAAAATAGGGGGGAGCATGAGGAGGAGAAGGGAATAGGGGAGACCAAGAGAACGAATAGGAGAACCGTCATTACTACATGCTAGAGAACGACCTAACATTCTCAAAGAGGTAGCTGTTCTAGTACATTCTCCTTCGCTCATTATTTTTAAAATTCGTTTTTACAAGTCATGAGTCGCGAATGAGGAAAAGTTTGACAAGTTTGAGGGGCCAAATGTGGCAGACGTAGCATATAGTGAAACTTTACTTCATTTGAAGCCCAGGACTTGCAGAGAAAAGAAGACGACGAACCTTGACAGGTAATATGAAGAAGACTGCCTGTAGGAGGTGGCGCTTGTTTCCACGGCAAAGAGCAGAAGTTCCACTGTGCACACGCACCCGATGCTTGGATTCCAGTCTTAGAGCTCCCAAACTGGCATAATGATCGGTATTGCTCGTCCGCCCTGCCCATAGAGTTGTTGACGCCTATCTACGGCCAAAGTACAGCTGGCTAGACAGGTCTACGCTGGTTCTTCGATACACGGGTCGGAACAAGGTAACGCCACCACACGCATACCAAGCACATCACCGTGACTCTGCCACAGCAGCCTTTCTGCCTTCTAACCTCCGTTGCTTCGGCAGTCCCCAACCTAGGACTTACTTCCTGTTGGCCCTCCCGCCACCACCGCTCGAGCCTCCGGAGCTCTTGGACTGGCCGCCACCGCCGCCGCCGCCACTGCCTCCGATCCTCCCACCCTGTTGGCCAGAACTCGCCGCGTGGCGGTCTGCGGAGCCCTGAGCGCGAGAGGCAAAGCCCCTCGACGACATGTCGCCGCCGGATTTCGCCTAGGGAGCCATAGTTAGCATGGTCAAGCAGATGGGCGATGGGTGGACGGATCCCAAACCTGGCTCGACTGGATTCTCTGGGAATCAGACTTGGACATGTCGTGCTTCCCCATGATGATGATGGACGAAGATAACGATGATGGGGGGTGATACTTTTTATTCTTGTTAGGACGGTGTTCAACACAGCGAGTTTGAATTGATAAAGGCTATCTGGTAGGTAGCTTGGGGAAAACAGCTTCGACCTTCTCTCTCTTGGGGACCGCGGTCGTCGCCTACTTATACACCTCTCGCCCAGCCTCGCGATGCGGGGTTTTCCGTACACGTTACAAGTAAAGCCGTGTTCATTAATACTGCAACCATCGCCGGCGCCTCCAGCGCGTGCGTAGCCCATTGGGCCCCCGGGACCGTCAGGAGACACAAACCTGCCCAATTAGTGGACGATTGCCGAAGGCGAGCCTGACGTTTCTCCCGCGGCACTTTCGGGGTGAGTTTGGGAATCTGGAAATCGTTTGTGATCGGTGATACTACGGTGTCCGTCACGTCCCCCCTCTTCGTCCGAGGGTTTGCAATACGCGCTTACGAAAATAATAACGAAAGATACGTATTCCGGCGGACACAAGTCTTCTTCCCTGACTTTTAATGATAGGTATATTTTGTTCTATATATATGCCAACCCCGCGATACTGCCGAACTGGAGGTCATGGATTTATTATCAGGTACTTTGCGCCAGCTCACGGGCATGTGTGGAATATGGCTGGGTATCTGTCGTCGCCCGGAGCCCCGAGGTGCCTTTCAGAGCATCCTTCTGTCGGTATCATTATTGCTCATCTTAGTCACATACTTCGGGAAAGGAAGTTATATTGATCGATTGAGACGGCCGGTGCGTTTAGAGAAAGCTTCAAGGGCGAGGATCTGAGCTTAAGTTTCGAGAATCCCGCCCTCGTGCTCCAATACAGGACAGAGTAACCTATATTGCCGTAAAATTCGTAGAGTATCAGTTCTCTCTGCAATTCTCTCGCACCTCGCCATGAGCACGAAGATTGCCCCGAGCACGAAGACCGTACTGCACCCTTAGATTTTCTCTTCAGCCAACCCATGGAAATATCGACCATATCCCGACTGCTATCTATGGCTTGGACTTTGGCCAAACGACAGGCTTTCAAGCCCTTTCCCTTCTCACGCCTTCCGCCCGAGCTTCGATTCGAAACCTGGGAGATTGCACTGCATCATGAACGTCGGTACCGCGTTATTCTTGTTCGTAATGGCGATATCGTACCGCTTAAATATCTCATTAGCCCTTTCTTGTCTGTCAATAGGGAAAGCCGGTACTTTGCTCTCAAGACCTACCCCCTCCCAGTACGAGTGCGTCTCCCCCGGGCTCAAACAATCGTGGGTGTGGTTATGCCAGACCCCCCTCCTCCAGAGACTCTTTCTGATGGGGAGGGCTCGTTAAGATGCCTCATGGGCGCACTGGACGCAGATGCAACCGAGCCTAGTGCAACTATCCACATCAGCCTGGAGCACGATGCCTTCATCCTTGACCCGAATCCTTCGCCCTTCAAAGGCGGACGGGGTATCAGACAACCGGCCGCAGGCTTAAACTGGACATACGGCACCATCGAACTCACGGTTCATCATTGGCACACAGGACCATGCGTACAGCGGATATCTATCAGCCGAGCCCTCCTTCCTCCAAGGCATCTCCGGGGAACGTCCACATTCCAGGGTCTAATCCGCTGCTCCAGTCCGGACTACAAGGCCATATATCACTACCAAACGCTAGATATCGACATATCCGCAGATTTCTTTGAGGCTGCCCTTCCGGAACTGATGAAACTCTGTGTAGAGTCGGGAGTCCAACTCCTTCCTCTGCACCGCCAGAACTGGACCGTGAGCATCGAGAGTTCGTGCAATGGTTATGCAACGGTGCTCGAGACAGCAGATGCCCGCCCCGAATATCCCGCTCGAGTGCACGAAGCGAACAAGAAGATGGAGGATATTATAATCGGATGGTCGGGGCGCACATTCTTGTCCCGTTCCCTGTGAAGTACGTCAAGTACGTAACTACGACAGGGCTGGGGCACCGAGTAATAATCGCCTAGCTCATCTGCTTGGATGCAGACAAGGCGCTACCAAATGGATCAGAGGAACGCAGTAATACGTTTACGGGGTAGGATAAGGATGGACGGGCCCCCTTCGTCGCGCTCATGACAACGTTAATGTGAACGGGTACGTCGAGGTTTAGCTAATATATAAGAGGTCACGATGCGTTTTGTTTCTGTTAATTCTCGGACCTATCTGCATGCCGTGGCTCGACACACCCAGAAGCGAGGCAGCCGCCCTTGACGAACCCGAAATTTGGCGACGCAATCAAGAATACCCCTGAGCAGCTCCCGAACCTGTATTAGGGAGCATCATCCCGCGACACCTCGCCCTATCGGATACAGCGGTAGGAACATGGCTGAAATCCTCCGGCTCGGGAAATGTCTAGGATTCGGCAGCGTCTCGTGTTCATATATTTGTGGCACCCAGGACAGGCGCACGGAAGCGGTGAGACTTGGAGGTGGCCACGGGGGAGGCCTCGTCACGGCTTCGCAGCGGTGTCAACATCAGCACGAAGCGGATTGGAGTTGGAGAGCAACGAGTAATGAACGCTGTTGGGGCCCAAAGGAGCAAAGTGGATATCATTACAGCCGAATGTAAAATGTAAAAGAAAAAAATGAGGCATATCTCGTGATGCTACATATATGCAAGAATGGAAATTCGCCGCTCAACTCAGAACCCCTGAAATGCCCTCTAATATGTCTCCCGCACCGATCGCTGATGATGATAATGACGATTATGACGATGATGGAAGGCGAGTCGGATACGTCTCTAGATCCGAATTTCTCGTCGGGGAGAGCCTCTCCCTCCTTTCCTCTCCCCCCTTCGTTGTATATTTCTCATCTGCTGCTCTCAATCCGTAAAGTAATCTAGGACTAAGGGATCGTATGTCTCGTTACCGTATGCGTTTCCGCCGTATTCGAGGTAGCCGTTGATGTAGGGCGGTGGGATCTCCCGCAGGATCGAGGCGGCGTCGCCAAAGACCCAGACCGTCTGCATGCCTGTGCCGCCACGCGATCCAACGTCAGCACGAGGTGGCGCCTAACGAAGTCGCACGAGGGGGGGAGAAAGGGGATGACAACGACGGGAACAGTGATAACAGAGGGAACGCGAGAACGCAACGGCCGAGCGTGGAGGCACAGCGAGGAACAAGGAAAAATGAAACTATCCACTCACCCATGATCATATGTTGCAAGATATGACAGTGCATCATCCAGGCGCCCACGTTGTCCTTGGTGACGCGGATGCGCCAGGCGCGCCAGCCGGCGGTGGCGTGGTCGTCGCCCTTGGCGGTGTAGCGGTTCAGCATGGTGGTGTCGCGCCTCATGGGGGTGAAGTCGCGGAAGCGCTTCTCGTTGGTGGCGGGGTGGTAGGTGCCGTTGCCGGCGCCGAGGTCCCAGAAGTGCTCGCCGTGGGCGTGCATCGGGTGGTACTCGAAGCCGCCCGTCGGCCCCGAGTTGCTCTGCCACACGATGTCGAGCACCTCGCCGATCCGCGCCGGGAACGCCCTCGACTGCGGGTCCCAGCCCCGGTTCGCCAGCGCCGCCTCGTAGTTCGGCGTCCTGCCTCGCACGTACGCCTCGATCAGGTACGGCACCAAGTGGTGCTGCTGCGCGGCCCTCTCCGTCCACGTCAGATTGTTCTGCCTGTCGCCGTTCGTTAGCTCGTCCGCTCGCCAGCCCGCCCCCAAAATCTGCCGTGCTCGACCGAGCACGCGAGGGTTCCACCTTGTGCCTTTGTACTTACTTCCACACCAGCGAACCCGTAACCACGCCCCCCTCGAACGAGCCGCCGATGATGTCCTGGTTGATCGTGATGTAGACCGTGCGTGTCACTTCTGCGAGCGTAGGGAACGGGGCCGTCGGCTTCAGGGGCTCGAGCTTGTACTCCAGCCAGTCGAGTATCTGGTCGGCGCCGTCCGCCGGCAAGCGGACGGGAGACTTGACAGGGAGCCTGGGTAGCCAGCCGGGTGTCCGCCCCAAAACCGAGTCGAGACTCTCGAAGGGGGAACGGTACCTGTATCGTACCAGCGCGTATCCTCCGTTGATCTTAGAGCGACCTCGGCTCTCGTATCGGAGCCAGTAGATCCCACGTTTTTTATCCTTTATCAACTCCTTTAGACTCTTAGTTTTCAGCAATATGTCATATCGCTGGCCGCTCCCGAGCTGGATGCGGTTCGTCGTGATGGGCTTCGAATAGTGGCCGTCGGCACTAATGATAGTCAGGTCCGGGTGACCCTGGAGGGCGAAGTGGACGTAGGAGAGGGTCGTCGCTCCCACGACTCGCAGGCGATAGGTTTTCCCAGGTTCGACGTCGATGATGAACGGCGTGCAAGAGACATCCGAGGCTTGAGGGAACATCCGGGTGCCGGTGCGCGCGTTCAGGGCCACAGCCACCGGCTCCCCCGACCATTTGAAGGGCGAGGCCGTAAGACCCTGCTCTATCTCGCGATCCGATTTTACATACCAGTCGGAGAACATCAGCGGGATCTCTTCGTCGTACTTATACGGCGGCGGCCCATCCTCATCGACGATGAGAAGCCCGTGAGCCGTGACGGCCTGGAATCCTATGTGAGAGTGGTAGAAGTAGGAGCCAGCGTCGCCAATCTCGGGATGGATCTCATAGTCGAAGAACCTGCCCGGGGCTATGGGCCACTGCGACACGGCAGCCGTGCCGTCGGAGAAGGGCGCCGTCCGCATGGTGAGCCCATGCCAGTGCTAGATAAACACCATCGTCGCGGTCAGAGAAGAACTGGATACAGAATTTTGGCGTTGCGGGCGAGCAGAGCACCCAACGTACCATGGTTAAATTCGTGTCGGGGAGGTCATTGTACACCCTGACCCAAGTCGTCTGCCCTTCCTTGAGGTGCAGCGTGGGGCCTGGAGTCGTCCCATTCAACACTACGGACTGACGATGCTGGCAGTTGATGACAACATCTTGGAATGTCGCATGGATCACATACTCGGGCTGCCAAGACGAATCGTGAACAGATGCCGTCGCAGCAAGTGCGCCTGTCTGCAGCAGGCCGACTCGCAGAACGAGGGACGGCAATAGGCTTAAATACCACCGCATCGTTGGAAAGGACGCTGTGCTGGGCTCGTGAGGGTATCAAGCTAGTAAAACCTGACGGGACGAACTCTGGCAGACATAAGAATGTTTTATAGGATCCAACGCGTCGGGCAGATCAGAGAGTCAAGGCCGACCAGGAGGAAAGAGGGGGGTCCACCATCGGGATCGTAACGAGAGTCATCAATAACAACGGAGGGATGTAAGTAAGCCTTCATACATACCTACCAGGACCGGGACGTTCCTGGCGAGCCGTGACCCTTGCAGGTACTCGGCTTTCTCTCTGTCTCTCTCTCTCTCTTACCCTCCGACTACATCACCATGTACGTATGCACGTAGGTAGGACATGCGCAGGCAGGTTAGGGTGTAACTCTAGATACTCAGGGGGATTCCCACATGGGAGTGTCGATTACGCGTGAGACGATCTGCACTTCCTCGACTCCGTCGACAAGACGGACTATACCAAGGTCTGGACGGGGGCTACCCACGCGCCCGGTAAGAGGCAGATCGCGGAAGGAGTGGCATGGCCAGCGTAGAGTCAGCCACAGCAGACATGTAATTTACCACACAATACGCCACCTCGCCATGGGGGGAGGGCATGTAAGTGTCGACCGTGAGCGGTAAGATGTAGGTATGTACGCGCCTAGCGGGACGGCGAGAAGGGCGTAACGCCACCCGTCCGACGCCATCTCTCTCTCGCCGGCCTCTGTCGCCCCATACGCGAAGGTCCCAGAAGCTCATCGAGGGTGCCTCGGGCTCGGAAATGAGATGGGAAAGTCGGCGGCTCTAGCCGCGGGACGTGATCCATGCTGCAGATTCAGCAGACGGGCAAACAAACAGGGTCGACCCGGCTCGAGTCGTGAGATTCCAAGGCAGCCCCTAGCTGCTGCTGTCGCTGTCTTCCCCGACGATTCCAAATATCAGACGAACACGTCGACTTGGACGGAGACGTCGGACGTGCCGATTCGCCTTCGCATCCCCCAAAGAAGGCCGACCACCGTGGGGCACACGAGAGGCGCGAAGCGGAAAGTGAGATAGAGGGAGAGAGCAGAAGCAGGTCAGGTGAGCTGGATAACGGGTGGGAACGAAATGCCAAGGATCCGATGTCGACAGTATGGTGGCAGTTTCTCATGCCCGCATCGGCACTAGAGAGAAGAGACATTTTTTACTTTTACGTTACTGCGCGGGAGGGGGACTATCTACGTCCCACTAGCAGAGACTCAGCCGTCTAAAGTGCAGACGATGTGAGCTAGGACGGGTTGGACGTTAGCCGGGGGAGGAGGGGGTCAAGGGGGGAAGCCAAGGGGGTGAAGACGACGGATGGGACGGAGTTAAAGGATGAGCTTGAAAGGCCCCGGTAGCCAATAGACGAGATACGTGTGCGATCTACATACGGGAGATGGGAGTGGGAGCGGAAGGAATACATGTAGTCGTAGCCATAAGCCATAGCCGTGAGCCATAGCAATATCTATAAGACAGACCTGGGACAACAAATAACACCGACGTGGGCTCGCACTCTTGGGCGGTTATCCTACACGAGAAAAAGAGGGGAGTTAATAAGACCAGATGACGACGGCGGGAGCGAAGGGAGAGCAGAAGAGAAAACAAGAGAGAGATGAACCATCTACCTACATCGGACTGTCTGTTCTGAACGGCATGCCGCGGGGAGCCAGGCAGGACAGGGCCGGACCAAACCGACGGTAAATTGGTGTTTTCGTCTCGGGTGTTTGTTTTGTGCAAAACGGTGATCTCTCTTCTCTTCTTGTCCCCTTTTCTTCTCATCGCGTTCTAAACATAGTACCTATTATTATACATCCACATGCAGACAATAACTAACACACTATCCACATACATCTACATATACATACATCCGCATGTTTATATTATTTATGTCTACATATCATATGCAGGTACAGCGCTGGCCGCCGATGATTTCCGGATCTACCTATCGTATTTTCCGTCCTCTCTCGCTCTGCCGCATCAGTCGATTGCGCTGGCGACGATCGACGCCGCCACCTCAGCCACTGATCCTGTCCAACTCTGCCCATCCCGGGTCTCTCTCTCTCTCTCACCCCCTTTTCGCAGATCACCCCCCCTCCCAATGCAACCCGCCTCTACGCCCCCTATTCCCTCCATCAGCCGCATCCCGAGGGTAAATAGAAAAAAAAAGAAATAAGAAAAGCAGCCCCCCTCTGTATATATGTACGTATCCAGCGGTAGGCATTGTCCGTAGCCACCAGGCGGCGTCGGCGGGAGAATCGGGGGACGGAACAGGAAGGTTTCTTACCAAGGGATGGCGCTCCGTAGTAGTTCTCGTATTCCGTCAACCCATCATACGACGCGACCCGCGGCGGCCACTCTCCATCCATCCATCCATAATACATCCATAATACACCCATAATATATCCATACACCCATTACATTCCGTAGCGAGCGCCGTAGATCAACGGCTCCCTTCCTCTTCGTCTCCTGTTTTTAAAATTGGGTTCTTTTTTCTTTTCTGTCCTATATTAAAATTTTTTTAATTATTTTATTGCCCAACAGCTGATGTCTCTAGCCCGTCGACGCCCTGGCTTTTTTAACCGCGGCGCCGTCTCACCCGTCGCGCGCCGCCTGCCGGCCCCCCCGTCTCGTTACGTGTGCCTACCTACCTACATACGTGTATGTATGCGCGCCCGCATGCACGCTTACGCATGTGCGCGGTCGGGATTATCCCATCTTCTTACCCTCTGCGCCACATGCGCGCGCCGCTGAGACAGGCCGACGGACGGAGAGGCGGAGAGACGAGAGGCACACGCGGCGAGATCGCCGTCTACTACCTCGCCATCGCGACGACCTTGGGGGAGGGCGGCGCGCGCGCGTGTCAAGGCGGGAGACAAAAGAGAGAGAGAGAGAGAGAGAGAGAGAGAGAGAGAGAGAGAGAGAGAGAGAGAGAGAGAGAGAGAGAGAGAGAGAGACAGCGGGAGCGGCCCAACCCTCGGGCTCGCGGCCGCTTTAAATTGCCGCCTCGCAATCTTGCAGTGCCGAGGCGCCGCCGGGATCATCGATGTGCGTGCGCAGGGCAGAGCGCGGCATAGTAGAGGTGGTGGTAGCACGTAGCGCAGGTCTGTCAGGCGAGGTAAGATGCGTAGGAGGGAACCGTAGTATGATGTCGGCACCAGGACGACGGGTGCGGATGGCAATGCGCCCACACACACACACACATGCCGGACGTCGACGCTTCGGAACGAATCGACGAGGTTAAATGAGAGAGGATTCAATAGGTAAGATTAACAATAAAACGCAAAGCCGTTCTACCACATCCCGGCGCATGCAACGCATTCATCCACGCCTCCTCCTTCTCCTTCTCCTCCTCCACCCACACCCTCGCGCCTCCCCATCTCCACCTCTCTTTCCTCTCTCTACACCAGTGCGACAGCGTCGACGCCTGTGATACCTCCGGATCCTAGAACCCCCCGGGGGGGGGGGGACGACGAAGGGGGGGAGACACGAAAAATAAAAAAAATCGGTAGACCGCCTCATCCGTCGATCGTCCTCGCACAACCCGCTCTTTTTCCTCCTATTTTTTCTTTTTTCTTTCCCATCCCTCTGGCGCGCGGCCGCCGTCCCGCCGAGCTGCGACCACGACGGCACCGAGGAGGGGCCTCGCCTGCCTAGACGACATAGGTATTGCGTGCGCCCGCGGACTCGCGCGCGCGCCCAACGAGCGAGGGGGGGGGGGGCGAAGGGAGGAGGAGGAAGAAGAGTGCGAGAGACAGACATACAGACAGACAGACAGACAGACCCGACCGCCCGCCCGCGTTCCGACGCACACGAGCCCTCGCACCGCGGATACGAGCGGCCTGCGTCGCGCCCGCCCACCTGCCCGCCTGCCTACCTACCATCTACCTGCCCTGCCCTCCCCACGGCGCGCGCGCCGCGGAGCTTCCTCTCCGCAGGCCTGTCTCGCCGTCGCCCCTTGGCCCCTGCGCCGCTGCGCGATCCCGTCTGCCAGCGCGCGCCGCCAGGGGGAGGGAGGTAGGTAGGCGGCATCGGCGCGTCGGGCGGCGACAGCGTCTGGCAGGTTTGCCTCGCTGCCTCTGGATTACCTGGCGCCCGTCGCGCGCAAGGGGGGCCGGCGGGGAGAGCAGAACGGCCCGTCGATGCGGGGGCCTCTCTGTGCGCGCTGACATGCACCTGGGTGTGTGCGTGTGTAGCGGCGGGCGCACGGGTGTGGGTGTAGATAGATAGGTACGTAGGCAGGTAGGTATGTGTGTGTGTGGCCGCGACGGTGGCAGCGAGGGAGGAAGAAGGGGAAAACCCCATGACCACGTCTGTCGCCCCCCTCCCCCCCTTTTTTCGACTTGGCACGAGGCGGGCGAGCGCGCACGGGCTGCGATCAAAGGCGAGTCGGGCAGAGAATCGACCGACGTCTCGTCTCTTAGCGTGGCGATGGCAGGCCGCGCGAACTCGGGTGTGCTGCTGCGCATTCCCGACTGCGCGCGCTCCGACGAGCCGTCTTCTTTTTCGTCGCGCACCCGACAAGAAAAAGGCTACCTGCATACGTGGGTACATATCCCATGCGCGCGCTTCTCGCCTAGCCATCCCCCCCCTCCTCCCCTTTCCTCCTAATATACCTGTCGCCTACGCTATACACGCTGGTAGCACATCCCTATCTCTCACCCCCCCTTTCCCTTCCCTCCCCTTCGCTTCCGCTCTCCCCCCCCCCCCCCCTCTCCCCCTTCACAGTACGGCGTCGACGTCGTCAACGATGTGCACCTTGATGCTGCCGTTGCCGACGTCGGCGTTCAGCGCGAACGCGTCGAGCGCCCGCTCGAGCGGAAACTTGTGCGTCACCAGCTTGTTCAGGTCGAGGATGCCGCCGCTGATGCACTGGATCGCCGCCGGCCACGTGTCCCGGTACCGGTTGATGAACTTGAGGTCGATCTGCTCTCACCCCGCGATCAGCGTCCTTCTCTCTCTCTCTGTCGCTCTTATCGTGGGGAGTATGCAGGCCAGAGCAGGCTCCAACGCGCCCAGGCACGCCTCAAGAACAGAAATCGAAAAAAAAAAAAACGAGGGGGAAGGGTGTGGAAGAAGAGGGTTTACGGATGCCACTAACCTCAGCGAGCGACAGGTGCATGAAGGGGATGTTATTCATGACGGGCTTTCCGACGCCGATGACCATGAGGGTGCCGCCGCGGCGGACGGAGAAGGCGGCGGTGCAGACGCTGCTCTCGACGCCGGTGCACTCGATGACGGAGGCGGGGGCGGCGTACTCGTCGTCGCCGTAGAGGCGGCGGATCGCGCGCGCGTTGTCCTGCGCGCTGCGCGCCGGGTCCACCAGGTACGTCTGGCAGCGCGGCACCAGCTCGCGCGCGAACGCCAGCCGCTTCGCGTCCACGTCCGTCACCACCAGCGGGTGCGCCCCCGACGCCCGCGCCCCCGCCAGCGCCACCAGCCCGATCGGCCCCGCCCCGCACACCAGCGCCGGCCGCCCCAGCCGCACGTTCGCCCCGTTCAGCCCGTGCAGGATCACGCTCAGCGGCTCCAGCAGCGCCCCCTCCGCGTACGTCAGCTCGTCCGGGATCCTGCCGCGCCGTGTTAGCCCGGTCCGAGACCCTCGTTTCGCTCTGCCCCCCCTCACCCCTTCTACCTCTCCGCTCTCCCCTCTCTCCTTGTCACTCTCTCAGGGCCTCGCCCGCCCGCTCGTAGACATCCGGGCCCGCCGCCGCCGCCGCCGCCGCTTGGTGTGCTAGTTTTCCCGTTACTACTCACTTGTACAGCCACTTCGCGGGGTGGTTCTTGAATCGCTGGATCGTGCCGTTATCGGGCCATATGCCGGAGAACTTGACGTCGTCGCAGAGGTTATACCGGCCCTCTCTGCACAGGAAGCACTTCTCGCAGGGCTCCTGGGGCTCGATGCCAACCCTGTCGCCTAACCACCCCCCATCCCGCGGGTCAGCCAGCTAGGTCATTCCCCTCGGGACTAGGTAGAGAGAGAGAGAGAGAGACGGGGGGGTATGCTGGCAGAGCTGGCTCACCTGGCTTGAGGCTCGTCACCCCTTCTCCGCACTTGAGCACGACGCCCGCGGCCTCGTGGCCCAGGATGCAGTCGCCCTTGATCTCGAGCGACCCGATGCGCCCGGATTTCCACAGGTGCATGTCCGAACTAGGTAAGCAGTTAGTCTACCTGTTAGTCAGGGAAGCGGCTTTTTTTTTTTTTTTTTTTGCCGCTTCCCACGGCGCGGGGTAAGAGCAAAGAGAGGGATACAATGAAAAAAAGAGAAAGAAAGAAAAGCCCTCACCCGCAGATCCCGGAGCACTTGATCTGCAAAGTGACCTGTCCCGGGCCGGGCTCCTCGACGGGAGCGTCCACCAGCTTCAGCTTGTGGTCCGCCGTAACCTGGACGGAGGGGTTCCGGAAGCGGCTGACGTCCTCGCTGGCGTCGTTGTAGATGATACCGTCCGTCGCGCCGCCCCTCGCCTTCCCCTGCCCGCGGGAACCGTTAGTGTCCGCGCCCGGCATGTCTGCGATGTGTTGGTGGCGTGGAAGGCGGCAATGAATGTGGTGGCTCGGGACGGGCACCTCTGTGTTGCGACAGTTGAGTAGCGTCTTCGGCGTCGGCGTCGGGTTGCGCGATGCCGAGGGGAAGTACGAAGTGCTTGTTGTATTTAAATTCCCTTTCTTTGTTCTGGATAAAGAACCGGACGAAAATGGCAATGGTGTCGATGATTTCTGATTCTTCGCTATGGTAGTTCGACGGAGCCAGAGAGAAAGCCAGAGGGAAGCAGGGAGAGGAGCAAGTAAGCGATAATGGTTAACAGCATATAAGCTCGAGAATCGACAAGAAGTTCAAAAGTCCCCTGTCTTAATCCTGTTTCTGCTCTCCTCCTCCGCCTGGGCTGGACTCGACAGCCTCTCTCCAACCCAGGTATAGAGGTCTAGCTGGCTAGCGCGATGCGTAGGTGCTGTGCATGTGAGCGCGAGCAGAGGTAGTAAGCGGTAGGCGCACGAGACGGAATGGCTCCGCGACGGGTACGAAGAAGAGGAGCTCGAGACCCATACCGGCTTCCCAAATGTGGCTATCCGGCGGCGGCAATCGTCCTTGGATCCTCGCGAGATGAACAGCCTGGACTGGTTCCCGCCCCTTTCCTACGCGGATGCATCCGACCGGACGCTGCTAGAGACAAGCCAACCATCCGCTAGGCTAGGCTATCCTCAATTGACGAGGGCGAGCTCTCATAATTCTCTCTCCCTCTCCCTCTCCTCTCACCTACCTTCTTAGAAACGCGCTCTCTCTCTATCTTATAACCCTCTCCTCTAGCCCCTCTCCATGTATCCCTATTTTCTATCTCTCTATCCATCTCTCTTCTTCTCATGACCGTGACAGAATACGGAGACGAGAGAGCGACTCCTCGCGCGCGCTGAAACTCAACTCATCCATTCCTCCATTCCCTCTCTCGGTAAATCCACCCCCACCCTCCGCACCTGTTCCGCCGACCAGGCTTCATCCCCGCAGCTAGAGCCACTCTGCGGATCACACACACACCGCATATACGTAGTGCTCACACACGCACACATTCCCTCTCTATCATCTAACCATCTCTGTGCGTGTAAGTGCGACACGAGACGAGAATGCTACGGTGGCACTGCATGCAGGCTGCCCCCCTTGTCTCTCCTCCGCCTCCCATCCCCCGGCAGAGACACCGTCCTCTTATAGGGCCGGAGCTTTACCTGGGGGTATCGGTCGTTCTAGATGGCTTCGGAGTCTGAGGATTCGGCACAGAGGGGCCGAGCGACAGCAGCACATCCTCGGCTATCTAGCACGGGGTGGTATAGGTTAGTCAGATAGCTAAGTCTATAGACGCGAAGGGTTTTATCTGCGCGTGATTGGATTTGCTACGTAAGCGACTCCGTTCGCGCTGTGGCGCTGTGAACTGCTGCTGTTATCGCGTCGGAAAAGGGGAAAGGCTTGCGTATTTAGTAAGTACCTACCTATAGCTCGAGTTATGGGAAGGCCGGCGGGGGTAGCCGAAGCGTGTAAACTAATCCCTTTGGTGAGCGTATCAAGATCTTGTAAGTAATATCTCATCTATCCCATCTACACCCCTACACGCGCACGCATCTGAACACACGCGCCGTTTTCTCCCCCCTCTCTTGCTCTTAGTAAGGCATACGGCAATGTACCTACCCGGCTTACTGGAGCCTACCTGACCTGGACGCCACCCGTCTTTTCTGCTGCTCTATATAGGCCATCCGAGGGGGACTAGCCAACATCCAATTAGGATTTTTGCTATTTATACCGACCCTGTCGCCCCATCTTTCCCCGCTCCTAGGCCGGATTGCCTATCCTGCGAGATGGATGGTATGCCGAGAGGAGCTCCTATGTACTGCCGCCGCTATGAGTGATCGCCAGGGCGGTGTGGGAGAGAGGGAGGGGGAAAGAAGGTGGTTCGCACAACAATATGCTTAGGCCACGATTCTACATCGAGGAGGTAGAGGCGTCATGGCCCTGCGGAAACACGTAGTTCGTGGTTCGTAGTTCGTAGTTCATATAGGAAGCTCCCCTCGGTTGCTCGGTTACGGAAACGTACCCGCGGCTAGCGCTCCAACTCGCCGTCGTAAAAATCTCGCAAAGTCACTGCTACACCGCCGAGAGGCGACGAGCATATCTACGAAAAGGAAGTAGGTACCGCCGACATCGAGGGAGCCTCTGGGATCAAGGCGCCGGACACTCGCGAACGGCGAGGTAGCTGGACGTGGCAGGTCGACCTTATCCTCCCTGGAGGCATGTCGTGAGAGCTGCGTATCTCCGTTCTCGGTGTACTCGGTGACTGCTTCAACCGTCTCCGTTCTTGTGTCGATCCCTTCTTTCTGAAGTACGCCTGCTTACCCGACGTAGGCTTGCCAGACGAAATGCGCTCGAATCCCATACTGAGTAGCTAGGGCCGATTACGTCCAATGCCGGATCTCGCGTCGATATCGAGACACCAGCGGACCCCCCACTAAGCACAGGGCTGCACCAGCTGCAGATGCGCCCGATCTGAGTCACGGCGTCGCTAAGGTCGGCTGCACGGATAGGTCTAGGAATCTCGCGATACATCAAGAGGTCGGGGCAACTACGCGCCGCGTGCGGCCATCGGGGAGATGGGAAGCCAGGCCAGAAATGTAGAAGAGGTAGTTGGCGTACATGGTGTCTATGTGACATGGGATTCGAGAGTAATATGAGTACAGACTGCATAGCTTCGTAAGCTCCGGGGCGGCTCCCTCGGCGATCGGTAGACGGCACGTCGCTCAAATAGACTTACTCTCGTATCCCCATGGATTTGTTCCCGTCGCGGATGATTCACTATCTGGAGAACCCCTCCTCGGGATATCCACAACGGTGTCCCATCACTCGCGTCTCTAATTCGGATGACTGGGCATCTGACGCAATGGACACACCCCAAGGGGGAGCACATCGGACTCGGCGGGGACACAGCATCTAGATAGCGACTGGCCATCCCGTGGTCGCCTGTGCACCCAGCCAGCGCAAGTGCATGCCATCTCGCAGCATTTCTGCGTCGCAATCGTTCTACGACCACCATCGATACTCTCACGCCGACCCGGCCGATCGGAGATACCAGTCCGCCGTGGTCCTAGCAGATGGACGATCAATGGATACGGATATCCGATGAGGGGAGGGGTGACCGCACATAAGTACCGGAGTCATGCGTAGGCAAATCCGGTCGGAAACGACCTGAACACTTGTCAATCAGGACGGGTTAGGTTGCACGCCTGCGCGACTCTGTGCTAGTGCCATCGACACAGCATCAGCGCTGCGCGGAATGGGCCGAGCTGACGGCGCTCGCAAACTGCAGCCAGGGTTTGGGGGAGAGCGCGGCGAGAAGCTAGCCGGCGCCGAGGCCTTGCTGAGTCAATAAGCCTGTAGCAGGAGGTATGCTGAATCTTGAGACATGTTGCTGTGTCGCCTTCGACGGCTCTCTGGGCCGAGTAATGCCGCGAGAACGCCCCGAGTTAACGTTGTCACAAGGGAGGTGGAAAGCCACTCGGGCGGCCAAGAATGCGCGCAGCAATAAGAATTCGTGTGCGACGGCCTATTTGACTTACTACATATACCGAATACCTTGGCCCGAACGCGCCGCGGTACGCCTCGCTTTCGCGGCTTTAGCACGCATCCGCACGAGAAAAAGCCACGGATACCTCGCGCGTGGAAAGGAGGGGACTGAACCAGGGAAAACAGAATAGCTAGTTGCGAGGTAGGCAGGACGGAAGCCGTCGATTCCACGTATGAGTAAGGACTGGCAAACTGAAACAAGGGACGTGGAATGGGCCCCGAAGCACGTGTGCCTAGTGAGCCGCTGTCTTGCCTCGGTGTCGCGATGTTGAAGGAGAGAAGATGAAGGAGTCCTAATCGGGAGCCAGAGACGGCGATCAATGGCAGATTGGACTGCACGGACCACCGTGGTACCTGATGTAATATCACACCGCTTATCTTGCTTACTTGCCCACTATCAGATAGCTTTAGGCTACCTCCTAGGCTCTCCCCTAGGCTCCATTGATAAGGAGCCGCTTCTTGCTTGCCCAAGGCATCTTGGCGTACTGCCTCGGCCAACCTGCGCTGCCTACCACCAGCTATCTGCCGCCTTGGAGATGCCTACCTCGGAGACATGCTAACCGCATCCCGACCTGCAGCAGCAAGCTGTAAGATTGGCCGTATCGTGATGTTGTAGATAACAGATTGGCTACCTATACAGTGCTCGGCCTGGGCGATCTATCGAACCAGCCAAGACGGCCCTATTGCACCAGGTGTAGGTACGTGCGTCAGGCATGGCGGAGGCGGCGCACCCATCACACGGGGGCGTCCCACCTGCGACCAGACGCCGAACCGCTACCGGCCTCATCTCATCTCTCTCCGGCCCGCCTACCAGCCGGGCTAGCTAGCTGGCGGGCAGATCGGCCGAGAACTGCGCTCCCACGCCGCGCGTGCAGACCCGTAGACGGCTGCCTTACCGGCGGACCGGGTGGCCTAGCACGGGGGGTCAATTGCTACGGATCTGACCTTCACCCGTCACGCGGTCGGACGCGCCACGTCATAGACAGTTGGTATTAGGTAATTTGTGAGAAGGGAGACAGATCATGTCTCTCTCTTTCTGTTTCCGGTTCATCCTCGCGGCAGACTGCCCGTAGCGCAGCGCAGGGCCCAGGTGTTTCTTCGTGCCCTGGCGGGCGGAGGGCAGCTACCTACCTAGCTACCGCCGTCGCACTATGCCATGTGTGTCGTCCAGTGAAAAAAAAAAAAAAAAAACAAGGTAGGTACATCTAAACCACGTCTGTGTGCGTATGTAGGAGTGTGTCCGCCGTTGCTGTTCCCCGTAACGCCGTGCCGTAATGTAAAGAAGAGAGGTGCGCCGCCATGAACCTGACGTTGCGGAAAAAGAAACCGAAAAAAAGGAGGCGAAGAAGAGAGCAAGAGAGGACGGCACTTCGTAATAGGATACACCACCGTTATCGCAGACGTTTTTTTCGATGAACAAGACAAAGAACCTCCGGCCCACTATCCCGTCTGATCCCAAGCCGTTACCCTCCGAGACGGCGGGGTATCGACGACGAGAAACTATGCATCAACTCCCTTGGTATTCCCACAAGCAGTGGCAAGGTCCACCCAGGCCCCGAAATTTCACATAAGCTCAGTCTACCGCACTACGCGCTACTTGGCAGCGAGAGAACCCCCCTTCTCCCTAAATCATAGGCAGGGGCCTCAACGCTTGATGCCAGACACGGTATTGGGGAATGCGTTGGCCGCTCTGTTGAGGCCGCGCAGGGCCTCGGGCAGGGTGCCAGACTGCAGAGTGTGGATCAAGTCGTCGATGACGGACATGTCGTCTAGCTCTTGCGATCGAGTGCGCGTCAGCCAGTACTCGAAAGGCCCGCCTGCGATGGTTTGCCAATGGTTAGCTCAAGTACTCCCCGGTATGCAAGTATTAAGACGGGGGAGAGGCTTTGTTATCATACGTAACAGAGGGAGGGAAATAGGTACAAGTTACAAGGGGGAGAGAAAGGGGTATGGGGGAAAAGAGGGGGAACTCACGATTATGTGCCAGTGCCGCTCCGAGCTCTTCGCATCGCTCATTAGGGGCGTGCTCCGTATGCATATCGAGGAAATGATTCAGCATCTTAGATACGTCCTTCAACGGCCACTTGCACGGTGCACTGGGTACGCGATTGGAACCCGAGTCGAGGTACTTCTGCGACGTGCACAGCCGGCACTTCCAGAATCCGAGGCGCTGGATCGACACGGTGCTGGCGCCGTTCATGTCTATCACCATGTCCGCCTCGCCGTTCCCACCGCCTACTCTCCCATTCTCGTCCTCCTCGCCCTCTATCTTGGAGATGCGTGGTCGCTTGGCACCCCCAGCCCTAGGTGCCGAGCCTGCGGCACGGTAATTCTGCTGAGACCTGTACCCGCCCGCGGGGACGAGGGCTGCGCTGCGTGCCTGCACGTCCAGCTGCTGGATGCGGTGCTGACAGTGGCGGATGTTGTGCCCGCAATCCAAGATGCGGATCTGTAGCGTCCGAGTCTCTTGGGCAGTCAGGTCTGGGGCGGCCAGCTGGTTCCGACAAAAGTCCAAGTCATAGCGATAGGCACTGATGTCCTCATTCATCTGCCGCCGCGTGATCTCATTCAGGTCACTGCTTTCATAGTTGAGAGAGCGCGGGTCTAGGGAGCCATTCGCGGCGTAGACCGGGGACATAGTGCTGTTCGAAGGGAACTGAGATGTGCATGTTAGTCGATCTCGGACGCAATGGCGGGGAGGGTGGAGGAAGAGAAGAGAGCGAAAATTGAGAAGCCCCAAAAAGAAAAAGAAAGAAAGAAAAAGAGCAAGAAAAAGAAAAGTCTCGGTGGGAGATAAAGAAAGGGGGGACGGGATTGACCCAGATAAAGAAATAGGAGATGCGACTCACTTCAAAGAGTCTGGAAACGTCGGGCACGAAGCGTTGAACGAACGCCGGGCGCTGTCGCGACATGATGAAGGGGAGCGCGACGTCGACGTATCACAGCTTGCTATATGGTGGTATAGAGGGACAGGGGGGGATGGAGATGGATAGATTGGCGGCTGATGGCTTGACCGTCCCGCGATAAGGAGTCTATGGGTGACAAGCGAGGGGGGTGGGAGGTCAACAGCTAAATGAGTCGAGTCGCGGTGGACCAGACAGCTATGCCCGGTGCATTCAATTCAGCAGGCGGATGCAACCGACCAGGGTGAGGCTATAAAAGGAGGTGGTCACGATAGAGGAGAGCAGGTGGGCGGAGGTAACCGTAGATGGCCGAGGAGGATGGGGGATGCCACGGCTAATTGAGCAACGCGTGAGGATTGAGAATCGCGGGCGAGATCGCGGGTAATTGGACGGTTGAGGCCCTGGACGATGTGAAGAATAGGGAATCACTGAGAGAAATATGATAGAATTGCGATAGACGGGGTGAGGCAGAGGCAGAGAGTGAGAGAGTGAGAAGAGGGTTGAAGTGTGGAGGGTGAATGTGCGACTAAAAAAAAAAGAGAGAGAAGAAAGAAAAAAAAAAGAAGGGAGGAAAAAAAAGAAAGAAGGGTGGAGAAAAGAAGAGGAATTTGGGGGGAGAAAAATAAAAATGAGAGTGAAAGTGAAAAAAAAGAAAGAAAATTTTTCTAGAACAAAACATGGAAGGTACAACAAAAAAGCTTTGCCGCCGCATACGGCGGCGCCTTCCCGCTTGCCTACCACCGGCTTATACACAAAAGAGATGCGTCTTAAACGCGCATCTGGTCTTCCTCCACGGCTACGCCGTTCCCCCCTCCTTATCCGTCTCATTTTCTACTCCTCTTTTTGTTGCCGTCGCGCGCGCGACGGTCGGCAGCGAGCCACCCCGGCGAGGTCGAAATAGACGTGGAATCTCTGACTGGTTGCGGCTCAGGTACGGAAGTACAGCAGTGGAGGGGGGTTCCCTGCCCCCTTCTGCGCTGGCCAATGAGCGGCGTATCTGCGCCCTCCTTCAGTGCTGCTTCTGGGCAGGCAGGACCCGCCATCTGTTTTCCATAGACATGTACACGGTACCTCGGTAGGTGTGTGTGCACCAGGCACCGCAAGCCGCGGCGACAGCGTACCCGGATACATGTGCCTGCCTCTAGATTGCCCGTTGCAGTAGGCGTACAGTGCGTCTACAGTGCCAGCACACCCGCAGGCTGCTTGATGCATACGGTACGGTCTGTCTGAAAAGGGCAAGCTGAGACCCCGGGGAGGAACTCGACTATCTGCACGTCTCTGCTTGTGGATCGGGAAGAGGTATTGGCGTCTCTCCACCCATGCGCAGATCCGCGTGACCGTCTACAGACATGCCTTATCCTATCCGGAGGATAGTTATAATACGCATAACCCCCTATTATACTAATTAATTACGGGGTTAAATACCCCTGTAAATAGCCCTGTAAATAACCCTATAAATAACCCTGTAAATAACCCTATAAATAACCCTATAAATAACCCTATAAAGGGGTATTATTTAGGGGAAACTTTGTTTTTACTGGCTAAAAAACGCGCTATGGGTCTCTAAAAATGCGTATACCTAATAAAAACGGCGGGATAAATAGAGGTTTTCTTATTTAGCGTATCCCTATTACCCCTTAAGATCCCTACGTATATTTATTAACGCGTTTATTTATACGTTTCTACTCCTATTTATATAATTCCTACTCTTTTCCGTATCTTATAATCCATTCTTATAATCTATCCTTAGTTTAATTAAAATAAAGTCGCTTTAAGTTAAAGAATGTCGTACTTACGGAAGAATTTAAGTTATCGAGTAATTTATTAATCTACGAAATTACGTTATATTTATAAAAAATTATCTCTCTTACCGCGAAAATATACGCCGTCCTACTTAGGTTAGTATTTTATATTAATAATTTATACTTTACCGCTAATTCTATATAAGATTCCCGATCCGATCTTACGCTTAAGACGCTTTAACCGGCTCCGCGATTAAATGTTACCTATCATCGATTATATTTTATTACCGCGTAGCCTTGGATATATAATTTAAGCGTTAAAAAAGTAGCTTTACGCGTAAGTAACGTATTATAATAATAAATTCGAAAACGGTATAAGATAACCCGACGTAATAACGGTAATCCTTCTCTTATTTCTTTACTTTCTTCGTTAATAATATAATTATAACTAGCGGATTTAGCGGTAGCGCTAAAACTAGCGCCCCGGGGGCGACCTCTTCGAGTATTTACGCGAGAGTTAGCTCGTCGAGGCCGACCTTTACGTACGCTTACGTTAAAATAAGCGCGAGAATTAGTTCGTCGAGGCCGACCTTTACGTACGCTTACGTTAGAACTAGCGCTAGAGTTAATTCGTCGAGGCCGACCTCTACGTACGCCTACGTTAGAACTAACGCTAGAGCTAGTTTATCGAAGCCGACCTTTACGTACGCCTACGTTAGAACTAACGCTAGAGCTAGTTTATCGAGGCCGACCTTTACGCGCGTTTACGCTAGAATTAACGCTAAAGCTAATTCGTCGAAGCCGACCTTTACGCGCGTTTACGCTAGAATTAATATTAAAGTAAGTATAAGTACGTCGAAGCCGACCTTTACGGCCCCTTACGCTAGAACCTCTTACGCTAAAACTAACGCGAAAGTAACCGCGCCTAGGCCGACCTTTTAATTAAACCTTTCCCTTAAATACCGCTCGCTCTTAGGAACTTAGTAGCGTTTTTAATCGTTAGAGCTCGTTTATAATTAAGCCGCTACGGTAAAAGGAAGACCTCGACGCTAACGTAATTAGCGATACCGATTACGCGATTTTAATACGGTTTTAATTAGCGCTAGAATAAAAACGACGTAAATATTATAATCGTTACGGGAAATATTAGTTTAATATAGATCTAAATACCGCGGGTATTTATAAGTATTATCGTAATAAAGACTAGAAAAGGCGCGTAAATAAGCCCTTCTTTTTTAGCGTAAGTAATTATCTTAACTTTAGTATCCTTTCTTCTTTTAATTTATTATTAGAGCTAATAATAATCGAAGAACTATTTATTACGCGGGTTTACGTAGTAATAAATATACTTATAATCCGCGGTTAGTAGTATAAATATCGCGGCTACGTCGTATACTTTATACGTAACGTTAATAAAGTATACGATTATTTTCCCCTCCTTCCTTAATATCTTAATATCGTTTTATTACGCCTACGTAAGCTAGCGTAAAATCCCGAGTAAATAACTTAATTTCGAATTAAGTTTAGAATACGCCGACGCGTTATCGAAGTATAGCTTAAGTATTTAAGATATAACTACCCGGGTTATAAAGACTTTAAATAAAATCGCGCCGCGTTAGAAGAGCTACCTAACGACGGTAATATTTTTAAGTAGCTTAATATTTAAAACTTCGTCGATAACGGTTAAGCGCTCTAGGCTAACCTAATTACGGAGGGCGACTTAGAAGGATTAAAGGCTTAATACGATAAATTTATTATACTAAACGTTACGTTAAAGTAAACTAAGATAAAGCGTTTAAAATTAGAATTAAAAGGGGCGTTTATTTTTAAAGGTTATCCCGTTAAACTTATAAATACCTATTATTTATTTATGCCTTTTATTCGCTAGACCTCCATTAACGAGTTTATGCGTTTAACTACGTTATTTTTACTAGCGTTTCCTACCTTATTTTCGCGTAAAGAAGCTAAATTTATATATCCAAGGTAGCGTAAGATCGATTTCGACGATTAAGTATAATACGTTATACGTTAACGCGATAATCGATTCGCGTAATACCTTATTTTTCGCTTTATCGCGCTTAATATACTTATGCGTTAATAAGCGATAATAATAAGTAAATATTTCGTAAGAAGAAAAGGCGCTTAGTAGTAGTAAATTACGCGGTAAGATCTCGAGTAAGCGTTAGAAAATCCTAAGAGTACCGAAGCTAATGCGTTATTAAGGAATATTACGCGCGTTATAATTCATTTAAAGAATACGCGGCCTTTTTAATTTAAACGAAAACGCGAGTACGTTACTTTTACTAAGTACCTCGGGATTCTTAGCGCTTTTCTTACCTTAAGCCTTATTAATCTTTATTAGCGGAGCCTTTTTTAATATATGCTACGCTTTTAGGAATAACTCTCCTCTCTTAAAATCTAACGTATGCGCTTATCCCGCGAGCTATTAAAAATTAATCCCTATATTACCGCGTAATATTTTTACGCTTAGAATTAGCTCTTCCGTAATATCGTCTTAGTTAAGAAATTCGGCTTACGCGATTATTAATATCGATACGAATTTTAAAGGCGTAGGAGTACGTATTATTACGGGTTATTTTAATTCGAAGGTAATCCGTTACTTAATATAACTTCTTTCGAATAGCGTTAAAACTACGCTCGCATTTAGAGCTATTACGCTTTTACGGTTAACCTAGAGCCGCGCCGGCGCTTAAATTAAAATAAAGGTAATTCGCTCGTATTACGGCCTTTAGACGCGCGGCCGTTATTTCGTTAGCTCTCTTAAATTATTAATCGTTACTAACGTTATAAATACTCCCCCGTATATTACCTCCGTATTAATAAGCGTAAAGCGCGAGAAGCGGGATAGGGTAATAGCGTTTTACTACCTTTAGAATATCGATTTCTTTTCCCGCGGCTATACCGCGCCTACGCCGAGATTATTATACGGCCGTATAAAACCTAGTAGTTATTTAAAGCGTAACGTAACGACGAATAATTAAACTAATATAATCGAATAATTACCTTTACTTAGTTAATTAATATCGATATTTCGCCTTATATTAGCGTAGAAGTTATTATAAATTACGTAGCGAAGTATTACTTTAAAGCGGAAATTAAAACCGATAGTTATGGCGTCTTTATTAAGTAAATCCTCTTAAAGGTTTCTAGCGTAAATCCTCTTTTCTTTTTTATATCGAAGTTAATAAATAAATTAATCGAGGAGCGAGAT